AAGTTGAACGGGCTTCAGAGTGGAGCTCTTCATTCCGGCACTAGATTGGCTCAAGTGTGGCAAAAGAACGACACAGAGAGGATCACATGAATGAATTTATCCACTCTTGCGACGCTCCAGACCAAGGGGGTGATAATACGGCTAAACAGTGTACACCACTTCCAAACACTTCCGCAATTCCTCTGCAGAATCTTCAACACTTCCAGACACTTCTTAACGCCCTTAAATGAATAAATAAAAATTGTAAAAATTGAATTGAAATGAGATTAAATTTATCAATTTAAAGCACAAAATGCAAAAATAACCAAACAAAGAAAATTCTCTGAGACATTGTTGAGGTTATGGTTGACTTTTAAGCTGTTTTATAACCTAATCTTAAGTTTTTTCGAACGTAAATGCTTAATTTTAACAAAAAAGAGAAAAATTCTAAGTTTAAACACAAATTAGACGATTTTGAGGGTTATTTTATCACATAACCTAAAAACAAAGTGATAAAATTCATTTTTCTGGGCACAGTAATTTTAAAAAATGCTTTAATTTGTGTGAAAAGGAAGCTTTTTCAGTGTAAATATTCTTAAAATAACCAAAGCAAAGAGACATTTTCCTGCAATTTAAATGATATTTTTGAGGTTATGTTACACTTTTTGACTTTTTCTCAATCAATATAAAGTTTTTTCGCATAAAAATGCTCAAATCTGCCAAGAAAGAGAGAAATTTGATAATTTAATCTGTTTTTAATTGCTCACATAACCTCAAAAAAGCGATAAAATAGATTTTAGAGCAAAATAATGAGAAAAATGCGTCAATTTGGTTGAAATTGAAGGTTTTTCAGTGCAAATATTCTGATATATTTAGCTACATCTACTTCTAGACACTTCCTCCCAAGCTGTACACCACTCCTGATCATATTATCTCCCCCTTGGCTCCAGACGAAATAATATGAATGAATAGTTGGACGTTTGATAGTAATGATGATGATGATGAGTGTTAAATGCTCGAGTCTTGCGTCCCACAGGGCAGAATTTATTCTTTTCCCTCCCGCAAAGTGCGATTTACCGACTCTGAAGAGGATTTTCCATGTCTGGAGAGATGCTTTAAAGTCCGTCTGTACATATTTTGCGTGTTCACAGGGAGTTTTCCACACAGGGAAAATGATGAGGATTGTCTGAGGGAGAATTCCACCACAAAATGCTCAAAAGTCACGCACAGGTTTTGCTTTTCGATGACTCTGCCGTTCAAAATGCCACGATCTTTTTCCTCCTCTTGTGCGCCAGAATTGCGCCACTTTGCCATCCTTCGCAGACGAAGTCCTCTCGTGGATCTCCTGATTACTCTCATTGCGCTGAATGAGAGCGTGACAATATTTACCAGAGCACACATTTGATCATGTTTGCAGCATTTCGGAAATGCTGATGTCAAAGAGCCCACCACGAATTGTCGCATTTGCGGCCAACCCGCCCAAAATTCCATATCCTGTTCACTGATCAAAATGTGGTTTTTCCAGTCATTTACAAAAATTATCACAAGTGTTTTATCAATGCAAATTTACTGACGGGGGACGCCGAAAAATGATTTCCATTCATTTTACACACACAAAACCCGTACAATTGTGGCAATATTTAATTTGCAAAATAACCAAAGGATATTTTGCATCAATTTGTATCGTTTTGCAGAGTTTCCGTGGCAGAAAAAAATATGCATTGCAGTAGAGTTGAGAATATTTGTGAAGGATTTGTTCTAGATAAGATTTGTACAAATTGATGGTCTTGAATAATGCTGAGGTTTTTAGTTGGTTTCTAGGATGATAAAATCAGAATTGACGGAGTAATTTCTGCAAATATCACTCATTTTTAGTGGTAATATTGGAAAACTCATTTCCCCAGAAGAATGATGATAAATGTGCAGTCATTTTCTTCTCCACTATTCGTCTTCTCAGTATTCTTTCGCCAAACTCTACAATGTCAGATTGACAAGAGGTTCTCAAGCTTGTTCTCAAGGAAATGAGAAAGCATGAGGATTTTCCCTTCTACGTTATGCTTGTGTGTGAATTTTTATAGGATTTGCGAGACTGAAAGACAGAAAATCATCTCTGAGACAGATGTGAGAGGAATTATTTTATCGATGGCTGCACAAGAGGACGAAGAGTGTGGCGTGAAGAAGGACACACAAAGGAAGAGGAGAAATATATTGAGAGAAATATTCATGATTGAATGGCAAATCAGAAAAGTGCTGAACATTGAAATATTTTCTCTCATTCACTTCATCATTTCCTCTTCCATATTTTCGTAATTTTATTAATACAAAACACACTCTGTGTGCTTTCTTCTCATTTAATTACATTACTCAGCCAGCGACTCTCGAGGCACAAGGAGCCCAGAGAGAGCACAATAACATTGCCCGGCAATAAATCAATAGTTCATAAAGTCCGTAAAGCATCTGCAAATGGTATAAAATCGGGATTAATAAATGCTTCTGTGCTGGAATTGTTTGCCAAGGGAACATTTTTCGGGAAAATTGCCAATTAAAATTTTACTGTGTCTCTGTTTTGGACCACGTGGGGCATAAAATAAGTACAATCGCCGCTCTCCTGGCCCTGGGCAAAACCCCGGGCTTCTCTGGCACCAAGAGGGAGTTAATATGCCCTTAATCTGTACACCACACTTCCAGAACATGAAGTTCTTAGACTATTTCCACATAAATTCCCAAATTATATTGAATTTCTTAAGTTTCCATCCGATATTTCTGCAAGAATCCATTTAAAAACGCACTTTTGGACATCTTTTCCGACCATAACCTCAAAATATTACCAAGAGATCTTTGAAAATTCACTCTAGCACGTTTAGGGATAATTAAATCATCTGATTGGTGCTGATTCAGAGTCAAAATCATCCAGAAATTATTGCTAAATGAATATTTTCCAAGTTCCAATGACTTTTTTTTGAGGTTATGTTCAAATTCAATACAATTTACACTGGTTCGTGGCGTTAAATCTTTAATTTTGCTAATAACTAAAGATCTTTCGTACTTTTGAGCATAAGAATTGATGTTCTAGAGTGTGAATTATTCCCTAAATCTGTTCGTGATTCCTTACATAACCTAGAAACGTATTAGAAAAGTATCTTAAGATTGTTTTTGTGTGAAAATCAAAAGAGAAATCCAAAGGAATGGGATTATTTTGTCAGTAAAAGAAGTACTCAGGAAGCTTTTGAACACTTTCGCTTCTTAAGTACTTCTGCTGATCTTGTACACCACTTCTGACTATATTATTTCCCCCTTGTCTCGACACTATGGCTGAGAAAAATATTTGCAAGAAAGAATTTAATTTACTTTGCCGCCTCGTGAGGCACTTTTCGCATTATGTTCACTCCCCTCCTTCCACTCTCCCTGTCGCCCATTCTTCAGGCATAATCAGCAAACGTGAAAATTTGCTAATCTCCAATCGGGAGGGAAAGCCGTGCCGGACAAACACTCAATTGCAGAGGAGGGTGGAAACTTTTTGATTAAATTACCAAGTGTGTCTGGAGGAGAAGCAATAAAACACATCTTGGTGATTCCGCAGGAGAGTCTTGTCACGTCTCCTGACATCGCCAGAGCGAAGAAAGAAGAAATCACCACGCAATATAACACAACTTTTCCCTGGACCACGGAATTTGCATTCAGACGCTTTCGAGAGGAACTCTAATCGAGCGGATATTTGGAAAAAGTCTCACACTTTTCACTCGTGATTCGCGTGATGAATGATAAGAAAAGTCAGTGCATTTGGAAGCTGTCATAAATTCACCATTCTTAAGTCACTCCGCTTTTGCTCACTCTTTCATCGTTTTCTCATGTGAATTTTCCCCCCGCATTTCCCGTGATAAATTTTATACTCCTGTTTCTATCGGAATGGAATTTTGTGAAGCTCCACACTTTTTATGGCTGCGAGAGAGCTTCCTTTCTTACCTTTCCAAACCCACGATTCCCTGTGGTGACATTCTGCAGCACTTCATCCTCAAACACAGGCGAGGAGAGACGATAAAATGTCACCCAGAGATACTCGAAGGCATGAAAGAAGCCTTTGAGAGGCGTCAAGAGCGAATTTCCTGGGTGGCGATGGAGAGGAGCAATTTTGAAATGTGCGGCCCGTGACACAACATCAAGGCGGATTATCTGTGATTTTGAGATGCTGTGCGACGTCTTATCAAAACTGTGTCATCGACGCTCTCCTTCTGCGCGCCCAAAAGGAGTCTCCCTAAGGACTCCAAGGCCCGGACTATCTTGGGCTCGCATCTTCACACATCGCCTAATTGAATTTCCTCTCCCCCATCTGCAATTACACTGAGAGGACAAGTGCGGAGGGCCTCTAAATTGTGGATTATAAGCCTCACGGAGGAGTGGAAAAAGGCCGGTAATGAAGAGAGATTAATTCAATTAGACAACCATGGACAGAAATGTCCAAAAGGCGCGACAAGAGCTGCAAACATCCCAGATTGGAGATGTTCTGGAGATCTTTTCCAGGAAAATTGTGATGGTTTTAAGCGTCTTTTGAAGCCTTTAACTCTTCAATCTATTCAACAATTCCTCACAGTTTCTATCTTCAAGAAAATGATAAAAAGCATTCAAATTTTAGGCACTCTATGGCTTTTTGCATGGCAATACGCGAGTTATTGAGCGACTGTGGCTGCTTTGACTGCTTTGAACATACGCTTCACTGGAATTGTCTTGTGCTCTGTCTCTGTATATATAAAGGTGGACATTAGAACCACTTATGGTTGGTCGGCAAGCTGACAAACTGACGCCGTAAAAAAAAACTTGTCTCGAATATCTCTTCTAATGGAGAAGGCTATGTCCCTCAATCGGATGTCAAACTCACGTAAGTAAGTAAGTAATACGCGAGATATTGAACTTAAAATTACCCCAGAAAAAGATAATAGGAAATTATTGTGGGAAATAAATTTCACGATGCACAAAAATTCATATGTTTGTACGAAAATACACGAAACATTTTATTTTCTCCACTCACTCATTATTATCTTTTGTCTTGAGCGCACAGGAACTCGACGAAAGACGGTTCCAAGAAAGTCAGCGGGGATTTTCCCAGAAATTCCTCGAACTGCACATAATCGCTGACACGAGGATTGAAAGAGAACTTGATGACTGTATCAGAATCGTCGATGTTCTTCATGAAATCCTTCACCATGTCGAGAAAGAGAATGCAGAACTTCATGCAGATCACTGTTGACCAGTCATTCTTGCCCAGTTTCGGCATGTCCTTCACTGGGATCTCCTTCACAGTCTCAACGATGCCCTTGGCCGTTCGCTCGCCGTAATATACCGTTTCTATGCCGGCCAGGAAGCTCTGACACCACCAAGTCCTTAGCTTGTACCGATGAAAATTTTTCTCATCGTAGAACTTTTCGATCTTCTTCGTTGTCTTCACCTCGACAAACTCCACAGGAGTTCTGGACAGATCGGCGTCCTTGTCCACAGGCACTTTGGAGTCTATTCCATCGACTTCGGCAATGTAGAAGACTCGATGATGGCCAATTTCAGTCTTAAAGCCCACGTCAAATTCCTCTCGCTCAATCACAGGCTCGGAAACATCGTTGGGTTTTCCTGGTTCCTCTGGAAATGAACACAGAAATTATCAGGCAACTTGCTCAATATCTCAGACAGATTCTTCTCTCACTGGTCATGATGTACTGCTCAAATTTGTATCCGTAATAGCAGAACTTCTGATGGTCCTTTGGCATATTAGCCACCTTTACCTCCTTTTCTGGTGTATATTTCTCATACAGATAAATTGTGCCGCGATACTTCGAGGCCAGAATAATCCAGCCATCGCACCGTGGACTCGCCTCGTAGGGAGTGCACATGAGGAGCCTCAGCAGTCCACGGAAGCACACAATGTCCGGGAAGATTATCTTCTTGTCTCTGTCCGGATGATTGCTGTGAATATGCATTCTCTTCCAGTTCTTCTCGATGAACTGCAAGATGTAGGTTATGTTGTTACAATTGCTGTCCTTCTTCTCATATATCTCATAGCCATTGTTGAGATCCCACTGAACTCTGCCCACTGGAAGATTCAAGTACTTCAGCTGCTCCAGACTCTCGTGATAAACTCCTTTCCTGTCAATGCTGAAACTATTCACCACTCGAGGTTTTGTCACTTTTGGGAAGTTCTCACTCAAGTGACTATAATTCCTGTAGTCTGCCACGAGATTTGTGTCCCTGGCACTCATTATTTTAACGGGAAAAGCGCAAGAACACAAGGAGAAACGCAACAAAACACGACTTGAAAAACACTCTGTTTGAAAAATCAGCTGTTAAATCCACTCAATTGCGTTTTCGCCGCGCGTGAAACCCCTCAATTCCGCTGTTTTGACGTTTTGTTGTTTGGGCAGAGCGTTTAGTTTTTAAAGAGTTTTTTGGGTTTTTCCTTGCTTTTCCTGTGTATTTTCGTGTCAATCATGTCCTCAGGGGTGTCTTTTAAGAAACTGAATGTCCGGAACAAAGGAGCGCGGAAGAGAAAACAATCGTCATCAAGTTCAAGTGAGTTCATCTCAAGTTTCTTGGAAAATTGTAAACAACTTAATTTTCCTGAGATTTCAGGCTCCAGCAGCGACCAGGAGAGCGCCGTGGTGAGAGGATCATCTCGTTCGGGCAAGATAAACCCCAATGTGCACAAATCCTCGGGAGTGAAGTCGCTGAAAGTGAAGGAAAAGAGAGCCTCGAGCTCTGAAGATGAAGATGCTGCGATTGTGAGCTACAGATCCAATCGGAGCGCCATGCCTTTGGGGCCCACGGACCAGGGCGCCACGGCCACGGTGGAGATTGACACGGAGAAGGACAGAGACGCACAGGCGATCTTCGAGAAGAGCCAGGCAGTGAATGATGAGCTTCGCGGGAAGGCGGATGACAAGATTTACCGCGGAATCAACAATTACACGCAGTTCTACAAGAAGAAGGACACCGCGATGGGGAATGCCAGCTCGGGAATGGTGCGGAAAGGCCCCATCAGAGCCCCGAGTCACTTGAGAGCCACTGTGCGGTGGGATTACCAGCCGGACATCTGCAAGGACTACAAGGAGACGGGCTTCTGCGGCTTCGGCGACAGCTGCAAGTTCCTGCACGACCGCAGCGACTACAAACACGGCTGGCAGCTGGAGATGGAGGGCACGAGTCGCAAGAATGAGTCAGGAGACGAAGATGACGGAAAGTACGAGATACATTCGGACGAGGAAGAGCTGCCCTTCAAGTGCATCATCTGCCGGGAGAGCTTCACGGATCCCATCATCACGAAGTGCAAGCACTACTTCTGCGAGAAGTGCGCTCTGGCGCAGTACAAGAAGTCCTCAAGATGCTTCGTTTGCGGCAACCAGACGAATGGCGTCTTCAATCCCGCCACGCAGTTGATCAACAAGCTGAAGCTGGACGAGGCTCAAAAATGCGCCACTGACGATGATTCAGATTAATGAAGAATTCTCAAAATAAATCCACTGCTTTTCCCTCTGCTGACATCTGCTGACATTCAAAGTGCGCGCGCGCGTCAGTTTCGCCGCCACTCGCCGTCAGCTTGACAAGGCGCAGTGTCGCGAGTGTAGCAGCAAAAGTGCATGAGAAAAGAGGCAAAACCGCCTCTTCCCACCACGATTCCAAGGTAAGTGCAGTGCCAGCAGCTCCAAGCAACTCCCCAGAGTCTCTTTCAGCCACTCTCGTGGCGCTTTGCCGTGCACAGACGCCCAATCAGGCTTGTTTCTGTCCGGCCGATTGTCACGTAATGGCATCATGAGTGAGACGTAATTTCCGCAATTATCGCGAATACCTGACCATTTCCCCCGCGCAGCCCGGCCTCAGGGCCCCTCAATGCTACTCTCTCTCTCTCCAGGAGACGCTCCTCTGACTTGGGGGCGCAATTGACTCCTTGCCGACGGCCTTGAGCAGCGCCGACGTCATTTGTTTTGCTATCTCGTGTGCAAATTCGCGCTGGAATTTCGCTCGCCAGCTGATAAAACTCACGATGGCGTTATCACTCGCGCTCCTCAACTCCCATCCAATTGGTTCCTTACCAGCGCTCAACACCTCGCCATATTTGGAGGGAAACTGAGGTCTGCGCTCAGGGATTTTCCAAGCCGACTCGCTCAAGTCTGAAGCATTTTTTTTTAGTTGTCGTGAAGCTTATCAGCACTCACTTTGTCCGCGCTTTCGAGATTCAATTTCCTTTCTTTTTCCCCGATAAAGCAGAAATGCCATCGAACCGGAAATACCTTCTTTGCAGGATATTAAATTTTAGTCACTCAGTTTTTCAGGGTTGAAAATATTACTCTTAGCGCAATGCGGGGCAATTATGTGAACTGGGATTAAATCAATAATAAATTATCCTTTGGCAAATTACGCAATTTCGAATTTTTTCCATACTCGCAGAGCGTTTAAATTGATTTACATATAAAAAAAACTATAATTATTTAACTAGATTTATCCAAGAATAAAAAAAAACAAGAAAAACATCTTATTTCCATTATCTACTAGTGAATGAACAATGTTCTTCTTATTGAAGTTCTTATTATTATACAGAATAATGATGAATCCGACAAATCAATCTTAAACTTATTAGATGTCATTTAAATACTTCTAATCAGAAATTCAGCTTCTTTTTCGTTCCAATTTGTATTTTTTCAATATTGAATTGATTAATTTTTTGAATTTTGTGTCTAATTAACAAATCTATTAAGTGTTCAAATCTAAAATATTCTCAAAGTTCTAATCGAAAGTTTAGCAATTGGGATGGCAAAATAAATCAATCAATCAATTCTAATCGAATCTCGAGAGAAATTCTCCATTATTATCAACACTAGACTGTTGATGATCAACAAGTTGCTTTTCTCGGCCTTTTCTTTGCACCATTTCAGCGTGGCAGATTCAGTTGGACTCTGTTTTTCCCTCTCATCATCAACACCACGAGTGCGAAATGATTGCTATTTTCGCGTACGTTAATTGTGACATTTTCTATCTCGTGCAAATTCCACGTAAGCAATTTCCCGCTCAGCGGGACAAAAACCATTTCCACACTCGCTCTGGACAAATTGCCTCGAAAAAGCTTTGTCGAGTGGACAGAAATTACATGCTGAAATGTACTCAACGTCACTCTGAGATTAGAGGACAAAGTTGTTGAATTGAGAAGAGAGAGAAAAAGCTCAAAGAAATCAAATTAATTAGATATTTTTTTGGGTCATTCTCAATTGTATTTTTTCTCTCTCTCTTGCTCGCGCCTTGTTTCTCTCGCTGTCAAGAAGAATATGAACATAATCTGTAGAACATGAAGTAATAATAATGAAAATGAAGAGAGAAAGAAAGAGAAAAACGGACAAAATGTTGGTTTTGCCCTCAGAATGTTGATTATTTGTAAATTACACAGATATTTGATGGCACAAACATGTTTCTCTCAGTCACTATCATCCCCAGAAAAGCAATTTCATGCTCCATTTCGTCGGCTGCATCGCCCACAGTCGCAACGACGCTCCGCTGAAGCTTCTTGTGTGGTTACTTTGGCGTCCAATGCAGGTGACGATTTGTCCCTCACGCATTTGTCTCGCGTGCAATTAGACAGAGGCACAATTTCTTCACTAATACTGGTGATAAATAATAGGGAAAAATGCTCAAATACATAAAATCAAGGGGGGGATAATTTGTCTCAGATCTGTACACCACTTCCTGACACTTCCACAAATTGTAGGAAGAATCCTTAATACTTCCACACACTTCTGAACGTCTTTAAAGGTATTTTTCATCGCTTCTCACAGTTTTGCCTTTAGTAAATGCTTTGAAAAATTCTGACCAAATTGTGAGGTTATGATGAATTGGACTTAAAAAATCTTTTTTGGACTAATTTCGATATTTATATACCTGGAAATGTGTAAAAAGAATGAATCTCTGAATGCTTCTACTAGATAATGAGGTTGAATTTATCACTTTAAAGCAAAAACTGCAAAAATAACTAAACAAAGAACAATTCTTCTAGACTGAAGTTGGATTTTTTGAGGTTATGATTGATTTTTAAGCTTTTTTTCGATCAAAAATGCTCAATTCTGTGGAGAAAAAATGAAATAATCCCAGCTTAACCGCAAATTTGACGATTTTGAGGATTATTAAATCGACAGAATCTGTTTTAAGTCAATCACATAACCTAGAAAAGCAATAAAATTCATTTAATCAAAGTAAAATTATATAGAAAATGCCTCAATTTGATGAAACTGAAGCTTTTTCTATGCAAATTTTGTAAATATTTCACCACTTCCAATTCCCAAACACTTTCACAAAAAGCTGTACACCACTTCCGATCATAATATCTTCCCCTTGCATAAAATTGTAACTTGTTTAGCATAATAGGTTTGATTTATTCATACCAACATGTCACACTGGTTTTTATGCTATTTCTTGTTTTTTTCCAATATATTAATGAATATGCAACGGGTTTCTCTCTGCTGTAAATTGACTATTTTTCCCTCTGCACGCTGCAAAAGTGTAATAATTTTCATTCGTGTGCGACAAAGAGAGAGAGAGAGAGACAGACTCAAACGCGATGGACTTGAAGAATGTTACATTTACAGGGTGACCGAGCTGAAGAAGGTCACGCGCGAGAACTTTCGAAAAAGTTGAAAGACCCTATTAAGAGATTAAGCACTATTTACATGCGTCTGTTTATGCGTGAAGCCACGCACATTCCAAAGTCAAAACGGTTCTCAAGGGACTTCCAAAGAACATCAGCAGCAAGATGAATAAATTACGAATGAACCAAGTGTGTAAAAAAGGTGGAAAATTTATCTTAAATCATTCATTGTTCAATAACTAAACTGGGAAGTTTTATAATCACACACAAAAAAGCTCATTCTTCTCGACACAAGTTTTGAAAAATCCACCATTTGATTTCATAAGCATTAGTGAAGAAGTCAAATGAGGCAGAGAAACTTGATTCTCTCAATGTACAAAATTATGTTCTGACTTCTGACATGAGAGAGAGAGAGAAAAAATCATATTCTTCACACATTGACGTAATTTTTGAGAGCAATAATTGACCATTACTGAACTTTTCATTGGCTTTTTATCAATTTCTTTTGACGACACTTTTGAAAAACCTGATAAAAACAGTCGACAAATCAGTCATTAAACTTTTTCTCTCGCTCTGAATCCGAACACAATTGCCCAACATTTCATTACGCAATCGGGCCAAAATATATTCACGAAGAAGGACAAGAATTGAGAAGGTTGCAGGCAAAAAAAAATTATCATCAATGTTCATTGAATCCATCCAGCATTATCAAAGTCAGGCCAGAATGGCGTGATTTGCTGCAGTTTTATCACTCAAAAAGAAAAACCGCTAAAGTGAGAGATTTTCTCATGTCTCTCTTCAACTTCGTCCCAGCTTAAAAAATATCAAAGCTACAAAACAAAACGATTCGATCACGAGAGAGAGAGAGAGAGAGGAAAAGGAGAAAAACACGATGATGAATGATGAATTTGGGAGAAAAAGATCTTGATTTATTGCGAATCACAGAGTTAAGATGATGTGAAAGACACTTTAACAGAGTGAATCCAAAAATTATGATCCTTTCTGGTGAAAAAGCACACAAATATTGCATCATTGATAGTGAACTTGATAAAGAAAAGCACTTCTGTTGTCAATGTTCATTGATAAGGTTAATGCAAAGCGATTATAATTGATTTTTTGTGGATTTCTTTGTTTTCTTGGATTTAAGAAACATGTTTATGAGATTGTATCGCTCTTCAGGAAACTTTCAAACAAGCTTTTAGACATTCAGAGCCAAGAATGTGTTTGGATGTTTTGTTTCGTCTTCTCAAAGAGATGCTAGAGAAGATCCTTTAGAAGTCACACTGGAGAATCGATTCGCTCCATTATTTTTGCCACTTCACTGCATATCGAATGAAATATAATGATATTTATCTGCCTGCTGAAGACACTTCCATATCATTTCTATGATGCTCGCTTGCTGTCTATTTCCTCCCAATAATGATGAGGCCAGAAAGAAGCAGAGACATTCCAGCGCGAGGTCAATTCGACGACAGTGACGAGGAATTCTTTCTTGCAGACCACGCGCGCGCGCGAGAGAGAGAGATGGCCACGGAAGATGGGATGAAGTGTGATGAGAGAGTGAGTGTGAGTCCGGAGATGAAGAGGCGGAAGCCCAACTGGAGAGTGTCCAGTGTCCTCGATCGGCGCCTCAGTGAAGAGCCTCACTTTGTGCCGGCAATTGTTGCCACAGTGAAGGACAAGAAGAGCTTGGCTGGCGTGATGCAGGAACTGGCGAAGATGCTTCCGCTGCCGGAATTTGCGCACCTGAAGAGAATCCGCGGTTGCGATGTGATTCTGGGGAGTGCAGAGGCGCTCGGAGAGCGCTATCTGGAGCAGATGGGATTAAGTGGGAGTGTAGTTGAGAGACTCGGGCAGATAAGGCGGGAAAGTGTGCCAAGAGACACACCAACACTGCGGTGGCAGTTTGAGATGGCATCCAAGTGGTGGCCATGTAAATTTCATCCTGACAAACAACTCGAGTTGCTGCACAGCAATCAAATCTTCTCTAATCACCAAGTAAACTTCCACATCAGCGTCATGGAGATATGCCTGCGCCTCAGCGATAAGCGCACCAATCCTGCCGTTGTGGTGGATCCCAGGGACGGTGCGATTGTCACAGTGGCGTGGTCGCGCGTAGAGAAACATCCCCTCGGCCATACGCCAATGGTGGCGATCGACAGTGTGGCGAGGAGTCAGAACGGCGGCGTCTGGCCAGCGGAAGATGCTGCAGAAAGCACAGAGATCCTGCACAGCGTCCGCCAGCAGCTGAAGAGTCTGGCCTGCGACGGCGGAGACTGCGGCAATCTCAGCAAGTTCGGCCCGTATCTCTGCACCGGTTTCGATCTGTACGTCCTGCAGGAGCCCTGCCTCATGTGTGCCATGGCCCTGATCCACAGCCGCGTGCGCAGAGTCTTCTTCCACAGACAGTCGCCATCCGGCGCCCTGATGAGCACCGCTCAGCTGCACACAATCAAGGAGCTAAATCACCACTATCAAGTGTTCAGAATTGACTGATCAGCGCGCGTCTGCCGTGCAAAAGTGGGGCGAATTCTGCATTTCACCCGCGAAACCCGATCTTCAAGTTAGTGTGGCTTTTAATCATATTTCACATTGCATTGATTGACTCGATTGGAATTCAGCACTTGCATCTGGGTGTCGATTTTCTCTGCTATGATTGAGTTAAACCACGAAAACTTGCTGTATGAAAAACCGCGAATTGCGATCCGGTAGTTTTGCGCGTCAATTTAGCACCACATTTTTATTAATCACTATTTCGTGCAGCAGTTAATTCAACATCACGAAAGACTCTGTGTCAAATGCCTTTAATTGGCACAATTAATCTTTAGGACACAAGCAAGGAACTTGAGGAATTTTCCAAGAAATTGATTTTGGACATCATGCAAAGCAAGAAATTTGATGTATTCTCATTTCTACTCTGTTTAAAGTTGATTTTTCGCTCTCTCAAATCATAAAATAAATAAAATGAATTTAATTGTATTAAACAAGGGGAAGATAATACAGTCAGAAGTGGTGTACAGGCTCAGCAGAAGTACTTAAGGAGTGTGGAAGTGTTGAAAAACCTTCAATATTTCTTTTTTGCGTGCTTCTTTTACTGACAAATCATCCCGATTCTTTGGATTTCTTGTTGATTTTAATGCAGAAACAAACGTAATAATACTTTTCTAGGTTATGTAAGGAAGCACGGACAGATTTAGGGAATAATTTGCATTTTAGTATATTAATTCTTATGCCCTAGTCGGATAGAGAACTTTATGGACAATTTTGACGGAGATTGGTAAATTTTGAAGATTTCTTTGTGATATTTTGAGGTTATGGTCGGAAAAAATACACAAAAAGCCGGTTTTAAGTGAATTCTCACACAAATATCGGATGGAAACTTAATACAACATAATCTTCCCCTTGATTTGAATTCCTGGCAGCAAATAAATATCTCAAATTATGCTAAGATTGTACATAACCTCAAAAATGATCATCTTTTTGTACAATTTTAACTCTGAATCAGCAATTCTTAGTTCATTTGGAAATTATCACAAATGATTTTGTGATCTAGAAAGCTTCCAAATTGAGTTTTTAAAGATCTTTTCATGACATTTTGAGGTTATAGTTGGAAAAATACCCAAAAAAGTGATTCAAAGTCGATTCTTATAGAATTATCGAAGGAAAACTTAAGAGATTCATTATAATTTGGGGATTAATGTTAAATTAAGAATGTTGGAGAGTTTCCACATTTATCTGACAAACCATAGAAATGTGAATGAGAAACAAGACTGTCAGGGTGTGAGATTAACCTACTCGAGATCATCTTCGTAGTTTGACAAACTGAGAGAGAGTTTCTTCTAAGCTGTGCCAACAATTAACCATAAGTTTCCATTTTAACTGATCCGGTTGTAAATGTCTCAATAACAATTTACCATTGAATTGCGTGGGTGTTTTTCAGTGGGCAATTTTGCGAAGACAATTTTCGCGTTGATTCGCGTGTCAATTTCGCCATATATATTTACAAAGTGTGTCTCGTCTAATCCCGAAGGCCGAAATGTAGCATCTTTCAATGGCATGCGCAATGGCATGATCGAGAAAACATTATTTTCCACTGATTAAGTTTGAAGTCCAATATATTATATGGAAAATAATGTATGAGCGTTGACAATGAAACTGTACAGCATTCAATTGGTTGGCCACTTGTGTAAATTGATGGTGATAAATTTTCAAATAAAACTTTTCACGCATTTTTACCATATCGACGAAGTGCTTGTTATGCGCGCGGCGATGCTGTGTATTGATGGGAGAAGATGAAAATGTCTTTTTAATTGATACTAACGATGGGGAGGAGTGTCTTGGGGAATCGGGCTCTGCGTCACGGCGCTTCGAGAAGGCATTTTCAAGCATTGTCGGGCGAATTGGGTGGAATACAGTTGGTTTCTTGAGAGGGTCTCCTCTGTATTATTATTTTTCTTTGGCAAACATCGCGCGCACAACGTTGAGGAAGTGAGACGACGCGAGATGATGAGAAATATTCCAATATATAAAATTTAATTGCATCTCATTTCTCCCTATCATTCCAGTTTGGTGTGTCGCGGGGGCAACAGTCTTCGGTCCAGGGGTGGCAATTTGTGCGGTGTTCCCAAGACAGAGAGAGAGATGGTGATTGCGGAGATGCACGAGGATGAGTATTTGAAGAGCGCTGGATTGGGTTGTGTGGCGGCAAGTGTTGGTTGATTGCTGCCACAATAGCATTTCAATAAACAAATCAATTAAATGAAGAAACCAACCAGCCTGATGGAATGTGACGCGGCTCTGAAGCTCTGGGCTCTTGTTGCGCGATGAATATTTCTACTGTGTGGATAACTTGTGACGACTGAAAGTGATTTCTCGCCAGTTGTTATTGGACATCCGCCCGAAGAAGTTCACTTCAGCTTGCGCTCAAGCGCTCTCAACTCGCTCAACGGACTTTGTAATCTCTGAGAGAGAGAGAGAAAAGTGCCTCGAAGGCAAAAGTGGGAAAAAGGAAAGCTCTTGGCAAATTTGCCTGTGCAAAAGTGACGAGACATTGTGTGTGTGTGTAATTGTGGATTTGCAGTGCAAGAAGAGGAACAATAAGGAGTGAAAAGTGTGTGTGCTGAGAAAACTCACGGGGAGTTTTTCCAGCGTGTTGACGACGCACGATAAAAGCCTTTGAATGATTTTCATTCTCATTTACGCAGATTCAATTGAATCAGTCCCTGGAAACAGGTCTTAGTCCCGCAAAGCAGGACAACGAAGAGACAATATAGAGACAATAAATATCTGATTTGGGAAAAGTGTTGGCGAAGGAAAAAGCGAGGATTTGACAGTAAATGGATAAAGTGTTAACAAGTGGAGCTGAGTTTATTGCTTTTATGTTTAACAAAATGCTGTTGAAAATCGAAAACGTCCTACTGCAGAGTCACAGACAACGAGAGACCACAGGAATTAAGAAATTGTACAATTCCTTCTTCGTTCTATTCTAACTATTCTCGCACGTCGTTGGCGTTCTTTTTGGACTCTTTTCGGTGTGCACCGATTCTGAAACGTGAAAGTGAAAAAAGAAAGAAAATCCATTAAAAGCAGAGTGTTTTTTTTTTCTGGCAAACAGCATAAATAAAACTGTATGTTTCTTCTGTAATAGTTTAGCAACGAGAACACCACCTATCGAACTTTATCCTTTAGAAAAAATAAGTGCACTTGAAGTACTCTATATTATAAGCTTTTGTGGATGAATGTGTGAAGTGGAAGAAGAAGATAACCATTATCGCTAAGAATTGCCCACTCTTATCGATACCACACGAGCTTTATACAATCTTATCCCTATACTAAAATAGACGATAAAGTGTGTGATAGAAAGGCTTAAAAGGATAGTGTGTAGTGATAATATCATTTCAAGAACACGGTGAAGTTGAAAGTCTCGGGGGCTGGCGCAGAAATTCAACCCTCTTTCGTGCTCTCGAAACCCGAATGGCTGTTTCGGTGGCATCCACATACTTTGACTTCTTCAATATCTTGGACCCCATTCGAATCCTCCAGGGATTTGATTGTCCGCCCGTGGACCAAATGGAAAACAACACCGTCGACGTGAGTTTCCAAACACACCATTTTCACTGAATCACATGCGAAAAAGTCCTTTTTTTTGATGTTTCCAGAAGTACAAAGTGAGCAATAGCCAGACTGTCAATACTTCACACCACGATTTGGAGCAATTGATTGACTTTGTGGATTCACCACCGGACTCCAAAGAGGCCTGGCCACAAGACTACCTGAGATGTGAGTATAATAGGAATTCACAAGGGGGGATAATTTGCCTGAAATCTGTACATCACTTCCAAACACTTCCAACACTGCCTTCACTTATTTTTAAACACTTTCTCGTAGATTATGAGGAGGAAAATCTGTTTTTAAGTGTTAAGAATCTTGCAAGAAGCTTCTTTTGCATGGGAATCGATGAGATATCGTAGAAATTATGTTCGGAAAGGTCGTTTCAATCAAATTTTGGAAATTTTACCCTTTCAAATACAATTTTCTTTGCAATATTTTGTCAAATGAGAACAACTAGAGAATATAACCCTTTTTAATGCATTTCCACCCGAAGTAAAGGACATAAGTTACTCGTTTTTGACCCTGAAAGAAGTGCTCTTGATTTATATGATACAAATTGCGTGATTTTCATTGGTTTTCCTGGACAAATGGCAGTCTATCACAGATATTTTTGTAATCAACCTCAAACTTCATTAGCAAACATATTCCTCGAGATCCTTTATGTTATTGTGGAACATATTCAGCCAACGATGCAGGATTTTTCTGCCGTTTTTTTCCTTGCTGAGGCTGTTGTTAAAGACGGCGGCAGTCGCCACTCGAAGACTTCTCAGTAGCGAATTGAAAAAAGTGGCGAATGTAATAAAAATTCTTATTCTTTCTATTGGTTATCATATTAAATGCGAGAAAAGACCTTAAAGAGTTGAAATTGATATCAAAATTTTACTTGATTCATTAAGTCCACTCATCAATATGTAGCAATTGCCATTAGGCCTATTAGAAATAAGGATCAGGCCTTATTCCAGAGAAAAATTGAAGAAAATAGATTGTTTGAGTGTTTTTCATAACACATTTTGTGCAGAGAAATTAAAAATTCTTGTGTTTAAAGGCATTTAGAGGTAATAAATAAATATTTTCTGGTGTTTATTGTCACGTAAGAGACTGAAAATCATGAAAAACTGGAATGAATTATACCAAACACTCCCGAAAAAACTGTACACCACTTCCAACCATATTATCCCCGCCTTGGGAATTCACATGTCCTCATCATTTGAATGTTCTTGACACCAAAAAAAAACACAACTCCACAATCGCCGATGACCTCTTAATCGGTGCAAATCGATAATGATTTCGTCCCAGTATCTTTCCACTCACCGAGATTTCTCATCGCATTTTTTTTGCCAAGCGCGCGCAGTTTTTTTTTCTTCTTCTTCTTAATATACCTTTGCCAAAGAGTTTCACAGGTGGAACAAAAAAAAATTAATTACAACAAGATAACCTGTTTTATTTTGCATATCTTTCACTATGGTCACCAATTTTATGCATAATAACCTCATAAAGAGAGCATAATTTGGCCTGGGATAGAAAATGTCAAGATTAGCCCACAAAAAATGGGCGAAAAAGCCGAAAAAAAACGGTGAAAAAAATCAAGGGGTGACGTTGACTCATATCAGGAAATGTTTGGCGAATTGGACGTAAACAATTTTTTGAATTCGCTTTTTGAACACTTCTTTCTTCTATGTCACAGAGAATTAAATACATTTATCACATTTTGTCGAGACTGTAAAGTTTTTTTTGCACATCATTAGGAACATGACAGATTAGAAGTGTGACAATGTGTTGAAATCGCCGCTAAGGTCAAGTCACTTTGTCTGATAACAGCATTGCAAAATCACACACATTTGCCAAATACTTTGCTACATTCTTGTCAAATGGACTTATCGACTGTCTGGAGGGCATGGAAGTGAAAGCTGACAGTGGAGAAATTTCAGAGCCTTGAAGTGTTTTTCAGATATTCACGTTTATTGTGGATTTTGAGGTTCACATTGAATTGAATTTGGATCACTAACAAGATTTGTGAGCTTGAAATGCTGTAAATAAACACTTTATCATTGATATCTGAATGTTGATAATTGAATGGGCGGGGCTTCCGCGTGGGCGGAGCTTCAATTTATTGACAATTGAACAGCTAAAGAGTTCCAAAATTCATCAATAACACCAAAAATAGAGAATTAAAGGCGATGACTGAGAAATTTAGGCCATTTCTATGTCCAGAAGTAAGAAAAATTCAAGACATTTACATTTATAAGAAATATCTGTGCTGAATAACCATTAAAACGGCATGTTTTAACGTTGTTTCCGAGCTTGTTTGACTCTCTGTCAACACCAGAAACCGTCGTGATCATCTTAATGCATTTTCTTATCCCCAAAAATCATGCTATAACAGTCTTTTGACCATAATCAATCCTCACACTTAACTACATTTTTTTTGCGTGGATGTTTTATTCACCTCAATTATGATACACATAAAATGTGGGCAATAAAAATTTTATGTCTCTACTCATGCGTTATCATTTGAATTGAAAAAAAAAACTTTTTCAACACATCAAATTTTCAATGCTTCTTCTTCACATGTGTGAGAATTTTGCGTGCGTTGTGAACACTTTTTTTTGGGGCGCTTCGCAAGCGACAATTTACTGTGATGTGGAAATTTCCGAATTATTTACGTGAAATTGTTGTGAGACGCGAAGAGGGAAAAAGGCGTGTAAAAATGAATTTTTTTTTGACGGTTTGTGTTGTGGAGCATAATTGAGGAAGTTGATGATTTGTGGTGACCACAAGAGCTACATTAATGCTATTGAAATGCAATTGACTGTGAGCTTGATGTTTCAGCGACTGGGCAGAACAATTCGATGGTGGATATTCAGGAGACTGCAAGTGGTGGAAATCGCAAACGCCGAATGGATTGGGAAGATACATTGGATGTGACTGAGAATTCAGTTTCAACCCCCAAAATACCCTTCAATGGACCAAATGGTGTTCAGCAGAAGGAGTGCGAACGTGCCAAGAAGTCCGGTGAGTTTTATTTTCCATACTCAATTGAATTTTCCACTGAGTGCACACTGTCTCTTGGGAGAGACAAGATGTTTCGTTCGTTCATTGAGAGCGAGAGAGAGATAAAAAAAAATTGGTGATAATGAAATATTTTCTGTTCATAAAATTCAGTGAGGAAAGAATGAAGAAGATAATACACGCTTTAATTCTCAGACCTTTAAGTAATTAAGACAATTTACCGAATACATAAAGGCATTTTCATTACCATCAACACCATATTCGTGAGTGTCTAATCAGCAAGTGTGACTTGCTAGCAACTGAAACATTAAAAAATAATTATTATTGAATTTCTGCGAAGCGAAAAAATGGGCATATTGACAAAGAGAGCACAAAATGTCTCATGAAATTCGTCTCGTTCGCGCGATGAGTGGTTTTGGAGAGGAGAGAGAAGGTCTCTTAAGCATGTCTGTCCAGTTTATTTACCGCACATTTTAACGATCATCAATTTGAGGTTGTGCATAAAATTGCGCGCCTCTTTGCTTAATGCGCGCGAATGCAAGACGATGGCTGGCTTAGGGCACACGATCGATGGTGGGCGACGATCGCGCGCACAGCGGCGAATTTTTCCACTGAAAGCCTCACCCAGAATTGAGATGCGGAGTGAGAGAAGAGAGAGATCGAGTGATTGGGGGGATGTGGAAAATCCAGATGATGTGGCCTACGTCACCAAAGTGACCATTCTTGTTTTCAAGTCGACACTCTATCATGTCGCTTCGTGGGTTAGTTTGCAATTAATGCGGCATTTGCAATTCACATCGCTTTATTACGCCTTCTACCTTTTATCATGGTTAAGTAACATGAGATGCGCAGTCTCTTTCTTTTTGGGGAATTTCCAGAAATATCGTCTTAATCATCTTCTTCTTGCAATCTTTAGTTTGAATATCGACGGGTGCCTCGAAAACTATGAAAAGTCGATTTATCATAGTTTACGTGTTATGAATTTTTGAAAAGCTTTTTATTTGTTCTTTCTGTACAAAAATTTTGAGTTTTGTGTCTTATAAGAAAATAGCAAAAAATCCTTTTCATCTAAAAAAGCACAAATGGAAAAAAAATTGTCAAGTTTTATTCGAATGAAAAGTCGAATTTTCATTGTTTACGAAGAAAAATGTCTCAAAACTTGCAGTCAAACGCATAAAACGTCTTTTAAGAAAATAATTTTTGTATCTCAGAATTATTCTAAAATGTTTTTCAAGACTTTAAATGAATATTTTTCATATCTTTTAAATTTTTTTCACTTGAAAACATTAAGGAAAAATTCAAGTCAAGTATGAAAAATTGATTTTTCAGAACTATTTTCGATAAAATCAACTCGAGGACTAATAAAAATTGACTTTGAAAAATAAAAATTTTCAGATTTTCCATTAATTTCACCATATTTTAGTCCAAAAATTCCAATAAATACTGATAAAATCAACTAAAATATTCACAAAATAAAAAATACTTTGAAATATTTACACTTTAACGGACGATTTGAAGGCTTTTTTTAAGATAAATTTGGCAAATTTTGCAGCGATATTGAAGTGAAATCTTGAAATCGTTCTGCTGAGAAAATGCATTTTTGACTTTTCATAGTTTTCGATTCACCCGTCGATATAAAAGTCGGAAAATCCCGCTCAAGAACGGTTTTGCTGTAATAATTAAGCTACAAATTTTGTAAGGTTGCTTAAGAAAAATCTCACGTTTTAATGTTGGTTGAGACAGTCAAGACGAAAGAAAGCAGAATCGATATCATACGTTCATATTTGCAATATTGAACTAAATCTGTAAATCCTACATTATATTGAATCTGTCTTTTACTACGATTTGTCAAGATTAGATTAAGACAAGCTCAAAATCGTCTGAAAGCTAGTAAACTATGATCTTCTGTTGGTCAGTCTTTCGTTCTTCAATATTTAATAATTCTACAAGGTTAGTCTTATTCTCCGGAAAGCCTTGAATTTTTTTTCAAAGCTCGACAAACGGGTGGTTTTGCAGTTTGCACATGTTTCCATGGCTGAAAGAAGACATCTTGAGACACTTACTTAATCACAGAGCTCAAAGATTATGTGAAATCCCAGCTGAAAATGTAAACCGGATGCCAAACCTAATGGCCCTTTCACTTTATTAATCTACTCTCACGAGTTCCGCAAACTCGTGGTAATTTCCAGACGACTTTTTCAAATATTTTCATTCATTTGCCATTTGAAGTCTGAGACAGAAAGAGAGAGAATTCCTTGAAGATAAGAACTTGTTCTTCGGAAACCAGTTCTGTCTTTCCTTGTTCAGGGATCAAGAATTTGTGAACTTTAAACTCGTCTGCAATGTGCAGCTTTCTGGCAATGCCGCATTGTTTTTCGTATCACCAAATTCTCAATTCACTCAGATTGAGTGTGTTTTTGTTTATGTATTTCCTCCTCTCGCTCGCCATCTCTTGGTTTTTTTTTCTCCATCAACTGCGAGAGAAAAACCTCCATGGCGATCTTACAAACTCTTCTGACGTAATCGCGGCTTTGTTTGTTTGTGTAGATCTTACTCGCAAATGACAGGTGATCTTCACGGCGAGCGAAGGAGGGTAAAAAATCAGCATGAATTCATATGTTGATTATCTGAAGATAAAAACTTGGGCTCAGTTAATATCTTTTGTTGCTTCGCATAATAAATTATTTGCCTCACTTTTTTTGCTGTGTGAATGCGTGATTTGGTTTTTGGGGATTTCTTTTTTCTTGTCCCAAAAGTCTTCGAGAGTTCTTGAGAACCTTTTCTTGTGCTTGGACGAGGGAAAATGTTTGATGTTTCTTTTGGCTCTTGACTCTTGGTAAAACAGGCTTTGGTGAGGAATTCACGTGATCGCAATCAATAGAAAATGTCTTTCGCAGCTTTTTCTCTCTCTTTCTTGATTAATTTATATTGGTCGGCCTAGTTTGTCATGACGGTTTTTGCGCGTCCACCATATTTATTTGCACAGCGATATGATGTGTAAAGATCAGAGTTAAATAACAATGAAGGCGTAACAATGAAGTCGCGCGGAGGAGAGAAGAGGCTGGTGGAAAAGCTCTGGGAATTAAGATCGCTTTTTATCTTGGGGCTCTTTTGAACAACTTCTCAGCACACATCCATAAATTTCCGTCAAGGAAGTTGAGTTGGATTTTTTTCTTCAGCTTCTTGTTGTGCGGAACTTTGGAAAATTTAGCTGAATTTTCTGTTGTCTGGTGAATAAATTCTTGACACCTTCTTTGATGGTGTTTGAGCGACTGTTCGATAAATAATACCGATGACGGTGTGGGATTCTAATGAAGATCGTCTACAAACAGTTGAAGGAATGTGTGAGCGCTTCTCAAGTGCTCGTCGCGATGGAGTGCTTTGTTGTATGGATGAGAAAGAAAGAAAAAAAAATGTACATTATTTGAACATATTATATGTTCTCTTATCTCTCACTCTCCTTATGTATTTGACAAAGGTCAACATTGTAAGGTCAGGAGACTGAGAGCGGATGATAAAGTGTAGCAAAGCGACTGGTGATGAGTGAAGATGATGATTTCTCTCTCGTATACAAAATACATTTCGTGTATTTGTAGTTTCGTGTAGATCAAAACAGTGGCAAGATCAAATTGTTTCTTGTGTCAGATTTTCACTCATCTTTCGGGTGCCAACAAAAATATTATATTCCGGAAGGAGGAGGAGAAAAAAAAAAAGCGGCGCGATCGCCTTCATTAGCCCCCAAAAATTGCGGTTTTTCTGCCGGAAAGGCAGAAGAAATAAAGCATCATCTCGAAAAGTGTCTTTTTTCTTCGTCTTATTATGGAACAGACAAAATGCTGTGAATTTATCCGTGTAGAGAATTATTTTTATTGATATTTCACCGTGTGTCTCATGAACTTCTGGATGATGTGGTTTTTTTTTTATCTTTCACTCTTCCGATGTGAATTCCTAATGAGTCTCGATCTACCTTTCAATGTCAAGCATGGCACGTAGTTTGTTGCATAAATAGGAGCAGCATTCGCGCGTCATCCCTTGCAAATACAAAAGCAATCTGTTTAAATATCGCTAGGCTTTCTGTGGGTTGTTGAGAAAGTTTGATGCCTTTTTTTGTATTTCTTAATGTAATACAAGTCATTGAGTAACACTTTATAAATCATAGAATTGAGGAAATTTGACAGATGAAGAGGCGGGGCTTTCTTGTGGGCGGAGTTGGGATAAAATAGTTTCTTCTCATAGTTTGTTGTTAGTAAATTGCTGCGAATTTTCAAAACGACCGCCTATCTGCAATGATCTCGTGTTAAATGACAGATGTATCAGTTAATAGAATGAGCTCCTATTATAATTGCAAACAAAATACATTATCTGGCAATTGGAATAATATTTGCCGTGGTGTTGCGCGACGCAATTCTCACCTGGAGAGGAAAGAATTTACTCCAAATTTAGTATGATTTTTCACATCAATCTCACATAAAGTGCTTCGTTTGAACTGCTTACAAGTGGTTGGGTGAATAGTTTAGCATTTAATTCCGGAGAGTGAGAAAGAGAGAGAGAGAGAGAGAGTAAATTGATTGGGCTGGGAAACCTCATAAATAGAGAGATATTCCACGTGTGAAGAGAATAGGGAAAGATGCAAACAGTGTATAACATTGTTGCAAAATTGCGGCAAAATTGCATGAAAGAATTATCAATTTTAATAGCGTAATTGGTGTATATCGTGGAAAAGACTGCATGTCGCAGTTAAGTTAATAATTCATCGATTGTGAATGTATTGGATGTGCATTTCACGGAGACTTTGGCGTGTAGTTTGTGAAGTAGGAGGAAATAATGTAATTTCAATCACTCAGTGTGATGCCAGTGCGGAAAATTTACGCGCGAGTGTGTAATGTTTTTCGTTGTCATCTGTATAGCAATGGATTTCTTTTATCAATTGCGCTATTCTGCTCCCATTGATATGCCCAAGTGATATTTGGAGTCACGGAGACGTGCGATAAGGCGCAAGTTGTGAGCTTTTCTCCCTTTTTTCGCTGTGCGTCCAAAGCAAAAAAAACATCCAGCGCGAGGATGCAGAATTTCATGAATTTCTTCAGTCAAATGGAGAAAGATCTTCCCAAGAGACAGTGTCGCTATCAGAATGTTGCTAATGGCATTAGTTCTACCGGTAAAGCTCAATTCTTTTCTCAATTGCATTCTGTCTGTTTCTGTGTGTGTGTGTGTGTATTTTCTCAGTAACCACAATTTCGCTGTCACTGTGTGCGCGAAGCCTAGTTCAAGGACGAAGAGAGATCAATTTGAAAACGTGCCGGTGAATTGAGTAATTATTTGCTTGTGTCTCTCTCTCTCTTGCAGGTCGTCAAGGATGGTCGGATGAAATTGACTTTGATTTGAACAATGAGCTGAGCAGCAATGGATATGGCATAAAGTGAGTAAATAGCGAATTTTTCACTTATCATATTCTCGCGATTTTGATAAAAAAAAAAGCCCGCGCCAAGAGTATGTGTCCGATTACGTGATTCTCGCTAAGAGAAGATGAACAGTGGTTGTCGCAGAAATAGAGACATTGGACGAAATATATATCCTTTCTAAAGGCACAAAGTGCCAAAAACTGAAGAAAATATGTGAAAAATGACATTGATGTGTTTGATTAATAAATTCTGCTATTTAACCTTGTTTGACAATGCCAAAATATGAATTTTCATAACAAATTTTCAGTGTCTAATACAGAAAGCGTGTTGATTTTTTGGTTTTACCCAAAATCGTACCACTTTTTAGAGCTTTTAATCGTCGACACTTCAATATGTATTTATTTTCGCGATCACCACTGTTTGTGTGAACATTAATTTACACCCTTTCGGTCCAAAAATGCGTGCACATAAAGTGTTACTCATGATGAAATTAGTTCGCAACGCGGAATTTTTCCTTTGACTCTTTGCTAATTTTATTATCTTTGCGGAAAATATAATTGTGCGATGCCTTAAGAACCGAATGATGATCTGTGAAAAATCATTTTTGTATTAATTTTAATCTTATGCTATGCGTGGAAACGCAAGATCGCGCTTCTCTTCTCTGATTGAGAACTTTTGGCGTCACTTTTTCATTGAGTTATCACTCTGGTGAGAATTGAACGCACAAGCCATTCAAGTGGAACCCGGCGTTGCTCTCGTCTTGTGGTCGCGAGAGTCCTTTTAGCACTTCTTTCTGTGGATTAATGGAGAATTAATTGAATTTTTATGCCTTTATCTTCAACTCTTGGTATCATTTTGACGGGGGAAAATAGCACCTCCAAACATTGGACAATAATGAGGTGAATTTCACGAAAAATAAAGCGTATTTTTCTCGCCTTCAAAGTACACATTAAACATGATCATTGAAATGAAAATGCATAAGTGATATGCTGGTATTTCTTGACCCACTTAATTGTCATTTAATTGCTGTGTTTCCTCTATGGAGTTCATAAAAGAATGAAAGAGAGGATTTTTAGGCATTTATTGCGTGAATAATTTATATCCTGGGTCAGATTAACTGCTTGTATTCTAAGTGGTTACATTAAAAAAAAGCCACCTTTCCACTCTTGTTTTCATGGAATATTGAAATGCACAACACTGAAAAAGCAGAGTCTTTCGAAATATTGTGGTGAAATTGATAAGTGCATTTTCAGCATGAATTTTTGATGAATGTTTTGTGATTTTACGCACGTGCAAATGGGCGGAGCTTTCGAGTGGGCGTGACTTCTTTACACTCTCGCGCGCAGTTCTTCTTCAAATATGATCGATAAATGTGCAAAATAATTAGTCGTGACCCAGAAGTAAGCTGACAAATTGACCCTCGCTGTTTTCATTCATCAAATGTTGCACACTTGCTTTGGCATGTGTTCAATTATTAATCTCAATTGACTTTAGCTGTGGTCTCAGAGGCTCTGAGAGATGTTCGTGTTGTGGAAAATTCCCAGTAAAATCTTGGCGCTCTAGAAATGGTTAAAATGAACACAAAATTAAAGCAGATCAGTGGAAATGGTCGTAATTTATGCAGAGTGCGTAGAGTCCAACGTCCAATGCATGCCTTTCGTTGATATGCGACAATTTCCATTTCCAGTGAAAGTCTGCTGTACTCGAGCTTGACGGTGTTGAAGCAGGAAGTGCCGTCGCCGACTCAAGACGTTCACAAGAATCTTCCTCAGCTCAATGGCACGGCGGCCGCTGTGAGTGACGGCGTGAAGAGGCAGCACTCGGCCAATGATGGCATCGCGCCGGCTGATCAACAGCATCAAAAGGTGCAGCAGCCGCAGCAGAACGGGGTGATTGAGTCGAATCAGCATCTGGGATTGCATCATCTTCTCCAAGACAATGACTTTGAAGCCAGTAAGTTGATGGCCTTCTTATCACACTGCGAATCCACTAATCGCGTATGTTTGTTTGTCCACTCGCAGCAAATGGCAGTGGACAGTCACAAGATGGGATGTCTGGTGTGGCGCGCAAAGAGACACCAGTTTCCGATGATTGCAGGTAAATATTTGGCATGGTGTGAATGTTTGGCTCTATATTGACTCATTTGGACCCTCTGCGGTTCCTCACTGGCGCAGATTTCAGTACGTCTTGGCCGCCGCCACGTCCATCGCGACGAAGAGCAACGAGGACACGCTCACGTATCTCAATCAGGGCCAGAGCTATGAGATAAAGCTGAAGAAACTGGGCGATTTGTCGCCCTATCGCAATAAAATATTGAGGGTGAGTCGCAATCATTTCGCGCCCATCGCTTGCTGGCCAAACTAATTGGATGGTGTTTTTCCAGAGCGTCATCAAGATTTGCTTCCACGAGCGGCGTCTTCAGTACATGGAGAAAGAGCAGATGCAGCAGTGGCAAACATCGCGGCCTGGAGAGCGCATAGTTGAGGTGAGAGAAAGAGATTTGCATAAATATTCAGCAAATTTAATTTGTTTTTCAGTGGCGTAGCAAATTGGATGATTTTTTAGTCTTTCTCTTTATCAGTCAAAGCATTTTTGCACTTATTAAACTTAAATTGTCTCGCTAAAATGGATTATTTTGACATCAAACTGAAGATTTGGACAATGATGGAAATAATTGCGTTGATTTTCTTAATTCATATTCTTCATATGGCGGGAAATTTACGGCAGATTGAAGGGTTTTTCTTTTAAGTTAAACGTTTAAACTTGAAAATAATTCGACGGGTGCCTCGAAAACTATAAAAAGTCAAAATCGCCATTTTTCAGCAAAGCGAGTTCAAAATTTTGCATTAAAACAGCTGCGAAATTTGCCAAATTTACTTCAAAATACTCAAAATGCCTTCAAATCGTTCGTTAAAGTGAAAATATTGCTCTGTATTTTTTATTTTGTAAATGTTTTATTGGTATTTATTGAAATTTTTCACTAAAATGTGGCAAAATTAATAGAAAATCTGAAAATATTACTTTTCAAAGTCGATTTTAATGGTTTTTGAGTCGATTTTATACAAAAAATCAACTTTTCATACTTCAATTGAACTTTTTCTTAATGTTTTCAAGTGAAAAAAATTTAAAAGATATGAGAAATATTCATTTAAAGTTCAAAAAAAAAAACATTTTAGGATAATTCTGAAAATCTACAAATATTTTCCAAAAAAGGCGTTTTATGCATTTGACTGCAATTTTTGAGACATTTTTCTTGGGGGAAAATTCTTCAGCGTAAACAATGAAAATTCGACTTTTCATTCGCAAAACATGACAATTTTTTTTCCATTTGTGCTTTTTAGATAAATAAGATTTTTTTCTATTGTCTCATAAGATACAAATCTTAAAATTCTTGTACAGAAAGAACAAATAAAAGGCTTTTCAAAAATAACATAAAACGAAAACTATGATAAATCGACTTTTCATAGTTTTCCATTCACCCGTCGAATTGGCAAAATTCTCCATTTACTCGTTTATCTTCAAGATTCTTTGGCGACATCCTGCACTACGCCACTGATGTGGGATGTTTTGAAGCAAATGCGCAAGAATTAACATTCAAATCGATGCTAATCGCGTGATCATCTCCCGGTTCTGCATTGCAGGTCGACGTGCCACTTTCCTACGGTCTGTGCCATGTCTCACAGCCAGCGAATCCCGCCCTGTTCAACACGGTGGAGATTCTGTGGGATCCAATGAAGGAGGTCGGTGTGTACATCAAGGTGAACTGCATCTCCACCGAGTTCACGCCGAAGAAGCACGGCGGCGAGAAGGGCGTGCCGTTCAGGATTCAGGTGGAGACGTACTTGGACACGAAGCACAGCGGCGGCGGCGGCGAGGTGACGCCGGTGAAGCCGATCCACGCGGCGGCGTGTCAGATTAAGGTGTTCAAGCTGAAGGGAGCGGATCGCAAGCACAAGCAAGACCGCGAGAAGATCCAGAAGCGCCCGCCGTCGGAGCAGGAGAAGTACCAGCCGAGCTATGAGTGCACAATTCTCAATGACATCGCGAGCGACATGCTCGTGTCGCAAGTCTGCTACAGTCCGGACAAGTGAGTGTGTTTGTGCAGCGCGATTCATTGTAATATTGATTGATTGAATTGTTGCAGCGGAAAGACGGCCATCTCGCCAATTGTGCCCAATTCGCCAGTTCATGTGCCCAAGTATGACGGTGTTATGCAGCAATTCGCGAGCACCAACAACAGCAGCAATCCGATCGCCATCAACAACGTCTCGTCCACCAATTCGGCCATGTGCAAGATCATTGACCAGAGCATCATGTCGCCGGGTCAAATGGACTCTGATGAAATGGTTTGTTGTTGTGTTTGCCGCGCGACAGATTCATGAGAACAAATGTCTCACACCGCAATTAACTCTTGTAGATTCCGACAATTTCCAAAGATTCGACGCCAGCCCACTTAACACAGTGGATGAATTACCATCGATTGACACAGTATGTTAATACATTCGCACACTTCAGCGGCGGAGATTTGTTACGCATGTCCAAGGAGGATCTCATCCAAATCTGCGGCCTGGCCGACGGCATCAGAATGTACAACATTTTGCATGCCAAGTAAGTCTCTTCATTTCCCCGTCCTTGCGAAAAAGCACACAAAAACACACGCGCAAAGGTCAAATTGTATCGAAGACGTTCTCAAGAGAGAAATTGCTAATTTATTTGCGCGATCTTGTGTGTGAAAATGGTGTTATTACCCTGCGTGACCCACTTTTCAAGGGTAAATTTCTACATAAATGGCAAAATATTGAACACTTGTTCATAGATTTTAATGCGTGGCAATTTTGTTAAGTGTAGAAATTTCATTCTGTCGCCAATTTATGATTGTAAATTAGTCCTTTAGACAGTTTCAATTGATATTTTACATTCTGAGAAAATTTAATTGAGTTTTTATAGTTCACCCACGATTAATCTTTAAAGCATTTTGTTACTTTGCCATAAAGTTTTATTCACAAAACACTTGACAGAATTTACACAGCATTTGAGCGTTCAGATCGCTTGAATTTCTTAAATTGGAATGATTGAGAGAGTTTTGAGCCACAGAAATCTCTAAACAGCATTCTTAAAGTCTAATAAAAGTTCTTAAAATAATCAAAAAATGATTATTTTCTCAAGTAAAATTGAAAAATAATCAAATTTTGAATTAAATGATATTAAAAAAAAATGTTTTCCCGAGTATGATTATAAAAAAAATCAAATTCTGAATTAAATAATCAAAAAATATTATTATTTTCCCAAAAAATTGAAAAATAATCAAATTTTGAATTAAATAATCAAAAAATATTATTATTTTCCCAAGTAAAATTGAAAAATAATCAAATTCTAAATTAAATAATAAAAAGACAGATTTTTTTCAATCGATGAATCAGAATATTCACAATTATTCAATTGTATTCAAATTTTGATTAAATATTCAGAATAATCAATATTTAAGGAATAATCACAAAGTTAAGCGTCTCAACTTGCAACAATCATTTAAGGCCACTTCCGCCTTTGCAGGGCAATCACTCCTCGCCTGACGATCTTCGTGAGCTTCGACGGCACGTGCTATCACGCGATCTACATGCACAGCAGCCAGACGAAGGAGTTGCTGCAGAAGCTGGCGCGTCTGCCCGGCTTCTACGAGCAACAGAGCGGCGGCAATCTGAGCGGCGCCGAGGGCGGCGGCGGCATGTACAACTCGTGGGGTATGTGAGGATGTGCTCCTGGCGAGCATTGCGTGAAGTGTACTTACCTCAGACTTCTGTGCTCTGTGTCCACAGGCTTGCAGTCCAAGTTCGCGGGCAGCGGCTCCAATCTGTATGACGCCAGCAAGTTCACCGTGTTCATTCACGGGCCGAACGGCATTCACGTGCTCGTGACGGACGACGTGATTGGCAACATGAAGGACGAGAGTCTCTTCACGCTCGACATGCAGAATGGGAAGATCCTCATGAAGGCCGTCTACAAGACGGAGTAGCTTTCTTTTCTTATCTACAATTCTTCTTCTTTCTTTTGATGTTTTTTTTTTGTTGTTGCTTCTCTTGGCATAAATTCGCAGTCGGAAAACCACGAAACAGTAAAAACATATCAGAGTAAAGTTAGCATCGTTTTTCGCGCAAGAGTGGAATTTTTCTGGGTGTTGGACGCGTTTTTACCTTTTGCAATGTTTAATTTAGGCGCTGCAATTGCGGCACTTTTAATCTCTAGAGCGTAATTGAAAATGTTTGGTACAATATTTCAGATGAGATTTAAGAGCGAGGTTCTTATACTTTTATATACCTATATATATAATGTGTAGACACAGTATTTGAGGTGTGCTTTCTATTCTTCATTCAATTAATGGTAATTCATTCGCGAGACAGTAAAGAGAGTGTTTTTGTTGTCTAGTTGCGCGCGCTTAGGTTAAGTTGTAGATTTGATAAATTGATTTTGTTAAAAAGCATAGTTATATTTTCATATAAAAACACAAGAAACAAGAGCTAAAATGAATATGATGGTGCAAAAAGAAAAAAAATCTGCAGGCAGAAAGTACAATTTAATTGAGAAGATGAATAAATATATCTCTACTAAAAGTTTATTCTATATTAATATACTTGATTATAGTTTGATGTGCATTTGTTTTAGGGAGAAAAGAAAAGAGAGAGAAAAAAAGTGATTAATTTTACGCCAAGTTGGAAGGGCAGAAAAAGTGAGAAAAATGCAATTTATACAAATTTTTTGAGGAAGAGCGAGAGAAAAACGATATTACGATTTAAGAGATGATGATATATAAAATTAGAAACATTTTATCTTTAGAAAGTATTTTATATAATATACAGAAGAAAAAATCCCTTTTTATCGTGTATTTTTGTAATTAGCAGCATAATAAGCTAGGAAAAATTGTGAGTCGTGAAGAAATTTTTACTCAATTTTTGATGCAAAGTTTTCAACAATATTTGTCACAGTTTAAATCAAGGGGGAGATAATACAGTCAGAAGTGGTGTACAGCTCAGCAGAAGTACTTAAGAAGCGAAAGTGTTGAAAAACCAACAATATTTCTTTCTTCAGTGCTTCTTTTTCTTTGGATTCCCTTCGATTTTCACGCAGAAACAAGCGTATTATTCGTTTTTCTAGGTTATGTAACGAATTAAGGACAGATTTCGATGTAAATTCTTCTAGTCCTTTGCATAATTAAGCATTTGCAAGCAAATAACAGTGCTTTTTGATCCTTTGATGTCAAGAAACAATGCAAATTGTGCTAAGATTGAACATAACCTCAAAAATTGTCATTTTCACTTAAAAAATATTCATTTAGCAAATATTTCTGCATGATTTTGTCTCTGAATCAGCAAAAAGCAGATGATTTTGTTATCTATAAACTTTCTAAAGTGAATTTTTGAAGATTTCTTGGTTAAATTTTGAGGTTATGATTGGGAAAAGATATCCAAAAAGTCTTTTTAAATGGATTCTTGCAGAAATATCGAATGGAAACTTAAGAAATCATGTAAAAACTTCAGGTTCTAGAAGTGTTAGGCAAATTTGGAAGTGATTAATGCAATTATCTCCCCCTTGGTTTAAAACATTGAGGCAAAAGTCTTTTGATAGCAGAAAAATTATACAATACTGTGACAAGGAAAGGCATACAAAAAAAGCTCGTTATTAATTTCTGATTGTAAGTTTCACATTCACTTTTGCAACATGATTATTTTGTCGCTTAATGTTTAAAATATTCAGTGTCAAGAATGTGAAAGAAATATCGTTAATGTTGTTCTGTTCTCTTTTATTCAATTTAGAATGCGTTTTATGCTAACTAGGCGTAAGTTTTTAGTTCTTCTAGGCAAATTTGTGTTACACGTAATTATTACCTCCAATTTGCCATAGAAACATCAATAAAAAGTTTAAATATTGCGTAAGAATGCGACTTTTATCTCTGCAATGGTGAGAAACTCCCCAGTTTAATCCCAGTCCATGATTGATATGCTCAGCGAGAGTTCAAAAAGTCCAATTTTTCCACAATTCGCAGGTTTTGATAAGGATTTTTATTGCACATTAATTCTTTTTCTTCTTGCTCTTATCGCTGTCTTTGCCGTCCTTTTGCTTGCTCGGCTTGCTCTTGCGCTCGTCCTTCAGCTTCTTCTTCTCAGCCTGTTTTCTCTCCTTCTCCGTCATCATTCTGTACAACTTGCGCCCGATGAACACTGCAAAGAAGCCACAGGAAAGGCGAGAGATTAAAGTCACAAAGTCCCGGGAAAATGACGATGCACGGGAAAAACCAACCACAGAACCACAAAACCAGAATCAGGAGCAGAGCAAACACGACTAATTGAACTATTATGTTAACAGTGATTGCGAATTGCACTTGTTCCGCGATCTTCTCTTGCACAGCTTCTTTAACTTGTTTCAATTTGCCACCGAACTCCTCGAGATACGCTTTCTTCTCGTCGTCCGGCAGATCCTTGACCTGATCGATGAGTCCTTTCAGCTTGTTCACCACTTCCTCGGCCTTCTCCGCGCCCGCCTGCTTCTCGATGAAGCTCCTCACGGAGTCCAGCGAGTCTATCTCTAAGGGTATTTCCAATTGCGCCATGATCACACCTTTTCGCACCTCTCGAAGGTATTTTTCGCGATTTACTCCGGCAATTAACACCTCGCGACACGCTGCCCAACTGAGAGACTGATCGGCGAGACGCGAGCCGATGTCCGGAGAGTCTTATCGAGCCGCCCAAAGATTACGATAACAGGCAATTTCTGCGAAAGTCTGGCTGCAGTTGCGAGGGAAGAGCAGTGCTTGAAATCCCAGTATTATGCACTCATGCAATTCTTAAAATTTCACTATTTTGCATACAAAAAACACTTCATTTTCATAGGAAATTTGGGAAAATTGAAATAAATCTTAATACCCAAAATTGCCCCACAACTCACTATTTGCGAAAATGGCAAAATGAAAGCTGAACAGTCTCGGAAAGCCAATATCACTGAATAAAATGCGTAATATATTTTATTTGCCACCCCAATCGACCGGCAGGTAATTAATAGTCCGCATAAACTCACCGAAGATTAGCAGAACGATCGCCAGCGTGATGAAAAAGATAAGGTAATTGGGTTGCGGAACGTGCTTGTTGCTCTTCAGGCTCTGCCTCAGCTTCTCCTTCTCCTCCTCCGGCAGGTCCATCTTGTCGAGTGCCTTCAGCAGATCGTCCAGTTTGGGCATCTTGAAGTCCTTCTTGCCCAAAAAGTCCTTCAATTTGCCCAATCCGGGTTGCGCTCCGTCCTCGGCTTCGCCACTCATCGCGCGTTCCACGTCTTATCACTGCGTACGTGGGCACTTTTGGCTGATTGGCAGCAGAGCTTCGAATCCTCGGAAGCTTCCTGGCTTGCCTAGGAAAAAACTTCACGCGGTTTTCACTAGATTCACGCGCGGCGTTTCACTTGGGAATCTGATAAGGATTTCGCCGAATGCCAAGGGATGAGTGAAGTATGAAGATGGAACTGCTGACGATCAATATTATCAATCAAGAGGCTATTAAAAATTGTTATCAGTTAGAGAAGTCGCTGAGATTTCGCTCAGTTCTCCCGCCAAAAACCGCCTTTCGCTCACTTCGCCGCGAATCGAGCGAAGAGGAAATGCGAGGGAAAAGAGTGACAGCCGGTGGCATTTTATTGGTTATTGGGTGAGGAAGATGAGTGAAATTGAGGATGAAGACGCTCTTCTCACGCGGAAATACCTGAAGAATGTGATCATGGGAGGAAAAACGCCCCTTCGAGGGTACGAAAGTCAAAGACAGCACATTGAGGAACTCTTCCGGAAGGTTGCAACGGATGGGGAGTCAAACTCTGCCCTTCTCATCGGCCCCAGAGGATCTGGGAAGACATCGGTGAGTCAGAAGGCTGCTGAGACTGTCTCAAGGTCTAATTATGCTCTTTTTCAGCTAATAGCAACAATTTTGATGGATCTTCTCGTGGAAAATTGCTTCGTGGACAATTGCCTAATTGTCTACCTCAATGGACTGATTCACACGGATGACAAGCTTGCCCTGGCCTCGATCGCAGTTCAGCTGAAGCTGGAGAACACAGTGGACGGAAAGGTCTTTGGCTCATTCGCTGAGAACCTGGAGTTCTTGCTGTCGTCACTCCGGAAAGGCGACAAGAAGTCGAAGAGCGTAATTTTCCTGCTTGAGGAGTTTGATCTCTTCTGTGCTCACCACAACCAGACGCTCCTGTACAATCTCTTCGACGTGAGCCAGTCTCCCCACGTGCCCGTATGCATCCTGGGCGTCACTTGTCGCCTGGATGTGATGGAATTGCTGGAGAAGAGAGTCAAATCGCGATTCTCCCATCGGCAACTCTTCATCTTCCCAACTTCCAACGAACCTCAGCAGAGGATCTCGGCTTTCAGGGATTATCTGAAGCTGCCAGTGAAGAAGGATGTTCCTGTAGATATAAAGAAACATCTGGACGAGGAGAATCCCTGCGAATTCAACTTCTTAAGACTGAAAATCAATGAAGCTGCCTGCAAAGTGTCCAGGAAGTGGATTCAGACGTGGAACAAGCACATAGATGATCTCTCAGCCAGCGAAGAGGTGAGGAATCGGCGTGTTTTTCAAGATGGGTGAGGATTTGAGGTTTTCCCGCTTCCAGATTCGCCGCAATCTGCAGATGATGTATGAAATCGACATCTCTGAGCAGTCCTTCAAGTGTTTCCTCGTGGAGATCCTTTCGCGGGTTTCCTCGCGGAAGCCTCAGCTGCTGGAGAGTGACATCCTCGCCACGACGAGGAAGTATCTGGTGGATGAGCGTCTTCTCACGCTCCGCGACTTATCCGTGCTGGAATTCTGCCTGATCATCGCCATGAAGCACCACAGCGAGATCTACGATCGCGATCCCTTCAACTTCCAGATGATCCACGAGCGTTTCGGCAAGTTCGCCAGCCAATCCGGGCAGTCGTGGAGTCGCAGCGCTCTGTTCAAGGCCTTCGAGTATCTCGAACAGCAAGAGCTGATCGCGCCGATCGGCGCCAGCGCGAAGATCCAGAAGGACTTCCAGATGTACCGCCTCGTGCTGACGCTGAGTCAGATCGCCGAGGCCGCCAGGACGCTGCCGGGACTGCCCACGGACGTGGCGCAGTGGGCGCAGAGTTCCCTCGTGTGACAACACGCAGTGAGTATGGCATGTGAAAACATGTATTTAAAATTGTATGTAAAATCAATAATAATCGTACAATTTTTCATAAAAAATCTCTTATCACATAAAATGCAATATAGGTAGTAATATTTGGAATGATGAGTGTAACGCTGCCTGCCCAAAAATAGTGGCGCTCTCGTGTTGCCGGAAGAGATTTTGCTGATGGATTCCAAATTGATTTTACACACTAAAAAAAAACAGCCAAAATTCTTGAGTATTCGTCAATTTTGAAGAGAGAATTTCCAAAATCCAAAACACGAATGTCAATTTATGGCACGAAAATCGTCTGTGCGCCACTATTTTTGGCCAGTGAGTGTGAGTGTGTGTGTGTGTAAAAAGTGTGCTGCTCGCGCTGCAGAAACGATCGGGCTTTTGGCAGATTTGATGTACAAGAAGTGTTTTGCGAGAGAAGAGCAGAATTGTGGCACAAGATTACGTGGAAGTGACGCCCTTGCGAGCCACCAGAAGATTCAGCACGGGATTCTTCCGGATGTAGCTCACGGCCTTCTTGTGCGTCACCATCGTGAAGTCGTAGCCGTTGCACTGCAGGATCTTGTCGTGGATCCGGAGGCCCGCCTTGGCCGCCGGACTGCCCTCGTGCACCTCCGTCACGTAGATGCCCTGCAAGAGAGAGTCTCCGGGAGTGATTAAAGCCGCTTCAGCTTTAGTGCGCGCTTCACTCACGTTGTCTGTGTAGCCTTGCGGGCTCTTCTTGTAGTCCTGATCGATGCCGCCGCCGATCTTGAAGCCGCACTTGAGGATCTCGCGTCCCTCCTCGTCGATGTCCTGCTCCTTGTGCAGCGTGATCGGGATGCTGAGGCACTCCATCGCCGTGCCCGCCTGGTGCTGAAATGCCATCTTCGCCATGGTTGAGCGTCTCTGGTCTCGTGCCCGTGCGCTAATTCAATCACCGGACGCGCGATTAATCATCCACTGCGCCGAATTTACAAAGGCAAACAAGCCAAAACACTCGCGGAGAAAAACACGGGCGGATTGTCAGCAAAAACACGGCAGCCAACTCACACCTTTCGCATTAGGATTCGTGCTAGGCTGAAACATTGCGTGAAAAGTATGAAATTTCAGCCAGTGTGAAATCTCGTGAACAGTTTGCATGAAATATTGAAATTACAACACTTCCTAATGGTGAAAACACAGCATTTTGCTCATACCATCTCGGCTCGATCCCGTCAGATTCCCTTCAGAATTTTGGTCTGCAGATCAACTTTTGGCGCCTTCACACAATCCGATTTTCTCCACAATTATGGCTCATTATGGACGAAATCTATTAATTTTTGAGTTTTTTCCACACTAAAATTCATTTCCTTGACGATTTTCTCGATTTTCCATATGAAATTTGTCTATTTTGACCATTTTGACAGCAAGCGCATTGTCAGACACGTCAAACTCAAATTCAGCGCGGGTTGCCCAACGTAAAATCTGCAGGCACACACTCGACATAAAAATGTCGTGAGCAGGAAGGAAAATAGACGATTCGCGTGGGGAAGAAAGAGATGAATTAAAACAATTGTCCAATGACAAAAGTTGTGTTTTCACAATAAGGACTTTGATCAATAAATAAATTTTTCCTGAAACTCAAAGAATTTGTAAACTAAAATTTAGTTCACAACTGAAGAAAATTACCTTTAACAATCACTTATTAAGCTATCATGATAAATTCCATTATTCATGACCACTTAATAGTACAAGAAGGCGTTTTGTAATATGAAAACAGAGGGACGTAAATAATTAAGCGTTTTTCTGAGGCGGAACAAACATTAGTAAGTACAAAAGTTTGAAAAAGGTCTATTGATTTTCCACAGGAAATTGACTTTTAAAGTTCTGTTATAGTTAAGAACACTCTTGATTCTACTCACAGTGCGTAGAAAAACTATAAAACAGTAATTCAAAATGTTTGCCATTGCGCTTGATTTTCACAAGTTTCTCAAAATCTGCTTGACTTCATGGATTCTTCAGCCACTTCGAGATGAGCCAAAATATTATTTGATCTTCATTCTCCTCATGTTTTATTCCGTGTTCTTCTGCACTTCAACGTCTCTGAATATCATTGAGATATTTTCTCAAAACAGAGATTTGGATATCTTAGGAATGATTTTTAGCGGAATCGCTCTTCTCGGATTCTTGCAAATCATGTTGAAGAATATTGGAGGAGTTCCCTTTCGTGAAGAGTGCCAAACTCTTGTGGATTGGATTAGGAAATTGCACGAAGACAAGGAAGAGTGTGAAATTATTCAACAAATTGTCGATGAAGAAGTTACACAATCAAGGAAAATTTCAATTCTTTTCTCCAAGTGAGTTAATTTATTTGATAGATTGACGAAAATCTTACATGCTTTATGCGATTCCAGATTTTACATATCATTATTTGTAATTGGTGGAAGTGGATTTCTAGTAACATTCCTGACGAAGGGAATAATCGTCATGCAAATTCCTAATTTCCTTCCCGATTACCTTCTCTTTATTACTATGGCGATTGAGACGATTTCAGTCATTTTGGGCATTTTTTGGACATCAATCGCAGACTCGGGAATTATAATCATCGGAATCTATATCATAAAGTCTATCAACATCATCAACAGAATGATCAAATGTCTTGACGATAAGGAATCAATGGAAAAATGTCCGGATCTTTTGATACGCATTCAGAAGAAACACATTGCAATGATTGAAACTCTGCGAACATTCAACACTCTCGTGAAATTTACGTCTTTCACTCAATTGATGACAAGCACAGTAATATTTCTTGTGCTCATTTTCTCAATTCAATTCTACAAAGATATCTTCATAATGCACGTTCTTCTGTTTGCGCTCGGCATTCAACTGGCGCTTTTGTGCCTTTTTGGCGAATTGATTCGACACCAAACGGAGCAGATTTTCCAGAATCTCTACCTTACAAATTGGTACGAAATGAGCTTAAGTGATCGTAAAATTGTCCTCATGATGATGACGAATTCCTGCAAAGCGATCGGATTGAAAGCCGCTGGAATGTACGACGTTTCGCTCGTGTCTGTTGTTCAAGTGAGTCAAATATCGCAAAGTAAATAGCGCAATTATGATCACTTTTCAATTGCAGATCCTCAAATTGTCCGTTTCCTATTCAGCAATAATCCTCACGATGACTAGCAAGTGAATTGCGGGAATTGCGTCAATCGCGAGAGCTGTGCTATCCCAATATATCTTCTTCGAAATGCCGATAAACAGACGATCAAGAATGTTGTCAAGGTGATGCGATTCTGACTAATCCACAGAAATGCTTCGCCCACGGGAAACGTCCAGCACGGTATTTTTTTCCACATCGCACCGTGAAAATGGCTAAAAATACACTTTTCTCGCATTTTTATTAATCCGTCAGCAATTTTGAAGTCTTAAGCAAATTGCTTCCTGCAACACAGGCAGAGCCAGAAAAAGAAAAAAAGAAAACACAGGCAATTTCAGCTCTCGTTTTACGATGATGAAAAATTCCTCACTTGTGCATCCAACACGATTTTATTGCATGTGACGAGAGAAAGTGCAAATAAAGCAATCTCCAATGGTGAAACAATGATAAATTTTCGCAAATTGCCTCAAGAGCTCATCACAAATTAAATCATGTCTTATGCCACAGTGCACATGATCGAGGAAGAGGGCACTGGGAAAATTTGCCAAGGAAGATAGAATGATGCGCTGCTTTCTCGTTTTCGTCCTTTTTCGCGTGTGTGGCGTGTCTTGAGGAAAAGCCGCGCACCGCACAATTGTGTGATGGACAAACAAGAGGAACAAAAGGGACAAATCTCAACTTGCGCACGCAATTGTGTCTCTCTCACGCGAGAGAGCGAGAGAGAGAGAGAGTGTGTGTGAGTGTTTTTAATATCAAGGAGAGGATATCGCTTAGTTGGATGCTCAGCATTTTGCCTATTATTAGATTTTGGCAACAACAACTAACTTTTCCCAAGTCAGGATCGGCTTAGAAAATTGACGAGCTCCTCTCCCCTTCCCTTGCCCTCGCGCCTGATAATTTTATCGTGAAACAGGTGGACGCGGCGATCAGATGAGGCTTGTCGGAAGCGCTCCTCTGGAGGGAATAAATAGGCTTTCCCAGGCGCACAACAGACACAGCTTCATTCCCACCCTGACTTGTGCACTTCTCTGCCTCTTCTGTTCAATCAATCTCCCGGCTCAATTGCCCACCTAATGCATTTACGAACTGCCGATGCTTCGCCGTGCTGAAAGATTCCGGCAAAATTTCAGTGAATTCGCAATTCGTGGAATTTACAAATCGCCCTAGAGGCATTCTTGACCCTCAATTGTCAACTAAAACTATTTTCATTTTCGTCGTAAAAATTGTCTTTCGTCGTGAATTGCTAAATGAGAAAAAAAGATTTTCGCGTGTTTCTTTTTTCTTGAATAGAAAATGACTAGACAGAAAGCAACGGACAGAAATCTCACAACATTTCACTGCTTTTTCATCATCTTGCTGAAAATGAGAAAGAAGAGGAATTTGTTTATTGAATGTTAAATTGTTTCAGCTTTCCACATCATCGAAAATTGCTAAAATGTCTCTACTAATTATTATTTATTAATGATCGTAGTTAAACTTACAGAAAAAAATCATAAACTGCTGGAAAAAGTGATAATCTAGCTTAGAAGTAATTCTGTGATAATTCAATGTCTCTGGAAATGCAATTCAGTGCTGTTGTTAGCACTTCAACAAGGCCCCGCCCATTTGCACGCTCCGCCCACAAAATAGAAGAAATTTTCACGAAACTTTCCTTCTGCTGAACCCTCGAAATTTCTCTTAGACGCCATGCATTGGGGCACTTTTCTGTCCCCATGTGCATGTGTGATTTACATTTATTTGCTTTAAATCACTTTCAAATGTATAATAGGTGGCCATTAGGCGCATCATTCTCTCTCTCGCATCTGCACATTTGTCTCTCTGCTCACTCTCACTGTCATCACATTCTCTTGGCCGAGAGGGAACCAATTATTTCACATTGGGATTCAGTTTCTTTCGAGCTCTTGATCAGATCGCCCAGTCTTGAAAGGTTCCGAGGCGCACTTTTTTCCCCTCATAACTCAGTGGCCAAGTTCTTCCTCCTCTTTTTTAGTTTGCGAGGAATTTCTTCTGGTGTGCTTTTCCCTGATTTTTCGGTACTTTTTTTTCGCGTTTTAATATTTGTTGATTTCTCGGATTCTGAATTGTGTGAGTGGCCTTTTGTTGTTGGATTATGTGTGGAAAATCCTGAGCAAATTCTGAGTGAAGATGATCATTTGAAGTGGCAATCCATTGAAATATTGTGCCATTTGACTGGATAAAGTGGTGAAAAGTGGCATTTTCCAACCCATTTCAGTGGGGGAAAAAAGATTATATAAAAGTTCTTCATTGTCTCAGCTCTCAATAAAAGCAATCACAATTGGCTCCTCAGTCGATATATTCTTGCAAATCAATTTTTAGAATATAGAGCATGGCATTTTGTGTTGAGCACAATCGGCTGAATAGCCATGATGTATACACAACTCAATTGTCTATCAGCATCCTCCTTGTCTCGCTCGTGCTCGCAAAAACGATTTATAAAAGTAACACTCAAGACAACAAGAGAAAACAACCACTCGACATCCACGACGCACTTGTGCAATTTCGACTACAACATAGCTTCTGCGGCGTGAACGCGGAAATAGCCAACATAGGACGCCCTGTGTCTGTCTTTTCGCCAAAATCCTCCCCTCGCGAGGCGCCCTTCTTTCCTCATTCCACACGACACACGCACTCTCCCAATGTCTTGATTTATTTAATTGGGACGATCGCGCGCCTTCAACTCTCAATTGCACTTGATTCTCGCGAGTCCTCAATCAATTTGAGCAATTTTCCACCTCACTATTTCTTCACCACACGCACACACGCACGCACGCAACACCAGCCAAAATGCAGGCCAATTGATTGCAGAGAGAGAGTGCCAGTGAAAAACGCCCAAGAGACTCGTGACAAGTTGAGGAGCGAAGCTCTGCGCGACTGTTATGGATTAAAGTGGATGCGAAGCTAGAGAGCAGCCAAAATGGACTCCAAAATGGACGAGCTTATAAAGTCAACAAAGCGGAAGACAACAGGTGAACCTTGAAATTTGGCTATTTTTACCACTGCACGCTTTAGGGTTACTTGAAGGATAAATAATTTAGAAAATTGCAATCGTAAATAATGTTTAATTAGGCGCCTCCGAAGCGAGGCGGGAAAATTCTTCATGTCGCTCGCAATTTTACTCACACACATATTCTCACTTTAAATTTATATAAAGACCATCTGACCGGATATGCAATTCCTTCACGGGGCAGAAAAAAAAGTCGACTTGGGCGATTTTTTTCACAGTCCTTGACCTTGTTTAGAGAAAACATGACAATTCATTAATCAATATCAGACTTTGTGGGCATTTATTGGCGAATTTTCATGAGCTTTTCGCATGAAGTGTGAGATTAAATGAACGATTCAATGGTTGAGTCTTCGATATTGACACAATTTTGTGTCATTTTTCATTCATACGCTTTGATTTTAATTCTCTATCAAGTCATCTTATTTTATGGCGGCATATAAAACTGTCGTAAAACTCAATTAAAAATTCATTCAATTCAATCAACAATACTTGAATTATTCGTTATTGTCAAAAGCAATGTGTTTAAAATTTAAATAGGGAAAAATATGAAAAATCTTCTCTTCGGACAGTTGATTTATTCAATTCACAAGCGGAAAATAGCACTTCTAGTATTTAAAAAATCCTTTCTAACATCAATTCTTAACTCTTCTTTGATTTTTCTTATTTTCAGCAATCGATCAAGAGTTCTCGCAAGTGATAACTCAGCGACAGCAACAATCTGTGACTTCTGTGCAAATATCCAAGAATTTTCACTCAGTGCAGCAGAACAACAATCATCACGAGAGCTTCAGTTCCAGCGAAGTTTCACAGGTGAGTTTCACTGCCAAAAATAACCACGCAATGAAGTGGATTTAGAATCACTTTCACTCTGTGTAAATATTTATGCAGACACTGGCAATGTCGTCATAAATTTCCCCATTTTCCACGTTGATTTATTCACACCATGAGAATTAATAACTCGACGCGGTTGCATTCTAATTTTCCCAACATGTTATTTGGTTGGTGAGGAAAGAACTTTCGGGTTGGAAAATACATCTCATAATAATTGTGTATGAAACATTGCCAGAAGTGATAAACACACATCAATTAATTCAGCTCCGCAAGACCAATCGAGTGTGATCAAAGTGGAAACATATTTGTTAATGACTGGCTGAGAGTGAGAGATTGGAATGATGAGATTTTTCCCACGTTTTTGACCATCCGTCTATAAATATTCTCCAATTTGGCGAGAGCGCGTGTGGCATCTCGACGCGACCTCCTGTAGCCTCTGTCGACGCTAGGCGCCTGAAACCCGATCAATACACGCACACTGCCATCTGCCATGAGCTTCAGCATCTCCCGAACGCTCGCCACATTCAAACTGGGCAGAAACCGTTGGGATTTTCCGCCGGAGGAAAATCCCCACGGGCGCGCGCGATCGCCAGAATGATGTGTGAGAGAAACATGTCACATTGCGCCAAAACAGTGCATCTTGATGAAATGCAGAGCGAGGATATTAAAGTGAAATTATAGTGTGATTTTAGTGTGACATAAAATAACACAAAATATGACACACAATTACAAAATTTCCCACTGTGCTCTTTCCCTATGCTTCAAGTCTCACCTCTCGACCGCATGAAATTATGACTAATAAGTTAAGTGTAACATTTAGTGAGACAAGCATCACACTAATGCTCTCACACTCTGATAATGATGATGATGATGGGAAAAATCCAAGGGGCAAATCACAAAGCGATTTTCGAAGAAACTTCGTGTTCTCAAATCAAATAATCAATTATTTGAGGCAAATAATCAAAAAATGACTTTTTTTCCCACGCAAAATTGAAAAATAGTCAAATTTTGAAAAAGGAAATAAAAAAAAAGATTTTTCCGAAGTTAAATATATAAAAAAAATCGAAATAATAAAAATCCGAATAGAATAATAAAAAAAAATGATTTTTTCCCAAGTAAAATTGAAAAATAATCAAATTCTGAATTTAAAAAAAATATCAAAAAAGATTTTTTTTTCCAGTAAGATTACAAAAAAATCAAAATATAATCAAATTTTGAATTAAATAATAAAAAAATTAGTTTCCCAAGAAAGATTACAAAAAAATCAAAATAATGAAATTCTGAATAGAATAATAATAAAAAGATTATTTTCCCAAGTAAAATTGAAAAATAATCAAATTCTGAATAAAAAATCGAAAAAGATTTTTTTTCCAAGTAAGATTACAAAAAAATGAAAATAATCAAATTCTGAATTAAATAATATAAAAAAATGATTATTTTCAATCAATGAATCAGAATATTTCGAATATTCACAATTTTTCAATCAAATTAAATAAACAATTTTTAATCAAATATTCAGAAAATAATCAAAAAATAATCAGAATTTTGTATGGAATAAGCAAAATTTGAATAATAATCACAAATAATCAGAAAATTGATTGAATAATCACAAAGTTAAGGGTCTCAAAACTTGCGCCTGATTGTCCCCTTGGGAAAAATATAGCGTGAAGTGGAAAAAGGGAAGTGAATGGAGGAAAATGTGTCGTGCGAGACCACCAAACAATTCATATTGGCAATCAGCCAGAAGAATTAGGATCAGGTGAATCCACTTAATTGCTACACCCTGTGTGCATATCTCTCTCATTGTACAATCGACTAAAATAATATGCATTTTGTACAAGAAAGCCCATAAACTTTCCTCACTCATCGGCATTTTTCCGCACACACGCAGAGACAAAAGCCATTTTCCCACTAATGCTATTTATAAGATATTATCCTTCTTCGATGAGAAGTGTGTCTTTTGTATCGCAAGACATTTCACTGACTTTTCCCAAAATGCATTTTGCAGATTAATTTTTGCCACTCATCACGCAAAGGATGTGATTAATGCTACATTTTCTCCCACTCGTGCAAAATTGTTGGCAGAAAACGCCTTTTGTCCGATGATAGAAGAGCACAAAAATGTCTCAGATTAATTAATTATGAGGAAATGCATTGAATATTATTTTAAATGTCGCTTCTTTCCACTCAATTCACTTTCTAGGTGAATTTGGAGTTAATTGTGGGCACTTAATATGATGAAAAGTGTATGAAATTATCATCCATTTGTCTCTAAAGATGATGAAAATCAGCTGAGAAACACTAGAAGATTTTAGCATTCAAAAATCATTCTATTTTGATCGATTTTAAAGTCAAAACTTTGCTTCTTGACTAAATTTAGGGCTCTTTTAATTGAAAAAATAATAATTTCTTCCTCTTATCCCACAAAATATGCTCTTAATTGCTGTAAATTATGCTCAAACAGCCCTGCTTTCCCGTACACACTTCCAGGTAATTGCGAACTAATTTAGAAACTTCCCACACTCGTTTGTCTTCATGCGCAAATTCGCTGTTTCTAAGCAGTCGAATTAGGCAAAATGTAAGGAGGAAAAATCCGCTAAGGAATTTTCTCACCTTAGAATTACGCACACACGGCGGAGATTTATAAACATAGTCTCTCTGCTGAAGATGAAAGAATATTGAGAAGGACGGTTGTTTTGTCTATTAAAAGAATTACACTATATTTAAACTAATACGCCGTGCAGCTGTGGTGGTGATAGAAAAAGGTATTCACATGGTGAATGCACGGTGAAAAAAGGAGGCAAGGAAAGTCTGTGAGAAGATCTATTTTTGCGGAGTCAACAAAGTGTGAGCCATCCTCTTCATCATCACTGTGCGCGAATCGTGAGTGTGCGTGGAAGACTTTAAATATTCGATACTCTCTTTCCTGATGACTTGAGAATCTCACAAAACTCGGCCGATCATCAGCTCAGTTCAATGTGGAACACCAAACGCGGAGGATCGCATTGGAAGGGAGAAAAATCTGACTTTGCAAAGTGATGTGAAGCAAAAAGCTGATCGAGAGTGTGATTCATAGGCAGTATTTTCTACAAAGTTGTTTGGGAAAATATATAAATAAAACCACAAGCATAAACATATTATATAAAATACGATTTTGTGTGATAAATCACAGTATTTGAGAGCGAGAGAGAAGCCGCAAATGTGACATCACTACAAATTGATTAGGATTTATGAAAAAAAACACGCAGTGAAAAGTTCTTTGACTCGCTATAATTTGACTGGCAGCATATTGAGTGTATTGAAAATTGTGCTAATAAATCTTCATTCTCCCGTTTGGATGTTGTAATCCCCCGATCTCCTATATAAAGAGTGGTGCGCCGATACCAAAAATAAACCGACAGCTTGTAAAGCCATCAAGTAGATCAACTGGAAAATACCAGAGGAAGACACCCATAATTCGGGTAAATATTATTCAATGCGCAACATTTGGCAAATTGACACAAATATTAAATTGTAAACTCTGTCTGCTTCCTTGCAGATTTGAGCGCACGCACAAAATGTCTTTCTGCAGAATCACAGGGCGATCCAAAGGGCTGCCGAAGCCCAATTATTTTCCTCTGCTTCCGCCCATTTCGCCCGTGGACGCGAAGAGATACTGCAGAATCACTGGCAAGGCGTATGGCTTGCCATCTCACCACTTCATCCCTGTGCTCTTGAGTGCAGCCACGCAGAAGATCAACTGCAAGATCACCAATGTCGCCGACAAGCTCGGGCCTCACCATTATTCCCCAGATGTGAACTATGGCAAGAGGAAGCACACTCTCCTGACGGACTACAGATATGTTTATCCCATCTTTGATGAGACCAACGAGACGCAGAAGAACCTCCTGGAGCTCCTGAACACGAAAGTCATCGACGAGGGCAATTTCGTCTATCAAGTGGACGAGAGAAGGTTCAGTCTCGTCTTCCCGGCGCGACTGGAAGCAGCTGTGCGCGATGGAGATGTTCGCGATGTGATGCTGGCCAAGGATTCCGACACGATGCTCCTGAAGATGCGCCAGGGAAAGAATGTGTCTGTGGATTTGCAGGATTTCCCAGAGGAAAACTGGCCGCATCTACTCAATGGCGAAGGTCCGCGTCAAGATGTTCTCCTGGAGCGTGAGCGCGAGGAGAAGCGCAAGAGGAAGCGCCAGAAGAACTTGTCGCAGATGACGAAGATCTTCGAGGAGAAAGACAGATTGAGTGGCGACGGCAAGTCTACGCGCAAGCTGAAGAAGATAAAGAGTGAAGAGAAAAATAATCATAACGGATGTATTTTTACGCTAGAGAGTAAAGCCACCACGGCATCGCTCATCTCCTCGCCGGAGTGCGAAGATCTCGTGAATCCTCTGCTAGAGTCCTGGAATTGGGACACTTACGAGCGCGTCGCCGCATCGGTGGTGAACAAGAAGTCCCCAATTAAGCTGCCCACGCCAGTGAGAGTCACTCCTGTGGCGATCGATGGCAGAGAAGTGGCCGTGGATGCAGTCTTGATGGAGAACACCGTGGGATTTGAGGCGGTGGCGTGTGTCACACCCCCGCCAATTGCTATTCCCAACCCAATGGACAGGGTGATCGTTGCGTCGCTCAAGGAGCTGACTCAGGAGGAGCTCGAGATGACGGCGAGCGTTGGTGAGAGGCTGGAGGCAGAGAGTGGCGGTATTGAAATGTTGCCAACTGAAGCTGAACTCCCACTTGTGCTTGAAAATATCAAGTCTGGCAAATCTGGCCAATTGGCCAATGTCAAGGGGCTCAAGTTGGACATCAATGCAGCGAGGCAAGTGTTTCTCGCCGGCCAGAACGTCTCCACGCCCGCTGGAGAGCTCTTCGTGCCCGGTCAGACCGTGACGACCCCGAGAGGTCCAATCTACGTTCCCGGATTGACCATCAATACTCCCGTGGGCGCTTCTTTCATCCCCGGAAGCGCGCTGCTGGGCAGCAATTTCATGGCCGGGCAAATTGTCGGGGAGGAATTCATCCCAGGGCAGACAATTCACACGCCAAACGGTCCGTGCTTCATTGAGGGGCAGACAATTCTCACTCCGGATGGTTTCAAGTTCATCGCCGGCGTGCATGATCCCAAAACCGACCAATTTGTCTGCGGCCAGAGCATCCAAACTCCCGATGGTGTTAAATTCATCCCCGGACAGACGATCACCACTGAAGACGGTGAGAAATTCATCCCTGGCCAGACTGTTCAGGACGCCAGTGAAGAGAGTGGGTGGAAATTTGTCCACGGCCAGACTGTCAATGACCAATTCATCCCTGGGAAGGTGATCAGCACCGAGGAGGGCAGTAAGTTCATCCCCGGTCTCTCGGTTGACGGGAAGTTCGTCCCTGGCATCACGTCGGACGATGATGAATTGGCATTTATTCCCGGGATGAATGTGGAGACAAAGCAAGGCCCACAATTCATCGAGGGCACGATCATTGGCACAGACAACGGTGAGATCTTCATGCCTGGCAAAGTAGTGACAAGCGCCGAAGGACTCTTTGACTTTGCCGTCGCTCAATCTGTTCACGATGTCATCTTCCGAGAACCGACACGCCGTGGATTTGTCATAGATCCGCAGAACTTCGAAGCCGCCAGTCCGAGCGCCTCAGTTTTTGGCCACATGATTCAAACCGCCGCCGGGATTGAGTTCTACCCTGAGAAAGTCAAGGAGCAACACCTTCCGGCCGGGAAGATCATTCCCGGGCGGCTCCTTCGTCAGGATTCCGGCACCAAATTCATCCCTGGCATCAAGTCAGACAACGGCTTCATCCCAGGACAGTTGATCTGGACGGAGAAGGGAGAGCAATTCGTGCCTGGTCAGGTGATAGAGACCGCTGAGGGATTGAAATTTGTGCCTGGCCAGGTGATTGAGACCAAGAGTGGCAGCAAATTTGTTCCCGGTCAAGTTATGGACACCAGCGAAGGGGCGAGATTCGTGCCTGGCCAGATTGTGCAGACCAAAGCCGGTCCCACCTTCATCCCAGGTCAAGTGATCACCACAGATCAGGAGGGAGAGCGCTTCGTGCCTGGCCAAGTGGTTGACACTCCTGATGGACCGCGCTTTGTGCCCGGAAGAGTGCTGGAAACTGACGATGGAGTGACTTTCATTCCTGGACAAATTGTTCAGACGGCAGACGGCCCGAAATTCATTGCCCCAGATCTCACGGACAATGAAGAGGGCGAGCAGGAGTTCTCAGTGCAGAGCTTCTTGATAACTCCCGAGGAATTGAAGCTCGTCACGTCGTCCAGCATCTTCCCAACGGCGCCAAGCGAGAGAGGTGAGCTCAGCATTGATAGCAAGATCATGAGGCAGTTGTCGGAGGCTGGGATGAGCATTGGGCGGCAGATTGAAGCTTCTGCGGTGGATTTGGTGCTCCAGAGCACCAGGGAGAAGCAGATTGTGCGTCAATTTGCCGAGAGCATTGGCCACAGTGAAGAAATCCTCACCAAGACGTTCAATAGCTTGCGGGAAATCGCTCAGATCGTGACTGGGCAGAAGAGTTTGGCGAATGTCACGTGCAGACAGGCGAAATTCGCAGATGATGAGACAGTGAAAGCCGCTGAGTGCATTGTGGGGCTCATCAAGAAGCTTGTCAAGGATGATGATAAATCCGTCTTGTTGTTTGAGATGATCGCTCAGGCGCTCGAGACTGAGACGATGCGTATGCAGAAAATCGAGAAAATTGCATCTGATCCCGCGTGTCAGCTCAAGATCATCTCCATGATTCGCGACTCACTCGAGAGTGACATCAATGAGTGTGAGATCTTGCAGGCGATCACCGAGAGCGGCTCAGTTGAGGAGGGAAAGGTGATGAATCAGATTGGGCAGATACTGCGAGATGCGAGCATGAGTGACGCCTTGAGAGCCGTGGTCAGCACAAATCCCAAGATCATGTACAAGATAATCAGTCACTTGAAAGATTCGAGTCACTCAATCACGTCCAACGAGGCAGCAGTGGAGGCGTTACATCGTTCCATCATTTCTGCCGTCGAGGACGTCACCAATGCTGAACTTCATCGCGCTTACATGACCAGTGATCAATATTCTCGCCAGATCGTCGATGACGTCGTTTTGCTGGCGAAAGCGCTCGAGATTCCCGCCCAAGAACTCTCCGCGGACTCAATTCCATCCCTCCTGGCCACGGAATGCGGCGCCGAACTCCTGCGCCGTGTGATCCTGATGCACAAACTCTCTGAGAACAATCCTGCGATCGCCGATGCCATTGAAGATCTCCGGAAGAGTCCTTTCAGCGTTCGCAGGAATCCTCAATTCTGCGAACTTGTGCGCCAAAGCGGATGTCTCACGATTCCCTATGAGAAACGGCAACTCCTGGAGAACTCCTCGCAACTCCCCAACGCCATCCTCTTCACGGACAACCAATTGGCCCTTGAGGACTTCCTGGTGCGTCGGCGAGGGAAGAATCGCGGAGCCTTCCTCATTGTCAAGAACACCTTCCAAGGCGTCGTGCCGCGAGAACTCAGTCGCGACGTTCTCACCGGCAAATGTTCCTACACGCTCTTGGACGAGGATGGCATTTGTCACTTTGAACCCCTGCACGTCTTCACAGCCCTCAATCTCGTCAACACTCGCCCTCAACACAGATTCTCGATGTACCAGAGCGATGTGGCGTTTCAGGATTCTGGCCCTGAAGTGGACGATATCATGTCCTCAGCGTCAAAGTGCACAGCTCTGGGATCGGTTGCCTCCAAGATGATGACCTACCGTGATCAGATCAACTGTATTCCTCTGCTGAGAAACTACACACACTATCCTTATCACCTGCTACCCTCGCCCTATTTCCCTCCCGTTTCCCGTCTGATCGCATCTGTGAGATACTAAGAAATCAATATTTTGCTGTAAGAATGGATCAGAATTTGATAATCAGAGCGATATGCATTCCTTGCATTTCTCGTAGCTCCGCCCTCTCGAATGCCACGCCCATTTAATATGATTTTGGAGTGAAATGCGCTATTCTTACAGCAAATAAGCACACAATATTCCGCATTGCAAAGGGTTTTTCTAAATCTAAAACCACTGAATCCCACACACTCTCTGGCTCTATGCAATGACCCAGAACGTTGAAAATACATCATTTGAGTGACTCAGTTAGTGAGAAAAAACATTTTCGAGGTAAACATCTGCCAGAAGAGCGTGATTGTGCCTGATTTTGGCATCAATTAAAATATCAAAACAAGCTCAGTCATGATTAATTGGGACTAATCCTAATTATTACTCCCATTTTAACCCCATGTCAATCTATCAAATATGCTCTCTTTTATACGAAAGAAGAAGGAAACCACACCCAATTAATGTGTATACATATCGTGTGTCATGTATAATGATAAAAGTGTAATGTTGAATAAAGAAAGATTTTTCTAAATAAATGTTCCATTTGTACCACAATTCTCCTCCTGTCGCATAACCACTCTTTTATCACCGTCTCGAGAGGATTTTCTTCATCGTGACAAAAAAAATTCTGCAAGTTTATTTACGGTTTGTTTATGTTATTTTTGATGTGTGACAAATGTTCACTTTGAACACAATAATTAGCTATAAATATATGGGTGTGGAGAAGAAGAAGAAGAGGCAAAAAAAAGTCCACTCACAGCATTTTCTCGCAATTTTTCCTTCCTCAACGCCACAAGTCATTCATTCATTTTCTCAGTATAATACATAATCATCGTGTGTGTTTTATTTGACTTTTCCCACATGCTTAATCATGGTGAATTTCACCTGAAGACGCAGACTTTTCTCTGATCTCTCGCTCTTTCTTTTGTCTCTCTCGCAGATCAATGACATTTTGGTTGTGAATAAGAACTATTCGGCCGAAGGTGAAGGATTCATCTCACTGAAACGAGGTGATCTTGTTGAGATAATTCGCACAAGTGAGAATGATGAGACATCCAGCAAGTAAGATTAATGCCCATTAATTTGCAGAGTCGCGCGCTTTTGATCCTTCTTCAGCTCACACACATTTCTTTCACAGGCGACAGAGATTGGATCCAGAATTGGATGTGGGTCAGAGCGGGGAGCTGCTCGATAGCTCGGCGGCCAAGCACAAATTGTCGGTGAAGCCAAAGAAGAATCACACGAGCAGCCATCAGAGGAGTGCTAGTCCTCAGCCGCAGCGTCCTGAACCCAAACCCGATGAAAAGTGAGTGATAGACACTTCCATTTGTCATAAAAATCAACATTTCCTCCACTCTTTCTCTCTGCCATTTCTCTCATCATAAAATAGGGAGAATGTAGAAAAAGGCACACACACAGTTGAGACGTTTGGGGGGAAAAAGTGGCAAAACGGTCTCTTTGAAGACACCAGCGGAGAAAGAAATTCATGTGGGTTAATTTGATGATTTTTCACACACTGCTCATAAGTTGAGATAAATCACTCTCGCTTTTTTGCGAGTTCATTATTCTCATTTACCCCAATTTTTGCTAGAGCCAAGTTCCTGCCTCAAGTGAGACCCACATTAATTGCTACTCAAATTAATTCAATACACTTGAAGTGTGTGCGAAGAGGGAGATTTGGGAAATTATGTATTGGAAATCCACTAATTGGAGTCAATTTCGCACGCCAGATGGTTCGTGAGAATCTTCGATGGCAGTGAACATCCGCGCGAAGGTTGGATACCTGCCTCAATCCTCGACCTACAGAACACGGATGTGGCAATCTACGGGGACAAATCCGACGACGCGACCTACAGAAGAGAGTGAGTAGAACACAGACGCTCATAAATCTTCCGCCATGACAAACTATAGGCTTAAGCCGGTCTTGTGCTCTCACCAAATCGCTCTCAAAGTGTTTGCATCATTTTGGAAAGATAGTTTTACTGCTTGCGATCATTTAAAACGTGTAAATATTACAGTGAGAGGAAACTAAAGGATAAATATGGGTCTTTTTATCCTGAAAATATGTGGTTTTGGTGGAGAAACATTTTATACTTTTTATGATTTATTTTAATAGCAACGCTTAATTCGAGAACTTATTCTAGTTCATTTTGCTCTGAAAATAGATTACTTTAAAATGTTCTCAGTGTAAATTTGCTTGATGTCTTGATTTTTGAATGTTTCTATTTATCCGCCATTTACTGACTTTTCCAGTAGCTTAAGATCAATTGACTGCCTTCCAATCAATATTCTACATGATAATCTGTTAATGATACTTTGCACAGAGCCGTTGTGCGCGAGCTTGTGGAGACTGAAGAGGAGTTTGGCAAGGATCTGCAAGCTGTCGTCAATCGCTACATGAAGATCATCGACAATCCGTCAACGCCGCGCATCATACGCGACAATAAAGACGTCATCTTTGGAAATTTCAAGCAAATCGCCGACTTCCACAACACCGTCCTCATCGAGGGTGTGAAGTACTATGCCAACCAGCCGAAGATGATTGGCAAGACGTTCCTGCGACTCGAGCGAGACTTCGACAAGCACGCCGCGTATTGTCGCGACGAGCCGGCGGCGCAGGAGTTTCTCGCCAGCAACAACACGGCGCGGGACTTCTTCGAGGTGAGTGACGCGATGGGGAAAATCGGAAAATCCCTCTGAGACAGCCTCCCAAACAGGCACTGCCATCTATTCAAGCTTTTCGCAAGTGCGGCGTGAAAAAGCCGCGACAGTTTTGGGGGGGAAAAACATCGAAAACGATCCGCAAAGTGGTCGCTCAAACACACACTCAAGTTGGACAGTGGCCAGATCTCGGGTGGGATTAATGGACATGGCTTGGGGGAAAGTCACTCACACCCTCAGCAGCGTGACCGCAGTGATAAAGACGATCCAATTTCACGCATCAATGTCGCGACAAGCGCTGAAGACTCACTCGCGATCCTCCCAATTCGCGAGGAGATGCTCTTAAGCCATTTTGCCCCGTCTTTTTCACAAAACCCAATCCTCACGACCGACGGTGTTAATGACGATGATGATGTTGATGTTCGCGAAACAAAAATTTATATATAGATTGTGGATTTTGCTCGGTGAAGAATTTTAGTCGCTGCTGACTTTTCACAGTGAGAAGATCGCGCGAAAAATATTAGATATCGAAGATTCATCCATTAAAAAAAAATCGATCCGCAATTATTTTATTATTTTTTCCCCCCACACCCCAAAAAACAGCCGCAAATTATAGTTTTTTTTGTCACAATTTTTACTGTGTGTTGTGTTCGAACATAGTTAGAAAAATATCGTTGTTATTTGGTGAGTGTGATCGAAGAGACTGTTCGGGGAGGAAAGTGGCCTTGCAAGGACATTAAAGTGGAAATTATTTGGACATTGATCAACTCCTCAAATTACAATCTCTGGCTCAAGTTGGATTTATATATGAGCATTTGAGTAAATCACGAACTCGTCTCTCTTCAGCACGCATTGAAGAGCAATAAGCAAATTAACATTTTCTCTTGAAAATCTCTGGGTGCTATTTTTAAAACAACTCAGAAGAAAATAGATAGAAAAAAAAACAGAGTTCAGCATAAAATTTAGCCCCAACGCGCTCCCACACAAATTCGCAATTTGCCTATGACTCTCGCCTGATCGTCGAATTGAAGGCAGAAAAAAATCTATATAAAAATAAGTAAAAGTAGAATCTTAAATTTTGGATATTTAACTCTAGTGACAATGTTGAAATTTTGCACTCTGTCAATTCAAACAGAATTGCTGAAAATAATTCACAGCACAGTTTCTTTGACATGCCAACCGATAGTGGAGGATTATTATGTAAAGTGTTGAACACAGTATTTGTATTTTCCACGGATTTTTTTTTCATCTCTTGCCGCGAGACCATCAAAAATCCCACGAGAAGTGGAAAACAATTTAAACTATTTTAACGTGAATTTCTATGCGTTGGAAAGGGAAAAAACGAAACATTTTCCCTCAATTAAAATAAACAATTCATCCAAATGACATTCTAGAGAGTTATTTTCAATATAATTACACCACCATTTTCAAGACTCCTTGTCCGATTTATTCATTTTAATAACATCTCTAAAATTTTCAAGAAGCAATTCGCTCTTTATTTATAATTTCCTCATCACTGAAATGATGTCAAGAGGAGCGCTCAGCTTATTTGCTTTCCAATATGCATCAAGACATCATCGAGAGGCGTCCAGAAAGCTCGGAAATGATTTATAGAGAATGACTTTTTCTCATGAGTTTTGGTAGACAAACTTATTAATAGCATCTTATCTCCAGATTTAAATTTGACGCCCTTGAAGTGGAGTTCTGTTTGTGTGTCTCTTTTCCTCACTCTGCTGTGTCCATCAGCACAGTTTCGCGCAGTCCAACAGCCAAAAACCACACGCACACACAAAAGATGGCTCGAATAACCTCGACACGGAGGGCGGGAAAATTGCGAAACGCACCTCAATTAATCATTCTGCACGCTGAATCATGATGTAATTCCATGTGATCACTCTGTCAACAGGAATTATCACAGAAATTGGGTGACGACAAGACCCTCGCGGAGCATCTGCAGTTGCCAATTCAACGAATCAACGACTACCAACTACTCCTGAAGGTCAGTGGAGAACTTTTCCCGCAGAACCCCATAAATTTTTTCCTCATTACACATTCACTCTCTCTTTTTCTCTTTCACTCTTCGCGAATGTGCCCCAAAAATAGCGCACGCCTCGCGGCGTGAGAAAAAAGAAAGAAAATGAAGGCAGACACACAACGGAAAATAAGGGGGGAAAAATTCTGCAATACGCTGATGATGAGAAAAAGATCTAAAAATAAGAAAGAAGAGGAGCATTACAAACAAGCGAGGCATCGGAAAAATGCCGGAAAAGCTCCAATTATGATCTTACAACTGATCTATTTTCGGCAAAGTGTGTGAGAAAAGAATTTTAATTGCCATAATATCCTTTTACCCACTCTGGCATTTCATTCATGATAGCCAGATGACCTTAAAATAAGTCAGCAACACATTTATGGCCACTAAATCTTCTTGCATTTTTTGAATTTGGGTTAAATTTATGACTGAGATCGATTGTTAAACTTGTGATTTATACATATAATATTCATATAATTTTTTCTACCTCAGTCGAAAGAAGTTTCTTATTTTTTAACATGGAATCTTAAATCCTTTCTTGATTTGAATCGCACAGAAAAAATCACAATATTGGGTAGATTTCTTATCTATTGTAAGTCGAATTGGTATCCCTGGAGTGTTTGTGGCGGGAATGCCACTGTCTTGGCGGCCTTCTCTTCCTGTTCTAAGATTCTCGCTGTTAGCATTATTTGACGGTAGAGGCAGCACTGAGGGTGACGCGGAGAAACGCGTGAATAATGAGAGTATTTCAATAAATTCTCGTCACTTTGCTGACAATTCTCCCCACAGACAAGAATATCCTCTTTTCACACTCCTGAGTTCACAGATGTACAAAGTGGCTAATATTTTAATCCTGGGTATAAATGTAAATAATTTTGCCGACAACCTCGAGTTCTGAATTTCAGAAATTCAACTCTAGGGCGTCACATTTTGCCGTCAATTTATAACAACAATTTTAAACAAGGCACGCCAATGTGTGGAATTTTCGCGATCGTTCGCTTAAATCACAACAGAGAAATGGGAAAATCTATCAAAAGCCCATTTGTAATTGCGAAATGATGTATACAGACATTTTCTAAATGGCTATAAACCGACATAAATGTGCGACTTTCAATTGGCACAGTGGCAAACATTTGCCATCAATTGGGAGTCGTGTTTTATTTATAAAATGCATCCATATGAACCTATTTGCAGTCATTATGCAACCATTTTATGCTGCTTTTTTTCCTTTCAATGGAGATCATATGAAGTTTATTATCCCAAAATCTATTTTTGCGCCTCACGATCATCTCATTCATCAGATCATTTTGCGGTGTAAATATAGACTTTTGGTTTCTCTTAGATGTTATTTTGTTGATGAAAGCATAAGAGAGAGAGTAGATAAGAGAATTAGATGAAACAATTTATCCCTCAATTTGCATTGGACAATGTCCAAAGTTGTGAATCTTCCCTGAATTTTCAAATAAACAAACTCTGCGATGTGAAAAAGGATATTGAATAAAAATGCATCAGATTTGTCTGACCTGAATTCAACTTTTAGTGAATAATTGTGGCACTTAATGATTTCTTTATTAGACAAATACAAATTCATAATAATTCACTTGACTAAAAGGCATAACTAATGAGCATGAGAATCTTGCCAATAAATTCACTTTCCTCTCGTCTCTTCATTCACAGGAGTTGGTAAAGTATTCACAGAAGTTGGGAGATAACGTCTCCGATCTACAGAAGGCCCTCGAGTTGATGCTAAATATCCCCCATCAGGCGATTGACAACAAGTTTATCGCTAGCATCGAGGGATATCGCGGCAATATCCACAAACTAGGACGTCTTCTCACCCACGAATGGTGGACAGTCGTTGATCGCGAAGGGAAGCCCAAAGAGCGCTATCTTTTCCTGTTTAAAGCCCGCATCCTCATCTGCAAAGTCCGACGCATCTCAGACGATCGATCAGTCTTCGTTCTCAGGGACATCGTTAGGGTGAGTGAAGCAATTCCCCGTCCTAATCACTGCTACTCTGACGCCGTTCTCTCCTCTCTCTCTTCCAGCTTCCAGACGTTGAGATCAAGGATCACTCAGACGCAGCCAAGTTCGAGCTCCACCCAAAGACACCTGGAGCAGCGGGATCGGCATCGCTTCCGCTGATCTTTCACGCCCACAGCGCGGAGGGCAAGACAAGGTGGTTGAAGGAGATCCGCCTGTACGCCACTGATCAGGTTGCTCTGCAAGAGCACGCCACTGACGATCTGCGCATAGATCCCAATCAAGTGCAGCAGGACACAGGACCGGTCCTCAGACTCCCGCATCGCATCGAACCGGACAATCCGGACGCAGGAATTCGCCCGTCTGACGTCGCGAAGGACTTCTTCCTGCCCAAGAAGGCCAAAGCCAACGCCGAATCGGCTGAAGTTCTCAAGGAAGTGAGTGAAACTGTGTCAAAGGATCAACGTTCAAGATCCAGTGAGAGAAAGTTACAGCGCACAACTGCGCTTGAAGTGTCCACAGAAGAGACTCAAGTGTCCCAAAGTGCGGTGATCAAGACTGAAGTGGTCAGTGATAGCAATAAGGAGAATCTCCCACCGGAGAAGAGCAAATTAAATAGTGGCAGTGAAAAGTGTGTTGACGAGCCGCCAAGTAAGCAATTGAAGACCGAAAAGTCGCCGGAAAAGAAGAAAAGCTCGCCTGAGAGAGTGTCTAAAATTCCAGTGAAGAAGGCTTCGCCTGAGCAGGAAGTGAAGACAAGTGAAGCAAAGACTGTTGAGCCGGAAAAAGCGAAGGTAGTGACTGAAGTGCCAAAAGAAGCCAAGAAAGAGACAGTTCAGGAATCTGTGAAGACAGAAGTGAAAGTTCAAGAGGCGGAGAAACCAAAAGAACAACCAAAGGAATCTGTGAAATCGGAAGTTGAGAAGCCTAAGCAAGAAGTGCCAAAACAGCAAAAGGAGCCTGAAAAACCAAAGACAGTTCAGGAACCAGTAAAAGCAGAAGCACAGAAGGAACCTGAAAAGCCGAAGGTAGTTCAGGAATCTGCGAAACCAGAAGCAAAGAAAGAGACAAAGAAGGAACCTGAGAAACCAAAAGCGGTTCAAGAGCAACCAAAAGAAGTTCAGAAAGAACCTGAAAAACCGAAAACAGTTCAAGAGCAACCAAAAGAAGTTCAGAAAGAACCTGAAAAACCGAAAACTGTTCAAGATTCTGTAAAATTAGAAGCACAGAAGAAACTTGAAGAACCGAAAACAGTTCAAGAACCTGTAAAGTCGGAAAAAGAAAAGCAAGAAGTACCGATAGAAGCTCAGAAAGAACCGGAAAAGCCGAAAACAGTTCAAGAGGAAGCAGTAAAGTCGGAACCGGAGAAAGCTGCTAAATCGGAAACAGAGAAACCGAAAGCAGATCCGCCGAAGAAGGTAGATAATCCCATTTCTCCTGTCAGCGCTGGAAGTGATAAGGGTGCCAAGGACAAGCCATCAGTGACATTCGATCGCGCAGCAGACGGTCAGGACAAGGCGTCGGAGAAGGTCTCCGGATCAGAGTCAAGTAAGGGCGTACCCTTGAAGAAAATCCTCTCGAAACCCATCGAAGATCCCGACCCGCCAGACCGCAAGGAACCTCCCCGCGGCGGTGGCGATCGCCCACCCTCCACCACTGTTATTCCCGACTTCAATCCCCCGCCACCGCTAGTCTACCACACGACCTTCGAGGTCTCCCTCCACAAAGAACCCCTCCCGCCACCTCCAGTGCCACCCACAATCTCCCACAAGATTATCGTGCACACTGAGAGCCTTGAGCAGCGCACGGCGGACTTCCTCAGTGGGAAATGCCAATTGGACCCCGTGAACTACTCCTTGGAGGCGGCACAGAGTAAATTGCGCGACATCAAGTCCACTGTACACAAGTCCAAAGACACATCAGATCGCGTTGAGGACACGGTGTGGAAGGCAAAGTGTGGGGTGTTCGATAAGATTCCAGCGCCGCCGCCACCAGAGCCGCAGCGTCCCAAAGTATATGACATTGTGGAGATTGTCGAGCCACCTGGAGAATGTGCTAAGTTGCCTGAGGATCTCCAGAAGCAGTACGACATCACCAAGGAATTATTGATAGCAAAGGGTGAACAGAAAATGGCAAGCAGATATTCAAGTTCGCGCTTCTCGCGCAAGAGTCAAGGTGAGATGGGAGGCTCGTGAGCCATCTGTGTCGTCTGTTTCTCTCTCTCTCCCGTGTTGTACAGCTCCGGTGGATGTGTCCTCATCGACGCGCGATCTCAAACACTGTGAAATCAATGCATGTTTCTCATTCCCAACTTTTCTTCCAGCTTCAAGAGCGCTTCTTGCGTTGTCCAGGAATGCAAAGTGTGCCCATTTAGTTGATTTTCATAGATCATTTTGAATGTTTATGTCTTTCTTTTTTATATATGTGTAACATTTTGTTAGGGGAAGTTGGAGAGTTTTGGGCACTGAAATCACCACGAAATGCAAAGAAACGTAAATATTTACCTCAATCTCAGAAATATCTTCAACATTAAAATGCTTTTCCGGAAGATTTGATTGAAAAACATTGATTAAAAGTGAAATTGCGCCCGAAACTGCCTCGCTCTCCCCTATGTTTATATGTATATCTCTGTTCTATGCTTTTATTTTTCACACTACTTTCCCTCCTTGGTAATTTTAATATAGTTAGCAGCTCGTATCAGTCATCTTATGAATCTAGTTCAATGTCGGGCTCCTCGTCGGCTTATGCATCGTCAGACCAGCGCTATGCCACGGGCGTCGGAAATGAGCGACAAATATCCAATGGAACTGGCATTAAGCCAATCTTTAAGAAAACCATGAAAGGGTGTAACATCCAACGTAAGTCTTTCCCACATTCATCTCAATCTTTTCTCTACTCTATCTTCAAGCCCCGACACCAAGGCTCTGGACAGACTTGGTTAACCCTGTCCTTTCCTGTAGTATTGCTAACAAGTAGAACCACGAATCCACAATCATTTCATCATATGGAGGATTAGAACACATACAAAAAAAACGTGCCGTCGCTTTTGAAGCTTAAGTACGCTTCGGTGATCGTCGTGCAATCGTAGAAAAGTGTAGAAAAACTAATAATACACCACAAGATCATCCCGAGATTTTAATGTTTCGCCCAATATCACACCACTGACTTAATCAATCTCTCTACAGCCGGCGATAAGGCGTCATTTGAGATCCAGTTGGAGGCCGAGCCGACTTCTGTGACATGGTTGAAGGACAACAAGCCCTTGGACGATCGTCTCGCGGATCGCATTAAGAAGGGCGAATTGGCCAACAACACATACAAATTGGAGCTTCAGCACTGCAGCGAGGACGACAGTGGATTGTACACGGCCAGAGCCAACAACGGTGCGGATTCAGCAACTTGCAGTGCCCAATTGATCGTGCAGAAGAGTAAGAAGCTGCTGCTGATCAGCCTTGAGACATTTTGATTGAAACTGTGTTCTTTTGCACAGTGTCGGCGGAGAAGAAGAGGGAACTGGCCGAGGCCAATGCGCCAGTCTTTACCATTCGCCTGAAGGACACGGAAATCATGGAGAACACCTTCCTTCGCTTCATGGTGAAGGTCAAGGGTGATCCTTCGCCGAAAGTGCAATTGTGAGTGATGATCAGCAATCTTGATGCATTTCAATTCGCATTTCATCCCTTTTATCTGCAGTTTCAAGGATGGCAAGGCCATTCAAGCGGGTGATTCTCACATCGAGATCAACAGCGAACGCGAAGAAGCTGGTTTCTACGAGTTGATCATTGCGGAAGTGAACAAGAGAGACGCCGGAAACTACTCGTGCACAGCCACAAATAAACACGGAGAGGCTTCTTGTGAGGCTCACGTAACTGTTTGTGGTGAGTTGAATCCTTTCCATTCATCTCAAGACCTTTTTGCAATGAGTGATTAATGTTCCAGAGGACAAAGACATCTTCGGTGAGTTGTCCGGAGGAATTTTGCCACAGGGTGAAAAGCCCTCATTCTCGTGGAAGCGAAACGGCCAGGCGTTCGATCCGGAGGAGCGCTTCAAGGTGCTCCTGGGCGATGACGAAGACTCTCTGGCCCTCGTCTTCCAGCACGTGAAGCCCGAGGACGCGGGGATTTACACTTGTGTGGCACAAACAAGCACCGGAAATATCTCATGCAGCGCCGAGCTCACTGTCCAGGGCGCTGTGCAGCAGCTGATGCGTGAGCCCGAGAAGCCGCAGCTGATCATTGAGCATCGGGAGCCCGTGGCCTCGATTGGCGGATCGGCCATGCTGGAGCTGCAGTGCAAGGGCTACCCGAAGCCCGAGATCCTGTGGAAGCACGACGGGAAGGTCGTGGAGCCCAGCGGCAAGTACAAGTTCCTGTACGAGGACTCCGAGAGCATGTCGCTGGTGGTGAAGAACGTCACCACGGAGGACGCTGGAGTGTACACGATCACGGCGTCTAATGAGCTGGGTGTGGACATGGCAGAGATGAATTTGGTGGTGAAGACACCGCCCAGGATCAAAAAGCCCAAGGATTTCACCTGTATGGCTGATGAGGTGTTCAAGATGGGCGTGGAAGTGGAAGGCGTGCCGGCGCCCACTTGCAAGTTCTTCAAGGAAGGCAAGGAAATCTACGAAACTGAGCGCGTGAAGTTCACCAGCTCCAAAGGCACGCATAACATTGAGTTCTACAACGCCAGCCTGAAGGATAGTGGCGCTTATTCAGTCATCGCTACAAATGAGGTGAGTCAGACGTCAGAGTTCTGGTCGCTCACAGTGAATTCCGCCCCGAAAGTCACCAAGAAGCTCGGCGAGCAGATCATCGTGGGTGAGAAGGAGGACATTGTCCTCACAGTGAGGACGGATTCCTATCCGCCGCCCACTGTGAAGTGGCTGAAGGACGGCAAGGAGCTGAACATGAAGGACTCTAGGATTCGCGTCCTCACTGAGGGAGATGTCCACACACTCATCATCAGCGGCGCTTGTCGCACAGACGCCGCTCGCTACGGTGTGGAGCTGATCAATCAGCACGGCACAATTCGCGACGAGACGACAGTGGACGTGCGCTGTGGCCCGCAGTTCAAGCAGAAGCTCAAAGACATCACCGTCAATGAGGGTGACACGAACATTGAGCTCTCGGTGAGCGTCGAGGGCTTCCCCAAGCCCACCATTCAGTGGTACATCGACAGCACTGAGATCTCGAGCACGCGCAACGAATATCGCCGCACGGAGGAGGGCGAGAATTACAAGCTCATCATCAATGAGATCACGACGGAGATGCGCGGCAAGTACTCTTGCGTGGTGAAGAACGAGTTTGGCAGCGACGAAACCGTGGCCAATGTCACAGTTCAGTGCAAGCCGAAGCTGAAGAAGAAGCTGAGGGACACAGAAGTCAATGCTGGGGATGATCTTAAGCTGGAAGTGGAGGTTTACGCCGTGCCAGAACCTCACGTCACTTGGTAAGAATTAGTGTGTCCTTGAGTGTGTCTCTAAACTGCATTGCGACTGAGGATTTCCTGGTGTGCAGGTATAAGGATGGGCAGGAGGTTCGTGCTGATGCCAGAATCAAGATCTCAAGGGACTCCCAGAGGCTCGAGAGCTACTGGTTGACGCTGAATCTGGTGAAGGAAGCCGACGCTGGCGAATATGAGGTGAAAGTCAGCAATCCTCTGGGCGTTGTTGAGACAAGAAGTCAAGTCACTGTTATCAGTAAGTATTTCCCGAGAGGAAGATAATCACTCTGAAACCCACTTTAAGAACACATTATAGCGATTTCACAGTTGAGAAAGTAAGTTCCAGCTTCAGTTATCGAGATGATTTTGTCCTTTGACTCGTTTTTTTTCTTTCTTTTTGGCAAAACACCCTCAAGAATCGGGAATTTGCATTTACTTATTATGTATTAATTTTACTTGAACGTCCCAAACACTGTTGATATCATGACTGTTTTCTGTGCTGTATTTCCAATATAGACAAAGAGGAGGATTTAGGCAATAACATGCAATTGAAGCAGAAAAAGATAATTCTGGAGGAGGAAACGGTTGAACTGCAAGAAGTTCAGGAAGAGCGCGAACCGGCAACAAAGTTGCACGTTAAGCAGGAAGAGGGTAACATAATCTCAGATACTTCCTCATCAATAGCAAAAAAAAAACATCCTCATCTCAATAATTCCCACACAATCATCCTCTTTTTGTGGACATTGTGTTATCGCGCACAATCTCTCACCTCTTGTAGAAAAGCAGATCATTTTGTTTTTTGCTCAAATCATCCATCATGATATTTTTGTGACTGACCTTTTTTCCTGTAAAAGTCCCACCACTTCTCCCATCACTCTGTCATGGTAAAACAACGATCATTATTCTCTGTTCTCACAAATAGAAGAAAGGACCTTAAAGACAAGTCCCGAATTGTCCAAGCAAACCCTCACTGAATGTGTCAAGGTTGGCGAATCTGGGGAAAGTGTACGCATATCTGTGCTTACGGAGGAGAGTCGTGAGGCCACGGTGTCAGGTAATGTCTGGCCAGACAAGATTGCTTGTATAGAAATCTGTAAATGGTCACAGAAACACACCTCAATGTGCGCTTCACTAATTGTTGACTTTGTATAAATCCACAACAATGGAAAAAAAAACTTCGAAACAGGTGCCGAAGAAGCTCACACGGTGCACAAAATGCGCGCCACGACGGTGATTATGGAGGAGGACAGCTCAATGCAGGAGCCAACAGTGACGAATATCATTCCGCCCAATCGACCGCACGCCACGTCCTTCCAGGTGGAGGAAGTGGGCAGCTTCACCTTCACCAGTCACGACGAGTCCGTCACTTATCAGACACTGGACGCCGCAGAGAGGCCTCTCCATGGCGTCATTGACGAGGGCGAGTCGGATTGTGAGGTCAGCGTGGCTCACAAGAAGATCTCCTCGCGCGGCGTGTCCATAATGTCCGCCTCTGAGGATGAGAGCAGCTTCCGCAGCGGAATGCTGTCGCGCGAAGTGTCCATCGATGAGGTGCAGAAGGACATGGTGTTGGACGAAGGCTCCATTAAGATCCAAGTGACTGAGCGGAAGGCGGAGAGTTTTGAGACTTTTGTGGCCGAAATGGATGCCGGAGAGGAGAATGAGTCCAGGAAGAAGCGAGGAAGACTCATGGAGACTGCCGAAGCGGAGCAACACGCCCAAGACGAGGGCAGCCGAAGGAAATCCGCTGCTGAGAGTGACGGAAAGGACAAACCGAAAGCCAGGAGAGGAACTCTGATAGCAACTGTTGAGACTGAAGACGGTGCAGAAGATGCTTTTGCCACGCACAAAGCTGACGAGGAGGAGAAAGCTGTTGAAAGTAAGACTGTGAGATTGCTTAAGAAGGAGAAAGCAAAGCAGGAAGACAGCGAATCCGACAGTCTCAAGCTCAAGATCCGCGATCTTGGCGATGAAGATGACGATAAACGACAGAAGGGCAGAAGATTTGAAGTACAGGAAACTGAAGATGAGATAGAAGATATCTTTGCCTCACACAAATCCCAAAAAGCCGATGAAGAAGACAAAGCAGTTGAAAGCAAAACCGTGAAACTTCTCAAGAAAGAGAAAGCTGAGCAGGAAGATAGTGAATCTGATAGTTTGAAGCTTAAAATCCACGATCTCGCTGATGAAGATGACGATAAACGACAGAAAGGAAGGAGATTTGAAGTACAGGAAACTGAAGATGAGATAGAAGATATCTTTGCCTCGCAGAAATCCCAAAAAGCTGATGAGGAGGAAAAGGCCGTTGAAAAGAAGACTGCTAGATTGCTCAAGAAGGAGAAAGCTGAGCAAGAAGACAGTGAATCGGACAGTCTCAAGCCCAAAATCCGCAATCTTGGCGATGAAGATGAGGACAAGCGACAGAAGGGAAGGCGATCGGAAGTGCAGGAGGCGGAAGAGGACGATTCCATTGAGGAATTGCTAAAGCGTGGGGAGCGACAGAGAAGTGTTCTTGGTGACATTCTCGATAAGCAGCAGGAGATCAAGAAAGAAGGTATTCACGGAGTACAAGTAGAATGTAGAAGAAGTTGTCTAATCGCCGTAGTTTGAGATAATATAGAAATGTGGCCAATTAATTTAATTAATTTAAAACAACAATACTAGAAAAAAAAACACTGCATGGAAGTGGTATTTTCTTGTGATGTTACTTATTGAATTTTCACCTTTTTCTCTCTCTCTCTGTCTCCGTCTTTGACACTCTCTATTGGATATCATCTTTTTCTCTGGTAAGTGTTGAGCTATTATCAAATACAATTGATATCTTGTAAATATTGGAAGCAGAACATCTAATATCTATACTGTAAATATTCCTCAAACTTCAAGGGCTTATGCTGTAAAAATCAACTTAATGATCGATGTAGAGTGAATTTCATCCTAAATTTTCAACTCAAAATTCCTTTCTAAAAGGCAGTGAAATTTAATCGCATTTTCAATCACTTTAGCCGTTCCTGAAATTCTCAGCAGTGACATTAAGGATCACACTGTTTATGAATCCCTTCCGATCTCCTATGAGATCTCAGCTCGTGGCATTCCTGAGCCAGAAGCTAATTGGATGCACGAAGGAAAGTACGTTAAGGAGGATGGAAACCGTGTGAAGATCACTAAAACTGGGGTAAAAAATCACTTTTCCCATCAAGAATGTCTCTAAATTCTTCTTAATCGGCAATTTCATTTACAGGAGAAGTTCAAATTGGACATTACCGAGGTGAAGATGGAGGATCAGGGCGAATACAAGGTTGTGATCCACAACAAACTGGGAGAAAAGGCGCAACAAGCTGTCCTCACAGTCATCCGTGAGTGTAAAATTAATGATCAAATATGAAAAATCCTGAAAACTTCAAATTGCAGCTGTTGCTGAGCTTCGCAAGCCAATTTGCTTGTCTCCTTTGAAGGATATCGACGCCAAGAAGGACGAATTCGTCTCTTTCACCACCACTTTGACCGCCGATCCTCTGCCTGACGTTGTCTGGTGCAAGAACGGAAAGGAAATCACCTCCGATGGCTTCATAGACATCAAGCAGAGTGTCAAGGAGCTCGAGCATGGACTCAAGGAGATCACCTACTCGCTCAACATCCCCACGGCGCGTCACCAGGACACTGGAGATTACTCGATCAAGGTGAAGAACAAGTACGGCTACGCTGAGGCCAGTGCGCATCTCGAGGTGTATCTGAAGCCAGAGATCAAGGGCCTGAAGGATCAGTCGGCGGAGCCTTACGATGAGATCATCTTCGAGTGCGTCATTCATGCCAATCCCAGGCCGAAGGTTGTCTGGACGAAGAACGGTCAGAATCTCTGCACGAACGACAACTTCGAGGTGATCGCGGACGTTGAGCGCGAAACTTACAAGCTGATCGTCAAATCTGCTGTGCCCGAAGAGGGTGGATCTTACACTGTCACGGCGAGCAACAGCGAGGGAGAGACGCAAGGCTACGTGCAGCTGCATCTGCACGTGGAGAAGCCCACCTTCATCAAGCTGCCCGAGGATCAGAGCGTTCACGATTACGCCGAGGTGATCACGAAGGTGCGCGCTCAGGGCGTGCCGAAGCCCGAAATCAAGTGGCTGAAGGACGGCGAGGAGCTGAACATGAACAACAGGGACTCCAAGAGGCCCAGAATTCACGTGGAGACAACCAGCGAGACCCAAATTGCCAGCGACATGAGCATTGAGCACTTCAACACGGATCACGCCGGAGAATACACTGCCATTGCGTACAACGTGACGGGTGAAACCGAGGCGCGCTTCAAACTCTCGATGCTCAACACGCCGCCGTCGCTCTTCAAGAACCTGGAGCGCTTCGTGGAAGTGGACGAGGGCGAGAAGCTCCTGCTGAGCGCCATTCTCGCCGGAAGTCCCATTCCACAAGTGCAGTGGTTCAAGGATGGCGACAAATTGGAGCCGAGCGAGCAGTGAGTTGCTAAACTGCACGTTGTTTTAGTGCACTCATTAATTCCGGCCACTTTCAATTGCAGCGTTAAGATGACGAATCTGCCAGATGGAACAGTAAAGCTAGAAATAGAACATGCGCAGCCATCAGACTGCGGCGCCTACAAATTGGTCATTTCCAATGCAAATGGCACGAGCGACGCTCTCTGCGCTGTGGCAGTAAATCGTGAGTAGAGTGCTAAAATCCCCAAAGTGAGTGCCAAATCCCATCTAATGCCACTTCCTTGCAGCCGAGCCAAGACGTCCATCCTTTGTCAAGCCGCTCAGTGACGCCAAAGTTGTGGTTGGAGATGTTCTCAAGCTGGAGGCGGAAGTCATTGGATTCCCCGTGCCGGAAGTGCAGTGGTTCAAGGATGGCGTTCCTGTTCGCCTCTCGCCAGAAGTCAACTTCATCTGCCAGCCCAATGGAATCATTGGTCTGGTCATCGATTCAGCACGTGCTGAAGATCAAGGCACTTACACGGTGAAGATCATGAACAAACTGGGCGATGTTGAGGGCAAGGCTCATGCTGAGGTGGAGCCGAAGCCCCAGAAGCCCGGCTTTGTGGCTGAACTCAAGGACGCCAAGGGCATTGAAGGCTTCCCGGTGACCATGAATGTGAAGACAACTGGTCATCCGCCGCCAGAGATCAAGTGGATGCACAACGGCGAGGAGATTCGTCCTAGTGAGCACTTCAAGGTTGACACAACTCCCAAAGGCGCCTCCACGCTTGTGATTGATCGCGTGGAGCCCAAAGACGCCGGAGAGTACAAAGTCATTGCGACGAATGACGAAGGCGCGGCCACGAGCAAGGCTCATCTCTCAGTCAAGCCCAAGATGGACGAGGCTGAGCCTGAGGAGGCGCCGAAGTTCCTCAACAGTCTGCGCGACGTGAATGTGGACGAGGGCAAGCCCATGCGACTCCAGGCGCCCTTCTCCTCGAATCCCATCCCAGAGATCTACTGGACAAAGGACGACGTGCCGCTCGTGCCGAGCGATCGTGTTCTCGTCACTTGTGACGGCAATCACGTGGGCTTGGTGGTCAATCCCGTGGAGATCACAGACTCTGGCAAGTACAAGTGTCTCTTGGCCAATCCTCTGGGTGAGGATCAGTCCGAGTGTCAGGCCAGCGTGAGGAAAGTGTATCAGCGTCCTCAGTTCACTCACAAGTTGATCGATCTGCAGGAGCTGCCGAAGAACGATGCCAAGTTCCCGTACAAACTCACCGGAATCCCTGCTCCTGACGTCACTTGGTACTTCAACGACAATCCCATCTCCGATGGGCACAAGTACAAGATCAAGAGCGAAGGCGATCTCGGGTGTTTGTACGTGAAGAATTGCACACCATCTGACTCTGGGGTGTACAAATGCGTGGCACGCAATCGCGAGGGTCAGGACAGTACCCAGGCTCGTCTGGATGTTGTGGACAAGATGTAAGTAATGCAAAACTCGCAGATCTTCAGGAATTTTCACGTAAAATTCTCCAATTTTCCAGCGAACGACGTGAGAGAGCAGAACCGCCGTCCTTCCTCAAGAAGATCGGAGACACTGAAGTCTTCCTGGGCACGAAAGCCAAGTTCACAGCCTGCGCCAATGGCTTCCCTGAGCCCCAAGTCGAGTGGTATCACGATGGCATCAGGCTCTTCCCCTCGGAACGCATCAAGATCGAAGCTGAGGCTCACGGACTTCTCCGACTCTCCATTGACAACATCAACGAGAAGGATGTCGGCAAGTACAAGTGCCTGATCTTCAATCCCCACGGAGAGGATTACTGCACAGCTGATCTCTTCACAGAGAGTAAGTCTGAAGTCAGAGTATCTCAAACACTTTCTAAGCCTCTTTTCCTGGTTCCAGCTCTCGATGAACACGGCGGAAAGGGACTTGGCGATCAGTACAGCGAGTTCGACAAGCACAAGCGCTCAGGAGCTCCTGTTCCTCTGCCAGATCGTCCTATCATCTCCAAGATGACAGACCGTCGCCTCACGCTCACCTGGAGACCTTCGTTCCCCTCGACCGGACGCTTCCCAGTCACCTATCAGGTGGAAATGCTGGAGCTGCCGGACGGAGATTGGTTCAATGTGCGCTCAGGCGTGCGAAATTGTGCCTGCGAAATCCGCAATCTCGAGCCCTATCGCGACTACAAGTTCCGCATCCGTGTGGAGAATAAGTTCGGCGTGAGCGATCCCAGTCCCTACGCTCAGACCTACCGCCAGAAGCTGGAGCCGGATCCGCCCAAGTTCTATCCCTACCTCCTGCCAGGCATCGACTTCCGTCCCAAGACCTCGCCGTACTTCCCCAAGGACTTCGACATCGAGCGTCCGCCGCACGACGGATACGCCCAGGCGCCCGTCTTCCTGCGCCAGGAGCACGATTGCCAGTACGGCGTGAAGGGGCACAACGTGAATCTCTTCTGGTACGTCTACGGCTATCCGAAGCCCAAGATGACGTACTACTTCAACGACGAGCTGATCGAGCCCGGCGGCAGATTCGACTGGAGCTACACGCGCAACGGCCAGGCGACACTCTTCATCAATCGCATGCTGGACAGGGATGTTGGGTACTTCGAGGCTGTGGCGAAGAATGAGCACGGCGAGGCGCGGCAGAGAGTGAAGCTGGAGATCGCTGAGTTCCCACGCTTCATTCAGCGCCCCGAGGAGACATACATCATGGCCAGGAAGCACGGTCGCTTGGAGGCCAAGGTCACGGGAGTTCCCTTCCCTGAGCTCAAGTGGTACAAGGATTGGCAGCCGCTGGCCGAGAGCTCGAGGATAAAGATGCAGTTCTACGAGCCAGACACTTGCGTCCTCCTCATCAGTGACGCCATTTACAAGGACGAGGGCTTGTATTCCCTCTCTGCTCGCAATGTGGCCGGCTCCGTCAGCTCTTCGGCGATGATCCACATCGACGACGACGAGGACGAGTACATCTACCACGCGCACTCACGCCGACCCTACGTGCGATCCAAGCAGCGCCCATACGAGGACGCCTACGACATCGGCGACGAGCTGGGCAGAGGCACTCAGGGCATCACTTATCACGCTGTCGAGAGGGCGACTGGCAGGAACTTCGCCGCCAAGATCATGCACGGCAAGGATGATCTACGCGCCTTCATGTTCAACGAACTGGAGATCATGAACTCGCTGAATCACAAGAAACTCATCCGGCTGCACGATGCTTTCGACACGAATCGCTCGATGACTCTGGTGATGGAATTGGCGGGCGGAGGAGAGCTGGTGCGAGACAATCTGCTGAAGAGGAACTGGTATACTGAGCGCGACATCGCCATCTACATCAGACAACTCCTGCTCGGCCTGGATCACATGCACTCATGCGGCATTGCTCATCTGGGCCTGAACATCAAGGATCTGCTGATTGCGCATCCGGGCAGTGATGAGCTGAAAGTGTGCGACTTCGGTCTGGCCAGGCGCATCCAGAGCGGCAGACAAGGCCCGCTGGAGTACGGAATGCCCGAGTATTGCGCCCCAGAAGCCGTCAATCTCGAGCCTGTGTCGTACAGCTACGACATGTGGGCCACTGGCATCCTGACTTACGTCCTCCTGAGCGGATCATCGCCGTTCCGTGGCGACAACGACCGCGAAACCCTGACGAATGTGCAGCAGGGCAAGTGGGAGTTCCGCGAGAGTGTGTGGAAGTACATCTCAGAGGAGGGCAGAGACTTCATCTCCAAGCTCTTGATCTACATGTCTGAGAAGCGAATGGACGTGAAGACAGCGCTGAAGCATCCCTGGTTCAATCTCATCCACCGTCGTGTTGATGATGAGTATCGCATCAGCACTGATAAGCTGAGAACTTATCAGTTCCAGTTCCAGGACTGGTACAACAACGCCTCCTGCAGGACCTGGTACAGACGTCGGCCGCTCGCCGGCGCCTTCAGTCACCCATCGAAGATGGTCTATCCGCCAGGAGAAGTCTACACGCCCGGACCGACTCCGGACAGAGAATCCAAGGTCAAGTCGAAGCGCGGCCCGATGGAGGACTACGTCGGCCGGGAGCCTGCAGAGTATGAATGCGGAGTCTTCCAGTCTGAAAGCCAGTAAGTAAATGAAATGGGCGGAGCCTCTCAATGGGCGGGGCCTCAATTGACCAATCTCTTTCATCAATTTCCTCTCATTTCAGCTACCAATACGGACCGGACACATATTTGCTTCAGCTTCGCGACACTGACTTCCCAGTTCGTCTGCGTGAGTACATGAAAGTCGCTGTCCACCGCTCGCCTGGCTTCTCCTACAATCTCAGCGAGACACAGTACGATTGGTCCCTGCCGATCATCCGGGAGCGCCGTCGCTTCACTGACGTCATGGACGAGGAGATTGACGACGAGCGCCGCTCCAGAATCAGTTCCTACGGCTCCAACGACGGCTACAGCATCCGCCGGCTGAGGACGGAGCTGGGATCGCGCCTGGACACATACGTGGAGGCAGACGCGCTGATTGAGTCGAAGAAGATGGGCCATCCGCCCTTCTTCCGCGAGAAGCCCCAAATGCTCGCCATCACAGACAACGAACCCGCCCAGCTGCAGTGCTTCGCCGTGGGCGATCCAATTCCCGTCGTGCAGTGGTTCAAGAACGACATGGTGTTGACTGAGAGTCGCCGCGTGAAGATCGTGACGGACGAGGCGGGCAGATCGATACTCAAATTCCAGCCGGCCGTGCACTTCGACGAGGGCATCTACAAGGCTGTCGCGAGGAACAAGGTTGGACAGACGGTGGCCAGGACGAGAGTGGTGGTCGCCACTCTGCCAGACGCTCCGGACTCTCCGGAGGCGAGCAGCATCAGTGACACGGAAGTGCTGCTGCGCTGGAAGCAGCCGCGCGACGACGGCCACTCCTCAGTGCTCTGCTACATGCTGCAGTACAAGCTGGCCAGCGACGACACGTGGCTCACGGTGGCGGACAACATTGATCATGAGTTCTATCTGGCGCACGAACTGGAGGAGCGGCACAACTACCAATTCCGCCTGGCGTCGCGCAACAAGATCGGCTGGAGCGACATGGGAATCCCCACGCAGATCATCACGACGCGCGAGGCGGGCTGTCCCAAAGTCACCCTGTCGCGCGCCATGCGCCACCTGCAGAACCTGACCGAGGGCGGCCAGGAGATCGCGTGGGAGGAGCAGAAGCACCATCCCGACTATCGCTTCGAGCGCGAGCCCGTGGAGTGGACGAAGGAGAACAACCTGAGCCAGTACTACAGCTTCATCTCGGAAATCCACCGCGGCAAGTTCTCGATAGTGGTGAAGGGCGTGGACAAGGCCACTGACCACGTGGTGGTGGCGAAGATCTTCGAGCTGAACGCAGACTCGGAGGCTGAAGTGCAGCACGAGTTCAATCTCTTCCGCACGCTGCGCCACGAGAGAATCCCCGCCCTGCTGGCCGCCTTCCGGCCGCAGAACTCCCCCATCGCTGTGCTGGTGCAGGAGAAGCTCCAGGGCGCCGACATCCTCACCTACATGGCCAGCCGCCACGAGTACAGCGAGCAGGTCGTGGCGACCGTGGTCACGCAGATCATCGACGCCCTGCAGTACCTGCACTGGCGCGGCTACTGCCACCTCAACCTGCAGCCGGACAACGTCGTGATGGCGTCCGTGCGCTCTGTCCAGATCAAGCTGGTGGACTTCGGGGCGGCGCAGAGGGTGTCGAAGCTGGGCACCAGCTGCCCAGTCACGGGCTGGCTAGACTTCTCGGCGCCCGAGATGATCAACGAGGAGCTGATCTATCCGCAGACGGACATCTGGTCCGTGGGTATCCTCACGTACGTCCTCCTGTCCGGCGTAAGTCCGTTCCGCGGCGGCAACGAGTCGGAGACCAAACAGAACATCACATTCGTGCGCTATCGCTTCGAGAATCTCTTCAAAGAGGTCAGCCAAGAGGCCACGCGCTTCATCATGTTCCTCTTCAAGCGAGGACCCAGGTAAACCGCGTATATTTGCAGGGATTCCCGCAGGGATTCTCATGGAATTGTTTGTGTGTGTCTTTGCAGCAAACGTCCCACTTGCGAAGAGAGTCTGGAACACCGATGGCTCATGGCCACAGATTACATGAACAAGAAGCGCGAGAGAGCTGTCTTCCTAGGAAACCGACTGAAGGTGTGTTTTCTTTTCTCATTTTTAGGAATCCCACAGAGAATTGTGATAAAACAACGGCTGATGGAAGTGACATCCTTGCACTTATTTTGTCCAAGCAGCTTTAGACTCATTTTCATATCTTTAAGGAAGTGGAACAACACCAAAAGAACACACTAAAGCCATCATGATTTATTGACGAATGTCTCACCAAAACGCTGAAATGAGTTCACAAAGCATTTGCTGTGGAAGATTTCCAGCAATCTCTTTATCACACGATGAAGAAAAATCTCAAAGCAAACGCGGCCTTTTATGACGAACGTCAATAAGAAATGAGACTAGAATGCCACTGGAATTGCTGCACTGAAAACAAGTGAATGATCTCTCTAATTTCTCTGTGTTGCAGGACTTTTCGGAGGAATATCACACGATGAAGATGAACGAGGCGATGCAGTCGGACACCATCAGCTCGTCCTTCATGAGCGGCGGTCCTTCGCCGAGGCAATTGCTGCGCTCCAACTCCATCCAAGAGGAACTCTCGGCCGCTCTGTAGACATCGGCGTCAGAATATCCTAATGAAATCTTACTGCTATATCAAATGAGCTTTCTTTTAACATGTTATTAATCGGTGGGGGTGTTTTATTGGAGGCGACAAGCGAAAACCAACACAGTGATAAAGATTTCAATAAATTGTTGTCGAATAATCGCCAGTCTTATCTGTAGAAGTTGCGCTTAATCATCTCAAATTCATCGTCCAGCAGTGCGTCTTCATCCAGCTCCACATCCTGCTGCACAGTGGTGGTCGTCGTGTCCTGAACAACTGGCATCATTGGCATGAACTGCACTGTTGATGGCATTGCCTGTACGGGAACTGCCTGCACAGGCACGTCGGCCGATCTGTTGAGCAGCGTCATGCCCACGAGCGGAAGAATCGCCTTGAACACCAGCTGAGGAGAGAAAACTAAATTTAGCAGAGATTCCGCATCAAATCTTCACATCTTTTCCTCACCCTTATGCACGCGAGAATCAGCGGAGCGAGCTTCACCACAGCCACAGTCAATCCCGTCCAGAGAGCGTCAATCATGTCGGATCTGATCGTGGCGAAAGTCCTCTCGGCATGAGAAACTGGGAGAGTTCTGTCGAAGAATGTCCTCAATCGTGTTCCCGGCGAGAGATTGATGCTCTGAACTGGCGTCTGCACGGGCTGCGGAACTGTCTGGACAACGGTGGTGGTTGTGCTTTGTGGCCGAGTCTTCTTCCTCTTGCCCATCTTCCCAATCACATCCCGAATGCCGCCCACTTGCGTGTCCTTGGCTATCCTCAAGTGTTTCTCGTCCTCTGGATTTCCCGACGCTTCCATCACCGGCGGGGAATTCTGGGCATCCTGCAGATCTCTCAGCGTGTTCATGAATTGCTTCTGCATGCTCGAGAACGTCGCCACGGTCTCCTTCATCTCATGCAGCGTGTCATCCTCCGCCGGACGATAGTAAGGCCTCTGCGGATAAGGATAGAAGTCTGTGGGTGGTGGAGGCGGCGGCAGATGGTTTGGCAACCGGTGATAGTGCGTATTGGGGAGACTCTCCGATCCGGCAGCCACTTCAGTATCACTCTCAGTCACTTCGGCGGGCAGTTTGGCGGCCTCTGGCCAGGAACACTGATCCCCCATGAGGAGGAACAGGCAGAAGACACACTGGAAATCCTTGCGACTCATTCTCAAGCTTGACGACGACTGAAGGCATCGCCGAAACTTCTGGCCACTCTTCAGGTGCGTGCGGAAGTTCTTTCTGCCTACTGGACACTCTCGCCGGCTTCCTGTATCCGGTGGAAGACGGCCGAAAAACACTCCTCGCCACTCATGCTGATCGTGCCAAATACTTGTCGCGCCAATTATCACCTGAAGTCAATTGAAAATATTCCAATTAGCGCACTGACACCACGTAAGATCTTCATAAGCTGACTCACAAGTGATCTTGTGCACATTTCTTACCCATCTTTCAGTCTCTGACGAACACTCCACAATCATCACAGAGTCACTTGATCGCAAAGCATAAAGAGAGTGAGACAGAGAAGCGTAAGTATTCACCTAACTAGCTTACGAGGGAGGTGAGATTTTCCAGAGAAACACGTGGATTTTCTGGACTATTTTAACAAAAAATTATAGATTCAATTTAAAATTGAAGCTATTCCTTGAATTATAGAATTTCACATCATTCTGAAGCTCTAGATTGACTTTTTCCCATTGAAAAAAGCTTCATTATCAATTCAACTTTCCCATAATTTGATGCTCCCTCAGCGTCGCCAATTGATTTCTCACTCTCTTAACGATCACACAATCTTCGTGTGAACGCAGTGAAGAAGAGTGACGATGAAGAAATCCCCAGCTTACCAAAATCGAGCATTTTCCCCATTTTTCACAACGAATCAGCAATAGAAAGTGCCCGAAATTCGCACAGAGAGCAAATTCACTGACCACGAAAACAATATTTTATTGCATAACTGCAATTTTTAATCCCTCTCTCGCCACTATTTCAGACCTGGCGGAAGAGACACGGTGTTTGTGTGATTTATTGGAGCCATAATTCCGTCGCGACATTGAATCTCTCTCTCTTCGCTTAAGATCGGGGATTTCGGTGCATTCTCCTCTCAATCTTATCAAATTTCCGTGCATACTGCAAAATGTGCGCGCCTTTTGCACAACATCGCGATCTCTCAGCGCAACATCACCAGAGATCGCAGTGAATTGAGCGCACTTTGGAGTGAGGAATCGCAATGCAGGACTCAGTGGACGGCCTCCTGGCGCCTGACGGCGGCTGGGGATGGATGGTGGTCCTGGGAGTGGCGCTGACAAACGTGAGTCCCCAGAAATCCCACTCAAGATCAGACTTTTGGGATCATCTCTGGCGCCTTTTCAGATCTTCAACCAGTCTCTGATCTCCGTCTTCGGGCTCCTCTTCAGTCAGCAGCTGCACGAGCTGGGCCAGAGCACCACGGGAGTGGCGCTGGTGATGAACGTCAACAGCATCATCCTCAACTCGTCGGGATTCATCATCGGCCCAGCCATTAAGACCTTCTCTCCGCGCCGCGTGGCCATTTTCGGCAGTCTCCTCACGGGCGTCGGGCTGATTCTCAGCAGCCAGTCGCGCACGCTCTGGCAGATCCTGATCTCCTACGGCGGGATCGTGGGCTTCGGCCTGGGACTGCTCAATCCCTCCACCTTCATGGCCGTCAACTCGTACTTCTCACGCAAGCGCGGCCAGGCAGTGGGATTGGCGCTCGCCGGCACGGGAATCGGCCAGATGCTGATGCCTCAGATCGTGCACTTCCTCCTGGACGAGTTCGGCTACCGCGGAGCCATCCTCATCGTGGGCGCGCTGGCGTTCCACGGCATCGTGGGCGCCAGTCTCTTCCAGCCCGTCGAGTGGCACTCGCACCCGCCGACCGCTTGTCAGGAGCACGAGAAACTCCTGGCCACGGATCCGCCCCTGCAGAAGAACCGCCCGGCGCAGAGCACGAGCGAGAAGCTGAAGAAATCCATGGACTTGAGCCTCCTCAAGGATCTCTCCTTCCTCAACATCAGCCTGGGAGTAGCCATGGCTTACACTTCCTCCATCAACTTCTCCATGCTCTTTCCCTACTTCCTCCAGGTGAGCTTCGCCTTATCTCAATCGACTTTGCCGCCTCACACGGTGACGAAAAGAATTGGCGATTGCTTGGTTAAAGTTGGTTAAAATGGGTATTCAAATTGAGTAAATCAAATGCAGTCTTCTGGGGAAAACCTCTAAATTCTTCCACAGATTCGGGATTATCAGTAAATCTAGTTATGCCTCTTAATTGTTAGAATACTAGACAAAAGGCCAGAATCTTCTCCTCAATGCTAGAATTCAAGTCAATTGAAATTTGAATGTTTTCTCGTTTCCATTGTCAGTTTTCAGCCGGCCTGGACCGGAAGGACGTGGCCATGTGCATGTCTCTCCTCGCCGCCATGGATCTGGCCTCCAGACTCACTCTTCCCACCCTCACGGATCGCTTCCGGATCTCCTGCCGCATGATTTTCCTCGTGGGCGCCGTGCTGCTCATCGGCGTTCGCGCCACGCTGGCCGAGACTTCCCATCGCACGAGCCTTCTGATCATCTCTGGCCTCTACGGCTACATCCGGGCGGCCACAGTGGTGAACCAGAACCTGTGCGTGTCCGAGCACTGCACGCAAGAGAAGCTGGCCGGCGCCCTGGGCCTCGTGATGATCGCCAAGGGGATCTCTGTGATAAGTCTAGGCCAGCTTCTGGGCTGGGTTCGCGACGTGACAGGCAGCTATCGCTTCTCCCTCCACATGCAGAACGTTCTGCTTGTGATTGTGGTGATCTTCTGGCTTCCAGAAGTGATATGGAAGCGTCTCAGGAGGTGAAAATAATAGACAAAATGTAGAGACTCACCGGATTGTTTTATTTGAGGAAGCCAAACACTTCCTTGGACGCGGATTTCCTCGCCAGTTGCTCCTCTTGCTTCAGCGCTTTCAGCAGTTCCACGTTCAGACATTCTCCAGCCATCATTCCCAGCTTGATTGTCTCCTTGATCGTGGAATGGAGGAAAGATCCCGCGCCTGAAGTCCTCAGCATCGTCACGAAGCCTTCATCCGTGGCCTCTGCGTAGGAAACTCCGACCACGAGCTTCGCCGAGGCGCACTCCTCCTCCTCAGCCGACGGATCCACCACTGCGTGGTCCCCAATCTTGCAGAGCGTCACCAGCAGAGGCACGCGCTCGATCGACAGCCTGTAGCAGTCGTGGATGTCATCTGAGAGCTCCAGTTCCACGTTTCCTCCGTCCACTTGGACAGCGTTGACTTTCGGGATCTTCGTATTGAACAGCGCTGCCTTCACCGCCAGCGAGACGGCGTCGAAGAGATTCCCGCCGCACTCCAGAATCAGAATGTCAACATAGAGCTTCCAGCATTGCTGCTCCCTCAGGATGCACAAACTCCTCAAGTTGAAGGCATGTGGCGAGGCGTAGGCCTTCTGCAGGGCGTTGGCAATCTCCAGCGCGAGATCTCCACCACCCTTGCCCTCAAACTCTGGCGTGGCATTGGCTGAACAGTCCACAAAGAACTCAATCTTTCCCTCGTCCGCATGATCAGCGCTTGGAGTGTCAATCTCAGTCTTCACTCCCACGAGGATGTCAGAATTCGCCAGCCTGAGTCTCGCAGAGCCACTTGTGTGTGGCACCACGTCTGTCTCAATCTCCAGTGGCCGGTAATCCCGGCGAGTTCTGCCGTCTGTCCGGAAGTCTTCCTGCAAGACCAAAACTGCGTGAAGAAACCGCGTTCCTGGCATAATTTCACAGCATACCTGCACGCCATGCACAATGAACGTCTTCTCTGCATCACTCAATAAGATATTTGCCATTTTTCACCTTGTTTTCATTGATTTCTCGGGAAAACACCGCATCAAAATAAAACGCCTGATCTCAAACACAACCTCTCCACTGAATGCGGCCATCTGTTGGGAATTTGAGGAAACACGGTCAGGAACTTGCCCGGAAAAAAGCCGGCAATCCTTTCCAACTGCGCACAAATACCCTAACAATTCCTAATTATCATTTAATTTGAATATAATCCTAGTTAAGAAATTTCTGACAATAGGAAGAGATTCACATTACACGATTTCTCTCACATTTGAGTATCTTTATGAGGCTGGAAGTCATCATCTGGCGTACAATTGGACAAATTCCTTGACTTTCATTTGGAAATCCGACTTGTTCTGCAGATACTGTTCCGCCGCTTCGATATTCAGGGGATCATCGAAGTTGAGCAGGTCCTGAGAAGCAGAAAAAAAAGCGCTCGATCTCATCAGGACTCTCAGAACTTGGTTATTCTGTGGATTACTCACCGTGAAGAGAGAGTTCAGTCCCCAGATCACGTCCTTTAACCGTCTGGTTGGGGCCCAACCCATGCCATCGATGGAGTTCTGTCGCAGGAGCGAGAGACAGATGTCTCCTTCGAAGATGTTGGGATGCCACAGCTTTGTCAGACACTTTACCTTTGGAGGCTGCGGAGGAAAGCAAGAAAACCGAACACTGTGTTAATCCTCACTCAGCAGGGATGCCACTTCTCCACATTACCGTCATGTTGTACTCTTCCGGCACGGAAACCGTGAACTGGAACTTCCCTCCTTGCCAGTAACCTTCATCCGGGAGAATCGTCAGGGAAAACTCGCTGAGAACGTGTGGATCACCAAAGTGTATTCTGCACGTGCTGGGCCTGCAAGGACACTCACTTCAGACAAGCTGGTCAGCGCGAATCGCCGAATACTTACAGAGTTTGCTCCATTTCCTGCACCTCCTTCACCAGCAGTCGATCCCGGACGGAAATTCGCTTGGAGACACGCTCTGTCTTCCTGGTCAGCGAGATCATCGTGCTGCCCCACTGCCTTGCCCGTTTTGCCCAATTATTAGACACAGAACATGGTTGAACAGCCCAAGAAACACTACAATTCTGAATATTTACAAAAATGCACACTTTTTCAAGGAGACTTTGACAGCTCAGCCATTATTTTCAACCACTTGGCGCTCGCTGCGCCTCTGGCGGAAACTTTGTAGTTAACCGTGGAGTCGCCATTGTTGTTGTTTTGGAGTTGTGAGGAAAGAAATTTGGAGAAAATTGCTAATATCATTGTGAAATGTGATGAAAATGCTTTACAATGTGAATAATTGAGTGTAAAAGTGCAAAGAATGTGTTTCTTTCGAAATGTCAAGTGGAATTTTTGGGTATGAAAGTCTCTTTCAAAGAAAAGAATTCTAACCATTCCTAAGAAAAGGAAGCCAAGCTAATTTATTTATAGTAATTTTCAATGTAATTTAACAATTAACATTAAGTCAGGCATTATTCAGGATTAACTATTCCTCCAATACCTTGACCAGCTCCACCAACTGTTCCCAAAACATTTCCAGTTATCCCAGCAATGACTTGAAGGATTTGGTTGAAAATGTCCGGATTTGAGGGATTTCCCTGGTTTTGGCTTGGGTTTTGGGCAGAATTCTCATCTGGAAAATTAAACAACATCGTATTAAATACCTGTGCAATTTGCTCAAAGATAAGGATCATCGAATTATGGAGACAAAACACGGTTGTTAAGCATTTATTCCTTCAGAATTATAAGAGATAATGGAGATAATGCTATTGTTATCCTGTGACTCCGCTCAGGAGTCCTCCTGCTCCGCCTAGAACTCCCTGGGCGAGTCCCAAGACGAGCCCCACGAGCTGACTAACGATATCCCGATTTTCCTGATTGTCTTGGCGATTGGATTGACGATTTTCGTCTGGAAATTCACTGAAGAGTAATTTCTAGAGCGAATTCACGGACTTTCCAACTCACCTGCATAGACCAGCGTCACGGCGATCATTGCGATCCAGATGAGGAGAACAGCGATGAAGACAACTTGCATTTTGAAATGATTCTATCTTCTTTGAAATGCTCAAATTGATTGATTCCCATCTCTTGACGATTGTGTCTTTTATAGCGGGAAATGCATGTCGATTTGATCATTTCTCAATATTCCTGATGGGCAAATGCTGGTTGCATTTGACCCCATTGGATGCGCGATTTGGGGTAAATTTCCACAGAGCGAGAGGCTGTTAAAAAATCTCTCTCGCCCTGGTGAGCTGTCCTCGTTATCTCATGTGTGTGAGAAGAGAGATAAAGGCCTGAACTCTTTGCTGTATTGTCCTAATATTTAAATAGTCAATGAGGCACCTGTAAAACCTTGTAAATTTGTCTTACCGCAAGCTAAATGCGGCTGCAAACAATTACTCTTTATTATCTTTGAGATATTTGAGAAATGTATTCTCATTGTTACCAATTAAACACGCTTTTTGTGTTGGTTTCTCAATTGAAAATTGAAATTGGGTGGATATCTCGTCTCTTATTGTCCACACTTTCCGATTAAACGCGCGCGCATATTCGCGAGCGATGTTGGACGGAATGGAGAAAGGCACAGGCGAGGGTTGATGGTAAAATATGTGAACGTACACAGAGACTGATAACAGTGATAAAGACTGTCGCAATTGGAATGTTTACACGGGGGAGTTGATGAAGAAATAAATTCTCTCAGAAATGAATTATTATTGCTGTCAAATTGGGTAAGACGACATTCTCTCAAGCACAAGACTTTATTCATTTCTCGCTCATCATCGTAATGAAGATATTTTCCACTGGATCTCGCGCACTGCTGGCTTTTTTTCGTCACATCGCGAGCCAGACTTCTTATCTAAACTCTTGTCCGACTTCTGCTTGAGGAAGTTGAGGTGAAGAAATTGGGAAATTGGGTGGGGAATAGCAGAAATTGCTCAAATTTCTGATATTATCCAGAACACTGTTGAATACTTTAGTCTTCTAGTGGGATTTGCTTATGATTTATTAGAAAATTCAGCAAAGGCAATAGTTAAATGTCTCTATGAACTGCTTAGAATAAAATTGCAGAGTTAAATCCTTGGTTAAATCTAAGCTAACAATCGAGATAACTCAAGAATATAAGGCGATCGTTTGCCAACATTTCTTGCCAAAATCAATTATTTAATTCAACCCAAAAACCTTGCCTAATCATAAGGGAAGAAAAATCTAGAACATGAAGTGTTGGAATGATTTTATTCGACTCACTTTATGAGATTGCTGCAAGAAAGCCCATTTCACCCATAAAGCGAATGGAGTTCTGCTTATCTTGGTCTCTTCCACGTTCTGTCCTCACTTTCCCGGCTGGTGGAATAAACAGAGCAAGAAGAGGAGGAGGCAAATAACATCTCGCATTATTCAGACTGAATTGGGCACGGGAGGGTGAGTGGATGGGAGGGAAAAGCTCCAGATATTATTTTATCTAAAGCCAATGGAGATTCGTGGCAAGTTCACAGGGAGGATGCGATGTTGGATGGTATAAAAAGGCCTTTATCTCACCACCATCTCGGCATTTCATCATCAGATTAGCATCTTTCAAAAGTCTCCGCAAAGCTCGAGGCATTGCATAAGTTTGGGATGGACTTTTTTTCTTCTCTGGTGTTTTGTGCTGCTAAAACTTTGTTTCTGCGGAAAGGGCGATCAAAGTGAAGTGTGGCGGATTTAGTAGTTTAGAGAGACTCTCAACACTTGTACTTCACAGTTTCGTCTATTTCCTACACGATATCATGACGGTGGAGTTTCGGAAAGGTAACATTAACAGGCAAAGTTGAACCACTTGTGCAAACATCCAGTTGAATATGGAAAAGGAGTTTATGAGGGGGGAAAAATTGGTATATTTCTCAATATTTTGTGCCTTGTGTTATTCTGCAATAGTTTCCATCACACGCCGAAGGCTGTATTCAGTGCGTGGTTGATCAGTATATGTAGATCACGATTTGCTCTGTATATATTTATTCACTCCTTCTGAGAAAAAGTGTTTTTCTTGTGTGTAGAAAAGTTGCATCACAGGCATATTCCATTGGGAGGAGAAGATGTATTGTGTGTAATATTCATAAATGGTTTGTATTAAGTTTTGGAGTGGAGAAGAAGAAGAAAAAAAAAGTCAGTCGTTTCTCACAAATTATCACATTTTGCCCAGACTCAGCGATATATGTCTAAACTCTTGGAGAAACATATCGGTTTCTCTTGTCACAATAATCATCATCTCGAAATTTGCCCATGGCTTTTTCCCCTTCCCCAAAAGGATTCTCATTCCAGTGTTGATTTGCACGCAGCTAATGAGAGACGCGCATTGAAATTCACTCTCTTTCCTCATTTATTACATTATCTGTTTGGTATTTTTGTCTAGGAAGGGAAGAGAAGAGTCAATTGGAAAAATTTTCCTCTCATTTCGTACACTTTTGAGGCATCATGAATCAAAAGGTGAAACATTCGTGGCGACAAAAAATATTAATTATTGTGTTTAAACACATTTACAGCGTAACTTGGGTGTTATTGAATTATTTCATTAGAGCTGCGCTGTCAAAGAGAAGAGAAGAAGAGGAGAAAAAAAGAACAATTCGGCTTGTCCAGAAAAGATGATCGCCGCAGTTCTTCATGTGACGATCAGTGAGTAAGACTTTGTGGAATGGCGGAAATTCGTGCGTTCTCTGAGACTCCAGTCTTGAAATTAATCAAGTCGAGCAATCAAATTAAATATTTGCCATATCTCTTCAATTTGTCACACCCTTTCAGGTGTCTATATGTGTGAAGAGACGCAAAGGTGTAATCGAGGAATCGTATCAAAATCGTGTGACTTTCTTGCTTGCTGATAAAGCGACGCAAAGGGTCAGACAAGTGATAATTGCGGACAGAGAATATTAGGAATTGAAGGTGTCTTGAGGCCACAAGACACTCCATTAGATCAATTTTTATTGAAGATGAGCAGGAAAATGTCGTGTAAGCACTTATCTTGAGCGTTAAACTGTGTCTCTTTTCCACAGTCAATTGTATTACTTTATGTACAGTGCAAAGGGAAGTGCGGGGCTACTTTGGGATAGTATTTTCAATATATTTTGTCTATTAGAAGAAAATGATAATACAGAAGCTCTAATTAATGTGCTTCCATAAAATTCTATTCCACTTTTGACCAATTCTCCTTAAATTAAGATTAAATGTGATAAAAGACGCAGTTAACAGGTTTTATTTTAGCGAAATCAGTAAATTGATATTCAGGCATGAATTAATTAAATTTCTACGACTTTTGGCATTTCATTTCCATCTTCTTTTGCTTGTATTTGTGTAAAAAAAAGCCTGATGACGAAGGCAATTTGTGGGGTAAGAAAGAGGCCAAAGCGCCCCACTCTCTCCTAATTGAGGCACATCTACAAGTGGAGCAGCGAAGACGATAATAAAATGTTCTCCGGCACGGACATGTGTATCAGTGGCCCCGCGGCGCCCCGCCTCGGCCGCGGGCTCAGGTGACACAGAAAAGGTGGCAAGTGGGGTGGGGAGAGGCGGCAGTAGATGTTTGGTGGTGCTTTTGTGGAAAATGATAACAGCGGAGGCCAACACACTTCTTCCCAATATTCCAATGTACTGCCAGTCACACGGTGGAGTCGTGAATGCGCGAGTATCGCCAATTCACTCCCTCAAGTACAATTCAGCACTCTAGTTGTGCCCCAAACTACGCACCAACTGTGAGATCTTGGTCGCGATGGCGAGTGAGAGAGTGATTTTTTGCTGTGCCTGCGCAGGATTAAGAAAGGATTACTCAGCCTCACCTTGTCTCGAATATGAAAATAAAGAGAGCTATCCGTCGACAGTAGGGACATGATTCACTGTCATGGAATTGCTCTCTTTATGTACTATTCGACAGTCCACACGAGCTTATCCGTCGAGACAGTCATGTGATCTCTCTCTCTGTTCAGCGTGAGGATCAGTTGATTGAATTTGCAATAAAAAAGGAGCAAAATGTGTATGATTTTTTTTTACCTTTTCTAGAGCCTTCTCGGTGCAGCAGCAAATTGACTGTTGCGCAACTTTCTGCCACGCCAATCATCCTCAAATTCCTCGCCACATTTCACTGTCGTCACCTTTTATGGTGGCAACACCAGGTCGTAATTAATGATGCTATAAAGTGACATTTTGAGTAAATTAGACAAACACAAGAAATTTATTAGATAAGACCTTTTTGTCACACAGATCCGCACTTGTCGTCAACAATGTCGTTTTGGGTGACTTAACTGCACTTGAGTGAGCAATAAATGCAGTCTTTTTCAGGCTAGATAAAGAATTGACAAAGGTGCAACAATGCGAAGGTAATTTTCTTTCAGCATGTCTTAATTGGTTGTTAACCTTCTTTATTGAATTGTCAAACCAAGGCGTGAGAGTGCTGATATCGATATGGTAAGGTTTCTGAACTAAGGCTGAAGTGATCATGGTTTCTGAGCTTGTGCTCTTATGCTAAGAATTTTTATACTAATAAACTTGAATAAACATTTTAAAATATCTTCCATCGCAAACGTCGCTTTCTATATCCTTTTATTTGGGACTTACAATACTTATATTTGGATCCAACGTTGCAAATACGACCTTTGTTAAGCGAAAAAGAGGAACAGCACCAAATAAGTTTGTGTACATTGTGAGTGTCCTTAAACTAAATTAGATTTACAGTAAATTTACCTAAATTCCCTAAATTTCACTGTGCTTTCTTCGGGTCTGATGAGGGTTAAATTCTCATCGGCATTGGCACACCGTAGATTTCATACAGAAGTGAATTTCCCACGTGCATGCAGAACTTCACGAAGTTCTCCAATCTGTGGCTGATTTCTGCCACGATGGGCAGCAGAGGGCGCTCCTCTTCCGCCGGAAGACTTCCTTCTTCCGTCAGATGTTTCATGGTGCGATTTTGGTAGATGAACATGTAGCAAGCGGGAGTTTCGCTCATAACTCTAACTGAATGAAAGATGCCCGAAGACAGTGGCAAAGATTGCTGTGGCAAGAGTGCTACGGATTCCTGGGAATCCTCGGAAGTCACTTTGATACTGCCATCGAGACAGGTGATGGTGACATTGTCCAGATCCTTGGAAATGTAATTCTCCATTTGGAGTCCAGGATAGTCAGCGATGAACATGATGTCTGTGAAGTTGCTCCACGACAGCACATCCTCTGTGATCTCCTTCATCCGTGGTCTCAAGTAGGTCAATTCGCTGAGGAGCGGAAGAACCCACTTTGTCTCCCGGAAAGGCGACCAATCCGCCTTGAGAAGATCCACTCTTGGATCGAAGACGCGCTGCTGAAAGCGCTTGTTCATCGAGCACCAGATATCGAAGAAAATCGCCACGTTCTCTGGGTCAATGTCCGTCCTCTGGCTCTCCGCCACGCCCTGGATTAGGTTCTTGTGGACACAATGAGCGTACTGGACAGCCATGTCGGCATGTTTGGTCCATCTGTCCGTCTCTGAGAAGGCATAAGGCTCCAGATAGAGTGTGTGGCCATTTGTCTTGTCCGTCACTTTGATGGAGATGAGGATAGTGTCCCAGGAGTGCACCATCATGTCCCAGGAGTAGCCATAAAGTCCCTCCGTCCAGTTGTTGTAGCCTTTCGTGATGAAGTGCGAATAGGGCAGGAAGAACTGAAGAGCCATGTAGCAAAGAATCCATCTGGCAGTTGATCTCTCCTTCCTGGTGACTTCTTTCACAGTCTTCTGGACATTTTGAGGCTTTTTCTCAGAACTCCCCTTCCGTAAGATCTTCCTCGGCCAGTCAAAAGAGTAAAACAGGGGCATTTCCACGAGACAAACCCACGGAAACATCCCAATTGTGAAGAGTCGAGAATTCATGAGATGAAAAGCCGCTGCAACTAAGCTGGCCAGTGGTCTAGATCGTTGCCAGATGAGGAAGAAGGCAATGGTGAGATCAAAGATGAATCCGAACCAGTGGATGATGAGCAAATCCGTCAGATCCGCGCCAAGGAACACACGGAATGGCGCAAACACCCAATGGTATCCCAAATTGGTCATTGAATAGCCTGAAAGCCACTCAGTTGAGAGCTTCTTCAGTCCAGCCAGGAAGTAGAGGATGAAGAACTGAAATTTCAGCAGAAAGTAGTTCCAGAAAGGCACTTCCTTGCGTCGAGTAGTGTCCAGAGCGCTAAAAGCACGACAAGGAGTGAATATTGAGGGTTCAGAAGCTTTGATTGGCAGTCTTACCAGAATCTGTTGGCTGATGTGAAGAAGAAGAGAATCCCGAGCAGTCCATAGAGATAACTGTGATTGTTCCAGCTGCTCTTGTCCAGGAGGAAGACGTACCAGTACGGCAGGCTGAACATGAGGCAGGAGAGGCGGTATTTGAATCCCAGGAATATTCCCAGTGCTCCCAACCACATCACACCGTAAATAATCCCCATTCGCGGCAGCGAACAAGGCGCCAGGAAGTTGAAGAGTGGAAAGCGACAGTCTCTTGGATTTCCCCATCGATAGTCCAGATCTCCTCCTGACCGCTCCTCCGGGATGTCAATCATCATCATCAGTCCGAAGAGCATTCTGCCCACTCCCAGACTCGCTCCATCGACTGGTGTGTGCAGAAGCCTCGTGAGGCTCACGAAGGACGTGAAGTCATCAAGTGAGTGACCACAGAAGTGCCTGAAAATCCTCGATATCCTCTCCTTCAGCATCTCTCACCGCCACTCCACTCACTGTCACAGCAGCTGCGGATGCAGGTGGGTTTTATAGACATCTCACAAGTGATGAAGGATGCTGCAGCGTCTGCGCAAATCCTCATCCTTCGAGATTTCAAACAGACGACAAACAGATAATGAAGCTCGATAGATTCACTCTAATTTTATCACGCTGTCTCGTATTGTTTTCCACACAAACAATTTACCGCATGTTATTGGCGTCAAGGCGCATGAGGAGTGAAGAGGTTGAGTGTACTTTAAGGGATCACATCACCTTGAATCTGTCCACCCACAGGAAAATGCCGCCCAAATCACGTATTTGTCTCGCAACAAACACTGCATTGTGGGTGGATTTGATTATAATATCACAACCATCAGCTGAAATCGAGGTGTTAACGGACAAACGTTTATTTCATGTTCTGCGTCTCCCACAATTTGGCATAAAGTCCATCCTTCTTCAGCAGTTCCTGGTGCGATCCGCGATCTCCCACTCGGCCGTTCTCCAGCACGAAGATCTCATCTGCGTCCATGACGGTGGACAAGCGATGCGCTATGCAGATGCTAGTGCGACCGTCGGTGGCTCTGGAGAGGGCTTGCAGGATGTTCTGCAAAGAGACAAAGGATGAGCGTCGGAAGCTCGTGCAAATGCTGACTTTTCTCACGTGTTCTGTGATGGAATCCAGACTGCTCGTGGCCTCGTCAAAGACTAGAATAGGAGCGTTCTTCAGAATGGCTCTCGCTATCGCCACGCGCTGCTTCTCGCCGCCGGAGAGTTTAAGGCCTCGCTCGCCCACTTGCGTGTCATAGCCTTTGGGCCACTGGACGATGGAATCGTGCAGATCCGCCATCTTCGCGGCATGTTCCACAGCCTCTTGGTCCTTCTTCAGGTTCCCGTAGTGAATATTGTGGCGGATGGTGTCGTGGAACAGCACAGAGTCCTGCGGAACGATTGCAATGGACTTCCTGAGACTCTTCAGGTCCACATCCTGAATGTTCCGTCCGCCAATGAGGATTTCCCCCGACGTGGGCTCGAAGAAGCGGAACAACAGGCGCACCATCGAGGACTTCCCAGATCCCGAGCCGCCCACAAAGGCGATCTTCTTCCCCGCGGGAATTTCAAAGTTCAACTTATCAAACACCATCTTTCCCGTCTCGTACTGAAAGTTCACGTCCCGGAAGACAATGGAGGCGTTGCTGTGGTCCAGATAGAGATACGGAGCGCTGGGCTTGTTGGCAATCTTCGTGTCGATGCTCATGAGGGTGAACATGGAGCGCATGTCGAGCAGCGCCTGGCGCACTTCGCGATACACACTGCCCAGGAATCCCAGTGGAATGGAGAGTTGGAAGAGCAGCCCATTCACCATCACGAGATCGCCCACGGTCATGTTTCCCGCCGCGATCTCCTTGGCCGCCAGCACCATTATTGCACTCAGAGCCACGCTGAAGATGGCATTCTGCCCGAAATTAAGCACCGCCAGACTGGAGCTGGTCTTCAGGCTCGCATCCTCATACTTCTTCAGCGATGCGTCGTACCGAAGAGCCTCGAACTTCTCATTGTTGAAGTACTTGACGGTTTCGTAGTTGATGAGCGAGTCAATCGCCTTGTTGCCCGCCTCATTCTCCGCCTGATTCATGAACACGCGGAACTTTGTTCGCCACTGCGTCACCGCGAGTGTGTAGAAGGCATAAACACCGACGCATCCCATCGAGATGCCGGCAAAGGCGGCGCCACACTTCACGCCCAGAATGCTGGACACGAGCGCCAGCTCGAAGATGGTCGGAACGATGTTAAACACCATCGCGGAGAGGACAAAATTGATGCCTCGCGATCCGCGGTCGATTGTCTTGGACAAGGCGCCAGTCTGGCGATTCAGGTGAAAGGACAGGTCAAGATTGTGCAGGTGCAGGAACACATTCGTGGCAATTCGACGAATTGAGTGCTGAGCCACGCGCGCGAAGACAGCATTTCGCATCTCATTAAAGGCAGCAGCGCCAGCGCGAGCCAAACCATCTGGAAGACAGGCATTAATGAGAGTTTAATCAATTCCTCATCAATAGAGCATTCATTGATGAACTCACATCCGATTAGCAGGGATGTTGTGAGGGTGAGTGCTGTGTCCGCTGGTGTGGCCGTGTTGAGAACATTCAGAGCATCAACGGCGCCCTTGAAGAGGAAAGGAACACCGACATTGAGCACCTTCGCGCCCGCCAAGAGTCCCAATGAGATTACGACTCTGCAAAAAGAGAGATTAACAGCGAAATGCAGAGAGCGAGATGACTTTCACGCACCTCTTCCTGATGAAGGCATCATCTTTGGGCCAAATGTAGGACATCATCGCCTTCAGCATGTCTGTGGGCGTGACTTCCGGTCCGTCCACTCCGAAGGCTTCTCTCTCACCTGACGAGACACCATGACCGTGAAAACACGTCCGCACTTGCTGATGATGCTGGCCTCCTAAGGAGATTGCTACTCTCTAGTAACATCCCGAGAGGTGCAAAGCCAAGCAACAACAGTTAAGTGCAAACTAGGGAAGTAAAAACTTAGTGACAAAGTAAATGAGGAAAAAAAAACACTAAGAAACTGACTAAAGAAAGTCAACTTTGGGGAATTCTTAACTTACAGATTTCTTCTCACTATAATTTGGCTATTTTAATGGCCTTTGGATGGATTCTTTACCTCTTTTCACCCTCTTCTTGCTGAAAATATTGCCCAGGACACTCGTGCCCAGGACACTTTGAGACTTCTTCTCATTGCCGCTGCTCTCATGAGCTTTGCTAGTCGAGAGAATCTGCAAAGAAGCCGATTGTCAGTGACTCTGTGAGTCAGTATTTATTCAAGCATTCACTTATAAAAGCTATTCTACAATTCAGGAAATCCCCAACAATCTTTCCACTCTCTGTCAAGCTCTCAAGAGCCTGAAGATTCCTCAGGGAGTCGCGATAGTGATCAAGAAGTAGATTTATCATGAGTATTTTATACTCCTTCAGTGAATTCTCCTCAGGAACCGTGCCAAAAACCACTTGATGATAGTGATTCTCATAAATATTATCGTCCACGAGCAGGAAATGAAGAACCATCTCGAGATTATGGCTGAATCCTTCGCGATCAATAAACATCTTCTCACTGAGATTGTGATCTCTGATGTAGCGAAACTTGTTGCTGGGAATTTGTAGATTTTTCTGCACTTTCTTCAATCTCTTCACCAATTCTTCAACATCTCTTAAGCAAACGTCGATGAATTCATTTGAATTGTCCGGAATGAAGAATCCATACTCAATCAGGAGCTTCATATTGCAGTGAGGCCCGTAGTTTATGAAGACTTGCTCTCCTCTCGCGAAACTGGAGGAGGTTTTCAGGGTGTAGAAGTAATCTGAGCCCCTTCTGGCCAGGGAGCACATGGTCTTCGTGCTGTCGCTGTGATTGATGAGGTCCAGGAAGGGCGCCAGAGCCATATTGGGCTCATTTGAGATCAATCCCATCACTTTGTTGCCCCTGAGCATCATCCTGACCGTGTCTGGTGGCAGATAAACCGTCCTGGAGTTGCAGACTAGGTAGAATTCGATGAATTTCCTCTTGGGGAAGATGTCAGGGAAGAACTTCTGCGAGCAGCAGGGACAAGAGGCGTCCTGGAAGGCCTTCTGCACCTCCTTGACCTCACTCTGATTCACAGAATCAATCACTCGTTCAGAAACCACCGGAGCGGCGACCAGTTCGTCCACTGAGCAGAAGTGCGGATGTGTCAGCGATGCTGGCAGGCTTCTCAGGTAGTCTTTCCACGGGGATTTCTCATCCAGATGCCAATTCCACAGCAGGAAAATGGTCAGCAGCGTCTGTGTCTTCCACTTGAACTCATCCTTAGAGATTTCCCGCAAAAGCCTCATGAATTGCTCATCTTCCGAGATGCTTTTCAGGCTTATCAGTGCGTCAAAGGGCAAATCAATGAGTTCAGAGTCTTTGGAGATATTCTGCCTGGAAGTGAGACCTCTGCCAGTGCCTGGAAAGTTCCTCACCACGAGTTTCGTGTCATTTGCCCAGTGTTTCTGGTGCTTCATGAAGCGACAGAGATTTATGATCTCCTGACTGGGCTTTTCGCCATGTCGCTCGTGAGATTCACTCCCGGGAATCATTGGTCAAACTAAATCTCTCACTATTATGTAATGGTCAATGAATACTTTTTTCTACACGCCACACAGACTGATTGCTGTCAATTCTGAAATCAGACACACGAGAGATTATTGGTAAGTCATCTTAAGCAGCATCAACTGAGGGAGTAACAGAAAAACTTTTTGTTTCTACCAAAATTTCCTCTGATTGCAAAATTGACACCAAACATTTCCGGTGAATTTCACCTTGTAAATCATTGCATTCTCCACTCACCCTTGTCGCTGTGAAGTAGCTGGGATACTTGACTGGCGGATTGTAGCCTCTGAAGGACGAAAAGACAGCTGTATTTCTCGTAAAATGGCTCAAATTGCAACTATTTCGCACTACAAATCGCAATGCTGCCATTTTTCGCTCGTACTCTATTTTCCATCCAAGTGACAACTGGAAAGTGTTTTTATTCCACGCACTTCCCGACCTTCCAGTCGCGCTTCAACTCAGCTGAACGAGTGTGACTCTTATTGGCATAGCGAAAAAGGCGAAAAATCACACAACGCAACAAGCAACTGGCTGATCAAGATTTCAGAGATTTTAATAAATCTGCCCAAGTCTCTTTATTCTCTATTTTGCGTTTGATATCTTGTGACAAGGACAATAACGGCAGCAAACTGGCAACAAGTGCTGCCCAGAAGTGTCGAATACGGAACTTCGGAACTACGGAATCAAAAGACGGCGGAGAACTGTGCCAGAGCCTTTCGTCGTAGGCTTTGATCATTTTGCGAAAATTTCCACTGTACTTGTAAGATCTACGACGTACAGCCTTTGCTCCAGGCTCCAGGCATCCATTGCAGTGGCGTTTTAGGTCTGAAATCAATTGAAGGCGTGAATTAGGACAAACATTCAATTATCAAACACAACATAATTTTCATTGTCATTTTGTGATCTCGCAAAATTCCATTCCTTCTCTGAACATTGCAATTTCAATTGACCCACGCGGTCTTTCTCTACTCAACGGTCGCGCCATTCAAAGCCGACTGTTATACGCGCGCTGCTCTACGGCGCCAGTTGGCAGCCGTGCGGATTCTGGGTATGTCATGCGAAGATTGTCAGAGGCCCATTGAGATTGGCTGCGCGAGTGTGTTTGTCCGCAAAAAGGAAGGTGGAAAAAGATTTCTTATGTGAAAACCCGTGCGAAGAAGCCCCCAATCTCCGTGTCTCACGCATCCTGAGCCCCTCATCGGCAGGGCCCCAGTCAGAAGTCGCGTGCGAAAGCGCCCCGTGTCCGCGAAAAAGTGTCTCTCTGGTTGGGCGAAGAAAAAGAAGTGTGGTGTCCCTCGCCTCTTTGTCGCTTGGCGAGAGCACAAAAGTGTGTGCGGAGCAAAAAAGAGGAGATATTTGGAGAGTGAGTGATTTTTAGGTGGCCTCTGCTCTACCTGGCCTCACGAGATGTGGTGAAAGAGGAGAGATTGTCGTGTTGGATCGTGGAATTGCCCAAAAAATCTGGGAATTTCGGAAAGTGAAACTCTGCGTGACCCAGAATCCATCATCATCGCGCAGTGCTCCTGCCCAGGCGAGAGAGAGAGTCCAGCATCTCGCCAAGTTCTGTGAAAATTCAGTGTCTCTGTTGTCCCTTTTTGCTGTTAAAATGCTATTAATAGCCAATTGATTCAAGCAAGTGAAGATATTAGCCGTCCTGCCGACAGCGTTTGAAGTTCTGCCATCCAGATAAAGTGTGTTTTTGTGTTTGTGTGTGCAAAAGTGAAATTCCACCAGCCCAAAATGCCCGGATTGATTGGCGTTGGGGAGTTCGTGGACGAGACCCGCGAGGACTACAGCTCACCAACCACATCCACATTCGTCTCCCGCATGCCACAGTGTCGCCAGACCATCTCTTCCCTCGAGGAGGTGAGCAGAAGATCTCTCTCGCGTGCGCGATTTCCATTGCAAATTGTCACCGGAAATTGGATTCAATCGCTTCGTCGATTTCTTGTTATCAAATTCTTGCCTCCGCATCTCAATTTCACCCATCGAGAGAAATTCCATCGGGCTTCTTTTGCATTTCTCTTCGCTGGCATGTCGCGGAAAACCGGCCAGATTTGACCGAAATAGAATGTAAGATTAATAAATAATTAATTGACATGGCCTTTGGACGTGCTCCAAACTGGCAATCATTCGGAAGGAAAGCCTTCTCTCTCTCTCTCTCGCGCCCAATTGCCCACCTTCGAAGCTGATGAGCCTGTCGCCGATGCAGGCGAAAGAAAGTGACTCACCAGATAATGTCTTATTGCTCCAATTGAACCTGAATGGTCACTTTTTCCACCTCAACCTCGCGAGATGGACAGCAAGTGGCTCTCGAAAGCCCTTCACCGCGACGCGTCTCCGCTCTATGAATTTCCAATGGCCAAAAACCTGGAAGAGAGAGAGAGAAGAGTCTCTAATTTATTTAATCAAACATTTCATGCGATGCTTCACACACAAGAAAGGTCAAGATTGAATCAATTTCTGTCTGTGCACCACTCGAAATAATTAATCATTCAATCGCATTACAGCGCTTTTTTTTATGCCTTGCGCTGTTGTGGTCAAGAATTTAATGATCATTGTATGCTAATTTCACGTTCGGCCGAAGAGGAGAGTCGATAGATTCCAATGTGCACAATTTAGTGTGGCTTTTACGACCCCAAATTTGGCGCTAAATCGTCAAGGTTGCTTCCTAGGCCAGTTGTGCCAACACTCGTTACAGAAAAGCATACGAATAAATATGATTGAAAGCGCCAAAGAAAGCCAAACAATGAATTTATTGTGAGGAATTCAGCATCAGAAATCTCAGTTTTTTTTTTGAAGTCGTAAGTGCATTTATGCAACACTTGAAGAGACTTATTACTTATGATAAATTGAACACCGGAAAAAAATGAAATAGGATAATTTCTATTGATTATTTTGGGATATTCAGTTACTTTAGAGTTAAAATAATTTATTACACGACATTAATTGTCATAATCTATCATGCAAATCATTAAGAGGGGCGCAGCTGGATAAATTGCGAGCATTGCGAGTGCAAAAGGGCGGTCACATAAAAAATGCTCCCTTTCACTTGACCTAGAGCGCATTTGATGGCATGTTTGTGCCTCTTTTTTTGCCTCCTTTTCATATATTCACAGATGTTGACAGATGGAGGATGGCTAAGAGAGAGCAAACATTAAAAGCGTCTCAATTTGTAGTTAAACATACTGAGAAATTAGTTGTTATTTTTGGTTATAACAAATAAACACGAACAGAGTATCTTTTTCCCCCCTTTTTTCCGTTGATATATCTTTCTCAGGAGAGGGAGAGAAGAAATTTGAGATGGCAAGTGGTGAAAGAGAGTAATTTAGAGAAAACATGTTTTGCCAGCTAAATGAATGACGACGATTGGATTTTCTGGCTCTTGCCAAAAAAAAAGTCACCCTGTGAATTGCTAAATGTGCTAAACTCGATGCAATGACACACGAGACCGCAAAGTCTCAAGATGCGAATTATAGAGCCACAAAGTGCAGTGACAAATTAATGGTGAATGAGTGAGATTGAGTAAAAATGCAGCAACAACTTGCACTTTGCATTTTAAATTAGTGGAGGCTCTCTCTCTCTCTCTCTTCAACACCTTCTCACTTCTCGTCTCGCGCGTTTTCGCTCGCAGTGTCTGTTTTTTTTCTTCACGAGCATTTTCTTGCAAATCACTTTCATACATGCAATTGCGAGTGGGAGTGTCATTCACTTGATATTTCATACCAAATGCACACTTGTGCGCTTTGTGGATTGAGAGGGAGGAAAAATTGTATCTCAGGTATGCGATCAATGGTAAATCACTTGTCATTGAGGAGAGTTTCTTGGGGGACTTTTAATCTTTCTTCTCGCGCTGCTCACACACACACTCAATCACCTCGTCTCTGGGGTTTAAGGACAAAAGGCCAAATGAGGCCAGTTTAAAGCTGAATTCGCTCTGTGGTTATTTTGTACAGGAATTCGATCTAGAATTTAATTTTTTTTTCTCCTGAATGAAAATTGCCAACACTGTGTAATGTTGTATGAAAGAGAGTGAAATATGTGAGTTTGTGTGGCTGTTTTGCTGATGCAAATTCACTATTGTTTTGATTTGCTAACCTGCATCGCGCTCCCCTCGAGTCGTCGCCCCTTCGCAAGCGTCGAAGATCACGCAGGTGTGGTTAATTCAATTAGAAGAATTATAGCAATTTTTATTCACTCAAGCTATTAATGCTATTGTAACTTTGTATGTTTTTTTTTCTACCATACTTCTTGAGGCTCTTTTCTCGTTTCTCTCATTGCAATATTTGTATTACACAATTTCATATTAAATACCTTTTGAGGAGTTCTTCTGTTTATTGGCCTTTCCCATCACCTGAGTGTGTGAGATGTGTTTCTTTTTAAGACCAGCACACGTTTGTGTTGCGGAGAAAAGTGAATTTATCTTATCTTCACGCATTTCTTGATATTTCTTCTCATGCTTTTTTCATCATTCACTTCGCCAGCTAATTTATTGTGTCAAAGAGTGAGAGACGTTGGAAAAAAGACGGTGATATAAGACAATATTCTTGCTAAATCGCAATGAAAGAGTGACAAAGGAATTGTGTCACTTAACTTGGAAAAATTGGGTGATTTTCCGCAGCAAGAAGAAAAAAATGGTGACACTCTGAGAGAATTTGAGGGTGCGGTTTGAGATATGAAGCATTAATTATAAATTCATCGCCACAGAGCGGCCAATTTTTCTTCCACTCTCTCAGAAACCCAGTAAATTTTTCTCACTCCGTGCGAAGTTTCTCTCACCTCGGGCCATTAAGACAGTGACTCCGGTACATATTTTGTAATTTATTCCATCGCGATGTGTGTCTTACACCATTTTTTACACGAATTACAATTTTCGCAGATGAGAGAGTTATGGTGTGTTGTGTAGTTTTCCGATCTTATTTCTTCTACTCATGCACACACATCACTCTTCATTTCAATGTGGAAAAAAGTGGATGAAATGTTGTGGAAAAATTATTTAACAAGACTCAAACATTGGCACGAAACTGAGTTTTCGAAAAAGCAAAAAAAAATAAAGCGAATTGAAATCTTTAAGGTTTCTTAAAGTGTCTCGCTCTCTGGGTCGGAATTCTGGACTGAAATTAAAGGTTGCACTGGTGGTGGTGGAAAAAGTTAGAGGGCAATAGACGATGAGTACACACAATTGGAAGGCAAAAGTGGATTTCCGGTGCTGAAGTTGATTTTCAATTGACGAATGAGAAGCGAAAAAAGAGGGAAAATTCATCAATTTTACACAGTTTGTCCAGTTTTCCATTCACAGCGTGAATAAACTTTCATTAACCTCGTGAATATGATGATAAATCTCTTGGGAAAAATCTTGTGAAAAAATCACGATAACATTTTCCCGAAAATACAAACCCAGAGGAAAAAGATTGATGGAAAGGCAGCGACTTAAAATGCGATCCATTCATCAAAATGCGCGCGTGAAAGAGGGGAGAGAAAAATGGCGAGGAAACTGGGAAAATTAATTCAATAAAGCACTAATTGAATTTGAAATGAGTGCGAAAATCATCCAATGAGTCAATTGGAGAGCAAAATTATGTTAAAGACAATACACACACCCATTTTCTTTCGCCTCATTCGCAATATTGCGGAAAATGGAGGGAGTGCGCGAAAGTGGAGGCGAAATCAATTAGTTCTGATTAATTCATTCAAATGAATTTAATATGCCATTTGTCAGGAGGCATCACACATTTTCCTGAAACAATTCCTCAAGCACGCGCGCTTCAAATTCTGTGTTTATTCCGGGCGAGTCAGTCAATATTGATGATGCCTGTGGCTGACATTCCCATCATCATCTGTTTCCATTCACCGCAAAAATCTACTAAAAAGAAGAAAAAAACAGAAACTCTTTATTGCTGAAACACATTCGCCATGGTGATTCAGCGAGAGGAATTTTCAACACTCGCGAAACGGGTGAAAAAAAGTGTGAGAATTCATACAGAAGTGATAAAAAAAAACGTCTTATCAGGCGCTCGAAGGAAAGGCTTTTCACTCTGGCTTTCATACTTTGAAGGCCAATATCTCGCAAGCACACTGTTTTCTTGTTCAATTTCTAATCAAACGACGCAATCTTTTTTTTCCTTGAATTGGACAAATAAGATATTCAAGAACACGATCGCAGTGACAAATTAGGGAGAGCCATGGTTGGGATTAGAGCAGACACGCAGTGACGCAATAAATGATTTCTAATACCTACAAACAGTGGACTTTGGGAAATTAACACACATTTTTTCTCACCGCAATCAATAAAGGAATCACATAAAATTCGTAATCGATGCCTTTACTTGTCACTTACATATTCCGGTGTAGAAAAGCGGCGATTTACTGAGAAATGGGCGGGGCAATAGAGTGGGCGGGGCTTCGGAGAATTTTCCTTCTACTTTACCCTCTTTTATGCATATTTAAATGACTTTGGAATTGATTTTTATGCTCTTTTCTCGTCATTTCTCTCAACATACCACACAGATACAGATTGATAAACTTTTCCCCAGCTTAAAGCCATAAAGTTCAAGCTGAGTAATAATCTAGTGTAATTTTCCGTGTCAAGATTTGCCTTTGGTTTAGGGCTAAAGGTTTATTAGGTCAATTAGATCCATCTCAAGTGCCTGCCAAGCACGCATTTTGCCCAATTGCTACATAACATCGCACTTGTGGGTGTGTGATAATCACATGGATAATCTGCGAGGAGGCGCGAGATTGCGACCTTAACCGCAACACCGAAAAAAAAAATCTATTCGGCCGCATTAGTGGCTCACGAGACGGTGAAATATGATTTGCGTGTCTGGATATCTTTGCCTTCCCTTCCCTGGAAAATTCTCAATCAATTTCCCACGATGATACGCATATATTGCTCGTGATTTTGATTGAGATATTTTCCTCCGTGGCCAGATAAACAAGGGAAAAACAAGGGGGAGAGAGAGAGAGATTAGAGGAGTTGAGAGATGGATATCACGGCGCGATATTGGGGAAAGATGTTGTGTCTGTCAATAAGTCAGAATCTCTATTAATTTATTATTGTGGCGTCTTTTAGCCAAGGTGATGTGAAAAGTCTCCATAATTATGCTTATGCCCATCACACACTGTCAAGAGCATCTGTTTCCGCTTCGCAGTGTGTATATTTGAGAGAGTGTGAGAGGCCTGAAAAAATGCTGTCTGTCACTCATTCCATCTATTCTCTCTGTGCCCGTGCCATCAGCAGCTTCTGCCGCTTCACACGATGGGCAACCGTGGAAAATTCAATGAAGAATCGACGGAGAAACGGCGAGGAGGAAATCTACACACCCACAAGCTATTAGATGGGTTTCTTTTTCCCCGAGATTTGCGCATTAAATAGAACATAAACTCTCCCAAAGACACAGGAATTGGACAGAGAGTGAGAGACAGAGGGAGAGAATGATGGCGAAAAAAGGTCACAGAGTGGAGGTGGGAAGACAAGAGAGGAAGCGATATGGAGAGAAGAATGAGGCCACAAGATCTTCTTTTCTTTTTCTCTGGCAAGAAGAATCCCAACTAACTCGTTTGCCTTTTGCACTTCTCATTCTCACTCGCGCGCTTCATCCAACAACCGGGGAAAGACAGTGGATGGAAAAAAGCCTGAAAATTGCCCGGAAATGTCATCATTATTCCCTCAGTGACACAATCTAACAAGAAACTTTAATTGTGCGACGAGACTCAATGATCGTGATGTTGTATTTAGCAATTCTTCACCAATCCAATTTGAGTGTGTGTAAATTTTCTTTGCTCACTTTATAGCAAAAGTGACCAACATTTGGCAATTTCCGCCAACAAATCTTTCAGCTAAATATTTTTTTTTTTACAAAACCGCCCTCGACCCGCTTGCATTGAAATGAATCCACTGACCGTATAAAAACAACAACAACAACAGAAAAGAAAAACCACCCACCTCTTCCTCAATGATCGTTTTATCTTTTTATGCGCTCAAATAAGACTTCCTCGCCGCGCATCACCTAAAAATTCCCAATATAAACCAATGTGTATGTAAACTGTGGGGTTTCTCATTATCGCTCCTGCTATTCGTGTCTTCTTTCTCCACTTGGTTTCTCATTTAAATGTCTTGTTTATGCAATTTCTCAAGCTTGATAGCCATTTCAGAGATAATTATCACCGTTGTGTTTAAAATTCATAGCTAAATGCAAGTTCAATGGTGAATAGGAGCAAAACTGGCTGCAATTAATTATCTTAATGTCAATTTTCTTCTGATTTCATTGCCAATTGCTGTGAAACAGTGACAATATATATGTGATTGGAAAAGAGCGAGTTATAAATGGAAAGGAATACTTCTTAATACAGCAGCAGAATAGCACGAGATTCGATCACAAGACCCGCTATCAATTCACAAAACTTCAATTAATGGAAGAAATCTTTCTTTTGTAAGCACTTCAAGTCCTCAATTTTCTCAGGAATCTCCAGGGCAATGAATTACTTGCAGATGAGATGGGAAAATACTGATCTGCTGCCCAAGAAAATGTCGATTTTCTACTCACCAACGCTCCGCGTGGTCTTTTCGATCTTATTTAAGAAACTGTGATTTTCTTATTTTACTATAGTTTTCTATTTTAACTATTTTAATTTAATTCACCTGAACTGTTGTAAATCAAAATTTGAGAGAGAAAAGTTAAATTTTTAGCTTCTCATCAACAACAGCAAGAAAGAAGTTATTCGAGAATTTCAATGCGATTCCAAATGGAAAAGCAGGATTAATGCATATGAATATAAAGAGCATTTTTATTCCATTATCTCTTTTGTGAATTGTGATTATAGAAGCAATTGAAGACTCATTTTCGATGTTGAGTCAAAATAAGACAAAAATTCTCTTAACCAAAAATTGCGATAGAAAAAAAGTAATTGAAAGTTTTCCGCACTCGCGAACATATAGCAAAGGAAATTTCAACTACGCGAGAGTATAATCAAGAACCCTTTGTCTCTTGGTGCTTCTTGGAATCAAGAATTCCTTCATGGGTGTTTTATGGTCGATTACCAATGAGAGAAAATTGCAATTCTTCGCTTCTTTGCTCATCACTGGCTGGAGAGTCATTAATGCCACTCAATTCGTTGCCTCTTTGCAGACGCTGGAATTCGACAGGGAGGGCTTGACAAAGCTGAAGAAGGCCATTAAAGCCATTCACAATTCTGGAAATAGTGAGTTGCCATATCGCATTGTGTTGTTGCGCGGGATGGATTTCTGACAAGTCCTCTTCTCGCTTTCAGCTCATGTGGACAATGAGATGTGCCTCGTGCGGGCGCTGGAGAGACTGGGAAGTGTGGCCCTGTCGAAGGAGGAGCCCGACATTGGGGCGGCTTTCCTCAAGTTTTCCGTCGTCACCAAAGAATTGAGCGCGCTGATGAAGACACTGATGCAGAACATCAGCAATATTGTCATGTTTCCGGTGGATTCGTTCCTCAAGTCCGAACTGAGGGGTGTCAAGGGTGAGATGAAGCGTCCCTTCGACAAGGCGGCCAAGGATTATGAGTCGAAGTTCTTGAAGATTGAGAAGGAGAAGAAGAGCCAGGCCAAGGAGGCCGGATGGATCAGGACAGAAGTGACACCGGCCGAGATTGCGGATGAGATGGAGAAGGAGAGGCGCGTCTTTCAGATACAAATGTGTGAAGTGAGTCCTTGACACTGTTTTAGCGCGTCCTTCCTCTGATCACTCAATGTCCTTTTCTTCCTTTCTTTCGCAGTATTTGATAAAGTTCAATGAGATCAAGACAAAGAAGGGCATTGAATTGCTGCAGCATCTTGTGGAGTATTACCATGCCCAGAACAAGTGAGTGCATCCTCTCTTCACTGCCTGCGCAGACACACTTGATGTCAGAGATCTTTTCATGCTTTTTCAGCTACTTCAAGGATGGCCTGAAGACAATCGCCCACTTCGGCACGTACATTGACGATCTGAGTGCCAAGTTGCAGAGCATAAAGCAGAAGCAGGATGAGGAGCGGAAGCGCCTGCTGGAGCTGAGGACACTGCTCAGGAGCACGCCTGACTTTGACCGCGTCGAGCATGTGATCACGGATAAGGGCGCCGGCTATTCGCTGCATCAGCTGCAGGGCGACAAGAATCACGGCATCACCAGGTCCGGACATCTGCTGAAGAAGAGCGAAGGCAAGGTCAGGAGGGTGTGGCAGAAGCGTCGCTGCCGCGTCACAGCCGACGGCTTCCTGGACATTTGTCACGCGGACGAGACGAAGCCACCGACGCGCGTGAATCTGCTCACGTGCCAAATCAAGCCGGTGCCGGACGACAAGAGAGGCTTCGACCTCATCAGCTACAATCGTCCGTATCACTTCCAGGCGGAGGACGAGGCCGACCAGAAGGCGTGGATGGCGGTGCTGGTGAATTGCAAGGAGAAGGCGCTGGCCAAGGCCTTCCAGCACGCCAATCCGCAAATGTCGCCCAGCCTGATTGAGCTGCAGAAGACGGTGATTAGATACGTGCAGAACCTCCCTGGAAACGATCAGTGCTGCGATTGTGGCTCTCGCAATGACGTCACGTGGATCAGTCTCAACTTTGGCATCCTGGTGTGCATCCAGTGCTCGGGAGTGCACCGGGATCTGGGCGTGCATCACTCTCGCATCCAGAGTCTGACGCTGGACAACCTCACGACTGCTCATCTGCTCATCGCACGCGCCATGGGCAACAGCCAGCTCAATGAGGTGATGGAGGCGACGCTGGGCAAGATGAAGCTCACGCCCGAGAGCACGATGGAGGAGCGCTACGACTTCATCCGCGCCAAGTACGTGGCCAAGCGCTATGTCATGCGAACGTGCGCCGACGACAGGGATTTGCGTGCTGATCTCGAGCAGGCCATCATCAATGCCGACCTCAGTCTGCTGCTGCAAGTGTGGGCAGAGGGAGCGGACTTCACGTGCGTGCTGCCATCGTCGGACTTCGGTGAAACTGCCCTGCACTTGGGTGTGCTGCGCGAAATGGGCTCCACGCTGCACATTGTGGACTTCCTCATCCAAAACATGCCGGCTCATGGGCTCAACAAGGCCACAAATCCGCCTGGCCCCATGGACATGTCCGGGAAGAACACGCCGCTGCATCTGTGCGCCCTGCACGATCGGCAGGAGTGCATGAAGCTGCTGCTGCGCTCGGGAGCGGAGTACGAGCTGAAGAACTCCATGAACAAGACGGCGCTGGACATCTCCAAGGAGATGGGCCACGATGCCTGCAAGGAGTTGATTGAGTGTGCCATCAGGCGCGAGAAGAGCGCCTTCGATCACATCAACACGGACTGGAATCTGCCGCCGGACGACGGCAGCACGGACTTCAGCGATGACGACACGGTGATCGACGAGAGAAAGTCCCGCAGCCGCCCGCCCAGCTATGCCGGCGGCGATTCGCCCGTGGCCCTGCGCTCGCGCTCCTCCACCTGCGACAGCATCCAGAGTGGCTCTAGTCCCAGCTCCAGCTGCAATCCGCGCGCCGCCGGCACGAGTCCCAAGAATCAGATCTGCTTCCCGCAGAGCAGCGCCGGCGGCTCCAGTCCCAACTCCATGAGTGCCATGAAGCAGGTGGCCAGCAATCAGACGCGCAAGACAAACGTGAGCAGCGGCGTGGGATCACTGAAGAAGCGCACAGCCCCCGCGCCGCCGCCCGCCTCGGCGGCGCAGCAGCAGATCTACGGCACGCTGCCGCACGCCCAGCGTCACGTGGAGTCCAGCGAGGCGCGCTCGGGCGGCAGTGCAGGCGCCCAGAAGACCACCGAGATGTACAGCACGCTGCCACACTTGCGCAACGCCTCGTCCGTGGACAGTGGCGGTGGGAAGGGCATGACATTCCACTATGACAACAAGACTTACGAGCGCTTTGAGCCTCTGATGCCGGCGCAGCAACAGGCGCGCTACGACAAGCACAAGTATGACGTCTCCACCGACCCGTCCGGCAATCTCTTGCCATCCTGGGGCACGCACAAGAGATCGCCCAGCGGGGAGTCCATCGGCAGTCGGAACATTCACTTGGGTGAGTAACTCCGAAGCTCCGCCCTGTCAAAAGCTCCGCCCATTTATCCTTGGGCGCTCCAGTTGAGTGTCTTCAATTTTCTCCCTAATTGCCAAGCTGAATACTTTAAAATCCCCTCATTTAATTCGTGATTTATCGCAATGGAAGGGGTTAATTTAGAGTTTTTTCTGCTTTCTCCCCGTTTCAGCTGGAGCTAAACTCGTCCTGCCAACTGGAGAGATTCCAACGCTAAAGCCAGTGGACAAGAATGTCTTGAGGCCGCGTCTCCCACCGCCAGGACCGCCCAATAATGGACATGGTAGGCAAAGTCCTCATTAGCCTCTTTCTCCGCTCTCAATCATTCACACCCTTCTCGGGGAAGGAGTCGTTAAAATTGACCAAAAGTCATCCTTGACTTGGAGAAATCGCAATAATCCGCTTATTGCGGCATGATTGACTTCTTCCCATCCGTGAAGATTATCCCAGGGCGCGCGCGATTAGAGGAGAAGTTGGTAATTCCCAATGTGTTACTAATGAGCGCCTCTCTCTTCCCCAATTAGCCACATCGCTGGATCGCGGCATGTCGAATGGCCAGTCAAATGAGAGTATCAGTTCATTGGATGACGGAGGTCCGATTGCACCACCGAGGAAGGTAATATTCTCGCTAAAGTGGCGAAAGAATGGGAGAAAGATGAAACAAAACTAATCCATAACTCTTTTATACACACACACACACACACAAAAACGCACACTTCACAATTAATAGTCACAGAACTGAATCCATTTTTTTTTAACTCTGGAATGTGATTTTATTATTTATCAATTATGTTGAATAAATAATTATTCTACAGCGTAAAAGTACGAGATTGGCGGTGAAAGAACCCATAAATTTAATGGTATTTATCCCTGTTGAGCGGAGTGAGACGCCAAGAACGGAGGGGGTGGTAAAAGTGGCTTTTGTGATATTGTCCCGAAGGGTGTCGCGCCACCATTTCCATTCAACAGTCATCTCGCAAAAATCACGCAAAAGACGGAGTGTCTTCTAACCACTCATAAGCTTAGATTGTTCTTACTAACTGTCCGTTTATGTGTTGATTGTTGGCTTAGGTTTTTGTTTTTGTTGTGTTTTCCTGAAATATGCAAATTGTGCGCTTTGAGTGTCATTTGGAATTGATGCAAAACTCTTTCAGTTGATGGATCAACAGCAATCACCACTGCGCGGCAGTGACTTTGGCGATTTACTGGACTACTCGCGATCTCTGGACTTGGATTTGTCATCAGGTGTCCTGGACAATTCGCTGGACTCGAGCAGCGGTGGAAATCTCACGATAGACACTTCGTCGCCAAACTACAGTCACTACAAATCGTCGGGTGGCAAGGGAAGCAATCACTTGCAGAGCTATGTGAGTGTGGAATTGAGATTCCTGGGATTTCCTGGGAGAAAAGATGCACTGATTTTGGACTGATTTGTTTTCAGACCACGAGTGGTTTTCGGCGATGTCGCGCGCTGTACGATTGCAATGCGGACAATGACGATGAGCTGGAGTTCAAGGAGGGCGAGATCCTGATAGTGCTCAACGAGAAGACGGACGATGAGAACTGGATGGAGGGTGAAATTGAGGGCGACAGCTCAAGACGCGGCATGTTTCCCGTCAGCTTTGTCCACATGTTGCCCGATTAAGCTTTTCCCGTGCTCGTTTTGCTCAAAGTCACACACCTTTTATTCCATCACAGTGAGAGAAAGAAAGAGCGAAAGAGGAAGACAAAGAGAATCGCGCAAGAGTCACAATCTCATTCCTGGGAATCAACACCACAGGATGGGAGAACAATGAAGTAACTGAAAACAATACATGCTGCCATAATTGTAAATATTACTTATTTAGAATGGAAGCGAAACTGTAGCCAGAAAACTATATATTCAATGGAAGAAATCAAATTATTTGTCTGTAGTCATTGTAGAGAGAGAGAGAGAGAAACCAGTAAAACACAAAAAAAATACAAGAGTATCAAAAAAAAAAAGGGGAGAAACAAGTCCACAATGTGTAGAAGTTTTTAGAGAGAAAGAAGAAGAAGAAGAAAGGTAGACAGAGAAATCATAATGAATGTTGAAATATGAAATAAGGAACGATGTTCAAGAAAAAGACGCTTGTTGTAAAATGTTTTCTTTTTGTCTTTTTGAGAGTTTGTAGAGAAAGAGAGAGACAACAAATGGGCGGGGAAAGCAGGAAGATTTCCTGGCTGATCAAGAGGCACAGAGAAAGAGTATTATTAAAATATATATATATTAAAGAAGAAGAAGAAAAAAACAGAGAGAAATAATGAGATATGATTAAGAATGATGAGGAGGTTATTTAAAAGAGAGATGACTATTTAGGAAGATATGCAGAAAAAAACACGTATACATGATATATTGTGAATGTTGTAACGTTTAATTCTTCTTTTTTTTTAATAGGTCTTAAGACAAAAAAAGAAAAAGTTCACTATATGAGACAGAATTATAAGTTACTAGTACACTTTTTACTGCTATACATTTTTCCTCCAATTTCTCCCATGTGCAGACTTTGCGCGTCCTTTTTATACAAGTATAACATTTTTATTTTACTTTTGTATCCTTTTTGTAAACTATATTATGTACTTTCTAATCCTTTTTCATGTATTTTTCCTCCCTTCAAATGGAGCAAAAAAAGAGTCACACACACAAGAAGAAAAAAACAAACACATGAGAGACTTCTTTTCAAAATACTCGATATTTATATATTTAGAAAGCAAGAGAATGAACTTTGACACAAAAAAAAAATTTATCTTATGAACCAAAGAATGATATATCACTGTAAGGACAAGTGACATTGTGTATTCGAAGGAAAAAATCACTATTATAGTTCGCTTCTCTCAAGAATATTAAAGACATGATAAAAGAATAATCACATAAATTCACTCTGGGGATGTTTTTTTTTTATATGCACTTCACTGAAGAAAGAGGCTTTCGCGGTTCACACTTTAGCGAGAGAATTTTTATGCCCAAATTGAAAAGCCCTATTTCCAGAGCTTTTCTTGGACATTTTGGTCAATCTTGTCTTAATGAATTTCCCGAAGGTTGCTCAAGTTGAAGAATGGACGAGAATGACAGGAATGAATAAAATTCTTGATAAAATTCAACATCAGAAACCCAAAAAAAAAAACGCGAAATATGATGTAATATTCCGTTTTTCAGACGGAATAAAAGATTTTCTACTATTATTTGTTTGGGAATCGCATTTTCGCGCCATTTTCCTTCCATTTTCACACATTTCTAGCTTCTAGCTTTAACTTAATGATGAACGACTCAAGATACATATTAGATGTTTCGGTTAATCCTATCTTTACGCCACATTCTGAGAATTATTAAAAAAAAAATGGCACGATTTCTGCAATTGTTTTCGTGATTTTTGATAATTTTGTATTTCTTTCTTCTCAGAATGTCAGATTTTAATAATTCCACCTCAAGATAGAGATCTCAGAAAATATCCAAATGAATCATGCGAATATCCAGTTTATTTCACCCCAAAAAGGGGGCGTGGCTTGATTGGGGGCGGAGTTTCCGCAGAGGGAAGGCTTAGAAATTCTCCCGCCAAAGTGAACCCAGAGAAGAAATGAAGCGACTCGTGTCAGCTTCGTCTCCTGCGCTTCCTGCTTCAGTGCAGGTGTTCGGGCGCCTGCGGCGGCGCTGGATGGCGTGGAATTGCGGCGCTCCTCATGGCGGCGTGGTGACTAGAGAGAGTGGCTGGGGCGGTGGCAAGTGGTGCGGCAGAAAGGGCGACGGCGGCTGCGTGACCTTGTGGATCCTGGCCAGGTGCTTCTTCAGGTGGTCGTTGCGACTAAAGCGATTGCTGCAGAAGATGCACTTGTACGGCCGCTCGCCGGTGTGGATCATCTTGTGGCGCTTGAGGTATTCGTTGCGCGTGAACGTCTTCTGGCACGCCGGACAGAGGAATGGCCGGGAGTTTGTGTGGGTGAGGATGTGCCTCTTGAGGTGCTCGTTCCTGTTGAACTTCATCTGGCACATGGTGCACATGTAGGGCTTCTCGCCCGTGTGGATCAGGTGGTGGCGCTTCAGGTGGTAGCTGTTCGTGAACATCCGCATGCACACTGGGCACTGGTACACCTTGCCGCCCTCCTCCGCGGGCTCCTTCTTCACTGGCGCTCCGCCAGCCGGCTCGCCGCTCCCGCCAGCCGGCTCGCGCGCCCGGTGGTGCTCCGCCTTCGCGTGGGGACTCAGCGACATCAGCTTCATGCTCATGTTGGCCGGATCCAGGCCCAGGAAGTGGTCGACGAACATGAAGTCCGGCGGACTGATCGGGGCGAACTGGCCCTCTTGCTTCACACAGAACGGCGGCAGGATGAAGTCACTAGTGCTGCCCTTCACGCCACTGCCGTCCATAGTCCTTGCGTCTCTGGAGATATTCGCACTTGATCACAAAACTACCATTTAGCTGGCGAAAGCTAGTCAAAATAAAAACATTGCACTTCTTTTGTCACCCAAATACACAATTTCTCTGGAGACAAAAACTGTCACGTTCACAGTCAAGACGCGGTGTGTTGATGAGAAAGTCTCCAAATGCACCCAAACACCCGAGTTTCCCACCCATCTCGCATCGCGCCATCTGTCGCGAAAGCAGCGAAAGCGCCCGAAGAGACCATAAAAGATTGACCGAGTTTGACAATTGCCAAGGAACAAAATGGCTGGAGAAGTGTTTATAAAGTGTTTAATATCATTTTTACTGCTGAATTCGTGCAGAGGTAGAGTGAATTTTGTGCACAATCCACTATTTGGGCCCACGCCGACTGTTTTACGCATTGTGCGTAGCGAAATAGTGGCGGAGAGTGGCTGAAAAGTGAATGCAAAAAATCGCTTGGTCGACCAGGGACTGTGGAGGCTCTTTTACGCGCATAGACAAATCTGTCAAAAGGGGAAATTGATATTATAAAATCACAAATGATAAGATAAATATTGTGATTTATTTGCAAGATAGGCGCGATTAAGAAAACAAACAACGCCCCACATCTCGAGGAGACCAAGATAATGGTGTGGCTGGGGCGACAGGAAATCTCCCAGACGAATTTCTTCTCTCTCGCTCTCGCTCGAGGGCATTCTTGAGAGGTCAAAGGACAAGTGGAGAATTTGTGGCTAACCTTTTGCCCAAAAATTGCAGGTGAAATCAATGGACGCCTCCTGGATGAGAATGAGGACAACCTGGACTTGGAGACGCACCACACGAGAGATCTTCCAATACAAAACTCCATTCAGAGTCATCCCAGGTAAGAGTTTCACTCAAGTGTCTCCCTGGCAAAGCCCATAATTAGTCTCGTAAATCACTCCTAACGCAATAACTTCTTCTATCGCTTGCTGCCCAATAAAATGCTAACAAAAAACCCCTAAAAGGAGGCACAGAAAGTCCAAGAGACGAATGAAGCGAAGGTAGAGTAACTGAAAAGACATCCTTAAGAGATTTTCTCAGCTAGAATTTGCTGCCAGATCAAGCCTTCTCCTCACGAATGCCTCGAAATTTCTCTGCAGGTACAAATGCTACTCCTGCGAGCCTCCCGATTGCGCCAACAACGTGACAATCCACACTCACCTGTGCCAGAATGCCATTCAGTGCTGGAAGTCCCGCGTGCGCGACAGCTACGGCGTGGAGCGGATGAGCAGGGGCTGCACGACTTCGCACGACCAGCTGCCGGTGCTGTGCAATCCCAACATCAAGGGCGGCCACGCGAAGCGCCACTCCTCCGGGCAGTACAACATCGAGTGCTGCACGGGCGACTACTGCAACAACGGCAGCTTCCCCGAGCTGTCGCCCATCAATGAGGTGATCCGCATGGACCCGGTCACGCCGGCGGGCCTCAAGTGGATCTTCGGCGCCATGGCGCTCGTGGCCGTGCTGTGCGTCGTCGGCGTGGTGGTGTACTTGTGGATGCGCCGCAGCCGGCACAAGAGACTGCTGGTGTCCAGGAACAAGGCGGACCCCGAGACGTACTACGCCAGCGACGACATCCTGCGCATCACCACGGCCGGCGACAGCACGCTCAGGGAGTATCTGGAGCACTCCGTGACCTCGGGCTCGGGCAGTGGCCTGCCGCTGCTCATCCAGCGCACGCTGGCCAAGCAAGTCTCCCTCGTGGAGATCATCGGCCGCGGGCGGTACGGCGAGGTGTGGCGTGGCATCTGGCATGGCGAGAATGTGGCCGTGAAGCTCTTCTACAGTCGCGACGAGGAGTCATGGAAGCGCGAGACGGAGATCTACAGCACAGTTCTGCTGCGGCACGAGAACATCCTCGGCTACATTGGATCGGACATGACGTCGCGCAACTCCTGCACGCAACTCCTCCTGCTCACGCACTACTATCCACTGGGATCGCTGTACGATCATCTCAACAGATCGGCGCTCACGCACCACGAAATGGTGGTGATCTGTCTATCCATCGCCAACGGACTCGTTCACCTGCACACGGAGATCTTCGGGAAGCAGGGCAAGCCCGCGATTGCCCATCGCGATCTCAAGTCCAAGAACATCCTGATTCGCTTGAACGGATCGTGCGTGATTGCTGACTTTGGACTGGCAGTGACTCACGTGCAGGCCACCGGGCAAATCGACTTGGGCAACAATCCCAAAGTCGGCACCAGACGATACATGGCGCCGGAAGTGCTGGACGAAAGGTGAGTTTTCCTTAAAAGTCTTATTCTTGCTCTGTTTTGAGCGCTTTTTGTCCTCAGTGGAGGCATAAAAGTGAGATGTTTGGCTTGCAAAATGCACCAAGAAAACTTCTCAGAGTTTCAATCACGTCGAAAAATAGGTTGGTTCTCAAGAGTTCTAATCGTTTTCTGTTCATTCTCTCTCCAGCATCAACATGGGATGCTTCGAGGCCATCCGTCGAGTGGACATTTACGCCCTGGGTCTGATCTTCTGGGAGGTTTGCCGCCGAACACTGTCCTGTGGCATCGCCGAGGACTACAAAGTGCCATTCTACGATGTTGTTCCTGCTGATCCCAGCTTCGAGGACATGAAGAAGGTCGTCTGTGGCGACAATTACCGCCCGTCGCTGTCCAACAGATGGACATCAGATCCTGTAAGCACTCAAAAATGCCCTCCAAATCTCTAGCTTGACTAACTGTGTGGATTTTGCAGCTCCTGGCGGGAATGTGCAAGCTGATGCGCGAGTGTTGGCATCAGAATGCCAATGTGCGTCTGCCGGCGCTGCGTGTGAAGAAGACAATCCAGAAATTGGCCTCAAATGACGCTACAGTGAAGCTGCATCAGAACGAAGAGGAGGTGTGAAGAAGGAGGAGATTTTCCTCCGATAGACGAAGAGCCTCTATCTTTACACATTTATTTTAACATGATTAACGAAACCGTGAAGTGTTAGAAGAGTTTTTTTTTGTAGTGTTAAAAAGAGAGCGGAATTTCATGGTGATTTTACTTGGGGATCGAGTATTTTGTTCACCTCGCTTTAATTTCCACCAACCGCGAATATATATATTTAATTTTTTTTCACCTGTTTCTCTCTGTGTAGAATTTCTGTGTTAATGACCAAACAATTGATTATAGTTGTGGAAGTATTTAGAGAGAATTTGTCGCGCAACTCTGAGAATGAATGAATGAGGAAAGAAATCACCTTGAAGATCCCCAGGAAAGTGACTGAAATTTCGCGCGGTGGTTCTTGTTATATTAATAGCAAAAAGGCGACGAGTGCGCGCGTATGAAGAGTGAATGAAATCCATAAGAGAAGAAAGATTATTAAGTTGTGTGTGAGAATAAGTGAGAAAAAAATCAGCAGATAAGACACACTTTTCTTTCTAACTTCAAACCATTTCACGCTTTGGAAATGTGATTGACGGCTAAATATGAATTGCACACAGTATGTAAATAAAAGGAGAAAAAAAAGAGTGTCGATCAATCATTTTCCTAAATATATGCATGTGAAATCTGTGTTTTGTGACTAATTGCAGAAGAGGAAAACTTCTGTACAACAAAACTTGATATAGATTTGATTGATTGTGTAACAATACAAAACATTAACTTCTAAGAGTAGAGAAAAATGTGGTTAGGAAGATTGTCTGACTTACAATAAGTAGCTGAGAAGGAGAAGAAGAAGAAGGGTGTTTGAGGTTCTCTAGGATTAAAGAAAAAAAAAAAAGCTCGTAGAAATGTAGAAATTGATTCTTGATTCATTTTTGTGAATTATCGCAAATCCCTCAGAACTTTTGCCGAAGAGAGAGAGAATGAAAGAAAATGAGGGAAAAGTGTACCTAAGATAGAAATTCACCAACTCTTCCCGCCACATAATTTAACCCACTAAAAAGTGTGAGTGTGTGTTTTTTTTTTAAATCTCTAAGGGTAGAATTATAGTAAGAAAAGATGTCTCTAGAGTGAGAAAGAGAGAGAGAATACAAAAATACATATTTAACACTGAATCATTGAGTTACGTAAACTTCTTAGCAATTATCTTTAAATTTGAGTATCAAGAATTACTATATTGATGGAAGAAGAAAAAAACGTGAAAATCAGACAAGATATATCAGAAAATATTGAATGTTGCAGTACCTATAAACATATTATATTGTATTTAATTCTATACTCCAAGAAAAAGAAAGAAGAGAAAGAAAAACATTGAGTAAAAAATCATTTCATTCACTCTCTAAATAAGAAGCATTATGAAAAATTCAACTCCAACACTTCAATTCAGCTGGTGAATTGCAGCTCAATTGAAGCTTTTCTTGAATCCTCTGGAGTTTATTCATCGCCATAAACAAATATATGTGTAAAATTTGTAGTTGAGAGAGAAAAGAGGATTTTGTGAAGTCAGCAAAAGAAAACATGTTCATCATTTTCTCCTCCCCATATCAATTCAAACATATTTCAATTACGTAGATTTATCATTTTGTCTCTTCACTGATGAAATCCAGTAAGATTTTACACACAAATCATATATTATTTCTTATGAAAAAAGAAAAAATCTCTGCCATAATTTCGTTAATGGAAATTGTCACTCGTTGGCAACTTTTTAAACATATTTAATGTGAAGCAATTATGAAATTGTTTAATGAGTCACATATCCAAATGAGACATATTAATTTATATACTCAAGCCATAAAATACATATTGACGAAGGGAAATCATTAGAGAGAGAGAGAGAAGGCAAGAGAACGCAAGAGAACGAGAGAGAGAATTGAGAAGGAAAAACAAACCATATTTTACCATCCTCAGCATTCATGTTTGGGAAGAAAGAGAGAAAAAAAATTGCTCATTGTGCGAAATATTCACTTGTAAGCTCATTTGTACATAAATCATGTATGTTTTTAGGATAAATCCTCATTTATATTAACATAAGCAATATATAGTTTTTAACAAAAATAAATCTGAAATGTCTTTTATTTTAAATCTGTTTGCGGCAAAATCAAAAGCAAAATCGTGATTATCACGATTTTGCCATTCGATCCATTCTTCGGAATATTTTTTCCCTCCAAAACTAATTCGAAATTGTGTTTTCGAAATCGGATAGAAAGGTTAGAAATATTTGTAGGAATTGTGAGAATTTAGCACAAGATCGTAAAGTGTCGCGGGTTCGATTCTCATTCAGTTGCGCTTTTTTACAATTCTTTTTCACTTCTCTTTCTTTTTTCGTATATTTTACTTCATTTAATTCCTATATAATTGGCATTTTCCCTCAATTTCTTCAAGAATTATTTCCAATTACCCAATCTGATGCTCGGAATTTCTTTTCTTTCACTAACTTTTTACTCCTAAATTCTTTTTAACGCTTTAATGTCCATTTCTCGGGATTGAAACTATTCTAAATGTTGTAAATGCTGTAAAAACTTTGAAAGTTTTTAGGAAGTCAAAGAGAAATGTGTGAAAAAGGGAGGAAAATGGCGCGAAAATGCGATTTCCAAACAAATAATAGTAGAAAATCTTTAATTCCGACTGAAAAACGGAATATTTACAACATATTTCGCGTATTTTTTGGGTTTTTGATGTTGAATTTAATCAAGAATTTTATCCATTCCTGTCATTCTCGTCCATTCTTCCACTTGAGCAACCCTCGATTAAAAAACAATTTCCAATAGGAACATTTTTCATACTTTATTGATGAGATTTATAAGAATAAGAGGATAAATAATAACTATTTTTTCTATTACAATTTCACTATAAAAATTCACTGAATAATTTGATTAGTCAGGCAGAGTGTTGGAGGATTGCTCAGTACTCGGGCAGTCTTGTGTAGTCAGGATACTTGATGGCCTCCTGCTCGTAGGGGTGCGTGTTTGTTATCTTGTGGATCTTCTTGAGGTGCTTCCGGAAGTAGTAGATGCAGCCGTACTCCCCGGAGCAGATCTGGCACTCGAACTTGGGCCTGTTCTTGTCGTGGATCTGCACGTGCTGCGTCAGCGCGTCCTTCAGCTTGAAGCCCTTGCGGCAGATGGCACAGACGAAGGGGCGCTCGTTGCTGTGCGACGCCAGGTGGTTCCGCAGCTGGCTGTTGCTGATGCACTTGCGCGGGCAGAAGGGACACTTGAAGAGGTTCGCGCTGGGTCTTCTCTTCGTGTAGTGCTGCGGATGCTGGACTCTGCACTCGGGCTGGTATTTGCTCGAGCTCTTGATGTGGACTCTCATGTGCGTCTGCAGCGAAGTCACGCTGGCGAAGCTCTTCTCGCAGAAGTCACAGGGAATCTTGGGCGCCGTGTGGCTCTCGATGAACTCGTAGAGATGCAGCATCTTTTTGTAGCAGATTCCGCAGTGCGGATCTCTCATGTTGTCCTCCAGAGAGTTGAGAAGACTGTCCATTTTGGAAGTCACACCATCAGGAAAGGGAAGCGGGGAGGAGGTTTCAAGCTTGATCTCCAGAGGAACGTCCGAAGAGGAAACGAATCTGGGAAAAAGAGAATCAATGAATTTGGAACATTTTTTCCTTGCCAATTGAACTTCTCACTTTTCCTCCTCTTCATAATATGTCTCTTCGTCGTCAATTGTTGGCTCTTCCTTCACCACAACGTCGTCCAATATGAACAAATCGTCATCGCTCTCGCGCTCCATTCCTTCGTGCTGAAGGATGAGAAATCCAAGATATATTTGCTTGTTATTGTTTACTCAACACGTTCCTTGTTTACTCCAGCTGTTGAATTGACACTTTTGGCGAGCCGAGAATTTTCCACACACTGGAACGACTGGAATATCGAAAGTCTTTATGACTTCAAAAGCAATTCAGTTGTTTTATTTCGGAGAATTCATCTTTCACATTTGCTTATTTCTCTGGATTTCAAAAGCTTCTTCAAGACTCAGAAGGATCAATGAATATTAAAGTGTCCCATGAGTCGGTCGTCGAGGTTTTGGCCTTTAGTTTCTTCGCTCTCTCACAGCATTTGCATATCTTCGAGGCTGTCTTCAGCCTTCCGGATAGAGTTCTAGAATGCAGAAGAAAAGCCATAAAGAATAAAGAGGATAAAAAATATCAAATCTAAGAATTGCTAAAACTTTAGCCAAATATGCTAAAAAGTGGTAACACAGACGATGCGTAAAGATGTTCTGTGCATAAATTAAAGAGCAAGATTTTGTGCAATCAAAGCCTTTTCAATGAATAAATGGACAAATGTCGACAATATGAATTAATCTAGCATTTCTCTTCAAAACACTGGCTTACATCTCTTGACCATCCTCGTCCATGACTTGGAAGAACGTCTCCACAGGATGCTTCTCCATGTGCTTCCGGAAGTAGCACTTTGAGTAGAATCTCTCGCAGAAGACGCAGAAGAGCTTCATGGCGTCCAAGTGCGCATTGAGATGCAGTTTCAGGATGCTTCTGTCCGCAAACCACACTCCACAATAAGGACACAAGATCTGTCTGATCAGGTTTCCGAGTTCCGCCAATTCAGCTTCCAGCACCACAATCTCGATCATCTGCCTAGGCTCGTCGCCAGTGATCCTTGAGAATTGGGGATTTTTAGGAGAAATTGCAAATGGAAGAATGCTAACGGAACTTACTCGATACTCTTGATATTTTCCTTATCTTTTTCTGTGATAACATGAATATCGTCATCAACAACATATATGGTTTGCTCCACGAGGTCTGACACATTGAGAAACTCCATTTTCCTGGTGTTTTTTCTGATTTCCTCAATAGATGAATTAAAATCCGACTGCGATTGAATCAATGAATGAACATGTCTTTATTGGAAGTTCCAGGCGGGAAACGCAATTTTCTATGTTTTTTTTATATTCTATGTTTCTCGATGGTCTGGAAATAGATCTCTCGTCATCTGAATGGGATGAAGATTGCGTCTTCTGGAATGTCCTGCCGCACTTTGGACTGTGAGCATGTATCCCTCAATATATCTCCTCGCTCTCCAAGACACTCGGAAGGATTGTCGTTTGTGATCATTGATGAGATGAAAGATGTGAAGCGTATTCAGCTCTGGCCAGAATTTCTTCTCGCAATACTGTTAAACTGTCTTGGCTGCGTGCTTCTTCATGTGATTCCGCAGCGACACGGAGTTCTTGTACGTCTTCTGGCAAACGCTGCACTTCACGGCATTCGTCCAGGAGTGCACTAGCAAGTGCTTCTGGAGCTTTGCCATCTCGCCAAAAGCCGCTGGACACAAATGGCACGGAAACTTATTTCGGTCAGCGTGGGCAGGACAGTGCTCAAGGCTGTGCATCCGAAGATAGAGACGTCTGTCGAATATCTTGCTGCAAATCTTGCACTTGTGCTTCTTCTTTGGCCTCTTCGTCTTCGTTTTCTCCGTATTGTCTTCTCTGATCTCCACGAGAGTTCCGGATTCCTCACTGGAAAATACACTTTGTGAAACATTATTGAGATGCTGGGAAATCAAAGACTCACAATTCGTTGAAATCGTTGGGCTCATCCTCCAGTATGTATTCGGTCAGGAATACTTCTTCAATTTCTAAATCCTCTTCCATTGTTTGCCACGAAAACAATGTTTTGATCTACAAATGATCAACACTGAGATGACATTTCATCTGTCCAGAGAAAGGGCTGACAAATTCCATTTCTTTGACCAACATTCAAGATTGCACCGCGATTGCAGTTCCAGTAACAACAGAAAATGAAAATACGGCTTTACATTCTCTTATTGTACCTTTACTCTCCTCGAGCCAATAATCCGGCTATCATTTCTCTAACAATTAATCTCTACTTCAATTTGGAGAAGAGCGTGTGGCTCACGCAGTGATCCAGCTCGTGCAGATAGTCGAACAGCTCCTCCTGGCAGTTCTCAGTGGTCTTGGTGCGGCTGTTTACCCTATCATTGCACTCCTGGTACTTGCTGAACAGGGACTCGACCTTCGGAACCAGTGCACACTTCTCCTGCAAAGACCGCAAAGACACATTATGTAATCCATCAGTCATAACCTCAAGGCGGAGGAAAACAGTGAGATTTCTCCTGGTGTACAAACCCTCAGGACTTGCTGGGGATCGACAAGCTCCTCGTCATCCTGGGCATGAACTCTGGGCAGAAGCTGGAAGCTCTGCAAGAATTTTCCGACGAATGCAAACATCTTTCCTCGCTGCCTCGGTTTCTGGCTAAAAATGATGGTTTGCCGCGAAAGAAAGTAACAAGAGCGATAATTAAGCTGCGCAAATGGAAAATGAGATGGTAAATGAGGGAAAAAGGGTGATAATTTACCTAGATTTGCCTAGAATTCGCCTTTTCACTGCACTTTGCCTTCTGGACTGATTGACACTCGCTCTGGCGGTGAAGTTGGCCGCAATTGACACTTGGGCTGCTTGAGCGATTCATTAGAAATAAGTGGTCAGTATGTGCTTTTTGGGCGGCGCTCGTCTGACGGGTGAGCATGTCTGTCAAAATCATAGTGAAAGGTTCACGTAATTTGTCTTCCTCCTGAAAATGGAGAGGAAAAAGACGAAAAAGATCAAGAAGGATCCTCTGGAAGGATGCACAGACCCTTTCCAGGACATTGCCATCAAGATTGAAGAGCCAGAAGATCCCCTGGCCTCGGAAAAGGAGTAAGTTTCGCTTGCTGACATGAAGATGATGAGCGGAAAGCTAATCTTCCTTTCACACTCTCGTTGCCTTCCGTCAGGGAGGAATCCCTTATCTCCGATATCAAGCTGGAGGTGACGCAAATCGCGGCCGCTGACTATTCGGACGAGGAGGACGTCGATGTGCGGGTGGAGAAGAAGAAAATCAATCCGTGGAGGTACAAGTACAAGTGTCCTCACTGTGATTCCAAGTTCACCTCGAAGCTGGACCACAGCCAGCACATCTACCGCGTGCACGTGCGCGAGGGGGATCACAGGTGCAAGCACTGCAAGAGCAAATTCAAGTCCATTCACAGCCTCAGGCGCCACGCGAGGCTGCACACTGGCGAGGATCTGAGCCAGTGCGAGGTGTGCAAGAAGATGTTCACCAGCGTGGGCATTCTCAACACGCACATGGCCACGGTGCACGCCAACGGCCGGCTGGGCAGGGAGAGGAAGACGTACTCGTGCCCGCACTGCACGAAGGTGATCACGTCCAAGTACTCCTTCGAGAAACATCTGACCGTGCACACCAACGAGCGTCCCTTCGCGTGCTCCCTCTGTCCCGGCACGTTCAAGCACAGGGACGGCCTGGAGAAGCACCAGGCCATCCACACGAAGCCCTTCGTGTGCAAGGACTGCGGCAAGGGCTTCTCGGCCAACCACTGCCTGCTGCGCCACATGAACATCCATCTGGAGAAGAAGCTCAAGTGTCCGTATTGCGTATACAAGTTCGCCCTGGCGGAGAATCTGCGCACACACGTGGACCAGCGCCATCCGGGGCTGCCGCACGAGCTGATCGCCGGACCCGTGCGGTGCACAGTGTGCAATGAGATCTACGAGAACATGGAGGTGTTGCTCTTCCACGTGAAGATCCATCCGGTGGTGAAGAACTTCGAGTGCCATCTGTGCGGCCAGAAGTTCGTCACGAAGAAGTACTTGATCAAGCACATTGACTTTGTGCATCTCCTCAAGCGCCAGAAGAAGCGCAAGCCGGCGCCGCCCAAGACGTGCTCGGAGTGCGGGAAGAAGTACACGAATCCGACGGTGTTCAGGCGCCACAAGTGCGACACGACCGTGAAGCCCTTCCCGTGCACGCAGTGCCGCAAGTCGTTCACGCGCAAGACCACGCTGGAGCTGCACAGCAGCATGCACAAGGAGAAGCGGCCGGAGTTCAGCTGTCCGGAGTGCCAGATGGTGTTCCACTGGCGCGCCAGCGTGAGGCAGCACATGCTGAAGAAGCACGGCAAGAACCTCGTGAAGGCCGAGACTGCCAAGGGGATCAAAGTGGTCAGGCTTAGGAAGTGATTCCATGCTGTTTTATTGGCATCAATAAAGATCAATAAAGATTGTAAGAAGAATTTCTTCTGTTTAAAGGACTTGCGACAAATTATTTCACAGAACAGCGTAGGAATCAGGACTCAAAGACTCTAAAATACAAGACTTGATTTACTACATATTTCTAAAAAGCTTTTATCTAAGCTTTTTTGCATCTTTTCAACCCCACTGAAAGTTCGATAATTTCGAAACATTAGTTCTGCATACATTCAGGCGCAATACAATTCCACAAAAAGAAGTGAAACAAGTTTTCTACTTGTCTGATGAATCCCCGTTAGATCTTTATTGTTTCCAGCCATTCGATCTCAGGACTTGCGAGGGTAAAAGTAAAAGCGAGACTTTGATCAGTTTATCAGTTCATCTCAGTGAAATCGCATCAAAAGCACCAAAATGTCCATCTTCCGCTTCAACAAGTGCTGCTGCATCTTCGAATTGACCACGGGTGGGATCATAATGGGCTGGATCAACATCATCATGTCCATCGCCCTCTTCGTCGTGTGCTGCGTCGTCCTCGCGGACGTGGACAGGAAGGAGGAGAATTTCGCCAGCGTGAAGCTCATCTGTGGCATCATCATCTTCATCGTGTCACTCCTGATGATCTCCGACGCGCTCCTCATCCTGGGCTCGATGCACAAGAAGCCGTCGTACATCGTGCCGTGGCTGTTCAATGAGGCCGTCTTCCTGCTTCTGAACTTCATCGGCATTTTCCTGTGCCCAGACTTCGCCTCCATCCTGGCCGGAATTGCGTACTTCACCTTCCGCCTGTATCTCTGGCTGTGCGTGTATTCCCTGCACGCCACGCTGAAGGAGTGGCCGGCTGCCGGCGGCGGCAACTTCGCCTACTCCGAGAAGACTCTCCAGCCTGGATATCTGGACATGTGAAGGAAGGCTTCTTCTATCCTTTCAATAGTGTAACATTGAATAGAGAATAGAGTCCCTATTCCATATGCATTCAGTAGATTTCATTGCCACGGTGAGGGATTCTCAGGAGCGTCAATCCTCAGTGGATTTCCATGACGACACACAGAGTGTAAACGAAAGCCAGGCTCATGAATTAATCATTCTCACTCTCCCTGATTAAGTGTTTCGCTTTCGCTGTAATTTCCACTCGAGCGTCAGTCAGTGAGAATTTTCCGCAGTGAGCAGACTTTCGCGATGATGATGAAGTTCAAGTTCCCCAAGAAGCTGTTCTGCTTCGAGCTCAAGATTGGCGCCATCATCACAGGATGGTTCCACTTGCTCTTGTCCCTCCTCGGCGGCATCCTCGTCCTCATCATCCTCTTCAACCACGAGCTCTACATGCACGCCATGGATTACTTCATCACTGTGGTCGATAATGGAACGGAGCTCGTCGTGTTTCAGGACCTGAGCCAGAGGAATATCCTGGAGTTGGAGATGAAGATCGTGTTCGGGATTTACCTGTTCATTTGCATTGTGAACTTCGTGGCGGCAGCGTTTCTCATCTACGGCGCTATGAAGGACAATCATCTGCTCCTCGTACCGTGGCTCTCATCCGAAGTCCTGGGCATGTTCATCATGCTCTGTGCGATATTCGTGCGCTGCCCAATCCTCATCATTGTGATCTGTAAGACCGTGAAGTGCTCTCGAATTCCCTCGCTAATTGCTGTTTTCCCCCAACAGTTGTCCGCGTGTACATTTGGTACTGCATCTGGACCTTCTATCGCGACATGAGGCGCGGCAAGCAGATGACCGGATTCCCAATTGAGCCCCCCATCGCCTTCGCCACCGGCGAGGCCCCTGCCGGAAAGCCTCCGTCCTATGGGGACGTCGTGACCTTCAAGTAGGCCCGGAATTCAGAGTAGAATCAGTATCTCAACACTGTTGTAGTCTTCTCACGAGAATCAATAAAATGCAATCGTTTTACTGTGACCAAGGCTGATGTGAAAAACTCCACATGTTCCTGGGAGCGAAGCATCTGGTCGCGAGGATGGTGCGGAAAATCGATAAATGCATTGACACACTCTCTGCAAGCAAGGTCAGAGGAACATCAGGTGAGGATCTCACCAGTCTGCAGAGTGTTTTGCCCATGAAATTTTTATCTTGGAATTCATAAACATTGCGGACGAGAATCACGTTGAAATTCTCAAGAGACAATCTCTTATCTTGGAGGAAATAAACGGGGGAAAAAACAGAAAACAGAGATCGCTGCAAAGCTCATTTCTGAAGTCATCATCTTTACAGATCTTGAGCGAAAATAGTGATGCGCTGAGAAAGATTTTTTTAATAGTTCAACATTTTGTACGATTTTTTATCATTCTGAATTTATGGAGCAAATTCTTATTGCGTACGCATTTATTTTAGCATTTATTTACAAATCATGTTCAAAAAGATTAAAGCTTTTGTGTGTAATGAGTGAAATCTGCGTAAGTTTGGTTAAAGCTCCTATTTTATGGTTCTTAAGTTAAAACACAAACCACTTTTTACGCCACCGAGATCTGCTTAATCGACTCTCTTAATGCTTTGAAAGCTCGGGGGTGAAAATCCTCAATGGCGAAAGGATAAATCGAAATCAAGTCCTAAACAATTCATTTCGTCATTTTCGTGAGTTGGCCTGAAATTCAGGAGCCATGAAGAAATGTATTCATATTTCACCCCTCAAGTTGACCAAGTGCATGAATAATATCCCTCCAGTTCTCTCGTTTTTTTCACCTTTTTGCCTCCTTTGCCTCCTTTTCCTCCTTTGCCTATTACAATACCCAACTAATTTATTACACACAAATCCGACCACTTGACCGACGGCTGGAGATTGAAATTCTGCGATAGCAGATAAGATTGAGAGCCCTTTGAAGGGGACGACTCTCTCTAGTACACAGTTGACTCCTTTCCGCCCTCCTGCATTACTCGCAGTCCTACCTATGCAATTAACATTGTGCGGAGAAAATATTTTGTTGTATCACAACATGTCAAACATCGCCATAATTGCCCTTAATATCGGAGCCCTTGAGACGTCGCATTAATTGTTTTATGCAAGAGCAATCAAAAGATTCTGCATGACTCTGTGACATTCGCCATTGTTGGTCTGTGTCTTTGTGGACACAATGGGGAAGAGAGCTCACCCTTCGTCTTCCTAAACAAGTTGCAAAGTGTGGAAAATCTCGGTGGAGGACAAAAAGATACAAGAGAAGCCATCAAAAGGCGTTCCATTCAATAAACCCTCTCTCTGACAACTTTCATGGGGATGAGAATCGCTATAATGACGTCTTAACTTCAATTATGAGAGAGAGAGAGAGAGAGAGAAAATCACCCAGAGTGATATTCCGCATATCTTTCATCGTTCGTGCTCTGGAAAAGTTTTAATAATATCTCATATCGAAAAAAAATATGACTACAATTGCGCTTTGAGAAGAACTACCATTAAAATCCCCTGTCATTCTGCATCTCCGGCCAGCGAGTTGACGGAGCGGGAATGGTGTAATTTTCACCCCTTTCCCGCTCTAATTGCCCAAGAGAAAATATTTGCATGTGGTAATTGTTTTTCTCCCACTGGCGCTTTTATCTGCGCGCTCAGCGACAGAACGCGCCCTCGCGACCGGAATTGTGTTTGGTCTCCCCGGGGATGATTTATCCCATCTTACCAGAGTATCAAATCATGCCGAATCTCATCCGGAAGGCACGTGACACTCTCACTTCCTGGCGAATTCGCATGCACGCGCGTCATTAAAGGCATCCATACATGGCAATATTCCGCGTTATTTATGATCCCCTGCACATCGTGGAACAATCCAAAGTTTTCGGGACGACATTTTTACGACTGTGTGCCGTTGAAATTATGTTCAACGTCCCAGATTCACGATCATGATTATAATGTAAACACACACGGGCCACTTTTGCTCATTTTTCCCCGCCAGAAGGAGGATTTTCTGAGCCAGAAGGAACACTTGTGTTTCATGTTGGCATTAGTGGGTGCTAATTGAACAACTACCGGCCGGATGTCTGAATAGGCACGCAAAGCCACTCGCTCGCCGAGGTAGAACTTGTGTGACACGCTTGATTTGTGAATTTAAATATTTTATTGTCAATTTATGTCCCCGCAGATTGCCATCGAGCTGATCCTGCGACCCGATTAGGCGTCATGTCTCAATTAGGCTCTGAATTACAGCGAAGAGTTTAGCGAAATGGACTGAGGAAAGTTTAGAAAATCAAGGAAGAAGAAAAGAACAAAATTAACGACTGGAATTTATCGTGAATCACTTTCTATGGTGGAAAAACAACTGAGAGATTTCACTTGTTGTTGTAATTCATCACAAATAAACAATGTAATGAAAATCAAGAGCATCAGCAATCTTTGCAATTCTTAATGACGAGAGCGATATTAAGAACTTTACGCACTGCTTTAAAAGTGATGAATTTGGGGCAGTTCAATGTAGTTTAAATTTACCTTTCTATTGGAGTTCTTCTCTAAATGCATTTTAGCAAGCAATCTCTTGAGATTTCAGATAGTTTTGTAGACAGCTTAATGGGATTTAAGGACACAAATATCCTTCATAATTTCATGCAACAACAAAGGTAATTTCACTGTCTTTTGCAAGGTCTTTTGCCATCCCACTTTTTTAATAATATTCAGCTTTAAATTGAGCCCAAATCACAGCAATAAAGATAGGATGCAAAAATCGTCCCTTGCGATTTGATTTAGTGTACTTTCCTCTTGCATTTAGACAATAATTTTTTCCCCATTCGGATGATTTATGCGGAGGAAAATTCGTCGAGAATCCACGCATCTCCGGGTGGGTGGGGGGCCTCGAAATGTGGAGCTTCTGCATGAATAATGAATGGGAAAGGTATGAAAATTATGTTCCACAGAGATTCCCTCCTGCAAATTCAGACCGAATGGCCTCTCCAACCCCCGGCGTATGTACAGCGATGTAGATTTCCCAATCATTTCGTAGCCTCGACATCATCATCATCGCTCCTCTGTGTGTCATCGGCCGTGGCTCCGCCCCGCGAGGCATGCCCGCTCTCGCTCGCTCTCGGCGGGCGAATGGGCCGTGAGCCACCCCATCGGGGCGACACCGAGGGTGATGGCTCGCTGCGGCGCGTCCTGGGAGCCCCGGTGGTAAATAAGGCGTCTCAGAGACAAGAGCCAGCATATCTTCCTCCTCGCAACGCCGCCACAAAGGGATGATCGTATTTTGCTAGTGGCGGTCGCTTATTCCAACGGATACTCGTGCGCGCCAAGGTTAATTTCATAGTTGGTGGAACACCTCTCTTCCGGGTCAAGCTCCCTGAGTGTCCCTGCCAATTTTCACCCCCCTCCGAGTGAAGTGTGCTTGTGAGAGTCGCCCGCGGAAAAAATGTAGACATCCAAAGTGAAATGAGCCATAAATTACACTCCTCGATTCGCGCCACTTGCCAAGAAGCTCAAAGCTCAGGACTCAGTGTCTCACTTTCACCCTCGGCCACCCCGTGAACCGCACAGATAATTTATTGGCCACTTTTTTCCACAATTGACCCACCGAAAAAAGAGCGCGGACTCCGGATCCCATTTTTGCTTAACATGCACATAAATTTGTACGCATTTGCTGTGGAAGTTTGAGAGATAGAAAACAGAGGCAATTTGAAGCAATTATCCGTGAAAGTTTCGCGACGGTGAACATGTACGAGAGCTCGTGCTCATACCAGACGGCGCTGGACCTCAAGAGGCCCCAGGTGAAGTCCGAGGACTGCCTGGGCGTGCCGCAGTGCTCCCCGGACTGGGCGTCCTATCGCTTCCACCAGTCCACGTTCGAGCAGCTGAAGCAGAGCGTGGAGAAGGCCAAGGCGGCGCTCCAGGACCGCAGCTTCCTCGGCTCCACGGGCGCTTTCAGGTACTGTCCAGACCACAGCCTGCATCCCCAGTTCCCGGACTCAAGCTCTCGCCCTTGCAGCGACATTTACGCGTCGCCCAGACTCGCCGAGTCCCTGGAGACCGTCGTGTCGCTGGGAAATGCCGCCGGATGCAACGTCGTGGGCGTCATCAACGGCCACAGAAACGACTTAATCTCCACAACGACGGCTTCTTCGTCGTCCATGGTGGACTCGCTGAACGACGTGTCGGAAATCAGCAAGATTAGATTAGGTGAGACGCAATTTGACAATTTTTTCCCCCAGATTATCTCTAGCGACGGGTTTTTGCATGGATGGAAATTCGTAATCATTCCGCGATGTTCAATCAAATTTTTGCAGCAATTTCTGCCTCTCTCCATATTTTTGGGATGAAGGATAATTACCAGCTTATCCTTTTGACGATATGATTATCCAATTTTAATGAACTCACGCTCATTTAATCTTTTCCAAAGAAATCCTTTTATTTTTCTCATTCTTTCCACTCGTATAAGATTATAGAGAAGAAGATTGAATGATTTTCCACTCCCGACAAACTGAAAAAAAATCTTACTTTGTATAGGAAAAAATCTTCTCGATTCCTAAGAAATTTATTTAATTTGAACGGAAGATAAAACTTGTGAAATTATCAATTTTCCATTATGAAAAGTTTCTTTAAGCAATATTAAATTCAAATATTTTTCACTGTAGCAGAATTTACTCTTTGGAAAATGTAAATAAATTCAATTTTTTATATTTTTTTTATTCCTGAATTTCTATTTAAAAATGTAGATATTTTCCTTTCATAAATTAACGAAAATGCGAATATAACATGAAAATTCAAACAAATTCACATATTGACCAATTTCAAAGATTTTTTTTTAGCATTTTGAGAAGTTATTCTTATTTTCTTTGAATATATCAAATTTGTGAAATTAATATAATTAATATCAATAATCATAGTCTAGAAGATTTTGGAAAATATCTTTATTTTGCCATTGACTGATAATTTTTGTTGTCACATTTCGTAAGAAAGTTTTTGAACTTTTCAATACAACAATCGTTAAAGTTCCAACTGCGACTTTCTTTTTTATTTAATATATTGTTGAAAAGTCCCTCGTTTGCTCCTGCTTTATGGCCAAAATCTTCCCATTTTCTGGTCCTTTTGGCAGTGGAAAACTTCCATCCTCGCAAACATATCGAATTCCATCGCGAGTGGGAGTGAAAAGGGATCTGAGCAGCGCTCATTGCGCAAACCACCCTTGCGAGGGAATCTGGCGATGGGGGATGGATTCAAAGATGGAGTTTCCATGGTTACAGGTGGAATGATATCCAGCCGCAACTCCATCATTATCCCCTTTTTCCCAGCCAGCGAATCAGCACGGAATTGAGTGTAATCTGCTCGTCATTTGGACGATCGACGGCTGGTCGGATGTCATGAGTGCATAAATCCATAGCTAAAAGGCTGCCGAGCATGAATTGTGTGCTCCTCCAGTGTTATTGAATCATCCACTTAATTAGGGACTTTACGGTGGCACGCTGTCGAAATTGGTCACACCACTCGAGAGCGCGCATCCAGAGTGCCATCGTGAATGGATGAAGTTGTGGGAAAGAAGTGCAAACATGGCAAAGCAAACAACAATAAATAATAAATACAAAGTATCATCATCAGCGAGCGTTGGTCCACTCTTTTGCCGCACTGTCGCTCGATTGTTGTCTAGAAGAATGCCCAACCGTGCGCCACCTCGTCAGCAATAATTCATACGTAATCGCACACCAAACTATCAATTGACGGGCGGTGGGAATGGGAGGGAAGCAGGAAGAAAGCACGAGGAAAAATCGGATGTATTGCTCGACCGAGAGGGTGAAGAGGTTGCCAGATATCGATAGGGTGGCAACCTTTTCAAATTGCTTAATTGGCGTGAATTGTGTACATAAATATTGGCCTATAGTTTTTTTTTTCGGCATTGACTCTCTGTCAAGCCAACAATGATGGCTCTCTCTCTGTCTCTCTTCATTTTCCAATCTGTTTCCCGCACTGTCATCAACTATTTTCTGCCCATCCTCAGTGGCCAATCGACATTATCATCTCTCTTTTCTTCTCACTCTTTCAGGCCATGAGAAAAGTCTCAGTCTCCCAAGCCAGGATGATGTGAGAAATGTTAAATGTAACACAGGTAAATTGCTATTGATTTCTCTATGTTGCTTTTCCCCTTTCACCCCCGCGCCGACTTATCGCGACGTGGGCCCTTTTTTGGAAAATCCACCCTTGGACAGTGCGGAGGAGAGCCAAAATTCAAAGTCAAACAGCCATAAATCATTCGCATGCGTGGCAATAATTATTATAAATGATTTTCCTCTGGGCATAAAGAAAGTGTTTGATGAACATTAAGATGAATGAGTTAAAAGTGTACAATTTTCGACGAACTGTTATTATTCTAATCACTTTTCAAAGTAGTCATTTATTAAAGGCCAATGCAAGGGCATGAAAGTTTAATGGGGAAAAACATCTTGTAATATCATTGAAAATGCCTTGGAAACTTCAGTCAAAGGAAGCGGTCTTGGATTTTAGGATTGTTAAATGTTGATTTTTAAAGGGTTTTTTAGAAAACACTTTAAATTTAAAACAATGATAAAGTCGTGAACATTAAGCCAATCAGTCAATCAAATTTAATGGGATTTCGTGTGTGGAAATAGATTTTTTGATTGTTTTTTCCAGGTTTTCACTATTTTTGTGACGCATAAATTGTGTCACATCATTCTAAATTATTTTTAAATTAAATATATTCATCAGTGTATCAGTAATGTTCCATTTTAGAGATCGATTTCAATGGTGAAACTCGAAAGTAGAGACACATTCTGCATTATCGATGCGAGTGGAAAAGTCTGAGGGTGGAAATTCCTTTCGGGAAAAACCACCCCTTGCAAAAGCTCACACGAGATGGCAACCAAATCATGTTGATTTTCCTCTATTGCATTTTTACAACTCAATTTGAAGAAATCCTTCCTTCCTCCGCATTGAAAGACAACGGCAAATTAGTGGATTTCACGAGTGACTTCACCCCGCATAGATTTATCATGGAGAAAAGCCCGCCGAAAGCCCAAAAAGTTGAAAAATCGATAAATATTCCTCTCTTATCCAACAACTTCCGCCTCGCTGGTTTCGGCAATCGATATCGTAGTCATGGCAGCAACTTCGCAAGTACTTCCGGTACTGATACATACATCATAGCCCAGTTGCAAGGAGAATGCGCGAGTCATTGCTCAAAATATTCCCATTTTGTAACTTCACACAATCCCACCCACGAACACCGTCTGTGTTCACCATGAAAATATACACCTGGAAAATCCCTCACAATCCCGAAGGATCAGCGCGCGCCCTGCGTGGGCTGAATGGAGGTGCATATATGAAGTTTTCATAAATTGCACGAGCACGCAATTTACTCTGCTCTTGTTATGCCTTCACTCGCGATTAAACAATCAAATACTTAAAAAACAAAAACTTAATATTTTTTCACACGTGGCTGCAGCACGCGTGCAGTCATTCATACGTCATTATGGGTCACGTGCGGCGACAGCAACAATATTGTGCCATGGGGTTGATTGTCTCGCAGCCCTCGCGATGGAGTGTGTGTGTAGTTTTGCATGTTCCAGACCCCGAGAGTCAGGGACCTTCTCTCGGCCAGTGAATGGAGCGTAAATTGGCGTACGCCTGAAAGCCATTCAGATGTGTTGATACGAGTTGAGGAGTGTAACTTGCTCATTTTGTCAGTGCCGCCATTCAGTGCAGCACGAAAAGGAGGAAATTTTGTGAAAATTTCCAAGCTGCACAAGAGCATCGGAGGGAAAATTTTCCCGAAATTGACATTGCGTGCAACCCTCGAGTGAATTATGAAGTGAAACGCAATGAATTTATTAATTTTTCTCTGTCTCTCCGTAATTTATGCTCCCTCGCAATTCTTACCCCACGACATGATAGTTTTCTGTGATTTCCCATTTATTGATATTGTTGTTCACGGATTTTTTTCCTCTCGCGCGCGAGGATCCATAAATTCATAGGTGCAACATTTGTCACGCTGTTTTTTCTCACCGCCCCTTCGATAAATCACGGCGCGGCAAATTCTAGTCGCAGAGCAACTAGTAGTGATTTTGTCTCACGATGGCACCGCTGGACCAGAGAGACCACCCATTGTCATCGATTTACGGCCTCAATTGTCGAGCAATCAGTGCCGATGCGAACTTCAGGCGCCCTTCGACGCCGTGTGAAAGGGATGCCACTTGAAGTGTGCTCAGAGTTAATCCTATTTGCAATTGCTTAATATCCCAAATGTGTGTACACAGACGGATTGCGTCAGTTGGTCGTACAGCGCAGTCAATTGGCTCATCAACAAGTGTGTCTATGCAGAATGTAATGCGGGATTAAGTGTGAATAATTCCTGCCCTTGCATGAGAAGAGGATTCTCTCCCAGGGGAGAGAATTCAGCCCAAATCACTCACTGCACATATTCTATCTGTCTGGAGCGAAAATCATTAGGATCACCCTAAAGCGAGAGAGGTTTCGCGCAGGGGTTCATCGTGTGTTGATGGGAAATAAATTGACGCAAAAGATCTGTGAATGCTGCATGAATTTAACAAAAAAAAAGAACTAAATGTTCAAGGACATGCAAAAGAGTAAAAGACTAAAGAGAAATCGATTGTAGAAGACATCGATAAAAAGAATATTTTGCTTTCATCAGACGGTCAGAAAACGAAGAAATTCACTCATTTTTTTCGCTTTGAAATAGAAAATCAATCATGATTGTGAGATTCTTGATTCAAGCCTCGTCTGCAAATCTCTGCAACTAGAATACGCCAAAAAAAAACTCTATAATTTCTCTTAATGTTAAGAGCTATTGAAATTTTTCTGAAATGTCTCACATCCACATTAGCAAAAGAGGCAACAGAAAACAAAGAGCAGACAGACAAGTAATAAATTGTCATCACTAGGCAATGCTGCAACTGTATGAACCCCTTTGCGTGATTCAATTCATCAAATCGCCACGCGATCAGCACCCTTGCGATCTGCGAAGGGTGCCATCCGCGCAGATCATTTCGCAGGGAGAATAATTAAGTGCCGAATCGCCGAGATTTCCAGCTTCCCACCCGAGATACTCAAATGTGCATCATGTGAAAGTGGCCCGAAATAAATCACGGACGACACGGCTCGCTGACTCGCTGCCTTTTCACCCCTGTGTGACCCGACGAGTCACCCTCTGGACAGACAAAAGCTCAAAGTGTGGGAATATGCGAACACCCAAAATATTTATATTGACTTTCTCTGTCGCCGAAGTCACCCTCGCAATTTTACACAACATTTAATTTCCAGCATTTTTCCCCAGCGTTGCCCATTTCCTTGACGGGGGAGGTTCTTTTTTGCACTGCAATAATGTTGCAAAAGCGCCTTGTGTGGATCAAGCGTTACGTAATGGTATGCGACTTTCCACTATCTAGCCGTTCCCATCTTTTTTGCGCCCTCCTCACATGGACTGTAAAAAATATTGCAATGAGATATTTCTGGGGGTTGGAGGGAAAAGTGTATCAAGAGTGTGCCATCTCAATCTCTAAGCAAACTAAGAATTATCCACTCAAGTTTAGAGCTTTCTGAGCCATTTGTCTCACTCGTCGTCCCTGTAAATAGAAGCTCATGTAATGCATAGAAATTCAACATTTTAATAATGTGTACATAGCCGTGACACACAAGGAGGCGACCCCCGAAAAGCACTCGAGGGGGTGGCGCGCTCCGTCTCCCTCTCGCACACACGCTCCGGTGCTCGCAACCCCTCTGGCGCCCTTATGTACAGCGCGCGCGGAGTGTTGGTGGGAAAGGATCAGGAAATCGTGTCAAAGATATCATGCTTTGTCTATCTCCTCGCCTGGTGGCATGTTAGGAGCGAGCAACCCCCGCTCTGTTTATAACACATAAGCATCGGAGAGCATAATGTTCCCACCTTGTATGCCGAATCCGATTGGTGGCTGGCGAGGCCCTCGATTTGCAGACCTCGCCCCCTTCTGAGCGCTCTGACGCCTCTCGACACTCTCACGAGGACTCCTGCCAGGAAGGTCGATAGTGTTTTTTGCCACCAGCCGCTGTACAGTCCGTGCACGTTGCCTGTGAACACCGCCGTTCCTCGCGCTCACATTCAGTCCAGTCTCTCTGGCCCCGAACAACCTTCCTTCGCGAGAACAATCTCGAGACCACACGAGAAAACCACGGAAAAAAGGGCCAACAAAGTGATGAAAGAATAGTAGAAGAGGTGCTGTGGCATTTCTCCCAAAAGTGGGAGTTGAGCAGTCTGAAGAAAAGCACGCGGAACAAACATCGTACCACATTTATTCCTCCGGAAGTTGAAGTGTCCGGTAACGGTAACCGGTTCCTATCGTCATCAGTCCTTCCCGTTCCTCTTCCTGTTTCATTCAGACTACGTGTGACCCTCTTTAAAACCCCAACGCCGGCCACCATTCAACCAGTGATGTTGTCTCTGCAAGTGAAAGATATTTATTAGTAATTTTTCAATTGTTCTCCGGTGACTTCTTGCGCACTCTTGTTCGCCACCTTCGATACCGTCGCTGGTCGCGCGGGAAAAGGAAAATTTTAGTGGATTCTTTCGAACAGAGTTGAAGGCAAAATTGCCAGTTTAATAATGTTGGACATCAAAAGCTCAGCCGATTACCTCAGTCGATCGGCTGGGACTTTCAGCAATTTCTCCATGCTATTTGCTGGTAAATATCCTCCCAGCCACAATCCTGCGATCTCTGCAATCCTCTGTTGTGCCACTGAAGATCTCATGTTTTTGTGAATAGATTCTAATTTGAGATATTTTCCCTTTCTACTCAGATTCTTCCTACAAATCCTCATGGAGCTCTCACAGTACGACGCAATCACAAGGTAAGAAGATTTTACATTTCTATAAGCTTGCAATTACATAGGAAAATGATGATGTAGTATTAATCAGTCAAGTTGATAGTGAATGTGAACTAAATCCCTTCATGACTACAATTCATTTCCATCATGAACAAATTGAAATTCCCCTTAAATCTTAAAAAGAAACCTTAAAACAAGCGATAATACATGAAAATGTATTACAAATTAAAAAAAAGACACTTTACAGAATATTTAATGAGTAATGGGATTATTTGAAACGATTTCATATCACATTTTTATTATTTAAAGAAATAATTTGCAATTACTTCTCAAAATTCTTAGAAATCCTCAAAGAAATCAAAAGTTATTTCTTCCATAAACCGAATTTGAATCTATTCTTCTATAATTTGAATTTTTATTAAGTTTTTCGACGCGTTAAATGCTTGAAGGCTAAATTAAAAGAGGACTTTCAATTTTCTAAAAATTTCTTTTTATGTCATCTCATTAATATTTCTAAAATCAGGCAGAATTGTATGAAAATTCAGCGACAATTCTATGATCTTTCAATTCAACTCTTCGTTATAAAAATCATTTGATTTTTCGCAATAATTTGATGGGTTTTGATCTAAGAAATCACTTATTTCTTTACCTTTTTCCATGAAGATTAACTTACTAATGAGATATGATCTGACTTTCCAAATTGTTGCTAAAATGGTTACTTTTAAAGTTAATTTTGATGGCAAAAGAAGTCATTAACTATCGCATTCTATCTGACAATCCAAACGCACTTCCTTCAGCATGACTAGCATTGTGAGTGTCGAGTTGATAAAGTGTTGTCTGAGAGAGGATATCATGGGCAATTGTTTGAATCCCCAAAACTGCCGGTAAGAATGACCGAAGAGGATCTCAACAATGCAAAATCATGGAAAAGTTTCGGCCTGGCACTTGTGTCCTTTTCACTTTGGAAATCCATTGTGTCGCCCGAAAATGCGACGAGAACTGGCAAAGAGTGTCTCTCAATTTTCAAATCAATTCCACTTCCATCGTCGCCCACTTTTTCCACCCACTTCGTGGAGTGTGAATTGGACATTATGGAAAATCATCCGATAGAGCGAATCTGGCTGAATACAATCTTGGGTACTTTTACCCAGACGCAAAGCGCTTCTCCCACCGCTCAGCATCGCTCGCAGAGTGTTGTGCATATTTGTGGGCAATTGCTGGAGCCCCGAGTGGGCGGGGGATGTTTTCAGTGGCTGACTAAAAGCATCTCACAATCAACTCGAATTTTTGCGCCACTCTGGCGGAGTGAAAATTGAGAAAATCTCCCGTCATCGCGCACTTTCATCAGCAACCGTATTCATGTGTGCGACGATTGCAGACGGCGGAGGGAAAATGTCGGTGGGTGGAACACATCAAGGGGGTAAACTTGGGAATTCGCTCCCTTTGTCCCGGGCTCGCTTTTTGCCACCCTCGAAAACGGCTTCGGTGAAAAGAGCAAACAAAAATTGCCACCAGCCCGAGGCGGTGTTGAAACACCACAGCTTTTTGAACTTATATAGAGACACCCAACACAATGCGAAGAGTGTTGTGAGCAACGAAGCAGAGTCTCACCCTGTAAGCGCTCGGGGGTGTAATTTGTAGCACCAACTCTGACATTTTAAAGTACATGCTGGAGGCGATTTTTTAGTTAGATTGCCTCGCTGGGGTTTTGTCATTATTTCACCCACAAGATTTAATTAGTTTTCCACAGTGGCGGCGCCCCTTTGTTGTGCAACAAACTGCGAGAGAATCAAAGGGCGCTGCAGATGATGGTGACACCGAAATCACAAAGTGCGGTGTTGGCCTCAATGCAAACTTTCAGTGTTCATTTGCAAAGACAACCAAAGGCAAAAATCACACAGATCCTTAATGAGATTTCAAAGTGGGGGAGACAATTTGTCTCACTGGCAAAGGCAAGCGACAAATGGAACACCACTTCCGTTTGTAGCTTTTTTTCCTGGACTATTGAGTAATATTCTCCGTCTTTCGTGCAATTCTTGGTGCAATTGAAGCACTGACGAAAGATAAAAGCATTTTTGGGTTCACTTTTTACCAAATACAACTTAAACGCATTTCTCTTCTCATTCTTTCTTCGCTATTTGTGTTTTAATGTGAAATTGAGCATTGACTTGGAAACTGTGAAATGCATTTCCTTTTCAGAGAATTCAAAGATTTATTTTAACTGAAATTAGATTTTAGATTATTTTATTTAACCTGTTTTCCGAGAGCATCACATTTTGAATTGATTTATCAATTTTATGGACAAGCGAAGATTGTTTAAAAGCAATTCTATCTGAATCACAAAAAACAAATTAGTTAAGATTGCAGAATTAATCAAGAAAGATCATTAACTAGCCTAAAACTTGATAGAGGATTTTACAATTTTGTCTTACGAATTTTGATATTTTCTTTTGTCAAAATGGGTAAAATCCATGAAATCAATTCGCAAACAAAGACATTTTGCATATCTCGTTTCACTAACCCACATAATTTGATGAGGAAACCTCTTCGAGTGACTCAAACAATGATAAATAGCAATAAAGTGCAGAAACTGTGACAATCATGAGATAAATTACGTCCCATCGACCGTTGAGAGCATTAATTTGCTAATTTCTGAGATGAAATATTCATAGAGAAATCGGGCAAGTGAGAGCACGAAATTATTATCCCTCTGGAATATTCATAAGCAGCAAAAAAGGAGCAACACAAAGAGATATTGTCACAATGAGAATTGAGGGAGAAAGAGAAGCGCGCTAGTTAGTAGGGTAATTTTGTCTATGGCTCTTTTTTCTGCCATCGCACAAACTTCAATCAATTTCCAACTCGACTGTTGATATTGCGAATCCGAGAATATTGGCACAATTGGGAGTGACAAAGTTCCATTCTTTGCCAATTTTTATTTGCACAGACAGTTCAATCAGTGCCAATTTGCGAAATGATGGGAAAAAAAGAGAGCGTGTTGGGCCACTCGAAGCTCCTGTTTGATCCATTAGAATTTCCAATGTTTCTGAGGATAACATTTGTGTATTTTCCACTTGGCTTCCCTTACATAAATTGTCACTTTGCCACTGCGTCATGATAAAAGATCAAAGTCGAAGAAGTTTTTGGGTGTGATGAATTGAATGGGTTTTCTGGCTTTACGGGCGGAGGGGAGGAAGGGGAATTTATTCTGTACGCATGAAGTAACACGAAAACATGCTTTATGTCCTATTGTTTAAGTCGAAATTCTAATAAGATTCTCTTCTTGTTCTCGGCAAACCTTAAATCCGGCGCCACGGCAGGTTACAGTTCCAACGCTCTAAGTAGCGTAGGTGTCGGAAAAACCACCATTGATCCACATCCCCACCTGCGACAACCAGGTAAAGAATTTTCCATTGTTTTGCAAACATCTTTTCATGCCCGCCATTTGCGGAAGAAAACCCGCAACGCTCTCGCTTTTCCCGATCGATTCGGGGAGTGATTAAGAGGGAATTGTTTGCGGCCAAAATGAAGAGTGGACAGGGCAATCTCGAAGGATATTGAATGCCCTGCCGAAAGACCGCACATGCACGAACCATCAATCCCCGGGAAGAGTGCTAAAATGTCCTGTTTGCCAAGGCAGAGATGGAATTGAGGATCGGCAAAATCCACCGGAAAATCCACCCAAAAATCTCACTTGCATGACTGCAAAATTAAAATCCAATCTAATTGCACACACTTTCCGCAATTAAACATCCGGCGAGAAGATGGAAACGGTGTGCAAGTTAATCGTGAAAACCAGAAAGTCCTCCTCTGTGGACACAGTATTTAATAAAGGGCCGCCGCCAAATATTTGTGCACGGCAAACAAATTAAAACGCGATACCATGACATTGTTTTACGGGAGAGTTAAATGGACAAAAAGGACCCCGAGGGATATTTAATATATTACAACAATGTGTAATCAGCACATCAGTGATTTGCAGCCTTTCGTTCGCGGACTCTCAATCGCTGACCCGTGAATTGATGAGCTTTTGTGCGCGTGAAACTAATTTCACAAGTGTAATCGTGTTTACTCTCGAAGAGCTGCGATTTTAGTGGAGCGATTGCAATATAGTAATTAAAATGAGAGCAATATTTGGTGGGAAAACCAATATATATATTTTTTTAATTAACATCAGTGTGTTTGTATTGCACAAATCAAATAGATTTCGAATCGGTTTTAGTAGAAATTTTGAAGAACTCGTTGGATTATTCAGAAATCAAATTATCTTCAGCGCTTCTGATTTCAACTCAAGCTCATGTTACACAACGATTCAATCCCGACAAATTTTTGTAGTATTTTTAAACATAATTTCAAGAATGACACTCAGTGAAAACCTGGATTAAATCCCATATAATACGACTTTGAGCTCGAAACACTTCAGAAGTGCAAAATAAACTAGACTTCAAAACGCCTTTCTACACACTCTGAGGCCATTTTCAGCGGCAAAGTCGGAAAAGTCCTTCAAGGATGGCTCAAATTTCCCAATTTCGTAATTACTATTTCCTTTTTGCTCTGTTTGTCTTACTTCTTGCATATCAAACTCGCTATACTTCCTGCGACCTCCTGATAAACAACGCATTAATCTTCATCAATCAGGACGATTTTTCTGGGCGAGTCTCACGTGAAATTTCCCGCGGTGAGAAATTTCAGCAATTTGGCATGAAAGACTTGGCGTGGAGATTCGAGAAGTGCAGCAAATTGGATTGGAATGAGCGCGATTGCGTATGCTGATAAAGGTTGTAAATCACTGATTTCTGCCCAGATAGACAGGGAGAAGAAGAGGGGGTGGGCGGGTGGTGGAGGTGGCGAAAAATCTTTGTGTATATTTACATAGCACACGCCTCGCTGTCGCGCAAGGCAGTGGCAATTTGGGCAAGGAAAAGTGAGATTTCTGGGGTGGTGAAAATGAATCTGGGTGTGCAGGTCAACCCTCAATATTTACACACTTTGGTCAACCGTTCGTAATGCAATGGGCAATCAGCAATTCCTCGCTTGATCACCACTGTAAATTTACACGATGACTTCTCGTCTTGGGCCTCTTCTCCTCCTTCCTCGACCGCGCTATTTTGGACGTAAAATCAATATCTTGGGAAATTATAAGCAAAACTTTCACTCTGTCCACCCACAGCGAGTCATTCGAGACAGCGTCCGCACGTGAATCAGAAAACTAAACACACCTTGGCTCACGAGGGGGATGGAAGCGGGGGGAGGGGGTGGAAGAAGGTGGAAAAAATAGCGTGACTGCGAGGGTGAAGCGAGAGAAAGACCGCAATAGTCTCAATCTTGATGAGGAGAAGTATATATGGTGAAAACAGCGAAAAAGCGACTGTGGGGAGACTTTAAGTGCTCGTGGGGCTTTCACAAGTTTTACCCTAAATTTAACAAATTGTACGCGAAATGGAGAAAAAGCTCCATCCCTCCCGGTAATGATGATAAATGTCGGAATCAGAATTATTGGCGCCTCTCTCTGCTCGCAGAACAATTTCTTAAGAGTGTGGAGAAACTAAATGCCATAAAATCCCCTTTATATATATATGGAACTCTCGTCAGTGTTCTAATGACCCACCCTCTTCATTTTTGTCGAATCTGTAGCAAAATACAATAATACACCCTCCGCGTCACCCTTTCATCTTGCTGTTAAATATTAAATTATTGCCGGAGAATGGAGTCTCAGTGGTGTTTTGAACAATTTATTGAATTGTTTAGCACTTTTCCATGGGGACTGCGAAGGTCCTCAGCCATTCATTACCAACATTTAAATCACACTCAAGAGTGTTTATTGTCCCTGGCAAACAGGCAGTGCCTTTGCAAGTGATTGAGGACACTCGGGTGGCAAACAGCTCGTATTCATTGCTGTCCCAAGTTTAAAATTCTCAAGTGGGTGGATTTGAAACATTTCTAGTGGGCGCACACGCGCCCTAAAAGCCACTCAAATGCCCTGGAATTGTATATCAAATGGCAATGTGTGGTTGGGCGAGAAGGGAGAGCGCAAATTAATGTGCACATTTTGCCCTTTTTTCTCCTTGCAGATCCATATCAAATGTTTGGACCAACCAGCAGTAGGTTAGCGAGTTCAGGTGAGTCTCGGAGCGCCAGCAAATGCACGGATTTCTATCTTAATTGTAAGCCACACTCTGGATGCGAGGGTGTCACGGCCAGGTGTCTCTAATCCAGGTGTTTCCACTGCGCTAATTAATGCTTGTTTCCACAACCACAGCGTCAAATGGGATTAAATATGCGCGCCACGATTAAACCTCTTTGATTTCACCCATCGAAAAGTGGTGGAGGAAAAAGAAAAATACACACATGATTGAGGGGTGAAAATGAACCAGGGCACGAACTGTAAAACTGGGAAGAAAGATCCTAATCGACATGAAAATTGTGTGTGTGTTGATAAAAAACAGCCGAGAAGGAGAATTTGGATTACAAATCACTCCCTATAATGGCCATAAGTTCAATCAACTGGTAGAAAATATCCATTTAGCCACCCGCCGATGATGCAATGCGTAGCGAAAAACATCAATCATCATCAATAATGAAATTATCGTAATTTTAATAGGCAAATCACTACAGAAGGGTCTTTCCATGCGCGTCATACGCATTTTTCCCAATCGGCCGAGTAATATGGTTCACCAGTGCTTCTCAAAATCTCTTGTTCACTGTGATTCCAGCACTTGTGTCGATCGAACAGAGTTTTGCGTGTGGCAAAATGAATACAAGAACATTAAATTATTTTACAAATGCATGAAAAATGATTAAAATCTGTTTGAAAATATCGTAGATTTACTTTCTTGAGTAAAATAATTGCCATTTTTAATAGTCTTAACGTGCAAACTTTATTCAACATTACAAATCTCGTTTTATAATCCATTAATGCAGAAGATTACTGAAACATGCAATGAAATATCACAATCATAAATACTATTGATGACTTCTGTTTCTGATCGGATATTAACAGAGATCAATGAGCAAAATCCTGTGGTGAATATTGTAAGATATGAATTCTAACCTCCAAACGTCTCGTTCTTAATAGATAACTTTGAAGAATTCAGTATTTTGGATGTTAAATACTTCAACAGCAAGTTTCTTCAGAAAATTCTCCTTTGAATAAGTGAAACTTTTCAAATTAAATCCAACATTTTGAGAATTTATGAAATGTTTGATCAATTTCACTGTTTCTTATTATCTAATAAAAGACGAAGAAAAAGGTGAATAGCGCAGTGAAATATTCCGACTCCAAGTCTCAATCAAATTTGATAGTCTACAAGAGATCTAGGTTCTTCTTGCTCTGCAGATTAGCAGAATTCATCTCCCAATTGTTCGCCACGAACATTGAGAATCACTGGCCAGAGCGCACCCCAACCCGTGACACACATTATTCGACAATCCGCCCCTCGACGGGGGCCACACAGAGCAGTGTGAATCCACAATAATTCAGCATCAGCATTTCGCTGAGTGATGAATAATAACGATGATGACGCTACTTATATTGTTCCGCAATTTTACCATAATTGACATTCAATTTATGACATTCTCTCCCCCGCAATTTGGCCAACAAAAGGATCGGGACAGATTCAGCTGTGGCAATTCCTGCTGGAGCTCCTCAGCGACTCGGCGAACGCGGGCTGCATCACATGGGAGGGCACAAATGGGGAGTTCAAGCTCACGGATCCCGACGAGGTGGCGCGGCGATGGGGCGAGAGGAAGTCGAAGCCCAACATGAACTACGACAAGCTGAGTCGAGCTTTAAGGTGAGTGGAAAAGACGCGGTAATTGGCTTCTGGCAGCAAATTGGGCATTGTTTTTCCATCCCCTTTTTCTTCCGACACTCTCTGCGGCACAAATCTCACCCCGGAGGGCAATCAAGGGGCGAGAATGATGCGCTGAACTGCTGCAACGCCTTCAGACACTTAATTTCTATTCATTATGCCATTATGGGAATGATTTATCGATGTACCTTTTATCCCAGTGCGTTAGTCACACTTTTCCACCCTCTCTCAGGGCCTCCTTTCGGCTCATTATCAATGTTCAGTGCACCATGAAAAATATACTGCTGGAAATTTCTAAAAACTCGCCTTCCACCCTGTGGAGAAAGGGTCACACTTATGAAGTTTGGTGGAAGAAGAGGAAAAATCTTTAAGGAAAATATGTTGAGAAATTCCCATAAAACACCCTCTTTCGTCGCTGTCATCATCCCTTCTTGACTGGCGTATTTATTTTTTTTTTCTGCCAAATCTGAGGAAAAATTCCCTCCTCGGAGCAATGAGAATTCATATGGAGTGACACCCCAAGGGAAAATGCTTACATATGTAAGGGCAAATGCAATCGCAAATACACATCAAATTCCGGTTTGTCTGGGAGCCGCAGGAAGGTTCCTTCAGCTGCCCAACCCACCGAATCACCCACACCCTCGCGCCGTCAGGGTGGAAAAAAAAAGAGGAGAGTCGAACCCTCGAATGGTTTTTGGGACAACTATATCTTACGCACGAGTGAAAATGTCGCTGATTTCGCATAGAAATCGACGTCTCTCTCTCGCTTTTTTCGGTCATGGGAAAAGATACTATTGTTGGCATGCGTTGTGCATATTCACCATATCGAGAATTACACTTGTACAGGCATAATGGGTATCTGGAGCCCCCATTCATTCCCCGGGCATGGCATAAAATCCCGCCGACAATAATGGTTCGCGATTAACAATGCCATTCTCTTTGGTTAAATTCAATGATAAGTGAGTATAATTGAAATGTACATTTGCCACAATGCCCATCGCGCGCGCTCAACGAGGAGGAAAAAGGAGAGGCTCCAGCACCACTTATTGACTTATGTTGGCTCATTTTCCCAACTAATTGTCCTTGCACTGGCCAGACGAATCAATGCCGCACACGATTGTGATTTGGAATGGGAGGGAGATAAATTGAATTTTTGGCTGAGCGATTCCCTCTCATCTTCCCTGCAATTTCTCTCCAGATATTACTACGATAAGAACATAATGACGAAGGTTCACGGCAAGCGCTACGCGTACAAGTTTGACTTCCAAGGACTCGCCGCCGCCACGCAGCCCGCAACGAGTGACCCCACGTACAAGTACCAGAGCGATTTGTTCATGGCGCCATATCACCACGGAGCGAAGCTCAGTTCCTTCATGAGCCCCCACCACGGAATGACTTCCACCTCAGGTGAGCGTCTCTCGCGGTCAGGCCGATTTTCTTGCCCCTCTCACGGCGGCCTAATTGGGAAACGCCACTTCAGTGCAATTAGTAGCACTCAAGCATCGCGTTTCCCATCAAGAATCTTGATTTTTTTTGCTAAAATCCTTGCTCAAGCGGCTTAAGCTAACTTAAATGATCCTGATATCTTCCTGAAAAATTGCTGATCTTTGTAATTTTGCAATCAACTAATAGGATTTTAGAAGACAAGGAGCGTTTGGCTCTCAACTTCTTTCAATTCAATGGTTAAATTCGTGGTTTTAACCACTAAATTAACTGTAATTTTATTACTTGAACCATTTTCAACACAAAATTGTGTTAAAACAAATCTAAAAATCAGCTCAAATACAAATAGAAAAGTTTAATTACAAACATTTCAAGAGAAGCTGAGTTGAGCTAAAATATTGTTTTAAAACAGGTTTTTCACTCGATTGAGCTCAAATTCTAAGCTGTAAGTCGCTGATGATATTACCTTCCTTAACACGTAAATTTCGAATAATTAATCGATATACTGAGAGATATTTTTTCCATGAAGTTGAAGATATTTGAACTTTTGTCCTTCTTCAGGTAAAAATACAGGCTTTAATGGTTTCTCACGTCTCAGATATCGTCATTATAAAATCAGTTATCTGGGGAAAAAGGAGCTAAATTATTTTTGAAGAAGGTTTTGGCTTCATTTTAAAATCATGACGCTCGAAGAAAGGAAAATGAAACGTATATTCAAGCTATTATTCAAGCAAGAACAGAAGATTATATTAAGACAGCCAATTGTTTGAATTCGTTATTTTTGAGTCGTCAAACTATTGTTTTCTAGTTCTACTTGCAGACAATAATCATGATTCCTTTTCCCAAATGTATATTAATTAACAGAAGAGTTATCTTAAGGAGATTCTGAGTCTCCTGAATATTCAAAGATAATCAAATTTTGAAGAATTTTACGAATATTTGATGAAGTTTCTCTCAATTTCCCCTAATTCTGGAGAAAACCCTGAGTTTGATTGGTCTCACCAAATGATGGTTTGTGATGTTTTACACCTTCCTTTTTGCGGCAGCGAAATCAATTAATTTTTGGAAATGATTTTGTGTACAGCACTCGAAGTTTCGCACTTAATCTCATTACCCAGAGATAATTTCAATGACACAAACACATTTAAAATGTGCAAAATTGAAAATTAATTGGATTGAAAGTTGGAAGAGTTGCTGAAATGAGCAGCAAACTCAATTTTCTCACAGGACAAAAATCATTTTCCATCGAATTGATTTATATCTAAATTAATTAGAAATTCTCCCAGCGCCGCCAATAATCAATGTTGCATCCCCGAAATGATGTCCCTTGTCCAGAAGTAATGCGCTCCGTCTCGCTCTAGCATCAATCTTCCCATCGGCGGCTTCGTGGAGCAATTGGGGCGGCCCCACGACGAACCTCTACCCTCCGCACTCCATGAGCCATGTGACGCCACCCCACGTCACCCCGCACCTGGGCACCTACCCTCACTACGCATGACCGTCCCCCACCACCGGCGGCTTCTAATGCGCGCCACCTGCCGGCAGAGGATCCTGGACGCGCGCAGGACCGCGAGGACGCGAGGCCGCGGCCTTCGTCGACTATCCACAGTGGCAGTGACGTTTTCGTTCGGTTTAGTGTCAGGCGATTGCTTTCGTAGCGCTCATTTCACCGTCACGATTGTCTAATCACGCGGAATAGGGATGCATTTTCGATGAATTTAGCGAGGAGGGCGCAAACCATTCTGGACGCGTCGCCAGAGATAATATCCATGATGAATTTTTGTAATGAATGTCCAATTTACTCACACAAAACAGTCGTATATTTTCTGGGATCCTCAAAAGAGAGAGAGAGACAGAGAGGGAGAGAAAGAGAGCGGAAGATGAAAAAAAAATCTAGATGTAAAGTGAATGAGAAGATACATAATAAAATATTCATGTTAACACGTAAGAGCATAAAAATAGATGACAATTTCAAGCAGTATCATGTAAAAAAAAAAGAAAGGAGTGCGAAGAAAGAGGGATAAATGGCGAATTGAGACATTTTCTGTGTCAATTTATGTTCCTCAAAATGAATATTCATGACGAAATTGCACCACCAAAAAAAAGACACATAGAAAGAGAGAAGAAGAAATAACCAAAGATTCTTATTGAGTTGATTTTAATCCCAAAAGAAACAACACTTAATTTACCGATTTATTTTGACTTCCTTAGAAAAAAAGATTGAGAGTGCCAAACAATTTCAGTTGAAGTGAATGAATAGAGATCACAAAGAAATTCTAGTCCCAAAAAAAAAGAAAGAAAGAAAGCAGATGCAATGTTTGTGAAGCAAAAAAAAGTATAGAAATTATTTAAGAAAGAAAGAATAAATAAAGAAAAAACATATGAGAATCTGTGATAGTTGTAAAAAAGATGAATAATAATTTAATGAAGAGAAAGAGAGAGAGCAAAATGACATTTTGTAAATGACTATAAAATGTGAAAATGGTTATCTAAAGATTACAAAGTTGCCGTGTAAAATAAATGTACATAAACTAGAAGACCCCACTAAAAAGTACAGAGAGAGAGAGAGAGAGGATTGTATGTAGTTAAAGACATAATAGTGTTTAAGACATTTTGCGGCTAAGAGAAAATCCAGCGAATTCCTATTTTGTAGCAGAAGATAAACAAGAAATTGTGATGAGATAGAATCTTACAAATGGATGTTGATGGAAATGCCAAAAGATTTCTGCATCGTTCAAATCTCTCAATTCTTTTCCCTTTTTTTTCTTTGACCTTTTTCACCCCAGAACACATTTGATTTTCTCTTCTTTTGACAGATGCAGCTCAATTATCATGAAGAAACTCGCTGGAAATTATTGAATAAATGTCTGTAGAAATGTAATGATAATTATTATATCAATGTATACAAATAAATGTCAGTTCAATGTATTTTATGTCATTTCAATGCGATGCTTTGCGAAATTTTCGATCCTCTCAAGCGCTTTACTTTGCAATTTCCTCCTACTTTACTGAAATATTCTCGAGAATACCCGAAAATCACTCCTTAATATTTATTTGACCTTCTTTCCCAGAATTCCCTTTTCTCTGTCAGTTACTTTTTCAAACATTCACACGTCCGATTTTCGCTTCGCCGCGCGAGTCCGTTGAGACGCCATGTTTTTCGGACACAATTCGCTAACAAAAAGAGGCAACAAAATCAACTAAATTCTCTGCATTGTTCTTTATTGAATCAGAAACAAGGCCACAAAATGCGAAAATGAATTCAAAATCAGGATAGATGTCGAGTATTGATGAACGATACGTATTAAAACGGTTAAACTAGAATTTTTCCATTGCGAAAAGAACATTAATTCGGGTGTTGTGCATCTCAGAAGGGTGAAAAGTTGCTTTTACTCCCATTCCTTGAACTCCGTGCCATCCGGAGGCTTCACGTCCACCTTCTTGGAGCCGACTTCAGCCCAGTTGGTGCTCAAAACGGTGCCTCCGGACTCCGAGAAGGACTTATTCATGGCCTTCCGCACCTCGTCACTGCTGTCGCCGTAGATCTTCTGGAAGAGGTTCTGCAGGCCTTCCTCGCCCTGGAACAATGAAAAGTGTTGAATACTCATCAAAAGCCACTCATGAAAGACTCACCTTCGCCTCGGCGGCGTCCTTGAGCTCGACTTCCTTGCAAAACTTGTCCCAGTTTGGCTTTGTTTTCGCCTCGACGGGCTTTTCCTCTTGCAGCTTCCGCTGCAAGTTGTCCCATCTCTCGCCGGTGGTCTTCTTCAGCGTGATCTCAATCTTGCTGGCGGTGGCTTTGTGATGCGACTGATCGGGATTGATGGGCCTCAGCAGGTCCAGGTGCAAACTGTATCCATCCGCCGTGACGTCCAGCGATTCCGCGGCAATGTTGACGCTGTAGTTCTTCTCGGCGGCATTCTTGAGGAGCACCGTGACCACCACACTCGTCTCAGACTGATACCAATCGTGCTTCACAGACATCTCTGGCTGAATGAGTGGAAATTTCTAGAGAGGCAAAATGAGAAGCACCTTTGTTGTGACATTTGAACTTTCCGAATGACTTTGTTGACATCCGGAATGTCAGTGATGTCATAACCTCAAACATACGCGTGGAAAACATGGGGCCGCTGAAGAATAAATTCAAGAGGCACTTTGAGGAGATTTCCGAGGGAAATGGGGAGGAAAAGGCAGTGGAAAGTGAGGAGGATGAGGTAAGCAAGTAGTTTGAGTAGTTGGATGAGAAATTCAGGGATTTCTTGGGTGTTTTCCAGCTCCCTGAAGAACTTCGCGTGGCGGAGGCTTCCGACTCCGAAAGTGATGATGAAGACTTGGGAGAGGATGATGATTCTGGGTCAGACGCTGGCAGTGTGTTGAGTTTTGACGATCTCGGAGATGAGGAGTCAGCTTCAGAGCCTGAGGAATCTGCAGAAGAGGCGGAAGATGAGGTAAAATCAGCTGAAGGAGAGCCATCGAAGCCTCCAACTGCGGATGAGTATCAGGACGACACATCGGATGAGGAGGACATCCGGAACACAGTGGGAAACATTCCCATGCATTGGTATGATGAGTACAAGCACATTGGCTATGATTGGGACGCCAAACAGATTGTGAAGCCGGCAAAAACAGATCAGTTGGATGACTTCTTGAAGCGCATGGAGGATCCGAACTTCTGGAAGACGGTGAAGGATCCCCAGACTGGTCAGAATGTTGTGCTGAGTGATGAGGACATTGAGCTGATCAAGAGAATAGCGCAGCAGAAGATTCCGGATGGGCAATTTGAGGAATTCGCGCCCTGGATTGACTGGTTCACGTCGGAGGTGGAGAAGATGCCCATCCGGAACATCCCTGACCACAAGCGCTCCTTCCTGCCGTCCAAGAGTGAGAAGAAGAAGGTCTCACGCTACGTGCACGCGCTGAAGATGGGCTGGATGAAGACGAAGAAAGAGCGCGAGAAGGCGGAGGCGGAAAAGAAGTCCGGACCGAAGTTCTACATGCTCTGGGAGTCGGACAACACGAAGGAGAGCATGAGGAGGATTCACGATCACGTGTCGGCGCCGAAGAGGCCGCTGCCGGGCCACGCGGAGTCCTACAATCCGCCTCCGGAGTATCTGTTCGACAAGAAGGAGATGCGCGAGTGGAAGCGACTGGAAAAGGAGCCGCACAAGCGGAAGCTGCACTTCGTGCCGCAGCAGTACAAGAGCTTGAGGGAGGTTCCGGCCTATGCGAGATACACTCACGAGAGATTCCTGCGCTGTCTCGATCTCTATCTCTGTCCGCGCGCACACAGGATGAAGCTCACCATCGAGCCAGAGTATCTGATTCCCAAACTGCCCTCGCCCAGGGATCTGCAGCCATTCCCCACGCACGAGACGCTGGTTTACGTCGGGCACAGCGATATTGTGCGCACGATAAGCGTGGAACCGCGCGGAGAGTTCATTGTCACAGGCTCGGACGACGCGTCCGTGAAGATCTGGGAGATCTCGACGGCCAGGTGCATCAAGACCATCCAGACGAAGGACATTGTGCGCTCCGTGGCGTGGTGTCCCAACGGGAAACTCTCCCTGTTGGCTGTGGCCAGCGGTCAGCGCCTGCTGCTCATCAATCCCGAGACGGGAGATAAGTTGGTGGTGTCCAAGACGGACGAGATCTTCACGGATGCGCCAGAGAGTGACCTGCTGGACCAGGAGCGCCTCAAGACGGCCGTGCAATGGATGGAACCCGAGGAACTCGAGCACAAATCCGGCCTGAGGATCGTGATTAACCACTTCAAGCAGATAAAGCATGTCACGTGGCACGGACGCGGTGACTATTTGGCTTCTGTGATGCCCGATGGAGCGCATCGCTCTGTGATCATCCATCAGCTGTCCAAGCGGCGCTCGCAATTCCCCTTCGCGAAGAGCAAAGGCACCGTGGAGTGCGTGCTGTTCCATCCCGTGAAGCCACTGCTGTTCGTGGCCACGCAGAAGAGCGTCCGGATGTATGATCTGGTGAAGCAGGAGCTGATGAAGAAGCTGATGAGCAACAGCAACTGGATCAGCGACATGGCCATCCATCCCAAGGGTGACAATCTCATCGTGTCGACGTACGACAAGAAGATCCTCTGGTTCGACCTGGAGCTCTCCACGAAGCCCTACCAGACGATGCGCCTGCACAAGGGGGCGGTGCGTGGCGTGGCGTTCCACCGGAAGTACCCACTCTTCGCGTCCGCCAGCGACGACGCCAGCGTCATCGTCTCCCACGGAATGGTGTACAATGATTTGCTGCAGAATCCCCTGATTGTGCCGCTGAAGAAGCTCGAGACGCACGAAAAGGTCAACGACTTCGGAGCGTTCAGCGTCGTTTGGCACCCGTCGCAGCCCTGGGTCTTCTCCACGGGCGGCGACAAGACGGTCAGGCTGTACACCTAAGCTTCCTGGACACTCAGCGACACTGAATATAATAAAGGATGTAATTAAGTTTATGAGTTTTGTTTTTTTGAACATGAACTTCATGTTTGTACTTTTCGACGCAATTTGGGTCAGTTTTTGCCCTTAAATTGATCAGGAATTTATTCCTGAAGTTCAAGGAAATCGTTAAAAATGTCTTGAGATGCTAAAATTGTGGAAAAATAATTTTCATTGATTCACTGAAATAAGATTTCCAAGCAAAGGACCTTCTTTTCACTGTGTTTGACCTGTTTTCCCCTATCGGTGAAAATGTACAGCAAAGGTTTCGAGCTTCAGTTGGACTATGGATCGATTTTAAGAGTCTCCTGCATTGAGCGGAAAGCTGGAAAAGCCTTTAAATCCCGAGGAAAGTGCGGCGAAGAATTGCAGACGGATTTTGGCGGCGCGCGAAGAATTTCCCTTGTTGGGGGATTTTCGCTCGGGCGCCTCGTCGGGAAAACTCACTTTCCATCTGCGAGTTTTCCGCACACACACACACACACACGCTCGCGAGAGGGGGACTCACACGCACGCAGCCAGAGATGTCCAACACGCAGTGTCGGAGCGACAAAGAAGTGAGTCTGGTGGAAAAAGAGTCTCTCTCTCCGGGAGAGCATGGCAGAATTTTCACCTATGTAGTGCGGCTCTCTATGTACTGCGGGGCGCCTGTGTGTTTTTCCACAGAAGGTGGCCCGCCATATTGGTTTGGTATCGCCCTTATGTGGATGAGAAACGGTGCCAGCACATAAGGTTCTGGGTCTCGCGGATCTTTGGCGTGTGTGCGGTCACCAGGTGGTGGAGATCAAGTGAAAGTGCATCGAGGCGGGCCTGTGCAGGGCCAGGACGGACGGTGAGGCACTGCTGCTCGGCTCTGGTGTGATTCCGTGGCGGGGGCCGAGAGAGGGAATTTGGGTCACCAGCTCCAGTGCGTGAAAAGTCCGCGTGAGCGTGTGCGTGAGCAGCTTCCTGTGTTCCCGCGCGCGCTCTCAGCTGGCGCGAGGCGGTCCGTGAGTGCCTGCCACCCGTGAGCGCGCCCCCTTCGGCCGGACAGCATGCAGGGGGGCCCGTGAGCGCAGCTCGGCGGGGAGAACAGGTGAGGCGCGGGGGAAAATCGATGGGCCTCCTGGGGGAATGGGGCCACCCACTCTCTCGCCAGCGATAAATGTTTATACATTCCCGTCGATTGCATGCCCACTCTCGTGGCCGCTGGGCGCGTCTTATCGAAGCTCATTTCGCCACTCAGCCGCTGATATCCGCGCTCCCCCAAATATTTGATCAGCTTCGACGGGGCGCCTCCAGTCTCACCCGAAAAAGCTCTCAACTGTGATTACTCACTGGCCCTTCACATCCATCTTTTCTTCCACCTCTCGCATGCTCACTCGCCTCCCCGCCCCCGCGGAAAATCCCACCCGCCGCGCGTGTGTTCGGGGTGCGCGAAGGGATGCCATCAGGCTTCCATTGAACCCGCTGCCCAATTCCGTGGGTGCATTCACGTGGACGAGCCTCGCGCGGGGCCTTAATTGCCAAGTCAGTCTCCGCAATTTCGCCCAGGGGCCATTCATCGCGAATTGCGAGTGATTTGACCGTTTTCAGGCCACTCGGAAGTCCGTCAACCCTTCGAAGGCATTTGGCGCCAGGCGCAAGAGGAAGAATTGCAATTGTGCACGAAGAAGTGCTGTGAAGTTTCAAAGAAAATTCCCGAAATCGGTCAGAATTTTCATAAATTTGATTTTCGGTATTTTCTTTCATTTAAACCTACATTTTAAACCTTATTCTTGTCGAGAAGTGATTAAAATAAGACTTAAAGCATCAGTAATTCGTTGAATTTGAAGAAAAAAAGCTGAAATCAAGCATTTTTGGGTCAATTTTGTACTTAAATTTGAATTATAATTCAATTTTTCTGTAGTGAAAATCAAGAAAAAATGTAATTTTACGTGAAACAAGAGGATTCTTCGTCATACATATAAATCCTGTGTTGCCGTCTTGTAAGAAACTGTGCAGCATAATGAAAAGCATGAGTGACTGGTCGAATAGTTACTTTATTATTCAAACATCACAAGTTTGCACAAAGTTCCAAACTTCACCATGACTTTAAATTGCATAATTAACCTCTGATGAATGCACAAAGATGATTTTCCAGTCCAATAATAATTCTGACCGCAACTTCGATAACAGTTTTAATTATAACATGCGCAGGTAGAGAAAGGCACAGAAATGGATTTCGCGGTCTGTCTGCATAAATTCGTCGAAGGGTTTGAGCTTTTGACCTAATAATTCATGGATATAAATATTATTTCATGTGCAGACATTTTTCTATTTGTTTATTTTCACATCTTGAAACGCCCTCAATTCACCTCAACCTTTGGCCAAAGAGCGCGCAAACAAATTGTCAAACAAATCCAGCAATGAGTGAATGATAAAATTCTCAGAGCAATTCACATTTTATCATTCGGCACTCGAGATTCTCGGGGTTGCCTTTGATGCGGCGACTGTCTTTTGACTGGGGGGGGGGGGTGGAAAATGCATGCAAATGTTTCATCTTATCTTCGCCACTTCTTCCGACTTTGTGCTGGAACAATCAAATGAATGCCACAAGAGTTCCTTCCGCCGCGCGATTTTAGCGCAAATATGGGGCTGTTTGGGGAAATTGCATTCAGCGTGTTGTGTCTCTCTTCGCAGGGGCGCCGATCGCGAGGCAGCCGGCGGCGGTGAGGGCATGGCGTTTGGGGTCCGTCACTGGCAGGCGACAGAGACGCCAATTGGGGAAAGACTGGATCTGTAAAAGGAGTTCCTACCTCGGTGACTAACTTCTTTTGTGAGTCCCGCGAGACGCCCGCTCTGCGACAACCAACTAATGCGTGTGTCCCCATCCACAGCATGTCCTGCAGCGTTTCGGAGCTGCCAGTGGGGTGTCGACTCCGTGGCATGGGCTCTGCAGCAACACAAGGAGGAGGAGCTCCGCTTAATTCCACTCTGAGTGGGCCCCAGGAGGCGCCAAGTGTGGGTCCATTGCGGCGACAACCGTCACAGAAACCGTGCTGCTTCTGCTGGTGCTGCTGCTGTTCCTGCTCCTGGTAAGCCAACGCCACGCAATGTTGCGCGCCCAAAACACTGGCATAATTAATTCGCTGCGCCCATTGTGAAGCTGCTGTATAATTGCCGGAATTATTGGGTGTTAAAATCACACGCAGGAAATCCAATTTAACAACCGTTGGAAATTAATTTGCATCCCATTGATTTTATCGAGTAATTGCAGTCTAAGCTAGATTCACTCTAGCCAAGCTGCCTAGATTTCCAATCAAATTGCACTCTCCAAGCTCTCGAGCCTCTTTTGTGCGGATTCTTTGTTATATTTCACCTCTCTTCTCTCCGCATGAATTCTCCATTCGCCGCCAACACTCGACGTTCCTGTGCTGCACTTGTGACTTCCCATGGATTTGTGGCTTTTCTTCTAATTTCCAGGGCCAAATGGTGAGTTATTGACTGAATTTAAACAACAATTTCCCTAGTAATAGCAAATTTAGTGGTTGTAATCAACGCTTTCTATTCCCTAATTGCCAATTTAATTATTTATTAATAGTCATTACCTCAATTACTCCACTGAGAGTGCAACATGACAAAGCAAGAGCAGGGAATTATAGACAAAATTCACAGTTTTCTTCTTCGTCATGGGTTGTAGTTTAACCAAGTAAAGATTATCCTTGAATTTAACTAAGCTTTCAACTATCTCGTGATCAAGAATACTTTCTTGTGGGACAAAACACCACAAAACAGTGCTTCTTTCACCTCCTTGCGCTGCAATAAGTTCACAGTTTCCCATGAAAGCTAGCAGAAATTGGCGTGTATTGTGAACATTTTAAACAACTTTTTGCCAAAGAACTAATCACATATGTTGATCCAAGGGGCAGATAATATGACTGGAAGTGGTGTACAACTTCACGGAAGTGTTTAGGAATTGGAAGTGGTAAAATATATCGAATGTTTGCACTACAAAATCACTCTAAATCATAGAAATTGTGTTTTATCTGAGATTATTTCTCTTTTTTTTTTCGCAAAAGTGGCAAAGAAGAAGCTTAAAAGTCATTCATAACCTCAAAAATGGTAATTTTAGTCTAGAAAATTTTCTGTTTTTGCTTAAAATTGGCAAATTAAATGTCATTATCTTGGTAGAAACATTGTATTCTTCGCCATATTCACTAATTTTCTGAATGTAAAAAGGTTCAAATTAGACGAAGAAAGATTTTCAAGCCGAATTCATAACCTCACATTTTGATCAAAACATTTTTTAGAATATAAAACTAGAAAATCAAGACACAAATTTGCCATGAACGATTGAAAAAGCAATAAAATCAATTTTTACAATTCAAAATCTAAGCAATTGAAGAGCTTAAACTTCTTGAGGCGGAAAAACCTGGAATAGATTTGTGTTAAGTCAGAAATTCGTGTAGGAAATAGTTGAAGAAGTGTCTGGAAGTGTTGAAGATTCTGCGGAGGAATTGTGGAAGTGTCAGGAAGTGGTGTACAGGTCACAAATCGCATAGAAATCCTGCCTAACACGAGCTCAAAGTCGGGCTCTCTAGAGAGTTCACATTTGAATTACAACGGCCAATGCCATAGAACGTCACCAATTTCCTTTATTATCAGCAATTTTGGGATTTACTGTGAACTTTTGCATACATTTCACCTTCCCGCGAGTGTGTGCCCTCATTTGTATTCTCTATTTTTTCTCCTAATCACACTTTTGCGTGCTACCCGTAAATGTTCCTTATGTGCCTCCTCTCTTGTCCTCATTCGCGCTCCTCTTTGCCCCGAAAAAAAAAGAGCTGGTGTGTGTTTACACCCTTCGGAAAATGTGCGAGCGCGAATGCAGGAGAGCTCCCCTTGCCGCGCGCCGTGGCCCCATGGAAAATTGGCGAGAAAAGGCAGGTGCGCGCGGGACGAGAGAGAGAGAGAGCGAGAACTTTGTCACCACATTCCGGCCAGGGGCGGGGGAGGAAAAAAGAAAAACGGAAACATGACGAGTCCATTCATTTCTTCACTGGTGGCCCCAAGACTGGCGCGGAGGCTCTCTCGGCGCACGCGCGCATCTCTGGGAAAATCTCTGGCGATTTTCCGCGAGAGCGAGAGAGGCTCCCGTGCAATTGTGGGGCACACGATGGCCCCGTGTAAACAAAATCGCACATTTCGGGCCGCTCCGCGTGAGGCACGAAGTCTTGTGTTTTTGCCACTCGCGCGAATATTGCGTATGGAAGTGGTTAGAACGTCTCCAGTTCGCGGCGCCTCTGGACCTCGATCGCGCCTGCCTCTCGTCGCGAATATCCGCGATAAATCTCGCCGCGAACATTCCTGGTGTGACTCACTCCTTGGGACTCGGCCCAAAACGCTGGAGAGTGGGCGAGTGCAGAGTTGATCCGCGCGCGATCCTCATAGATGCGAGATCGCTCGCCCCGTGTGCATAGTTCTGTGTAGGCTTGACGTCAGAAGACGCGCGTAGTTTTTATCTGGAAAATATCGATCAACAGCGCCGAGGCGGAGGGGCGGCGGCGGTTTTTTTTTCTTCTTCTCCATCGACAGAGCGACCATCCTGTGTGTAATCCAATCATTCGGCTCGAGTGTGGATGGGACATGGGTGTACAAATACCGCGGCGGCGGCCATCAATTGAAGAGGCAGGGGAGCATGGCCGAGAGATGGAGGAGTGTCGTGGCGAAGCTGCGACTGGGGTAAAAGTGGAGGAAAATAAAACACAAGAAATTCAATTCTCTGTCCCCATTCCACAGTTCCGCACCCTCACTTTCCCAAGGCACACAGCGTCAACAGACAACTCGGTTAATTTTTCATACCACACCGGCCATTAGAGTTTGCGTGCAGCTAGATTACAGATCTCAGAGCAGTGCAGCACGCGCAATTGCGAGTAGATGTCGAGGAGCATGAATAATTACGCTCATTCGGATTTATGTCACGATGTTAGATCAATACAAATGAGGAAAATGAACTTGAAAATCCCAATTAGCACTCCAAACTGAAACTAAAGTTTGCTAAATTTACGATCAGAGATAGAATTCAATATCTTCACTCAAGATTCTTCAGTCGCTTTTGGTATTGTGTGTTATCTGAAGGGTGTAAATGAAGATGTTAGAGATTGTTGCGTGCGTGATAGCGTGAATGGTTGACTGTGTTTTTACCTAGAAAGAGAGTGAGGTTAGGTCTGGCTTGAATGACCAAATTCCTCCTCTCTGATGTGTGCTGATGATATTGAGGGATAAATTCACTTGATTGGCATTTCACGTTATTTATTTTACCTAATAAAGAATAGAATAAAGACTTTAACTAATTATAAATAAGAGAAAATTGTGAATTATGTGGAGCATCTTCGGTCTTCGTTGGACCGTATTTTATAATTTCTGTTTCTTATATTTGTTGCAAATAAATTTTACGTTCTTAGCATAAGATCATCTGTGCCTGTAGAAAGTTCATGAATTCTTCTCAAATTCCTGAAATAAAAAAAAACACAAAACATCAATTGATGTGTTAGAATAGTTAGAAAATTTTATCTATTGATTTCTTATCTATATAATCATTTTGATCTCAACTCTGTTGGCAAATCAATGAAAAAGCAAAAGCTCCCCAACACAGATATCAAATTCACGTGCATTCTCTCTCTCTTTCTCTACTCCACAGTTTGGCAATTAAAAATGCCGAAGACAATGGACCCACGAAGAAAGATCCAGCCGGTTCAGATCTTCTATGTGATGGTGAACAGTAAGTCGCCCTTGTCCTCATCAATATCCTATCAATGCAGAAAGACATGGAGAGCATTTCTCACGCCACCCATTTTCCCCTTCTCTCTTTCTCTCTGTTGTAGGCCAACCCTCGAGGAAATAAGAAGTTGGGGTAAAAGCTTTGATAAATTAATGAGGAGTCCCGGTAAGTGTGGAAATCATGTGGAGGGTTTATCATTCTCGCCCACATTGTCATGCATTTTTAATAGGAAAAACACTCGCAGTCGCTCAATATTGGTTCGAATGGCAAAAGCGACTTTCGCTCCCTATCAATTAGCATTTTCCACCGAGGTGACATGAAACCCAAGGAGTGCATAACACCCCTATTATTACTTCATCGGGCGTCCTGCATTGCATCCTTTGCTCGCCTCTAATCCAATTCTCCGGCCAAACCCCTTCCTTCCTCTCTTGAGATATTTCCCAGAAGACTGCTCTTGACGCGGCTTTCCAGGAAATTCCCTTTCACACGGATAATTCGCTAAAATAATTTAACTCCCGCTTGATGAATTTTCCCAGCCTGTCACGGCGTCGACCATTGATTTTCCGTGCGGACTTTCCAACGCAATAAAACTCATGTAAATTCTTTCCTCTCTGCCTTTGCAGGTGGGCGAAAGGTGTTTCGTGATTTCCTCCGATGTGAATATAGCGAAGAAAATATCCTCTTCTGGCTCGCATGCGAAGAGTTGAAGAAGGAAACAAATCCAGAAGCCATCGAAGAAAAGGCTAGATTCATATATGAAGACTATATTTCAATTTTGTCTCCAAAAGAGGTGAGAAGCGAGTTTTTTCTACTATGAATTATTTAACACTGACGAACTTGATTGACGGACGCGTTGACCCTCTCGACGCCTCGTGGACTTTATTCTCTCAAAATTCAACCATTAGTTATATTGGCTTTCGTGTATGGAAATGTTTGACGTGAGGGTTTTATCGTTAGAGATGGTTGAGATATTATATTGGCCCTAAAGTTGTGTTTTAATCAGCAGCTCTAAAGCAGTGCAATGCATTTTGGGGGGTGGAAAATTGTTTCACTACTCCAAAGTCATTGATTTTCAAAGATATTATGGTTATGCTACAAATTTAAGATCACTTTTACCTTTCCTTTCTAGAAGTTTGATATTTCTAAAATTACGTTGTTTCTCCGTATGTTTTTTAGAGTCACACAATTGAAAATTACGTTTTTGTAGGACAAAAACTCTTAAATTAGAGGTTATTTTACTTTAAACGGTTAGAAAAATCTATTGGGCTCTGAAAAAGAGTGAAGAAAATAGGGAAAACGCCTGTTTTAAGCACTGCCAAAGTCCTGGAAGTGTCTGAGATTCTTGACAAATAGTGCGGACGTGACAGGAAGTGGTGTACACAATTTAGCCGCATTATCACAGCCTTGTATTTACCACCAAAACGATACTAACCAAAATGATAATGTAAACATGGTTGAAATATGTTTCGAAAATGTTTCAAATATTGGAGACGTTACACATTTCACTCAGCAAACTAAACTGCGTAAATCAAAGAACAGATAGATTATAAAATACTTTTAAAAAATTCAAAAATTCCCTGAACTCACTCTTGTGCTTTTGGGTGTTTTGCAGGTGTCTTTAGATTCTCGAGTACGTGAAATAGTTAATAGGAATATGGTGGAACCCACGCCTCACACTTTCGATGAAGCTCAACTGCAAATCTACACTTTAATGCACCGAGACTCGTATCCCAGGTAAGAGAGAAGTCTCTTTTTCCACCCTCAAACTCACCCTAATCGGCGTCCATCTTTGCAGATTTATAAATTCACCCTTGTTTAAAACATTAGCACAACTTCCCGAAGGTGTTTCAGCGTCAGGTTCACAGACCGAAAGTCCCACTTAAGACGCCGTGAGAGGCTTAAGAGATGAGAAACCAAAGTAAGAGAGTTTCCTTAAACATGGTAGGGAGTTAATAAATAAATGATAGTGGTTATAGTAATAAAGTAAAAAAAAAATAATACTTGATGAAAAAAAATGCAAGAGAGGACAAAAAAGAGAAAAACATTGAATTTCTGCGCATAATTTCTTTCTTTTCTGTTTTTTTTTATTCAATCTAATTTTATGACGACGAAACTTACTTTGCCGCATTTTGCGTTGAATCTTTTGCTGTAAACCAGAAATCTATTTGCATTTTTGCAAGAGTGTCTCGCAAAAAAGGACACTCTTGAGCTGTCGCAAGGAAGGAAAAAGAAAGAAAAAAAAAACTAATATGCATTTACACACTTTTATCGAGTATATAAAATTTAAAAGCAAATAATGAAACAATGACTTTTTATATTAGTATTTTAACGATTACACATGTGTATAAACCATTATTTTAGTGATACATTTAGTAATGTTGACGTGGCGACGTTTTGATGGTTGACGAATGCGGAGTGGACGAAGAATGCAACAGAATAGAATTATATTGATCAGCGGGACAGGAAGTGGAATTAACAGAATAAAAACAGGGAAATTGGTGGATGAAATTCCATGGCAAAACCATGGAAAATTGTGCCACAAATTTCATTCTCGTTACTTGAAAATAAAGAAGAAAAAAAAACCAGTTAAGAGCAATAATGAGTAATTAAAAGGTGGCGAAATACAGAAAACACATACAAATTTTAACCGGAGATGCTTAATGAACACAAATCTAAACAGTCTACACCGCATTGGGGGCGGGAAAATGGCCCCGAAAAACACACTAAAAACTTTATATATAGTTTAAAAAGTTTTATCAAGACACTGGAAAAAATAGAGTATGAATTTGATTCATCTGTTATTCGAACACTTTAGACGTGAGAAGAGATTTTTTTGAGAAAGTGACTTTCATTTGGCAAATACTTGAGGATTTTCCTTTACAGACTTTATCCGTATTTGTCATTTTCATGCTCCGTATTTTTTCCAGTGCACAACAAGAGAAATGCACAAAATATTCTACTGTTATAGTAAACGTTAGATGAACAAATAAAAAAAAGAGAGAAATGAAGAAAAAGAGAAACTATTTAATATTTTAGTTAGTCGACCGAGTTTTTATAAAGCTTATGACTCTTTAAAAGTTTAAAAACTTACCATACACTAAGTTCAATATATAATAAATTTAATAATTTTTATACTGAAATCATGTGGTAAAAAAAAAATATAGAGGGGAAGAGAGAGGATGAAAAATATTGAAGGTGGATAGGAAGAGAACACTTTAAACTGTTAAGCTTTGTTTTTACACAGAAAATATGAAGAATTATAAAAGAAACGATAAATGGTGAGGACAGAATATAAAGAAGAAGAAGAAATAGTATAAATAAAATAAAGAAAATGAAAGGAAAAATACAACGTACTCGAGTTAAGTAAGGGAAAAATGCAACGTTATTTAAAAAGAAGTAAATATTTTTAAAAGGGCCTATAAAATTGAAGAAAAAAAAAAAACACTTCAGAGAAAAAAATCGAATAAAAATGATAATAACCAATTGGGTCTACAATTTAAAGAAAACCAAATATTTATTGAACGAAAGGCAATCGCGTTAATCTCTTTCAAAGGTATAAAAGAAAAAAATTCTTTCCTCTGTTTTACCGTTCATTTTTCACCCAGAAATACTTTGTATAACTAATATAGTGTGAAGTTGTGAAAGGGGAGGGAGTTTAATTAGAAATTATCATGTGACGACCTCGTAAAAGGACTTAGTCAGTGACCAGTGTAATGTATTACTAGATTTGTGACCGTAGGTTTTTGGGCGGATGAAAACCATGGGAGAAAAGGTGAAAAGAATTCCATTGAATAGAGTCGAAATTTGCTAATTTTCCTCATTGTTCGCCCGCTTGTCGCAAATACAGTGCGCGTCACAATTGTATCGAAAAAGGGGTTTTGCAAGGACAGCAGAGGCTAGAAGGACTAGACAGATTTTGGGAGCAACTGGGAGGGTTTCTGAGCCAGAAACCAGTGATCGCGTAGGACCTTAAGAAGCTGAACGTGCAAAAAGATGGACGAAGAAGAGAGAATTCCTCGCAAGAAATCAGTTTGAAAGCGTTATTATCAGTGTTATCAAAGTATCAAGCATGAACGAAGTTAGACTAGAATTAAGTTATGATCTGCAATATTCTGGGATTCGGAAGATCACAATCGCCAAGTCAATTGTGACGCGCACTTTGTATTGAGAAGAAGAAAAGTATGCATTTATTTACAACCTTAAAAAAAAACCTCTTTCGGTATTTTAATTAATCTTACATTCGCCATTAACTCATTTTTATCTAGTCACTAACCTTCTTTAAAAGTAAAAAATCCACAGCAAAGATCATCCAGATAGCGAGAAAGATTTAGTGAAAAGTGGTGAATAGATAAATTTTAGACAATTTCCAACCCCTTTTTCCTTGAGGCATAAAACCTATAAAAGAAAAAGAAGAAGAAAAAAGCAAGAAGAATTAGAGTGAGAGTAAAAATGATGAAAAATAATCCAAAAAAAATGAAATGAAACGTATTATTAAATTGAGAGAAAGGTGAAGGAATATAAAGAAAAAAATGCACCAAAAATTAAATTTAAACTTATATTGTAAAAGTCTTTAAGAGGTGGTGAAGGTGGAAAAGGTGGAGTAACACAGTTTTAAATAATGACATAGAAAGAAAACAAGTATTTAAAATACGCACTAAACCAAAATACACTAAAAAAAAAAGAAGAAAGAATCATTAAACAATTGGGTATTCACTGGCACAGTGAATGTCTTTCTAGAGTGGGAAAGAAGTCACTGGCTGAATGATGATTGTTTGGCGAGAAATTAACCCCAGAAGAATCGCCGAAGATGCGATGCAAATTCAATTCGAAATGAATTTCTTCCGCATCTTTCGTTCATTCTCGCTGGCGTTAAGTGACGTGGAAGATGAGCAACATCAAGGAATCAGAAGGGATCAGAAGAAGGATAGAAACACACTTTAGGAGTATAAGAATTAAAAAAAAAAATGATGGAAAAAACATGAAATAATGAGAGAAATAAAGGTAAAAAAAACCGTTGTATAATTAAATGTGACGTGTGAATATAATTAAAATGTGTAAAATAATTAAAAACAAATTCGGATAAAGATAACTCTTTGGGTTACACTTTCCTTCTGTCGATTTTATCATTTCCTTCGGGCATCACGACAACTCTCCTCGCTTCGAACACACACCAAAAGAGCCACACAAAACACACAAATTCACAAAGTTCAACATGGTCCAGTCTAAGTGTAAAAGTCGCAAAGTATAAATGCAAAGATAGTTTTGTGAAATTCTCAAGTGCACAAGAAGCACAAAAAAAGTTATAATTTAGTGCAGGAAAAATGTAAGAGTAAAAATCCCACCTTGTAAAAGCGCATTAAAAGTATTTGCAATGTGTATAAAAATAATGAAAAAAAAATAGCCAATGTAGAAACCAAAATCATGAAATCAGTACCAAAAAAAAAACACTATAGAAGAATAATTGAAACCCAGAATAAGTTTCAGCGAAACAGGAATGGAAAATTTTCACAATAAACCGTCTCATTAATTTTCTAAGAAAAAAAGAAGAAGTATTACAATGTGAGAAGAGATTACAGTGGTAATAAAAACATTAATATCAGATGAACTAAAAACAATTTCAGTGAAATTATACTTTCATGCGGAAAAGTGGAAAAACAATGTCAGTACGCATAATTTACTTAGCAATGTAAAACATATTTAACAAAAGAAAAGTGAATCAGATTTTTCCTAGGAAGTAAAACCAATAAAAATTATAACATCTTTTGGGATGATGAAGAGGGAGTGAGAGAGAAAATTTCTACTAAACTTTATAAAGATGAAAAGAAAAAAATTACTTAGGCACCGAATGGTAAACAAGATAAAAATTTTAGAGTAATAAAAAAAATATGAAATACAAATTAATTAATTCTACGAATATGATTAACAAATAAATTGCCATTTATTATACAAAAAAAAAATATTTTCGTCTTTGTCTTTTCTTCCCCTTTTTGAGCACTTTCAGATTGATTAATTGCGATATCGAGAGTCGTATCGATTCAGCGACTTTCCTAATAGTCGAACAACAGTGATGAATTTTTCAGTGTTTGCCTTCGTTCATTGATTTTCACTCGCTGACTTGATATTCAGAGCCTCGCGGAAGTCACAAAGATTGTCCTGAGCAAACATCGCGTGAACTGCGCAAACTGCAGTGCATGCATTTCGCTTTAGCCCGAATAATTGAAAAATCATTTTCTTCTCGTTGATTTCCCATCTTCCTATGCTCTCTGGAAGCACTTATTGAAATTTTGAAGAAAATACTTTGATTATATTTACCCAAGGGGGAGATAATACAATCAGAAATGGTGTACAGATTAGACGAAGTACTTAAGAAGTGGAAGTGTTGAAAAGTTTACAACAATCCCTTCGCGAGTGCTTATTTTACTGACAAATCATCTGAATTCTTTGGATTTCCTTCGATTTTCACGTAAAATCAGTAATAAAAATCTTTTTTTGAGGTTATGTCATGTTTTAGGGACAAATTTAGTAAAAAATTCATGTTCTATTGGCGAAATTAGAGATTTACATGCAATAAACAGTGCTTTTCTCAACCTTTGAAGCCAAGAAACGTTACAGATTGTATTGAACTCAAACATAACCTCAAAAATATTATTTTGGAATTGAAAAATGTTCATTTTTGAAAGCTTTTTAAACAACTTTGTCTCAGAATCAGTAGTTTTGAGTTGATTTTGTGATCTAGAAAGCTTCCAAATGGAGTTTTTGAAGATCTCTTAGATATATTTTGAGGTTATGGTAGAAAAATATGCCCAAAATGCGTTTTTAATTTGATTTTTACAGAAATTTTGAATGAAAACTTAAGAAATTCAATAAAATTAGAACTTTAGGAATGTAAGGCAAAATTCAGAAGTGTTTGAAAATGGTGTACAGATTTAAGACATATTATCTCCCCCTTGATATTTAACAAAGGAGTAATTATTCAGGGTTTTCTCTGAAATAAATTCATTATAAAAGCGTAATGAAGACTCCAAAAGCTTTTCATTGTAATCAATTTAGGCTTTAATAGTGCTCATTTTCAATTAAACAATTTTCTGCTGTACTGCAAATATCATTTCTGCAATTATTTATTCACGATGGGATTTATCCAGACTGCAAGTTGTCTGTTGTCTCCAATTCCTCAGTTATTGATGAAGTTGTTAAAAGCACAACGACTTCGTTCCAATTCGAATGAATTTTACGCTCAATCAAAGCTGAAGCTGCATGCAGCATATGCTTCTCCCATTCGGCGCAATCAACGATCCTGATAAAAAGTTGTGAAACAGATTTTGCCGGGCGTCTATTGAAATCAAGCCACGAACTAAGCCACGAAGAATACAGAGATTGTGGGAAGATCATCTCAACTGCCGTATCCCAGGCCGGCGGTTCCCTGGTTGCCGACGACTGAGATGGGCTCCTTGAGCGCCTCCTCGGTGTTGCCCAGGCTCTGTCCCTCCGACCAGCCCATCTGGGAGAGCAGCTTGAAGCCCTTGTTCTTCCGGGAGATCGCCCACTCCGTCGAGGCCACTTCCGTCTTCTCACCGTCGTGCGAACTGCCCACAGTCACGCGCCGATTGGCCGCGCGATCAACATAAGCCTCACCGGCGAAGCTCTTCGGCTCCTCGTACTTCTCCGTCGCCAGTCCGTACTTCTTCTGCAGGCGCTTCTGTATCTGCAAGCGTGACTGCTCCAGAGACTGCGACTCAGCAGCAGAGCTGGCTGTCTTTTGAGTGGCTTTCAGGAGGCCAGGATGGCAGTCGTCGCAGGTTTCGGAGCCGCCGTGGACGTGACAGAGAAGACGCGTGCCCGAGAGCTCGATGACGCTGTCGTGGAGCAGATCCACAGGATCACTCTCCCGCTTGGACGTCGTCATTCGCTGGCTGTTGAGAATTGTGCCGTTCGTTGAGCCCAAATCGATGATTTGATACGTAGACTTCGCGTCGTTGTAGATGAACTTGAGGTGATGTTTGGAGACATTCAGATCTGGTATGAGAATATCGTGATGTCCTTCTCTGCCCAGCGTGCCACCCCTGCAGGTGATCACGAATAGCGTTCCTGCGGAGACACTCTCAACTGCACTCTCCTGGACGATGAGCCTGAGTGATGGCGCATAACGCACGGCGTCTCCGGACAGCTTCTCTTCCTCCTCGGACTCTTCTGGAGAGCTCAATACCTCGCCATCCTCCATTTCCACGTCCTCCTTGGGCTTCTCCACCTTCTCCGGGGATTTCCTCCTCTTCTTGTGCCGTCGGCGCACACTCTGGCTCTCCTTCTTCTCACCAGTCATCTCAGAGATCAGTGAAACCACGTTATTCTCCTTCCCATCTGTGTAGACCTGAGAGTGGTACAGGAACTGATTTGTGGCAGCGTCATAAGAGTAGTAAACGCCTGTATTCCCGTCGTAATACAGCCGCAGATCCGCGTTATAGTAGTATCCTGTCTTGTTGTCATAATACAATCCTGACACAGGCTCATAGACAAATCCAGCCACTCTCTGAGCCTCTTCGGCAACGGATTTGATTTCTTGGACAAACTTCAGCGGATCCTCAGTCTCTACTTTCGCCGGTGTCTCTTCCTGGCACTTCAGAGACTTCATTTGCGTTTCCTGAAAACACATTGAAGTCTTAGCAACCACAGAATGAAGGAAAAACTCAAGGAAGTCTCACCAGCTTCCTGTTTTTCTTCCGGAAAGAGGTCAAAACAACCCTCTCGCGAGAAATGATTTTGTGAAGGCATTTTATGTAGAACAGAAGGCTGGTTTTGCTGAAATTCTGGATCTTCGCGTAGGACAGAGGCCGAGGAAGCCCCAAACTGTGCTTCTTCATCTCACGCACGAACAAAATACTGGGGAAAACAAAAGCAGCAATTGAGCTCCAAAATTCACATTGACAATCACTCATTCCACAAGTTCCACCATTCAAATGTTATGAGAAATAAGAGAAAACCTTATAACTGCAAAAGCACAAAATTTGAACTCAGAAAGAAAGCCGTTGATGAATTGGCCCAACAAAAAAATTAACACCACAAGAAATTGAGATGGAAAAAACATAAGAATAAAATTCAGAACTGGTGAGAACTGGCTCAAGGTAAGATCTCTAAGCACAAATCGGAAAACACTCCTTAAATGGCAATTTGGGCGGCAATTAGTGCTTCGCAGCAGCTGAAGAGTGAGTCAAGAGCACAGAAATCCCGAAAACAATCGCCGGCAAAAAACGCCCCGTGGAAATTGTGTAACTCATTAGCGAGATCGATTCACTTCCGATCCTCGGAAAGCATGGCGACTCCGCAGTCCAACCGAAAGCCATGCGGATCAGTGGCAAAAACGCGCTAATCGTCTTATTATTGTCCGTTCTCGACTTTGCGAAGCTCTTCTTCTGCTCCAGCGTTCGCGTGCTCGATGGAGTCCAAACGAAGCGTCCTCTTCGCTCCTCGCGAGCTGCAGAGACAGTGGAAGCGGAATTAGCGGCCGCGCGTTAAGTGGCTCTAATTACTATTTTGTCTAACATGGCGGCCCTCGATCGCCGGCCGCAGTATAAAAGGCTTCCGGGGCTTCTGCCAAGCATTCACACCGCAACAAGCAAGCGCGCAAAGAACAAGTTCGCAAGACACTCTTGATCTTATCGCTGATCCACAAGACAAACGCACTCCAGCGCAACAAAATGAAGCTGATTGTACTCGCCATCATCTTGGGAGCTGCTCACCTGAGCCTCCAGAGCCCGATTCCTGACGCCGACCAGATCGCCATTCTCATCCCGGACGCCGAAGCCGACGGTGAGGACATGGAAGTGGCCGAGAACCACATCTTCAGGCCATTCTTCCGCTACAAGCAGCGCAGCGCCTTCAGGAAGCGCCTTCCTCGTGAAGCCTCGCCCGAAGACTTCGCCGAAGCTCTTCCCGCACTTCCCGAAGAGTCGGACGATCTGGAGCCAGCTGAGAACCACATCTTCCGCCCCTTCTTCAGATACCGCGAGCGCAAGGCCTTCAGGAGCCGCTCTCCTCGCCAGGCGACGCTCGAGGACTTCAACGAGGCGCTGCCAGAAGTCGGCGATGACGCCGATGACATGGAAGTGGCTGAGAACAACATCTTCCGCCCCTTCTTCCGCTACAGGCAGCGCAGCGCCTTCAGAAGGCGCGTCCGCCGCGAAGCCGCCGCCGAGGAAGTCGCTGAGGATCTCTCGGTGCCGCAGGAAGAGCTCCAGACGGCCGAGAATCGCTTCTACAAGCCACTCTATCGCATCCAGAAGGTCTTCCTGAGGCGCGCAACTCGCGACGTGCAGCCGGCAAAGGTCAGGAGGACTCGATCAGTCAACAATGATGATGATGATCTGGAGACGGCTGAGAATCACATCTTCCAGCCTGTGTTCCGCTACAAGCAGCGCGCGGCTTACAGACGCCGCGTGAAGAAGCCCAGCAAGACCAACAGGGGCTAAACTGGAGCGAAAGGAAGATTAGGAATATCCAATTGAGCTTCTCTGTGATGATTAGATAGGAATTAATCAAATTTACAACATTGTTATTGCAAATTTTCTTTACAAAAAAAAATATTTATTCTATATAAAATATAAATTATCAAATTCAATCCAACTTTTTGATGTTTCTTCTTCTCAAAACTTCTCAATTTCATTTGACCGAAAAGATTCGCTTGAGAGATTCTGGACGACTCGTAGTAAAGTTCTGGAGATGTGTAAAATGGTTTGGAGTTCACGGAATTCTTTAGCGAAATTAATGAGATGTTAATTGGCAAAGCGACTTTTCAGCAATGGCCGGACAAAATGGCAGCAATTTTGACCATTTAACACATCTTAATAGGCAAAAAAGCGACTTTCCAAAATGAAAGTCTTCGATTATGTTCGCCTATATTTGTGCCTTCTGAGAATCCTCCAGAGTTGCAAGATTCTGCGAAATGTTAGCAAATCGCGGACAACTTTTTATTTAATCAGCCCAACGACCAAATGCTCGATTGAAAGTGTATCGAGTTGAACGTGTTATCGCGCGAGATCATTGCAAGATCATAATTTGTCGCTGATTGCATTACAAAACGCGCTTTTCCGAGAAAAAACGAAACATTTATCGCACGATATAGGATTCAGTGAATCGATTTACTTCTTCTGGTATTTTCTTGTCTCGATGCCTCTGGTTCCAATAAGTCTGCAAGATTACTGCTTCAGCGTCTCGCATTCGCTGCAAGTCCAGCAATTTGTATGCTAAATTGCTGTTTAATGCCTGAGCAAATCCACATTTTTCCGCGGAAAAACCGCCAGTTTGGCGGCTTGTGAATTTCTACTCCAAAATCTTCGTTTCACTGTGACAAGAAATAAGAAATTCTTGAGATGTATGGTTTAGACTGAGTGGGAAAGAAGTCGTGCCACACTTTTTAAGAGCTCTAATCGGTTGGCATGACTCTCAAATTTGAGGGAGATTCAATACGACGAAGAAGAGATGAAAATGGGATTTTTGCAGTGGGTGAGAAAATTATACAATGCCTATATTGAGATGTTATGATTGAAATTTAAATTATCACGCGATGATTTTATTTATAGAGACGCAATCGCGAGCCAAACTGAGGGGCTCGTCAAGCTGAGAATTGTTGAACAAAACAAGGCCGCAAATTGCATTGAATTTCTGCATTATTTTGAGATGCTAGAAATCAATGGAATTCTCAATGATGCCGCAGAGAAACACAATTCGCGCGAGCGAGAGTCTCGTGAGGTCAGGAGTCTTGGCATGATTACCCCAATCCTAACAGACAATTTCCCACCATGTCGAATCACCCTTCAATTTGCAAGTTTATTGCGATGAATTTTCCTCACACTTCTTTTCACTTCGCATTTTCTGCAATGATGAAAAAGGACGTGGAAAAATGCTGAAACTGAACAGAACCTGCGCAGAGACTTTCGAGTGTGCTTTCGCCTCGCGGCGTGTAATAATAAGTTTTAAGTGAAACTGTTCTAGAAAGCCTTTCTATTCTCGATCGGTGTGAGTCAAAAGGTGCAGATCTTTCACCCGGCGTGACTTCTCGGAAGCACTTGCAGTCTTTTCCCATTCAATTTCGCGAGATATCGCGAGATATCGCGCGAATGTTTTATTGTCCGACCGTTTGCTAATTGCCGCGGTAATTTATTTGAGAGTATATCAGGTGAATCACACCGACATTTGTAGTTGCTTCTCTGTTGCTGAGGATCACAAATAAATTACTTAACACCACAATTAACACCCAATTAACATCGCCGAAGAATTTCGTGAATTTGCCTTCACATCCAACATTCACGCCACCTCGAGCGAATCGGCTCGGTTAAATGAAAATCAGAAGTGATATGTTTGAATAATTTATTGTAAAAGTTTAATAAATATGTGTATAAATTGTATAAATTCAATATAAAAAAAATGATTTGTATAAATTTGTAAAACATTAGAACGTCTAACTATCCATCACAGATGAGCTTATTTGATAAGCAAGATTGGGAAATCCATCACGTTTCCCAGATCAACCCCTCCTGTTAAGCTTGGACTTCTTCAGGTGGCGCCTGAAGGCGGCCGTTTGCCTGTAGCGGAAGATGGGCCGGAAGACGTGGATCTCAGCAGTCTCGAGGTCATCATCATCATTGTTGACTGATCGAGTCCTCCTGACCCTTGCCGGCTGCACGTCGCGAGTTGCGCGCCTCAGGAAGACCTTCTGGATACGATAGAGCGGCTTGTAGAAGCGATTCTCGGCCGTCTGGAGCTCTTCTTGCGGCACCGAGAGATCCTCAGCGGCTTCCTCGGCGGCGGCTTCGCGGCGGACGCGCCTTCTGAAGGCGCTGCGCTGCTTGTAGCGAAAGAAGGGGCGGAAGATGTTGTTCTCAGCCACTTCCATGTCATCGGCGTCATCGCCGACTTCTGGCAGCGCCTCGTTGAAGTCCTCGAGCGTCGCCTGGCGAGGAGAGCGGCTCCTGAAGGCCTTGCGCTCGCGATATCTGAAGAAGGGGCGGAAGATGTGGTTCTCAGCTGGCTCCAGATCGTCCGACTCTTCGGGAAGTGCGGGAAGAGCTTCGGCGAAGTCTTCGGGCGAGGCTTCACGAGGAAGGCGCTTCCTGAAGGCGCTGCGCTGCTTGTAGCGGAAGAATGGCCTGAAGATGTGGTTCTCGGCCACTTCCATGTCCTCACCGTCGGCTTCGGCGTCCGGGATGAGAATGGCGATCTGGTCGGCGTCAGGAATCGGGCTCTGGAGGCTCAGGTGAGCAGCTCCCAAGATGATGGCGAGTACAATCAGCTTCATTTTGTTGCGCTGGAGTGCGTTTGTCTTGTGGATCAGCGATAAGATCAAGAGTGTCTTGCGAACTTGTTCTTTGCGCGCTTGCTTGTTGCGGTGTGAATGCTTGGCAGAAGCCCCGGAAGCCTTTTATACTGCGGCCGGCGATCGAGGGCCGCCATGTTAGACAAAATAGTAATTAGAGCCACTTAACGCGCGGCCGCTAATTCCGCTTCCACTGTCTCTGCAGCTCGCGAGGAGCGAAGAGGACGCTTCGTTTGGACTCCATCGAGCACGCGAACGCTGGAGCAGAAGAAGAGCTTCGCAAAGTCGAGAACGGACAATAATAAGACGATTAGCGCGTTTTTGCCACTGATCCGCATGGCTTTCGGTTGGACTGCGGAGTCGCCATGCTTTCCGAGGATCGGAAGTGAATCGATCTCGCTAATGAGTTACACAATTTCCACGGGGCGTTTTTTGCCGGCGATTGTTTTCGGGATTTCTGTGCTCTTGACTCACTCTTCAGCTGCTGCGAAGCACTAATTGCCGCCCAAATTGCCATTTAAGGAGTGTTTTCCGATTTAGCATCTCTGGTTTCATGCTTCTGCAGAATGAAGATCGCAGAAAGAAACTTGTGCTTGAGCCAGTTCTAGCCAGTTTGAGTGATTCTGTTCTATAGTTTTCAACAAGGGAAATTAGCATCATTTGCTGCCAATCCGCCATTTCTGAATCGCTTCATAGCTTTCAAGTGAAAATCCAAAGACTCTGACTAATTTACTGATTTGTGTGGCGTTTTAAAAAATAACAGTTGTATTGCGTTTTATAAATTGAATCTTTTGCAGAATAATTTCTGCATGGAAATTTGCTCATTTATCAAAAATGTCCTACAACAATTTCCTTAATCATATTGAGAAGATGAGAAATCACTTTTCTTCACCATCAAAAATGTTTTAAGAAGATGCGTAATTTCACTCCACTCGCCGAAATGTCTCAATTTTAACGCCTCGAAAATACTCATCTCACCCTGAATCCCAAGAAGGTGCTAAAGACGCTAATGAAAAGGGGCCACTTAGAATCCGGCGAAGACCACCAATTCTCAAACTGTTGCGCCTCATTTTCGCAGTTTAGCCTGCCGAAAGCGTGCTCATCAACCCCAGAAGAAGGGCTGCCGAATGGCAATTGGGTGTAATTTTTGCACATGCCGCAGGCAATTTATGACCCCGATTCCGCGGGTCGGGGTCACGCTGGAGCCTGGGGAGTCTATTTTGCTCGGCAAATTGCGAATGGGCGCAATGAGTGGGCTCTCCGGATCGCGTATGATTAAAAGGGGTGTGACAGTGACGACATTGTGGGTGGCGCTGCAAAAATGTGGTGTGTGTGCAAAAAGGACGTGGGTTTTAATGCGATAGTTTGCGTGGTGCGGCTCATCAGAAGGCATAAGAAGAAAAAACTGTGGCGAAATTATTGGCATCATCGCGTAATGAAGAGATGCCGAAGGAATTGCGCCATGTAATTTACCACCCACCGGGAGGGCCAATCATAGTGTCTTCCATGCTGATTGTCCCCGTCAATCGCCTTCTTGGGCTGCCCGGGAAAAATTCCATGCGAGCGCCTGGTGAACTTGAAAGGGAGGCTTATAAATATTGCACCCCACCGTGGCGTCTTCCTCATTGATAACTCGATGCTGGTCGGAGCATCTTCTCCGTGGCAGTGAAGTCTTGAGTGGCCCAAGAAGTGGCATCAGACAGCGAGATATCTTTTAAAATGTAAGTGCATCATTCTTTATCGAGAGAGTGTCTGTGTTTGCTCTGAATTCATAATATCATACGATCAGCAAATGAACACCATTTGCATCACGTAATAGCGGCTCAATTAAAGCCGATCGTATGATCACCTTTTTTCTACGCCATCTCTCATCCACTCTCTGCAAGCTCTTGTACTTGTCTTGAGCCGCACTCCACATCGTCATCTCGGGCCGCGGCTCAGCGCGATGGCAGTTTGAATTTGAGAAATTACATTGTGCGTCTCCCGCGTTCAATCGGAAAGTGACCACAGTGTGGATATAATTTATCATCTGCATGCAATATTTCGAGTGTGCGTCAGTTCCACAGAAGTCCGCAAATGTCAGTCTTTGATACGCTGGTGAGCTTGTGCAGTAGTTGCCAAAGTACAAAGTCACCCAAAGTATTATGTGTGTTAAAAGCGTCTTAAATGCTATAGAACGCATCCCACTTCTGACACCAATGGTGTGATTTATTACATTTGATTTTCCCTAATCCTCTGACACCCCAAAGAACAAGGGAATTATTAATAATAGCGAGAAACCTTCACTGGGTTACAGTGTTAGAAATCCGTTGCAGAAGATCATTTGCATTGCGTCACACGCACATTGCCAACGCGGGGCGCGATACGCCTCTCGACATGCGCTGATCCCCTGCGGATTGCGCTTAGTTGCAGCCTGAAACCTCAGCACCTCACCTCATTATGTCACAGAGTGGCGATGATCGAGGGAATTCTCACCTAGGCGCGCGCGAGAAATGCAGATGTGATATGCATGGAGAAAATGCGTTGGGCAATTTTTCTGGGCGCCTGTGTGGCTGGCGAGAATGAACGGCTGATTGGCCGCCAAGCGATCGTCCGGCCATCTAACCATCCGACGCTCGAGTCACGAGAGAGACCTAATGGGCTACATCCGTTTGCTGTGTGAAAGTCCGAGGCATTCGGAAAGAATTTCTGGTCAATTGAAACGCCAGTGCGTGAACGGACCGCCAAGTGATCGTGTGCTTATTTCAGCCTCTCAAGATCACCCCGAAAAGTGTCGGAATCGCGCAACGTGTGCAATTGTGGGCAAAGTGCATTCGCCAGAGGTGAAGAAAAACAGCGTAATCATGCATCAGCATCTCGATCGACGCAAGATCAACGCGCTGTAGATCATTGATAAGATCCACCGACAGCAAAAGTGTAAGGAAAATCGCAGTTTCGCACACAGGAGAATTTCCGCACACCCACAAAATGCATGCATGTGTGAAATGTTTCAATATAACACAATTGCGCCTACATAATTTATGAATTAACCAGGCAAACTTATTTGAAAGCGCGCGTTTTACTATTTAACCGCACCACCCTCGGCCGCTCCGCCTCGCCATCGCAATAAACAAGATCATAAGCCAGCAATTTCGCTCACTCGCTCATTCACAAACGCTAAAAGCATCGTCCTTTGCTCTCTCCCTCTCTTGCAATTCTCAGTCAATTCTCAGCAATTCTCGCGATCACGAGAGAGAATAAATCCAACATTGAAATGTATTTTTGGCGATCACCGAGGGGCCAGTGAGTCACTGTCGTTCTACTGCGATCCTCGGCGACATTCAGCCAATTATCAAGCACCGCACAGACTTAATTACCATGGAAAATTAGCCCGACAATCGGGTGGAAAAGTTGCACGTGAGTCAGAGCGATTCAAGGCGAAATTTTTGGAAAACTTCACAGCGGAAAAATACGACTCTGCGAAGAGAGGAAATTTTCGCTAACCCTGAAGTGCGTTGCGGAAGTTTCCAGAGGAATTGCAATTGTCTATTTGCATGATTAATGGCTTCTGTTGGTGCAATCTTGCACGAGATTCCAACACTTTGAGTGAGCAATTTAGTGGGAAAATCGTCACAAGTTTGGCCACATGCGGATGTCATGTTTTGCGGTGTGAAAATTGTATGCAGAAAATGCGGAGTGCATCACCATTCTGCGTGTTGTTGCTCAGGAGGGTAAAAAAGATTCGCTTTCTGTGGTGGCAATCTTAACTAATATCTCTGCGAATTACAACAATCGCTAACATTGAGTTTTTACAGACGGTGGCATGCAAAAAAAAAAACAAACAAATTAATCCCATTCGCATGATGATTGGATCACTAAAAATCCGCTCATGACACCATCAATCTTAATCACAAGAGTGGCAATTAATGCGAGATCGATTTCCATCCAGCTGGATAATTTTTTATCCCCCGGCAGATCCCTATAAATCATCCATTAGTCACTCAATTACCATTTAAATCCACTTATGCAGGCGCGCTAGGTTCTGCGCGCGAAAGCCCCCTTCGGGGCCTCGAGTCAGCGTGGAAATTCAGGGGAAGCGAGGGGGTTGGGCCCCTCGGGCGAGGGGCGCGGAAAAGCCGCGAGTGTGTGTACTATCAGAAATAGCCTACAATTAATATCTGGCGACCGCGTCTCGTGTAGATTTAATACATTGACCACGCATCAAATTAAATCCAAGAGGCGAAGAGAGGTTTAAGATGCGGAGTGAGGAATAAAAAAAAAAAGAGATAATGCTCTGTGGCTCTGCCACTCTTGAGGCAGTGCGACGAAGAAAATGTTCTCCGCGATAAATCTCTCATCTGAATGGAACTATACTTCATGCACACACTTTGCCTCTTGCCAGTCCTTATAAAAGCAGTGAATTGAGCACCTTTGACTTAGTGGTAGCCGAGATCTTTATGTGAGAAGAGAGCAGTTTCATTGCGCTCCGTGCACGCTGTCGTACTTAAGGCACTTTCAGCCAGCTCTCGCCGTGTTTGCGCAAAAAAAGAGAGTTTTTCTTCCCCCTCGGCACAGTGTGTGCACTTCCGAAATCAGAGAGACATACTCCGCGCGCAACCATGTCGGTTGTTGAGCATGAGGAGGACCGTACTTAAGACTGTGTGACCCCCCAAGTGAATTGTGCAATGTTGTTTCACTTAATTCCTGTGACTGTCCAGTGAGAACTGCAAGAAACTCTCCCGCAAGACAATATTGAGAGCCCGCGCGCACAGACACTTTTCAATCACAATTGAAGCTGAATTCCCTTCCTCTCCCGCGTGTTCTTATAATCGCGGCTTTGTTTAGTGTGTCTCCTTAACTATTCTGTTACAACTCTTGTACAACACATCACCGCATTAGAGGCTCGCTTTTTTTTGCTGTAATTGCGGCACTTCTCCATTGTTGCTTTCTATCGGTGGTGATATTTGGTGCTATCAGAGAGGAAAATCTCAGAGACTGACGAGAGTTTTTCAGCCTGTGCGGACAAGCGCTGTCCATTCATCCTGGCAGAGAAAGACAATTATCAAGAAAAGAAAAGAAAAGAAGCAAAAGTGTGTCTCGCAACCCAGTGAAAAGCGGCCGGATTTTGGATATACTTAGTCGCCCGTCCACAATTCATCATTTTCCATCGCATTTTACACAAATAGCATTTTAATAATATAAATGTAAGTTGACAAGACCTTGACGACATGTCTCCATTTCCATTTCCTTGCTCCACTGCACGCAATCCAACTATCGATGCCAACTGTTGCAGAGTCGCGCCCCCGAAAAACCCCCCGCGAGACCCAGAAAAACCTCAATGTGGCATTTTTTTTCAATCGCCACTCAGAATTCTACGTGGGAAATGTGAATTTTCCTATCTGCTCACGCACGCAGAACCCTGAAAAGTAGCTTTTCTGCAGTGAAAAATTCAATAAAAACATCCAGGATGTGGAAGAAAAAAGAACTCTGGTAAATTCGAAGGGTTTTTTTTTCTTAAAATCTGAATTTGCTGCTTTAAAGAACTTTATGTACATATTTTCAAGTATTAAAACTTCAAACAAATCATTACTTAAAGACATGAAAATAGCGTGAGAAATTTTCATTTTATCGTTATTGTGAAATCAGTGAAAATTGTGTAAAACACCTGAAATTCCCTGAAAGCACACTGAGAAATTCAATGGCATATTTGTAATGCCATAGCATTTCTAATTCCGTCGGAAATTCCGCCAGAATCCAGTAGAGTTTTCCCTGTGTGGCAAAGAAATTGTGTCAAATGTGAATTTTGTCATGTTTGCCGAACACATTGGCTGGGAATGGATGAGAATTTCGAGAAGGCAGCATCTCAAGGGGAAAAAAGTCAGAAATATGACGAAAACATCAAAAAAGATAGCGCAAGAATGCGCCAGTGTGGAGACACAGCCAAAGAAGAAATGCCACATGAGTTAATTTCATATTAAGGCATAAGACACATAAACAGTGCCGGCAAAAAAAAAAGTAAGGAAATAGGGGGAGAAGGAATTCCTTTGGTCCGCAATTTGGGCTCTAAGCGAGCATCAACAAAAGTGTGAACAAAGACAGATTTGTGGATATATTCTGAGAAAACCACTTCTCAATCTTCTTTTCACACATTTTCACAATCGTCCCGTGTGATCTTCCCAAAAGAGACATTTCACCCTCTTGGCACTGGCCGGCTTCTCATTTTGCAAACAGTGCCAAAGAGAGTCAAAGTTGAGAATATGATGCAAAGGCGCACCACAATTGCATAGTGCTGTAATTCACTTAGACGCAGGTCTCAAGATCGCCCAGATTAAGATCAGATCATGAGGCACCGAAAGAAAAAAAGCGAGATAGCGAAGTGAGTCACGGGAATTTCTGCGGAAATTTTCGGCTGAGTTTCTTCTGCTCTATCGTCCAGGATTCCCATAGCATTGCTCCGGCATGACATCATCAGCATCTGAGAGGATGGTAATTCGAGCCGCCGCCCATTTGGCCCTCAGGCTCCGCAAATGTGCGTGCCACGCAAAGGAGAGTGTCTTTTTGCTCGCCGCACTCGCTCTCGCGCCTTCGGCGATGCTCTCTGACCACCTGAACGGTACTCTCGATGGACCTCTTAAGCCTTGAACAGTCTCGCGCCTGAACACGTGCAGCGACTTGTGAGTCGTGCCACTCTCGCAGAGGTTGAGAGGAAGTTGACGTGTCGCGAAGGTCCGGTGTCACCTTTGACCTTCTGCCACTCCCACTCGCTGTAACTGTAGCAGGTATTAATAGCGGCGGGCATTTCTGCAGCTTCCTATTCGCCAAAGAAAGCGCGAAGAGAGTCTTCAGCTGCTCTTCGCCGAAGCGTGAGGGATTTTCCAAGAATTGCATCACCGCAGAAGCCAAAGAGGAAAATATCTGATGGGAAATGGGGGAATTTGCCGAAACAGCCGTGCTTCTGCGCGGCACAATCTTAGAAGATATCTCCCCCTTGGGCAAATCACAATTTTGAGGCGCGAAGCCAAGGCAAGGCAATTCTGCAACTCATGAAAAGTGGGCATGAAAAAGCGCAGCATTAAGCACAATTGATCGGCATGAAATGCCAATTCGCTGCGCATTTGGCCAAAAAATGCCGCCGTGGCAGAAATGTAAATATTTGCCATGGTCCCTATTGTGCAGACGAGTGGGGAATTGGCGGTCTCCAGTGTGTCTCAATGCCCAAATTGATTTGTTGGCGCGCATTCTTATCCTGCGCGCTTTGGAGTCTCTGGTCTTGGGAGACACGATGGAGACTCGCGCGGCAAGCGCTCGTGATTAAAATGAAAGGAACAAGAAAGCAAGGGGAAAAAATTGAGTGAAACAGTCACATGCGGTATTTATTTTACATAGAGCCATTGATGTAATTAATGGGTGGAAACACCATAAACAAGTCTCTCCGAAAATAGACTGCTTCAACAGACAGTATGGTACCAAGAATGCAGGGCCGGACTGGCGCTCGCGGCTCGGGCACTGCGCGGAGTTCCTCGGCCCGCGAGAGTCTCTGTGTGCGCGAGGCTGGCATGCAAAATTGCATTCATTTGCCGAGACTGCAGTCAATTAAAATGCAGCACAAGAGAGGCAGAGACGAGAGGCAAAAAGACGATGGGGGCTCAAAGACAGTCGCGCGCATATCGGACACTTGTCAACGTGAATGCCATTCATCAACCTCTCTCCGCATTGATTAATTCGCCCAGTGGTGTTCAAGGGAAGCTGGGGAGTCTCGAAATTTATGGGCCTTCTCGCTGCTCCACAATTTCCGGAAATATTTTGCCACAGACTTTTTCTCAATCTTCAACACTTCCAAGAATTATACGCGCGGCTCATGTTGTTGTCATCGCGCACGCCGATTGATAGTGTGATGAAAATGTGGATTAGCACAGAATTTGTAGCCGCGCAAGAGTGTGGATGCGAAGTTTGATCTTAAGAGGTCAAAGCGTAAACATATTTATTTGAAAAGGAAAGGCGAAATAGCATCGCGAGGAGATGGACCATAAAAATTACGATTTTCTGAGTCAGTTGAAGTCTAAATTTAATTTTGACAGCTTTACAGTGGCGAAAAAAAACGCCAAAAACACATTTCATCGGCTTCAAATTGGACTATTTTTAGTCAAAAATGTGACTTTTGGGCTTTTCCAATTCAATAGAGCCTTTCGATGGAGCCTGAGACCATCAAAATCCGAACATGATTGAGTATTTGACGACAATCCAGGTTTCTAATGTCTCTGCGATCCCACTTCTGACACCACTGCTACTGACGTCATTTCTTTCTGACTCGATTTCTTAGGGCTTTCGCAGCGCCTCTCCTCAAAGTCTGACGAGTTCTGCCCTCACTGTGAGAAGCGCATGAACACAAGTACATTTTATTTATTGCTTTATAATAAATTAACGCACACAGTTGATATTGAGTGCTTCATATCGTCTTTTTTTTGCGCTTTAAAGCGCGCCACACAGCAAATATATATATAAAGCAATTTATTAAAAGTCGGACTCAGAGTTGTGCCGCAAGTTTATGTTAACCCTTCATCGTCGCACGCATCGTGTGTAGTCGATGTGATTGGGGAGACCACCTTAATTGATTCCTTTTCGCATTTGCCGGTGGGGATATTTATCGCGGCATCTGCGAAAGCGCGCACGTAAGTTCCAGGAATTTCACATGAGACAATCCTGATCAAATTTCGAGAACACGCGATCGCGCGATTTCATTCACATGCGGAGAATCGTGGCGATCGATAACGTGACGTTGGAATTAAACTGTCAGGCGATAAATCTCTGACTTCGCAGCATCCGAGGAAATTCTCTCTATGGGAAAATACGTGACGCGCAGATGTTGTTTCTCACTCTCTTCGGTATATATCTTCTTCTTTTTTAATTATTGAATTTCAATGACTGGCAATGCTAATTGATCGGCTTCTGAGTGCAGGGGAAAACACACAATAAAATGTTTCATGGCTTTCAGTTTTTTTGGCGCACAGGTTAAAGACCCAAATCTCAATCCTCAGTGACGCAGAAGGAGAGAGGATGCTTTATTGTGCGATTGGCAATATATTTATCTTAATTGACTGTAAATCGTGTGCGATTGTCTGGGACATTTATCTCATGGGTTTGTGAGAGAGGGAAAAAATCCCAGCGGAAATTTCGAGACACGCCGTTTGATGTTACAAAAATATTGCCTTTCAAATTTATTAACATCAGCCCGGGTCGCACGAAGTAGAAAAATTTTCCTTCGCGCCCAGTTTCTGAAGACGCACGCGAGTGAGCGAGAGAGGTGATTTTTCCACGCGAGATTGTGAATGATAAAGTTCTTTTTTATGAATCACGATAAAAGACATTAATTGCTCAATTCCGTTTGTTGATACTTCACCTTGTTTCCTACGCCAGTGCTGAATCTGCTCTCGCCGTGTGAATTCGTGCTAATTCAGAGTGGTGAAAATTTCATTCACTCAGTCCGGCAAATTGAATTGTATCACTTCTGCTCTAGTGTGGATCGTTGCCAGTTCTCAGGTAATCACAATGAGGTGAGAATGACTTAATTCAGGAGCAATTTGCCGCCTCATTTCGCGGCGTGACGTAGGGAAAGGGGATTGTTATCTGGTGCGAGAGGGAATGCTAAGTGCCGAGTGATTAGTGAGGTGATAATTGCTGGGGAGGTTGTGAAAACATCCCACAGCTCCGATGTGCGGAGTGTTCTGCGTAAGGACACGCCGCTGGGGCGCGCAGGACGCGCGCGGGTGTGCGACAAGTGCGGCCGCCAATTGAGGAAATGATCTAGATGGGCACTGCAAAGGGTTAAGTTCTTCAATGAGGCGATGATCAATCTCTTGTTTGCGAGTGCAGATCGTGGAAAATGCACGCGCGCGCACGACGTATGGAGAGACATGTAAATGAGAAAGTCGGAGAACAAGTTGAGGTCTTTTTTCCACTATGTATAAACTGCCTCAATTAAAAATAAATGACACTTGCAGGAGGAGAAAAACGACAGGCAAATCCTCTCATGAGAGATTTGTATCTATTAGTAAATTTATTTGTATCTCTCTCGCGAGCATTAGCATTTTATATTAAAATTCGCTGCGCTATGGTGAATGTGTTGTCTGTATTACCAATATTCACTTGTCCGATGGCAAATAAACAACACATGCTTCCACACTCACTTCCAACTTGTTCTGGCCGCAGCATCGCGCCTTGGCGGCTTGTGTGATATATTTTTCAATGATTCACTCTATGGCTGGGATTGAGAAAAGGCGGGAAGAGGCCTGGGTCAGCCTGGTGAGCATTGTCTCTTGGGTTGAGGATGCCGGCCAGCGGCGCGGGGGAAGTTCAATTAAGTCGCGGGAGAGTGAATGCGCGTCTCTTGCGTCATTGAAGGCATTTCGCTAACTCTTTGCACCATAAATTTGCCACTCGATACCAATTAAATCGATCTTGAAACTCTATATTTTTATGCCTCTCTATTGATTCACGTTGTGTGAACCACTCACCACGACCACCAGTCGCGCCTTTCTCATGCCATGCACGCGGTTTCACCACAAGTTCTTCAGCTGAACTTCCAGAATAGAATATTGCCCATATTATCGCAATGACACAGCTTTGTGCGTTTGCCAATGAGAGCTTCAATTAATGCTCTAGAGTTTGTGCATAAATTATTAACCAGCGATTAGCATGAGCTCTCGAAGTGTGTTTGCCTGAGAACTTCTGGCGCGACCAGAAGAGCTATAAATACCCTGTGTGACGCGAAGGATCAAACGAGGACCTATATTTAGATCACCTTCCCCTGTTTCAAGAACTCCGCCATGCTTTGGGTATTGACTTGTGTGTGACACTTTTCCTCAATTGCAGATGTGTTCCAAAAATCTCTTCTTCTCATTGGCACTCATACTTGTACTGGTTCCAATGATCGTGTCCTTCCCGAGGCATCACACCCTCGCCAAGAGGAGCAGCTTCTTTGACATTGAATGCAAAGGTGTCTTCAACAAATCCATCTTCTTCCGCCTGGACAGAATCTGCGAAGATTGCTATTCGCTGTTCCGGGAGCCGCAGCTTCACTCACTATGCAAGTACGTACAGCTGATAAGGACAACAAACACACTTTTTGCCCCACGGTGAAGTGATTGCGCGGTGTGGCATTTGCGGAATGTGCTGGCTTAAGTGTGGAAAAAAAAGAGACATTCCGTGAATGCGCAATTTTCATGGATATGATCGCATTTTGTGCTTCACACGACAAGACAAATTGCCGCCAATTTGTTTACACAATAAATAAAATTTGTTTTCGCTTTCAAACAAACACTTCTCCAGTTGCAAGTGGCGATTGAGACGGAAGTGTTCGCCTTAATTCGCCATTCAAAGGCTTTTCTTTGCGCACTGCAGTGAGATGCTGTGACAAATCAGGAAGGGCCGAATGTAGACTCTTAACGAGCATATCCATGAATATTGTCAGCTTTCCCTTTTCAGACAAGTTTTCAGAGAGCATCAATGAGACATTTTTCTTCCATATTCAGGGGTTAAAATATTGATAGACGGAAGTTGATTTTGATCATCTTGAAATGCTCTCTTTTCATGCAATTCTCCAATGATTCATAAATGCCCAACGTCACTAAAAAAAACAATGAGGGAAGTAGAGAGGATTAAATTCTGTCTAAAATTAATCCACAAACATCTAAAGATACAAATAATCACTTCTGTGAAGTAAAACATTGGCAATTATTGATGATGATCTCACATTTCTGGCAAAACTTTCCATGCTAATTGTAGTAAATTTTCCGCAATAAAACGTGTAAGTGATTTTGCATTTGACAAACAAGAGAATTAAATTAATTTCCACAGAAGACTCTTAATTTGTTTGTTTCATTTAAATACACGGCAAATTATTGACTCATTAGTTTATATACCGAAAAAACATTTCCATCTGCCAATTGTCTTCACGTGTGTTGTCTGATTATCACACTCTTTCTCTCACTCTTGTTGTTGCCATTGTGCGAGGCAGTGTTGGCTACCAATGAAACTGGAACGAATATTTCATCAGATTCTCTGGCTTGAAATTGTGCTAAACAGCTGGACAATTTAAGTTAAAAATTGCCCAGTAACATTGAAGTGGATTTTCAAAGTAAAAGTTCAAAGACTCTCGCATTATTTGCAAGGTGCTTTACATAAGAAAACAAAAAAAAATTGTGATGAACAATTGGGTGAGAATTGCGTGAGATTGCGATTAAATTGGACTTATTGGAGATTTACGATAAGACTTTTATAGCGCACTTTCACAATCAATTACAATTACGAGAGTCCTTCCTCGAAGGACCAATAAAGTTGCCACCCACATCGTTTGGAAATTCTCTCGCGAGTCGAAGAAGAATTTCTCATTTCTAGATGCCAATTAGCAGAGCAATTTTCCCGCATGAAAATCGATTTAATCCCACACACAAACACACACAAAACAGACAGTTATTGTTGCACTAAAAAGTTTCCTTTTCAGCTGAAGAATGGATTTGGCAAAGAGAAAGATTAATTAAAGGACTTCAATGTGTTATTTTCTAGGAAGCGATGTTTCACAACAGACTACTTCAAAGGATGTTTAGACGCGTTACAATTGACTGATGAGCAGGAGATCATTAAAACCTACGTTAAAGCTATCAATGGTGCCGAACCAATTCTCTAAAATCAAGCCCTAAACTAAATACACACACAAAAAAAAAGTAAATCAAATGTGAAAGTTAAATAATAATAATAAAATAAGTTAAACTGAGGAGAAAGAGCACTTAAATCAACAAAGAACAATCAAAAGAAATCCTATACAAAATAGCTGAAAGCATGTTATTTTTTACATCACCTTTATTTTCTACAATGTATATTTTTTTTTGTTTTTTTAAACGATAAATGAGATAACTTAAAAAAAGGATAAAAGAAAAGTAATAAATGATAAAGAAGGGTAAATGAAACCACCAATTAAAATGGAACGAGATAAATGGATGAGGAGAGCTCAAGACCGACCAGACCAGACTCACTGTCCAGGAGTTTTCTTTTCTTGATTTTCATTGTTACCAGTTACTTGGTATGATTTTGCTTCTTTTTATTTATTTAATTTATTTCCCAATTTTATGCCCTAGTTTAATTTTCAGAGACGCGCAATATGAGATATTTTTGTCAAGCTTTCAATAAAAGTTTTTTTTTCTTTGGCTCTAAAGCATCCAATGGCAAACGAGGAAGACTTGTAAACACCGCCCACGCGAATTCTCCGCCTTCTTTTATATGTTTTAATAACTTTTATCCCATATTTATTGCGTTTTCAAGCAAATAGTGAACTTAAAGCGTTTAATTATCTCTAAATCGCTTGACATTTAGCTATGAATATAAGATACGATTTTTGATAGAAATTCCCAGAAAATGTTTATATAATCCATCTCAACTATTTCGTTTTGTTGCATCACACATTTTTTTTGCAGAAAAGACATTGAAATGGAAACGCTTTTTGCACATGCAGCGAATTTTAAGTTTCTATGATAAAAATCTCACAGTTAATTCGAGTCGGTGAATTTCAATCAACCTTTTTGTATGCGAATTAATTCCTGAGAATTTTTTTAAGCGTGTCTCTGAGTGTTTTGGAAATTTTACGACTTTTCTGCTAGTCTTTTTTTTTGCGCATTTAATTTGCATTTTGATTGTTTTTGGACGCAGCAGAAAGACAAGAAACTTTTTTTTTTAAACCACCACCTTTTTGACACATTTCGTCCACACACAGCTTCACGTGAATTTCTGCTAATGTCTCTCATTTGTTTCTCCTTTGCAGAGAGAATTGTTTTGACAATGAGTATTTTGCTGGATGCGTGGAGGCGCTACTCCTGGACGAGGAGCTAGAGAAGTTCATCAAGTGGCGGGAAATTCTGGGCAAGAAGTAATGCACACCGCAAAAGAAACTTAAAAAAGAAGAAGAAAATGAAATGAAATGCTAGAGAAACGTTTCAATTTGATAACATTACGCATGATATTATTGTACATATTATGTATAATTTTACATTAGATAACATCTAGTCTCAGTGCTAAATTATTTGTAGTGTTTATGGAAATATTTTGGGGGTGAGAAAATGTGCAGAAGATGAGAAAAAAAGGGGTGAAGTTCTTCATAAGTTAATATGTGTAAGTTTTCTGTTGGGGGGAGGAAATTGCTACAATTTTCCATATCAAGAGGAGAATCTCTCTCGTTGGGAATGGCGTGAAATGTAGAGAGTCACAGACGGAAAACTTGGCTGGAGTTTTCCGCCGGTTGCGCCGCTCTTCAGCTTCACTGCCTTGCAAAGGAAAAAGCTCAGCAGAGAAGTTGATTTTCAACGCAATTTCTGTAATTATTTTCTTCATTGTCCTTTTGTTGGGAAATATCGGGGGAGAGATGTTTTGGAAGAAGAAAGGAGGGAAAATCATCGTTATTCCAGCACAGAAGTTGCATGACTGAAAGCATATTATTCGCGATTGTTTCAATTGCGCACAAAAAAACCATGAAAATTACAGCTTCAATTGGACTTTTACTCCAAATTGCCACCTTAAAGACGATCAAAATTTGATACAGTTTGACAAACTCTAAAAAATGCGCTTCAGTCAATGGCATCTTCATGTGTGGAAAACACATTGTTGAGAGGTGAACCGCAAGAATAACCACAAAATGTGTAGATTTGTAAGCCACCACATTCCTACTAGAGCAGTATTTTATGATTTGTTTATTGAGTTCAGATGGGAATTACAATAAAACTTCTAATTTAAATCACAAAACTCCACGTGAAATGCATTTAGAATTTCCACGGGGGAAAAAAAGGAGAAGAAAGAAAGAAAGAAATACTCATCATTTGCCTAATTTATTGCCACCCTTTCTGAAAAGTGTGAGAGTCAAAATTCCCCTTTATAAAAAATTGAGATATTAAATGCAAATCAGCAAAAATTGTCAGTTCCTTTGAGCCAATTTTTACAACGAATTGAGGAGAGAGAAAAACAGCATATTTTTGCAAGTGAAAGAACAGATATTTATGTTATTGATATAAGATACAATTTTGTAAATAATAATTATTATTAAATGTCAGCATTCAAAATGTGATCAAGTGTTTTCCAAATCACCTTGTCGTAATCCTTCTTCTTCTTCTTGCCAGGTAAAAACTTGCAACTTCAGCAGTTTAGCGAGACAATTTTTTGGTGTCAGTGTGAGAAAAATGCTTAACTTCGTCAAATGCAGCTGTAAGATTGCCAAATCACAGTGTTTTGTGAATTGAATGCATCAAAAATCAGAAGCTAAACAGATCTTTTCAGTGCGTTTGGAGAATTCTAGCAAAACATCTCTTAATCCCTGACCATCAGAAGCTCATTCAACATCCAAACCTCTCTTAAAATCAAGCAAAAACTTGCAGATTTATGACATCTTGGAACAATCATTATTCTGAAGTTCTTTTAATACTCCTCAAAACCTCTTCCTTATTTATATGTACAACAAAGTCGAAAAGCAACAAGACAATCCCGCTAAACTGCTGAATTGCTGATCAATTGTCAAACAATCTATTCTATTCCATTATAAGAATATAATATACGTACACATTTGTCACTTGAGAGGAGAAATTCTTGAGCTTTCAGCGAAGGAGCTTCAAATTGTTAATTCAATTATTTTCCCTCTCAATTCAATCCCTTTCTTACAAAACCCTCAGTCTTTTTTAGTCCACTCCAGAATTGACTAACTGTTTTTTTTTCTTTATATTCAATGAAAATATTTCTGTAAATTTCACCAATCTCAATAATTCCAGTAATTTTCGAGTGCAATCGCTCTAATAAAATATGCCCTAAAAACTAAAGACAAAAAATGGAATACAATTCTAAAAAAGAGAAGCTTTTCAGAGTCTCAGAGAAACTCGCGAGTCTTGGTAGGAAAGAAAAACATCATGGAATCGCGTGATTCGAGCATCCTTGAATCACACGCGTAAAAGCTACAAAGCAAAAGCGTCACGATTTACTCTCAAAATACAAAGTTTTTCGAAGCTCCGGGATCTCGCGAGAGCTCAAGTATTTCCCCGGAGCAGAGAATAAGCCGAAAGAAAAACAATCTGCCATGCTTTGACGTGGAAAATCTACGAATTGTCCAGGCAATCGTTGATGTGGCGGTTCAAGGAGCTCAAATCCGTGAACGATCGCGAGCAGATGGGACATCTGAACTGACTTCTCTGGGGCTCCGGATGCGGGTAACCCTGAAAGATGTCAGAGAAGAAGGTGAGAAAGTGCCTAAAGTAGGAGTATCCAGTGTCAACAACCGATCTGGGATTGCGCATGGACTCCATCTCGCCGATCAGCTGCTCGTGTCGATTCTGCAGCAATCTCAAGTCCGCCAGCAATTGATCCTTCTCGCCCACCAGCACCGTCCTGGCCGCGCGCTCCGCCTCGAAGTCCGCCTTGAACAGCTCCGACTGCATCTTGAACGCCTCAATCTGCTCCACCTGCTGCGTGACCTCGGCCACGTCCGCGCGCAGCTTCGCATTCAACTCCTCCGCCGCCGTGAGGTTCACGCGCAGACAGTCGTTCTCCTCATGCCACACCTTGCACTGCCCCTCCAGCTCAGCCACCCTGGCCACCTCCTGGGCCAGCTTGTGCCGCATCTCGTACATGTCAGCGCTGAACTTCTCCGTCAGCCCGGCCATCTCCTGCTGGAACTGGCCCTCCTTCACCTCCGCCGCGCGCAGCTTCTCGCTCATCGTGAACTCCATGTGCGCCATCTCCTGGCGCCACTTCAGCTCGGCGTCCACCGACGAGCGCCTCTCGTGCTCGCCCACCTTCAGCTCCTCCATCTGCACGCGCAGCGCCTGTAACTCCCGGTCGTGCTGCTCCGACAGCGCCTCAATGCTCTGCCTGTTCTCCGCCCGAATGGCATCCAGCTCGGCATTCTTCTCCCTCAGACGCGCCTCCAGCTGCTCCACGACGCCGCGCAGACGCTCATTCTCACCCACGACGTGCGTCTGGTACACATCCTGCTGCCGCTTGAACTCCCGGATCTCATTCTGCCACTTCTCGGCCAGCGCGAAGTACTGGCGCAGGCAGCGATTGGAATTCAGGAGGTTCTCTGCAATGCACAAAAGGCCAGACGTTATCACGCGCAGCCCAAATTGATAAGAAGAGTGACTCACAATCAAAAGAGCCCCGTGTCACTCACTAGTTCTTCCCCCGATTATGCCATTGATTGTCGACAAACAAAGAAACTTTGATAAGGTGCAAAACTTGTGAGCAATTTTAGCGCATATGAAGAAACTCGCAGGAGAAATTGAATAATAATATCGCTTCGTTTGTCCTTCAACTCATCAAATGAGAGTCAAAAGCCTATGCATTATGTATTTCATGTGGATTCAAAGACGCCAAGGCGAGCAGAGTGCACAGATGAGGTGTATTGTTAAGAAAAAGTGAAGAAGCAACTAAAGAAATAACCAAAACGTGTACAGAACTTAATAAAATCATCGCTTTTCAAGCAATAAATTTGATCAGGACTCAGAATATGATTGATTTTGCATCCTTATGATTGAAAAAAGATAATGAATTGATGTGCAAATACGAAAAGATCCGTCTAAACTCGTGTCATAACTTTGAACTTTACTCAGCGCGTCCCAAAAACATCTGATCACAATATTTGAAGAAAGAAAAGGATCTTCTTGGGTCAACATTGGCAGAAAGATAGCGGTTTTTTGTGGGAAAAGTCACGTTCCTGCTTGTTGATCAGCGCCTGGCAAGATCATGATAGTGAAAAGAAGCTGCAAATCACTCAGGTAAAGAATCCGTGTCGCACATGCATAAATATAGAGCTTCTAATCTTGCAAAAACGTGCCGATAAAAAGCATCTGAAGGTGATTCGACTCTGGGTTGAAACACTCGAGCTTTTATTGAGTGTACTTGCTCATCCTGACTCAATCCAGCCTTGACCATTTCTTGCGTCGCGGCCGAAAAACTGGCCAAATTACCCCTCAAAGTGAGTAAAGCAAACAATGTCCGGGGTTTTTTCCAGGTATTCCAACTCATTTGGCTGACGAAATCTTGTGCAGAATCGCGCAATGGTCAAGAACACTTATCTTAAGTGCCTGTGAAGCCCGATTTTCTCACTTTTCCTCACTGAAATTCTTCGCTAAATGAAAATTCCTCGATCTAATGTCTCTCTCAATACCACTTTGGCGAGTCAAGAGGAAGCAAAAAAGCGTGAGTCAGCGGCAAAAAAGAAAGTTGCTCACCTTTGAGCTGATTGTGCTCGCAGTAGAAGTTCTCCAGCTTGGACAGGTCTTGGGAGGCGATGTTCTGCCCCTTCATGCTCGGGAACTCGCTGTAGATGTTGAAGTGGCTGGTGGAGAGCGACGGGGATGCCTCTGGCCAGCTCACCAGGCTCTGCGTCACTGTGGAGTTGAGCTGGAAGTCTGGCGGAGTGAGGATGCCATCGTCCGGAGGCAGAGGAGCGTCCAGCGCGGCCTTCACGCTGTCCACAGTGTCTGAAGATGCCTTGGATGTGGTCATCGACTCCTCCTTGACAGTCTCTCCGCCTACAGCACCGTCTTCACTCTTGATCGACGGCATCTTAACCTCCGGATGCACAGAAACCTCCGGTAGCGAGGAAAACACCCCGGACGCCGTCTCTGTGGCGTAGGATTGCGCCAGTTGCTCCATCGAGGGCGTCGGCGTCGATCCCAGGATCACGAAAGACTCTTCGTCGCACATCTAAACCCAAAAAAGAAGGAAGAATGTGGAGAGATGAGTCAGACCAGAGATAAGACGATATCCGGAGGGGATTTTTCCCAAATGTTTGAGGAGTTTCAGGATGAGAGCTCACCTCAGGCGACTCCTTAACTCGTGTGGCCTCCAGTTTGGCGATAGAGAGTCAGTTCACTTAAGGAAATTGGACAGAATGTTGTGAAATAAACTGGATGGCTCAAGTTCTGCGCATTAGAAAAATTCCCGTCAGCTGTCAAGCAAAACAAGCCCAGCTTGCGAACCCGTTGCTCAATTATGCTCACTCCAGTGGCGTAGTTGGAATCAGAATTCAGAAAAGCGAACTAAATGTGCAGAAAAATATCAATTTCAATAAATAGATCTCGCAGCAGAATTCACAAGAGTTCGATGTGAACAGAGCGGCAAGAAATATCCTCTAATTGAGCATGAATCAGCGGAGAAATTTGGTGGCATTTCATGTATGAAGTCATGCATATGTCAGTGCTCAATTGGAACGCGATTCTGGGCAGGGCGGACTGGAAGTTCTGGAAAGTTCCATTTCCAGGTCAGCGCCGCCAATTTGACAGCAACTGTCAGTTTTCAGGTGTTTTTGTTATGTACTTTGGGTGGATTTTCTGGTGAAAACCAGTGAAAGAGCAGCCAAAAGACTCATCCTGCACCCAGGTAGTGTTCCAGGGAGTGTTCTGGGCGAGTGTGACTTGCATAAGTGGCTGAATTTTGCAGGAAGCGAGCATGAAGAGGGGCATCGAGATGAACGGCGAGACCACGCCGAAGAGGAGACACTACCTCAACAACCGAAATAGGTTCGGGATGTCCTCCTCGGGCTACAACAACTACTACCACGGCATCGGGCCTGAGGGTCCGCCCGGCAGCTCCATGCCGTGGGGCCGTTGGCATTTGGACTGGTATCCGCCGCTGCCTCCGGAGCCGTCATCACTCCTCTTCAACATGACGCAGCCTCCTCCTCCGCCGTTCAATCCGCCTCTCCCGCCGCCACCACCTCCCGAAGATCCACCCCCTCCACCTCCGGCAGATCCTCCTGCGTGCCGCACTGCACCACCGCCAATTGTGCGGTCTTCGCCACCGACGCGTCCGGACACATCACCAGCTCAAGACATCACACCACCTCCAGCAAATACATCACCATCACAGAACTCCACACCGAGTAAGGGCAGAAAAGAGGGCAGCGCGTCGCCAGGAGAGGTCAGAGGCAAGCGCAAGAGGAAGACAGCGTCGCGACACGTCGGCAAGGAGTGGAATCGCGAGGATGCGGAACGGGTGTTGGCGGTGGAGAACGAATATTCGCCCTCTGACGCCTCGCGGACGCTGGTGATCAAGTTCCCCGATCCCAAAATCACCAGAGACATGGTGCAGGGCTTCTCCAGTGCCATCGAGCTGGTGCACTTCCAGCAGCCGGTCACGCCGCGCCACTGCTTCGTGAAGCTGCGCAAGGGCGTGGACGTGCAGGCGACGATTGCTCAGCTGTCGCGGGTGCGCTTCGGTGGCGGCAAGATCACGGTGGAGCTGAAGCAGGAGGAGTTCAAGCACGTGTGTCCACCGGAGGGCGTCGACCCGTTCAGCCTCTACGTGGGCAATCTGCCGCAAAGCGTCACCACGGGCGCCGTGAAGGAGATCTTCCCCACGGCCGTTCACGTGGACGTGGGCTTCTCGCCGCGCATGAAACACACCAGATATGCTTTTGTCAACTACTCTTCCGTGGACGCTGCGATTGAGGCGTTCCGCAAGACGAGGAATACCGTGTTCGAGAACAGGAGTCTCATCCTGCGCTTCTATCGCTATCGCTCGTCCATCAGAGCGCCCGGCCAGGGAGACGCCTTCCCGGCCAAGAATTCCAGTGCGCCAACGACGTCAACGCCGCGGGAGAAGACGCCCGAGCCGGAGCCGGAGATTGTGGAGGATCTGGAAATTGTGCCAGAGGACAGTGATACATCACACGAGTCTGCGCCGCCTGAGCCCGAGGACTCCAAGGCGACTGTACTCGAAGAGGCTTCCAGGCTGTCCCAGAGCATAACGAATGGCGGCTCCGAGGCGCCGACAATCCCAGTTCGCATCAAGACGGAAGTGCCGGACGAGGTGACGATAGAGGAAGACGCGAGCAACGCTCTGCGCATAAAGACTGAGCTTCTGGACGAGGATCTGGACGACAAGCTGTACAACAAGTTGATCAGCGCCCAGAAGGAGGAGGAGGAGCCATCAGACGGTGAGTATCGCTTCCTCGCTACTCGCTGGCGAGTTTTGTGTGTTCCGGAGCGGAAGAGCGTCGCGTTGCTCGGCGCTTTCGCATCGTGATTAGCGCTCTTATCCGGTTATTACGCTATTGAATCCATTGAACTCTCTGGACAGAGAAAAGTTGAAGCGAAATATCAGGTTTAATTCAGTGCATTTTGTAGGAATGTTTAAAGTATGAATTTATCTTGAACAATTGATATAATTAATGACATGCATAATTTATGATTTTTCTGCACATCTGTTGAATTTATAGGGGAGATCGAGGCATTTCCGGGTAGCGAATGAAATGAAAAGTAAACCTAACGTATGAATAGTAACAAGACTGATAAATAACTAATACAGTAGCCAAACAGGTGAACAGAACAGGAAAAGAAGCAATAGAACATGAAGACCGACAAAGAATGAAAGTCAAGTGCGAAGTACAACAATTGTGTAAGCAAGTTGATGTTCAAAGAAGATTAGGAAAACGAAACACTCGACGGCGATGAGTCAGAATTATCAGAATGCTCTAATAAAATGGCTGAAATTAGGCAATTTCATTGAGTGATAATCAAGCCAAGGGGAAGATAATATGGTCGGAAGTAGTGTACAGCTAGAGAGGAAGTGTTTAAGATTGGAAGTGGCAAAATATATAGAATATTTGCACTGAAAAAGCTTCAATTCCAACAAATTGAGACATTTTCTAAATTGTTTTGCTTCGAAAAATCAATTTTATGGCTTTTTTGAGGTTATGTGATTAATTAGGAATAGATTCTGGTAACAAAATCATATAATTTGTATTTGAGTTGAGGATTTTTCTCTTTTCTTGGTCAAATTGACCATTTGCATTCGAAAAAAAACTCCAAATTAGTTAGAAAACAGTTTAAAAGCAAACCATAACCTCAAAAATGTCATTTCAGTTAGTTATTTTTACAGTTTGTGTTTTATAGTGGAAAATTCAAGCACATTATTTAGCGGAAACATTGTGATATTCTCCATATTTACTCATTTTCTAGGTTTAAAGTATTTTTTAAGGCAGATTCATAAGTTGAAGATTCTGCAGAGGAATTGTGGAAGTGTCAGGAAGTGGTGTACAAATTCAAGGCATATTATCTCCCCCTTGAATCAAGCCATAATACATATTTTGTATAAAAATTGAAGGGAAATGGTGACAGAAAGGAATCTCAATGCAAGAACAGGTGTCAAAGCAGCCCCTCTCTCCTCTAAACATTAGAGATCTCTGTGTTGAGGATTGTCACTTGATCACCACTGCAAAGTCGAGACGCGAGTGACAATTCGCGTCAATTAATGTGATTCATGTTGGTTTCGATTACAATTCGCTTTGTTGCGCTGCTGTGGAGTTTTCAAGCGCAATTATATTATGAGTTGTATAAATCCTCTGTGCGCTTTGCCTTTTTGCAGGCGAGGATTATGACGAGGAGTCGGAGGAGCTGATGAGTGAGGAGGAGTCGAATGACGAGGACGCGCTGAAGTACGGTCTGAATCACTGGGATATCCTGCGGAAGGAGGAGGAGAGGCGCAAGGTATGCTGGCGAGCTGTGCTGCTGTGTCGCCTCGACTGACGCTCTCGGTTTTTCTGTTGCAGCAACAGCAGATTGCAGTTTCTGAGGTGGTCGCGACGCGTTCGCCTCTTCCGCTGCGCGATGGACAGCTGGACAGGCTGGCGTCACTCTTTGGTTGTGACTTTGGTGAGTTTGACGAGCAGAACGATCCGGAATTCGATGACTTGTTCAATCAACTCAATCCCGATGATTTGGACGAGGAGTTCGTGTTCAGTTCCTACTGAAGGGTGAGTCGATGGGCTTTTCACTTTCACATTACGTTGGGAATCACCAAGGATTTGTATGATAATTTCGAGGAGACTTTTCGTGAGTGGTAGAGATAAATGAAAGAAAAGAAGATATTTGTATTAAGTGAATAAATTTTTTTTATCTCCTTTAGAATGTTGCGTCAAAATAGCCAGTGGCGATAAATTGTCCTAATTGCACATCCTTCGCTGAGCGTGGAGAATTTAATTTAGTTCAAAGCGCACTCCTGAATTCCTGTCTTGTCGCACAAACACAGCGCGGAAGTGAAGAATTGTCTCGCTTCCTTGGGCAAATCACGTGAGAGTTGAGGAGTTGCATCGATTGAAATGTGAGATATTTTTCTCCACGATTTTGTCCTCATTTTGATGCTGCGGAGCGGACAAAGGGTGAAAAGATGTGAGCGAGGCGCCAGTTGGGCGCCAGCGTCAACATCAAGTGGCGTCGAGCATCTATGAAAACAGCGCTATTTATTGAGGATGATGGGGAATATCGTGACACAGTGATATTTAATTAATTTCAAATGAAATAGTTTCGAAGCGAAGTGAAAATTCTGCAATTGCGTTATGAAAAAGTTTATCCTTGGAGTTTTGTGCAAAAGTGCACAAGAAGTGAATTTCTCATCCCGTCACTCGAAGGAGGTGGTCATTAAGGGCAGGAGAGGATGGAGAGCTTAATGAAAATTGGGTGCGCCAGAGTTTTATTGGTGTGCTAAAGAATTTATATGACGAGAAGAACATATTTTTGCCCATCGAAGAAGGCTTACAAAGATGTGTTTGTTGCATTTCCATCGGCGCGGAGAATTGCCAAGTGACTGGGATTTGAATTTGCTCCGTGAGATAAAGCGAGTGATTGGTATTCAATCGGCAGTTGTACTTTAGTAATATTTCTCCATCTCCGAACGTCCTTGCCTGAGATGATGGCAGAATTTACAGTCAAGCGCTCTCGTGGAATACGTAATAAGTGGCACAGAATGTGGTGAAAGACGGGCGCCTTTAATGCGCAAAGCCTCGCCATTCACTCTGTCTTGTGAGCTTTATTGCGCGCCCTCTCGAACACGAAGAGACGGGAAATCTCTCGAGGAGTCGACTTATTTTGCAAATGATTTACAGCCATTTTCCTAGGAATCAGAGGCAAAGAGTCAAAAATAGACTTAAATCCATCAATTTTTTTTCGAGTTTCAACACACAAAATGATCTCTTTTCACTGACTGAGAGAAGTTGGAAAATGTCAGAAAATACAGTGCAAGAATAGTCAAATAGATTGAAAATTGTCTGTGCAGAATTTCAAAAGCAGTTCAACGTTCTTAGTCTCGATGAGAATTCATTCAGAAGCATCGTTATGTATAAATGTGCTTCAATTCTTCATCCTTTCGAAGAAAAACTGTCTGGAAAGCGTGTATTTTTGCAGACGATTTTCTACAATCTACTGAGAAGTTTGTCGTAAAATTCCTCTGAACTCTGAGTCTCGCATTTGTGGCTAAAACTACCGCACTTTTCCTTGCTTGTTAAGGCATTCACCTTCTCTAATGTAATCACAAAGCGCGCTGTTAAAACCACCTTTAAACCCCCAGTAAAACAGAATCACTCGCGTGTGGAGACACTTGCCGTGCATTATAATCAAGGGGAGATGTTTAAAAGCTCCAGAGGTGGAATTGTGTGGCGTCTGAAGGTGCATTAAAGTGATTTTAGGCTGAATTGAAGAAGAGCCTTTCTGTGTCTTCATCTTGTTCAAGCACTGTGTTGTCGTTTTGTGTGTGAAATTTCCTCGATGCTTCGGGCATTGCGAGAGTAGAAAAAAAAACCTTTTAATCCACCTCCACTCGCTCGTGCATTGAGGAAATATTTTCCTTCACCGCCTCTTTTTGCCTCCCTTTTCTGCACTCCGTCAGGTAATGTCATGGTTAGGAGCTGGAATGGGAAAACCTCTTCCCTTTTGCTGTGTGGGAATTGTATCAATCACATTGAAAGCTTTCTCGCACTGCCTTTTTCCTCTCTCACACACATTTCTCGCTACAAATGACAATTTCCTTTAATTTCCAAACATTCCAACCATCGTCAGTATTTCAAATTTCATTATCGGAATCAATATTTTGCGGTGAGAGGCGATGATGATGTACAATTGAGCAGAAAGCTCGTGCAACTTTGTCGTGTGGGTGAAATTTCCCCACTCCGGAGGCGCTTTTCCGTGCATTGACACTTTCCCTGTTCTCCTTTCTGTGGGGCGGGGAAAGACGAGCGCGCGAATGCTGGAATTGATAACCTCTGATCCCGACGACTGAAGACTGACGTGTTTGTTATTTTGCAGGCGAAAGTTATTCGACGCCTTTTGTAGTGTTTTTCAGCTTCGTACACGCGAAGGGAAAAAAAAAGATGTTGGATGGAGAGAAAATTATGGGAAATGCGAGATGTCTTGCGAACAAAACTGAGTTTATCGACTTTGTTACAAAATTCCACCCCTGAATTCAATGCTCTTCCTAATTGGCGGAGCATACAAAGAGCATCATTAGAACATTGTTATGCGAGAAGTGTGTGTGTTCCTTTGTCAGCTTTCGAGGTGACGTGAAAACTAAAACCTAATCATGCGCTAACATTAAAACTATGTATCGCACAATCTGACGATGTGAATCTCTGGAGACAGAAGACTTTCCTCTCTTCCACCCCGCGCACAAAAGCGCGGTTGATTTCAATTTTCTCTCCCGAACGGCACAGTCATAAGCGAAAGATGATGGTTATTTCATTTGATGTGCTTCGCAAAGACTTTATGCCCGACTCACAGTTGAATATATCTCTCAATGAAATTTTCCCAGCAGTGTCTTTAATCTTCGGTGAATAGAATTTTCGGTCGTGTTTTCTCTCGCACGCTCGTGCGGATTCGAGGATCATGAATATGTTATGCTAGGAGAGTGTGGGCGCCTTTTGAGTCCTCATGCGGCAATTCAATTTCGAATCACCGTCAATTTTTGTAATACTTCATCCGCCTCTGCCAGTGAATATTCTCGCAGTTCACCAATCTTCAAACGGCAATGAGACATTTTATTGATTTTCCCGAGAGCTTATCGGGGTGTGTGTTTGGTTGAAAAATCCCCCCGAAAGCTGGGAATACGACAAAATCACTCTGAATCCCATGATTTGCCACTTGATCTCACCCATCCTCTCTCCTGCCGCCGCACAGAATCCCGCTCCCGAGAGACGCCAAAAGTTAATCAAGAGGCATTATATTTCGGCACACGAGTGGCAAAATGCTGAGGTCTTTAAGTGAAAAGTAAAAAAAAACCGGGTGACACACTTCAGTGTATCACACACACACTCTAAACTATCCTGATGAGATTAAGATGCAATTTCCGCTCATGTCGATTATGGCGCGCTTCCCACTTTCATTTAAACAAGCCATCATTAAATTATCATATCCTTCCTCCCAGGCGCCGTGTTCGTCAAAATACGGTGAATTTGCGCTGCAAAGTGATTCTCAGCTTATATTGGGTGAGATTATGATTTGCTCAGGGGTGAAAGTGGAGCCTCACATGGGAGAGTTTCACTTAAGCTCGTTGTGTTTGCGTAATTGCACCATTTAGGGGGGCGTTCTTTGGGGTTTCAGCCCCACAGTAATTTTAGCCGTATAGAAAATTTCACACCATTTATTATATTTCACAGAGTACAAAGTTGCGAAAAGTCTAGTATTTCACACGACAAAGTCATTATGTGATTGACATTTGATCATTGTACTTCAGTCAAATTACATGTTATGGCAAAGTTTGCAAAGCTGACAAGACGCTCAGGGCCAATTTGAAGCGTATAATTTGAGTTTGTTGGCCTTTTTGACAAATTACATTTCAAATATTAGTCAAATGTGAGATTTACGACATTTACAATTCAGTAAAAAGCAGAAAAAGTGACTGAAAGTTGCTGTCGGATCAATTCAACTTTACAAATCTTGTCTTATAATCTAATAATCTAAGAGATTTTTGTGATGTTGAAGGATTTTAACCTCAAAATGTCTCGTTATTAGTGCAAAACTCTAGAGTTTCACTTTTTGAGAGTTTCTGGTGTTAATTAATGGAGAAATGTCTTCAGGAAAAAATCTTGAATTAATGAAAACGTTGAAAGTCGATCCTAAGCTTCGATGATCTCATCATTAATTATCGCAAACTCTCAAGTCGCTCATGTCGTGTTCGTTTAATACGAAGTTTGAAATCTTATTTAATACTTAGGATGAATGGAAAGTAATTTCCTATTTCGCTGTTCAATATCGATATTCATGACACTTTATTTTCTTAATAGGTTTTTCATATGTACGAATATTAGTTGATTTGCGAAATTTGCGAGTAATTTTGCAAATTTCATTGGAATTCTCAGAAACTCGTATCAAAATCTAATATTCAATTGGGACTTCAAAGCAAGTTATGTAAATTTAATTAAACAATTCTCGAATATATGGCAAAGTTTCTGTGCGCTGAGCAAATAATCAGCATATGAAGGCAAAGGCCTCAGCCAGCGTGCGGCCAAGAGTGCAGGCCAGCTGCTGAATGGGAGGAAAGTGAGTGGCAACAGTCCGAGAATGTGTGGGCCACATTTTGGGGATTACGCGAGGAGGCATAATAAAAGATGCGAGACGAAGAGAGTGTCCAGACTGCGAAATACAGAAGCGCTGAGCAGCCCAGAATAATCCTGAGCGTGTCTCACTGAGTGAATTATGTGACTTTTGTGCCTTCGCACGTTCTTCTAATTTATTTCACTACGACCACCACCAGGCGCCCCCACCGAAAATCATAAACCCGCCATTCTGGGCATGGAGAAAATATTGTGCCCGCCAGCCGTTTCCATCATTTTATTAATTAAAACCCAGTTAATTTGCCATCTCGTAATTCTCTTTCTTGGCAAGCAACAAATGAAGGCTCACAAGAGAGTGAGACTGGCTTTTCGCCCGATTCGCACAATACAGAGCGCACAAATTGTTCATTCAATCATTCATTCTTGCATTGTCGAGGGCGAGACGGGAATTCGTGGCACAATTAAATTCCTGCGGTGAGAGAAAGTGAGGTTCCTCACCTATTTTGAGTCTGTGCGAGTCACACAATTGGAATAATT